AGCGGGGCCCATTTATTAGGGCCCTGAAAAATTGGATTCTAACGCTCTATGGCGCGATCTGACTGAGGCAATTTCTGACCACTTTAACCACATTATTTTTAGCAAAAGATCATCATTTAAACATCACTTTCGAGTTTGGAGTAATTGAATCGACTATTCTGAGTTATAGAATAAAATGTAGACTAAACTTTTTGTTTATTCGGGGACGAAAATAGTTGGAGACATACCCCCCCCCCCCTTTTTTCGTAGGCCCCCGGATGTTTCGTAGACCCTATGCAAAGTGCCTGCCTATTGGATAATCCGGGCCTGGCTGTGAATCAGTGTATTTGCATTTTCAAAGGGCAGTTCAATTGTTAAAATCTTAGGAAAGCTATATCGAATATTACTGACCAGTAGGTTTATTGGTTTAGTTAATTTAAATAACTATACAGTTAGCTTTATTGTTGGTTGGTAAATAATGTATTGATCGTAATATGGACGTGCAGTCCAAGATTATACATCACCGTGAGGCGCTGTTTTGTTTGGGATTTATGTTTTGTCTGATTTTTTCTCAATCGGTCATTATTATTAGAGTTAAATTAAGTGGAACTGTAATAGGTTTTGTTTATGAAGTCTGTTCGTCGGTTCGATGTAATTTTAAGTTCTTGTAAATAAATTCCTTTTTAATTTTTTTGCTTGAAATCTAGAATTTGTGTCTGTGTCCCTATAAATTCACTTTCCTCGTGACCGTTCCTTTCAAAGATCCCGAGTTTAGTTTACAAATGTATTTTTATCAGTAAAATCCCCGTAGAGTCTTTAGTGCGAGTTCCCCCATAGTGTCGTGTGTTTTTTTACAGGTTACACTTGCAACAATGTTCCTAACGCGGCGAGGCCCAGGAGGCTGCGTCATTAGACTTATGCTGTTACTGCTGATTGTTCAGCCACTAAGTGTACTAGGTGAGAACGTAACTTACAAAATAAAAAACATTGTATGACTGACATAAAGAGTAATAATGACTCGAGTCGATAGCACAAGTTTTGGATGAGTCGACTCGACTCGAGTCCCTTCGAATATAACTGACTCGACTCGACCGTATGCGTACTATTGTCCGCCACGTCACCTCGTGTATGGTTTTATAATGTAGCTGACAATTTAACTACAGGGTTTACTATGAGGTGCCCTTTATGACTTTATTACGAAACAAAACGAAAATCAAATATATATAGAACGTAAATCCAATATATATAGAACGTAACTCCAATATATATAGAACGTAACTCAAATATATATAGAACGAAACTGAAATATATATAGAACGAACTCAAATATATATAGAACGAGAAAAATATATCGAACGACAATTGTAATAATTATATAAAACGAAGCAAGTTGCAGATGGACTCCGTCAATTCAGGGTGACTGTAAGGTCAATGCCAAATTCTGCTAGATGTACTTCCAAAATCTGATTGATTAAACAAAAATCTGCCAAATCACCTATGATTTACACGAAATACATTATAAACACTTATACTCATATGCAGATGTTATAAAATTTCCTTACCCCCCCCCCAAACAAAAAAATAATAAAATGTCCTTTATAAAAAAAGTTATTAATCTTTTTTAAATGGCTCGTGTCTAGCCTGGTTTCCAATGTCTACAGTACTTTACTGTGTTCTCGTACCTCAACGCTTAGACTGGCCAAAAAAATAAATCCTTTTTTTTGCAAGCAAATCAGCTCTGCTATATTTTTCCGTCCAAATCACCAATTTTGCAGAATTCTGCTAGATATCTGCTTTAAAAAAATTCATTTGCTAGATTTTCTGTGAAACTTTTTTTCTTCAAAAACTGCTATATTTTCCCGTCAAAATAACCAATTTTGCAGAATTCTGCTAGAAATCTACTAGAATCAATTCAATCTGCTAAATATTTTGTCAAACTTTTCCCCCCCCAAAAAAAAATTTGTAAACCAGGCTAGACACGAGCCATTTAAAAAAGATTAATAACTTTTTTATCTGCATATGAGTATAAGTGTTTATAATGCATTTCGGGTAAATCATAGATGATTTGGCAGATTTTTGTTTAATCAATCAGATTTTGGAATACATCTAGCAGAATTTGGCATTGACCTTACAGTTACCCTGAATTGACGGAGTCCATTTGCAACTTGCTTCGTTTTATATCATTATTACAATTCTTGTTCGATATATTTTTCTCGTTCTATATATATTTGAGTTTCGTTCTATATATATTTGAGTTTCGTTCTATATATATTTGAGTTACGTTCTATATATATTTGATTTCGTTCTATATATATATTTGTTTCTAGTTCTATATATATTTGTTTCGTTCTATATATATTTTTGAAGTTCGTTCTATATATATATTGGAGTTACGTTCTAAATATATTGGAGTTACGTTCTATATATATTGGATTTACGTTCTATATATATATATATTGGATTTACGTTCTATATATATTGGTTTCGTTCCATATATATTTGTTTCTCGTTCTATATATATATTGGTTTCGTTCTCATATATTTGTTTCGTTTAATATATATTGGTTTCGTTCTATATATATTGGTTTCGTTCTATATATATTTGTTTCGTAATAAAATCATAAAGGGCGCCTCATAGTTTCCCGCACATTTTAAAACTGTTTTCATTCAAATTCATAAACGGTTAACTTCAATTTCGTCTTGAAAATTTATGATCTTGCATACCCTATGTTCTATTTCGTCTTTGGTTGCTCATTTTCACGTTTTGTTCAAACAATTTCATACCATATCCATACTTTCTCATGAAAGATCATTCAATTTCGTCGTCTGCAATTTAAACGGAGAGCTAGAGCTGGATAGTGTTTAATCAAAATTTTGGGAACAAATTAAGTTTTGGTATTTGAAAATTTTGTGACGAAGGCAGCCCCGCCCCCTCCGAGCTGTTCACGCCGCTTAAGTTAATTAATTTGAACAAGCTCTTAAGTTATATTTTCATGTTCCGCAAGTTCCAAGGCATCAATAAAAATTGTTTAATTTTCCCAATTTAAATTTTGTAGTACATTTTGCTCAGTATAGTGGGCACTGTCAAGCACGCTTTCATGTGCATGTACTTTTCAATGGGAAAAGTTAACATTTAGGCCTACCTGTGTTGGAAAATGGACATTTTCGTGTCGAACTTTTAAAGCCTCATTTTCATACACTTGGTATGTCAAACTAACCACAAGACAGAGCAACTGGCAAAGAAACTTGGCAGGCCTGAAAGGGCGACCTCTAGCGGTACGTCAAAAGATAGATGGAACAATTTAAAAACTATCACAATTTTACAAAATTAATTGCCTCTATATATTCTTTGTACAACCTCGAAGAATTTTTCCAAGGTTTCAGAATCATGACATCATCCGACTGGAAGTTATTGTGCGGAAAAAAAAATGATCAAGTTTTTTCCTTTAAATTTAAATTCGTCATATTTGATCGGTGTTCGCTGTGTTCGTACTTAATAATGTACTTCATCATTTTAACTTGTCACATAATTATATCGACCCTGATCAAAATCAAAACGAACCAAATTTCTTCCATGTACATAGTAAAGTATAGATTACACTTTTAACAATATGACGTCACAAAAATAGTTAAATAACTCACTTTTAACCTTCATAACTTCCTTCATTTTCACAAATTCTTTTCACTTTTAGATGAACATGTATCCTCTTTATAAACTGAGTCTCTTAACTAAATCAGTATTCATTAATTTGTGCATTTTTAATTTATGATATGTCATCAAAGTGGAATTTCCAATTTTAAGTTTCTACATACAATTTTAATACTCAAATTTATCATGCTCCAAAAGATGTTCTTTTTTCTCCAAAAGGCAAATCGTACTTCTCAGAAGGTTAATGATCCTCTTCTAGTACGATATTCACAAGTACACTCGGCAGGTTCTTATGAAAATGTCGCTCGATCACCCTGATTTTTCCTCACAATGCCATTTTGTCTATATATTTTGTTTTCCCCCAAAAATGTGTTTTGGTGTCCAGCACTTTGTTCAACAAGATCCTACTTGGGGTGCCATGTGAAGTGCGGCATTCTCACAACTGTTTTTCTTCACAATATCTTTTGTCTATACATTTTGTATTTTGTTTTCCCCCCCAAAAATATGTTTTTCGTCAAGAACATTTTTTTTTTTGGTGCTAAAATGTTTTTTTTCATCTATGGTTTTAATTGCGTGTGTTTTTTAATTCTTTCGTTATTTTTAGTAATGTATTATTCATTATGTCTTTTATTGTTTGTTTTTTTGTAATTTTTGTCGTTATTATATCATGGTTTTTATGTAATCCAGGGCCCCAGGGGGCAGGGAGAACAGTTGATCATAGTGACCGTTTTAGCCGATTTTCGGCTATTTTTGACAGATTTTTTGTAAAAAAAAACGAGTTTGACAGAAACTTTGACAGAATGGATTTTTTGGCAGATTTCTGGCAGAATACTGCAAAAATGGTTATTTGACACACAAACATAGCAAATTGGAGATTTGTTTTTTTAAAAAGCTTCAATCTTTTCAAACAAACACTTGCAAAAATAAGACAGGTTAACTGCCTTGTCTATGTGCTGAGGTTCACTGGGAATCGGATTTTGTCGTGACACAACCTCGTTTTTGACTGAAATTTACGCAATTTCATGACACCTTTTATGTGACTATAGATTGTTTATAATGTAATTTTAACTTTAATTAAGGCACCATATTACAGCATCTGCATATGATTTTAAGTGTTTATAGTGTATTTCGAGTAATTCATGGGAATTTGACAGATTTTTGATAAATCTGACAGATTTTTGAAGTGCATTTAGCAGAATTTGGCCATGACCTCACGGTCACCCTGCAGTTCATTGACAACTGATGGGGCTACCCTGGTAAAATAACATGATGAACTATCATCGTAAATAGATAAAATAAATAAATAAATAAATTTCGATAAATAAAATTGAAAACATACTTCCTTATATCACATGTAACACTTTCCAGGGCAAGCTGGTTATGTAGAATGCTATGTGGACGACAATGATGACCGTGCCTTTCGACACGATAAAATAGAGAACGACAATATGTCATGGGAGTGGTGCATGGACAGATGTCTAGATGTGATTGGTGGCAGTTGGGAATACATTGGCCTAGAGGATGGTGACGAATGCTTTTGTGGCTATTTCGGGATTGACTACTGGCGGCATGGCAGTGGATCAGGTTGCAACGATAAATGTGCTGGTGATAGCAGTCAAAACTGTGGCGGAGGGCATCGGATTGCCGTCTATCGAAGTAAGATTAAGAAATACGATTCACTTTAGGAGTTAATTGTTTTAAAAATGATAATGTGCATCTGATTAGAGGGATATAGGCTTAAGTTTCAGGCTTGCATGGAATTTAATCAATTATATAATGATTTCCCTCTTTATGGAATATTCCTTTTCAGTATCAGATGCAGTGTGCAGCCAGCCTTCACCAAGTCATGGATCATACAGCGTAGAATCCAGACCTTCTTACGCTCACTATTTGAATTTCTATGAGTACCATGGAACTCGTTTGCGTTTCACCTGCAACAGAGGATACTATTTTCCATCAAACCCTCCAACAACCACATGTAGTTCTGGAAGTTGGAGCCCTGCCTCTGACTGCCAAGGTATGTGCTAAGGACAGGTTGTGTGATTGAGCTACAGTTTTTGTATGCATTTGTACCATTTTCTGTAAACTTACGAACTTACTAAATTGTTTAGAAATAGGCTAAAAACTTTATCCCTTGTAAGTATTGGTTTGATTTTCACAAGGGTTTGAAATTATTCTCATTCAAATAAAGGCTTGTCAAAAACACACTCACTGCTTGCGATTTCAAGGTAATCATGCACATTTTTTCTAATGTGGAAATGGTTGATCATGTTCATGGTGTGATGATCTCGTTGCCTTATTTTACTTTCTGTGTTTTCTTTCTTTTTCAATCTAAAGATGCATTTTTGGAAATTTCTGTTAGTAGCGAATTAAGCACTTAATGAGTGTGCACAATTAATTAAACGTTGACACGATGCACACATGTGCGCAGTTGCTTATTGGTTTAGTGTGTAAAATTGGCCTTGAAATCGAGAACCTAGAATATTGTTTTCTGGGAAGATAGGCCTATAGCATTTACTGAGCTAAAACTCCATCAGGTTGTTAAGCACCGGTCTTTAGAATTATGAACACTTTTGTTACTTCAAATGAAAACAAAATTAATAAATACCTTGGAGAGTTGATGGTTTCTGATTGGTCGAAATTCGATCACGTGGCCGGGCATTAACGGTGATAATGACCGGGTTCAAAGAACAAGCGAAAAAAATGGCCCCTGAACCAGCATTGATCCAGCCCCATTGGAAGGCAATGATTGGTCAAATTTACAACAGTCATACGGCTAGCTTGTAACAATATAGCACTGCACATGCGCTCAACCACCTTCGCGTGACACTGACGCGCGCGTACGCAACACAGTTGCTATGGGTGTGCGCGTGCGTAAGGAAGTTTTAAAACGACTGGACATCGTACATGTACATACAGCAGTGCAGTATCTGATATACTGAGGATGTTTACGACGAAAGCGTAGATCTACGATATATTTTCTTGAAACACTTCGCCCAATGACATATTTACCTTTCCTAAACCAAGCATCTTTGTAATTCTGGACACGAGGAGTGTGTAAACGAAATTTCAGCTTCCTCCATCAGGTAAAAATATGAAAACATTGTTGTAAATATTTTGTTTCGCTACAGCAGCAGAAGTCCAAACCCTGGACGTCGTACGCGTACGCAATGAAGACGTTGTCCAGCAATGTCCAGCACAGCCTGGGCCCGGCTGTTGGTGTATATAACAACGCTTATGGTACCACGCATAAGTTAAAATATCGCCCATGAACATGAACACAAAAAAGTCTGGAAATATCGCCGAAAGAAAGTCACAAAATTGGAGCATTTTAACTGTTTATTTCGTTAAAAAGGTATTTATTAATGGGAATAACAGTGTGAGGATCCGGTCTTCACTGCGTGATAATGACCGGGTGTGGGGGTGACCGCTGTTAATGGACCGAGACGAAGTCGAGGTCCATTAACAGCGGTCACCCCCTAACCCGGTCATTATCACGCAGTGAAGACTGGCTCCTCACACTGTTATTCCCTTATTATTATCTGACTTTTTAGGCTTTACAGAGAGCTTTACTTGTATTCTGTCCCTATAATTTCAGCAGAGATTATGATTGCTTTCTCTATGTATTCTCCAGCATGTACACCAATATCACACTGTGTTTTTGGCCAGTTACATTGCACCACTGCCACTGACCAACAATGTGACCAGTGTGATGGAGACTATGGGCCCAATGGAGCAGCCTACTTGAGAGTCAATAATGGAAGAGAATGCAGAAGTAAGTTGAATATATCAATCTGATTTAACATCATATCAAACTGCAGTGACTTGTGTCTTCTAAATGAAGATGTCACGCCCCAACTATCGCATCGGTCCCAACTATAGTTGGGCCTGTCCCAACTATAGTTGGGACAGGCCCAACTGTAGTTCCACAGTTGGGCTGGCCCAACTATAGTTGGGCCACTCCGATCTTTTTATTTTGCGGTGTCCCAACTATAGTTTACATTGATGTACAACCATAAAACGTTCCCTACAGCTCTGATACACGTCTGACTTTACTGGGGACCACTGAAATTAGCTATTGATGGGGCGAATCTATAGTTGGGCCATCCCAATCTTTTTATTTTGCGGTCCCAACTATAGTGTACATTGTTGTACGATTATAAAACATTCCCTACAACTCTAATACACATCTGACTTTACTGGGGACCAATGAAATGATCTATTGGGGGGGACCATCTGTAGTTGGACCACCGCAATATTTTTATTTGGCAGTCCCAACTATAGTTTACAATTGATGTACGACTATAAAACATTCTCTACAGCTCTGCTTACATTGGCTTACATGTCCGACTTGGGACCTTTGACATTAGCTATGGGTGGGGCCCATCTATAGTTGGCCGGCCATGGCAATCTTTGAATTTTGCAAAATGTTGCTGGATAATAAAACCCAGCAGCTGGACAACTCGTCCAACTAGGCAGTACCACGTGACCGGCCAGCCTTGCGGCATGCATGCACCACGAATACACGGTGCCATCGCCGCGGAACATTTAATCCAACAAGATCTATCAAGCATGAAGCATCCGGCGCAACTCCAGTCCTAACTATAGTTGGGCCGACCCAACTGCCGCACTATAGTTGGGACAGTCCCAACTATAGTTGGGACCGATGCGATAGTTGGGGCGTGACAAAGACAAGTGACATGATGGCCGGGTTTTTTTACATGGGACATACTGAAGAGCACGGCATATAATCACATTGCAAGGCAATTAACATTCACTTGTATTTTCATCAATGTGTCATGTGTTTCTGATTTTGTTTTATTAGAGCAGTGTTCATGGAGGACTGACAGCAATGCGTGCTACCCAGGCAGCTGCACATATGCCCAGTGCACATGCAGCAGTGGATTCTCAGGAACGGACTGCAGAACAAGTGAGTTTGTATATATGTGTAAATTGGGGCATGTGGACTTCGTGTGCAAACTAAAGAGAGCACAATTAAGTTAGATTTTTGGAGGACAAGTGAAGTGATACAAGCTGCTGCTTAATGTTTTCATTTCAGTTTAAATGTGTACCATAGAAGGCATGAAGGCATAAAGGCATAAAGGGAAAAGCCCTTATCTACAGAACCTATAAATAAGCTATTTTTGTTCCCAGTCCCTCCATTGTTTAGAGTTCAGAAAAATGGGTTCAAACTTTGAGCCAGTCAGATCATGATCATGATTAATTATCTGGGTCTCTTACGGTATTGCCTTTTGATGCAATATAATGAATGCAGGAGTAGTAGCTTGGATAATGTTGTAGCCTTATTTGAAAGTAAACATCGGTGCTATATGGCTAAGACTTTGAATACTCTTTCTCACAACTTAGTTGGCAGTAGTCAAGCACCAGTCCTATCTGAGCATCTTGCCACCCTGAGCATTGGGGAGTCAACTCTAGAATCCCCCGCAGTCAATGGTAGTATGGACACCGTCTACACCAATGTACACAATTTCACAAACTTGAGGATCAATTGGATAAGCTCCTACCGACCGACTGGACTTCCAGACCCTTCTGCTGGTGGACATCCTTATATCCAAAGTGCTAGCTTGGGTGTCATAGGGGCAAGAGTGAATGCTGTTGTCAATCGTGAGTTCAGCCTCGAAGTGTGCACAGATAATTGACTCAATTGACTCATACTTAACTGGCTCAAGTAGTTAGATGTTGGCCTAATTTTTTATAATCGTTTCACATACATGACTTTTTGGCAATTTTGAAAGAAAAAAATTAATATCACAACAGCATGCTATTCTAGGACTTCAACTTTGTTAAAGTTCGACTTCAAGATTGAGCTTTGTTTGTTTTTTACAATTTCTCTTGAGACTTGCCCTGATCCATAGTTCCCACTTTATCCAGTGAATAACAAGATTGTATACTTGTACCATTATCTTGTCCATGCATTAAGGCGGGACATCAATGGTATATCAGATAGCCTTATCACAACCCTGCACCACAACAAATGGACTGCATTTCAGTCAAGACAACCCTGCTAAAGCCCTAGTTGACTGTGAATTCACAATCAACTTGGATTACAGTCGATGGACTCCTGCAACTAGAGATGTGTAAGTCATAACTGTCTGTATACTTGTATTTTAGGGGCAAGTTAGTTTGATAAAACAACTAATAGCAATGACACAAGGCAAACTGCTAAAACTGGTCCCAGAGCACACAACATTCTGTACAATGGATTCAGTTACTGGACTTGAAGTTTGCTTATCCCCCTCGCTTTCAAGCCAGACGATCGCGTATTGTGATCGCGCATTCCTGTGTGTGTCGGTGTGTGCGTGCGCGCGTGTTTATGGTGTAAATTGAGGACACACATGTGCAACATCATCGATGAATCGAGGACTCTTTGGTTGGATAACGTGTACAAAACCAATGAGAGCTGTTTCGAAACAAAGGAAAAGGGAAGAGGAACAAAAGAAAATCCTTGAAGTACACCATAAACAAATTTATTACACCATAAACAAACATGTGCATGCATGCATGCCGGTGTGTCCATTTTACTTTACAGTTCAGTCATCAATCTCCGCCATACTTGAAAGGTGTCTGTGGAGAGAAGGTCGATGTCAAAAAAATCCTTTCCAATATGTATATTTACGAGGTCTCTGGAGAGATACTAATGACTGTAACATATGTTAGTCCGGTGTCTCACCGAAACTCTCCATTCAACCCAAACTCCCCAAATCAACTGAGAACTGGTACCTGCTGGGTAATCAGGCAGTCACTGAAAATTGTCCTTACGAATATAACTGCCTGTACATGCATGTATACAAATTAGTGGCAGGATGCCAGGGGGATCGCACGTTTTACTTGCAGTGTTTTTATGAACCTGGTGTATACAGTGGATCAGATAAGCCCATTACAGGGTAATCCTAAACAACCAGGCTAGTGTCGGCCATTTCAGTCAGTCAGTCTGTCAAGAACCAGGTACAGAGAGACTGCATTGGACATCTCAGACCAGCAAATAGGTAAACAGCCAACATTTCTTGTACATATGACTTGGTGGGTTTAAAAAGGTTTTTGTCACTTTCTGAACAGGCCTGTGAAACTTTGTCACTAATGATTGACTGTGGTGCAGGCATTCTGATTGTTTTACTCTGCTTAAAACACAAAGAATTAAACTCCTTGGAAATGTAAGGCACTATAGTACAAGAGACGGAGCTCAAATCAAGAGTGCATAATTTATTTATTTCGAAACTTCTTTGTCTGTTGCAGACTGAGATATGATGTATCTACAACCAATGGCGGGTACCTGAAACTCTACAACAGAGACAACGCCAACGCCACCATCACACGCTACTATAATGGACAGACGGTATCTGGGGATTCCACTTTCACCTTTGACTTTGTTGACCCCTACCACTGTGTGGATGTTAGCAGTGGATGTCGAATCACCATGCTGAATGCAGGGAACGACGTCACCTCGCTGGTTAGCCATGATACTTTTGTGTACATTGTATACATTGTTTGGATTAGGTAGTGGGTATCGGTATGCAAGACTACATGTAGCTAAAGTGTTGATTTTCAAATGACTTTTTAAGTTTTCCAGACTTTTATATCATCACAGGCTACTGTGACAGTCACTTGGCAAGGCTGGGCAGATGATCTCGCTGACATCAAAGAATATGATCTGCTGGTGCGACAGCTGTCAGGTAGCCATGGCAATGAGATGACAGAAATCTTTGACAGTCCGGCTGTTTATGAAGGAGTAGCTAGCTCTGGGCAGACTGTCACCCTGCCCCATGTTGGTAGGTTTTGTTGGCTAAGTAGCTGTGATGTGAAAGAAATGACAAGTAACTTTGATGATATGGTATATTTGTTGATGGATTTAACCCATGCAAAGCCCAAAGCAGAGTTGCATTAGCCCAACCTGCCTTTCTTCTGGATTAGACCATCTGTTTACAGTTTAAAGTCTTAGTGCTTAGTGGGGGCATCACATCATGTGATTGAGTCCTACTCAAGTGCACCAATATTGTTAGCCTTTATCCATATTTTCTCCAGTAACACTCTTCTCATTATTCATCCACTCTTCTCCACAGGTGTTTACTCCGTCATCCTTACCGCTGTTGACAACGCTGGCAATGTGAAACTCAGCAGGCGTTTTGTGTTCTTTGATGATGATCCTGATGATGTCACTATGCAGAGCAACGCATCGGTGCGATTACTTTCAGCGACTGAAGAAACCGACTTTGAGTGGTTGATTGATCTAGACTCCAGCGGAGGGATGACATCAGTACTTCTTGATTGGATGAACAGATTCATTAATATTCATCACCTGAATCAAGGATTGCTGAAACCCATAGGGGATTACGTCAGCGCTACTATTGACAGTGGTAATTAATTAATTGTTTAGTGGAAAAATAAATGCAAAAGAGGTTTTGCATAAGCAATCCGCCCACGAATAGCAAGATTTTGATGTATCAGACAAAGTCCTGTATTCATCTTAAGAAAAATAGTTTTTGAACCTTGCTCAGTTTATTGTTGAGTTACTAATTTCTTCAAAACATCAGACAGTGTTCAAAATGGAGAGATATGATGCATTTTTATTAATGTTTTCAGTACATTTCTGTAAAATAATTAAGACTTCACGACTATTGAGGAACCATTACAGGGTAAAGAACAGTTTAAGTAATCTTGATGATTGGTTTGCTCCTAGATTACGACCAGTACTTTGGGCTGCGTGGCCGTGCAGCCATCCCACATGCCCTTGGTGTGACTGAATTCCGCATCTTGTATGACATCGATCACAGCGGTGGAAGGACCACTGTCAACGTCAGCGACGACAACTCAGACCACTGGAGTAATGAAGCTGCAGACACACAGGCGACCTACGACCTGACCCTGGTGGACGGTGATTCCATTCGGTTCTGGGTGGAGGCTAGGGACCTAACTGGGCACTTTGTGAGGGACAGTGTGTTGGTTCATGCTGATTCCTCCCCGCCTATAATTGAAGACTTCTGGCTGGTACGGGACGGGGAGGTGAATCTTGCCGTTCATAATGCAGCCGAGTTGCATAAAATGAGGTAGGATTTTTCATTTCATTTGATTTCTTTTCCATGATTACTAATCCAAAGCTTTATTCACGTTTTTAGTTGACAGACAGATTTTTACATTGTCGTTCTCTGCTTCTTCATCGTTTAGTGTTGAGTTCAGGACATACGACATTCACAGCGGTATCAGAACCATTGAATGGTATCTCTTCGACAACTTCACTGGCATAGAAATAGAAAACGGGAACCAGACTCTACCAGATAATGACACTGGGCCACCGATAGTACATGGCCATGGAAAAATAGCTGCAAGAAAATTGAACACGGTAAGGCAACTGGGGCATTAGAAACTGGTATTAAGATATTTAGAAGAATAGAAACATTACATATTCATTTCAATATTTAAAAAAACCCAGCTAATATTCTTTTCGTAGTAAATAATGTGTTCTGCACATTAGTTTAAGGTTTTAAGGATTTTCATTAAATATTAATTCTTTAAAAAAATGTATTGTCTAGCTATCAACACGCCTTTATTACGAAGCATGCACTTTTATATGGACATTTCAAAAAGCATAGGCATGTTGGAGGCGTGGGACATTTGGCTAGCTAATTCTCAGCAGTGACTTTTGCTTTTCACAGGAGGATTGTGATCCAGTCAGCTGTTTGTGTGTTCCAATCGGCGACTGTTACGCTGTTGACTACGGTTTTAAGCCAACATTCCACATTGGTACCCATGACTACGATTACTTCATCACTCTGACGGTTACCAACCATGCAAGACTGGTAACCACCCAGACAATCCAGGTATGCTTATGGAAGATTGTGTCTTTGCAACTATATGCCATGCTAGTCAGGTTAATGGGAGATCAGAGGATGAGTAGCTCAGTTGGTAACTAGAAAGTCAATATACCGGGCAGTGTTCCAGATGTTGAAGATATTCACCCACTATACATGTAGTTATTCCTCTCAATTTACATACATCCTACCAATTAATGCAGATATTTCTATTCCTACTGATTCATGCAGATAACAGTAGATACGTCCGGCCCTCAAGCCGGTGTGGTGCATGATGGGATACGCGGGTCTAATGAGGTAGACTTTCAGGAGGGCAACGACCTCTCAGCTCATTGGGAGGGGTTCTTTGACAAGGAGAGTGGGGTCAAATTCTACCAGTATCTCTTTGATGATTCCTGCTGGACCGGCAATACATCAATCGGCAGCGTCAGAGATTCGGTAGGTTTTGGGGAGTTTTCCTTTGTGCCAGAGTGTTGTTTTTAGTTGCCATTAAGCAAAAATGCAAGTAAGATGTAATGGAAAGCAGATGACAATCTACCTCCTTTGATGCAATGATACATCATGAAACCGTTATTGTTGGGTTGCCTCTTTACGCCTCCTGTAGATGAACAAAACAACCTCCACGCATGCGAGTTGGACAGCCCCCTTGCCTGGCCAGTACTGCGTCACCGTCATCGCTTACAACCGAGCTCTGGAACCCTCAGAGGCTGTCTGTTCCGACGGTGTCATGATCGATACCAGCCCTCCAGAGTTGACCCAGATTGCTATCAGCTATGCTCGGATGTGGCCTGGTCTGGCTACGGATGCCGAGGGTCGGGTGTGGTTCATCAACGAGCATCGCAGGAAGATAGAACTGATGAATGCATCCAGTGACTGCAGGTAGGGACATTAGTGAGATTGAAGATGTCATGCATTCAGATACATTGTATCTCTCATAATGGTCAGTGACAGCGTCTTCTCCACTTCTCCAGTTTCAACCAGCAGTTAGGGGGTAAGGGACTTTCAGTCCCCGAGCAAAACACTTTACTGCAATTGACTTTCTCCACCAAGGAGTTCAAATTTATAAAGTGACAGATGCTCTGCAATAGGATTGTAAAAAAAAAACGTAGTTACAACCAATATTGTGTACATTATATGAATGTATGTTTTTTAAACACAGTGCTAAGGCTGCTCTGGTAGATGATATATCTGTTTATCCTGAGATGTCTGGCACCAACGACACCTCAGCAATTCTCCAAGGAGACCTAGACTGCCTCTGGATCTCAGCCGTCCAGCAGAAGTTCTACCTTCCAACCGACAAACACGTACGATTTACAGATATGCTTGACTGGGCTTAATTAGCTGGGCTAAACTGGACTGCAGGGCTTGGTTGTATGGCATCGGCATGGCTATTTTGGGCTGAGATATAGTCTGGTCTGTGCTGAACAGGGTTGGTCTGGGTCAAGTATTTGGTCTGGGCTGGGATTGGGTAAGCTAGACTGGGCTGAGATTGGTTGGCTAAAAACATTTAAAGGATATTTAATTACTTAAGTCAACTTTTATGATTCTGTTGTTGATTAGCTTTGTTTTTATTAATGATAGGTGATAATTTCTTGGAATGGAGAGGATGCAGAAAGCTCAATCTATGACTTCGAGATCGGTCTCAGCAGTGATCCCTCCAATCCGACTCCTGACCTTGTGACCTACATGTCAACATCAGGTCATGATCACTTTGTGATGTACCATCCTCATATCAGCCATGGAGCTGTGTTCCATCTGGTTCTGAAGGCCATCAACAAGGCTCAGTTATCTACTTCCAAGGTGTGTGAAAAATATATTGTGCAGAACAGACAAGCCAGATAACTAAATGACCCTGCGGGCGGCACATTATGTTCTATGTGGTTCTTTTCCTGGTGGTGATGATTTCAATTTCCCCTTTTAAGTTAATACACATAATAATCATGTCTTTAAAACATTCTAGCTATTTTCCTGTTAACTAGGTGATTGGGCCAATTATCGTGGATACCACCCCGCCCATGTTTGTTGGGCGTGTCTCTGTCCATGTGGAGGATGAGTACTTGATTGCTGAATGGGGAGATAGTGGCTTCATTGATGATGAGGATACCAGCCTGAGATACCAAGTTGCCATCGGTGAGTCAACAAAATGTTGATCATTTGTCCAAAGTGCCCCGCAAATGTATGTTGGGCGTGTCTCTGTCCATGTGGAGGGTTAATCATTTGTTTTCCAAGTAGAAAGGCTTCGTTAAGAATAGCATACTCGTCTGTGTTATGACAGGTTTTGAGTGTAAAGTTAAATTATTTGGATCGTTTCAGTCTATATGATTTTTTTCTGCACTTTCCAGGGAGCACCCCAGGCAGCACGGAAACTCTCGATTTCCAGTCAGAAAAAGACTACAAAATGGGACCATGTACATCTCTGACATCCTGTGCTGTATTCTCATTGGCTGACCTAGACTGGCATCTCCATGGTGATCATGAATATTACGTGTCAATCAGAGCACAGAATGGCGCTGGGTTAGCTACGGTGGGGACGTCATCGGTTTATAGACACATCGTGCAGTTACCATCTCTGGGTGTTGTATTGGATGTTGCACCCCCTGGGGAAGGTGCAGTTGTCAGCTTAGGGGTATGACTACTGATTTATTGTCTCAAGTTAAAACTGACATCATTATTTAAAAGTTAATAACTTGCAGTTGCTTCTACTCATCTGGTTTTGAGATAATGAACCATTTGGGACGTGTCTGTGTGAATATGGTTTTCTAATTTTATAGAGTAGTTCTATTTAGATATTTCACCCATCCCTTCCCGTTTATTTGCTCGTAGGTGGCCAAGGATATTGACGTACAGATGAACACCACAAGCATCTCAGCTCGTTGGTTTGGTTTTGAGCATCCTCATCTTGATATCAACTATGAGATTGCTGTCGGATCAGAAGGAGGTGCTACTGATGTCAGCGATGGTTTCATCAATGTCGGCAATGCAACCTTCTATCGACTGCATGGACTGGATCTCACACCACTCATGGTAATGAAAACATGAATTTGAAAAAGTTGAAATCATTGAAATGACTTTCCCTTAAATTGAGACCTGACTTCATCTTGATGCTTTATGTTTTTCAACATCTTTGTGGTGATATTTTATTGACAGACCTATTATGTGACCATCCGTGCCAACTCTGAAGCCGGTTGCGTCAATGTCACTTCGGACGGTGTCAAAGTCATTCAGGAGGGTCAGGCACTGGAGGGAGCTGTGGCCAAAGACGGACTGGGCTGTGATCAAGATGAAAGTAAGGCCTTTCATTTTTCTTATTTCTTAGACAATGCAGTCTTTACAATGGTTAAAAGTCATTTACAATTGGTAACATATTTAAGTTTGAAAGACGTCTCTCTAGATCAGTGACTGTCTTTTGAGCAATCCACTAAGGCTCGTTTGACCATCCTTCGACACTCTTATCTAACAGTCAATATTTTCCCTCCTACTTGCAGTGTCTGATGTACCATCAGGATTATCTCATCACTCATCTGTTACTGATCAATCCTGTCAGGATGACATCACCTACCAGGCCTCCACCTCTGACATCTCAGCTCGTTGGACCATCCCTGAGATGCTGCAGCCCTTTGTGACTAACATCAACTGGGCAGTTGAGCAGGAGGTTGAGATTTATTTTGGTAAGCTTGATTTGAAAATTAAAGGGAATTATTATGATTTTCCTTTCAAACTCTGGTGCAAAGTCCTCACAAAATCAAAATCTAGTCTCTTTTCCTCGGGTTTGCATCCAGTCTTCAAAGTTAGGTACTATGAGTATTTTAAATCCAATTCGATTCCAATTTGTAGTGTGAAGAAGGACATTATGTTGTGTCTCTCACAGATGATGAGAAAACTACAACTGAGTGGATCACGGTGCTTGATGATCAAGATCTTGGCATGGCATTCCAACATGTTCAGGCTGGTTCAGGATTGCACAGTGGAGGTCATTACAGATCAAAGGTAGCAGAAACTTCTCCATTTATTGAAAAACAAACGAGTCATTGTCCAGTCCCACTCTTAGTCAGTACATTTATCTCAACAGAAAATTGATTCTAAGGTAATACAACTAGTTTCTGATATGCTTTCTTTTTATTACATTAGGTTACATTTTGTCATGTTAGTGTCTGCTTCCAACCCATCGTCAGTGATGGATTCTGGGTATTATCGCAACCTCCCGAGGTCGGTCAGATCACAGTCGGCAACATTGAGACCACGCAAGGCAGGACAGAGATCAGCGTGGTCTTCCAGCCTTTTGCGCATGATTACGTACGTCATGAAAACCCACATGAACTGATGGATTTCTATGAGTGGAGCATTGCTGAGGATGGTAGCGATGGAGCACTGCTGAGTCCCTGGATGAGAATCCAGGATTTGGTTTTGACTGGAGATGTGGTAAGTATTATTTATTATTATTATTATTATTAAATGGTTTATTTTACTCTCCTGTCGCAGCCCGAAGGCTGAATTGTGGGCAGGTTTACATTGGAAAACATTTTAAAAATAGACAGAGGTAAAAACTGTATGTATTACAATAAAAATAATTAGAAGACCGGGAAAAAATTATAATGATAGTTAAAACATAATGCATGTAACAACAAGAATGGTGAGTACACAATAAAACAAATTTACAAAAAAATGACTAAAAACAGTTGATTAAAAACAGTTGGGAAAACAAACATGGAGAAATGGATTGCTCAGATAATGATAAACAGTAAATAAATGAAGATAAATATCAAACCAGGGTGTGAGACGTAGAGCTTAGTTGTTCATTAAGAAGATTGGTTAAAAATGGGATTGCACTATTCTTGTATCGGTTGGTTCGACATCGAGGGATTGACAGGGTGTTGGTATTGCGGAGGTTGTTTCGCTCTTTTGGGTGGTAGCCAGTCACGGTATTTATGAGATGAGAGAAGGTTTTTACCAAACTTTAAACAGAGATGATCACGTCTTTTCTGGAGAGAGGGGATTTGTATCCTATTAGACATAAGGTCATAGGGAACGTGCTCGCAAACGTTAATGGAAAGGATTGTGCGAAAGTACACAACTGAAGCATAAAAGAGGGACAAGAGTAGAGGGAAAGTATGACATGAGTAAAACCTTTCAAGACAAATAATGCAGTGGTACAGTTTGTTATCCTGGATTTATTTGCCAAGGGAGTGTTGTGTTTGAAAGTAGAATGGTTGTATACAAAAATGACACTGTTTTGAGAGTAATTAGTAACTTCTTTCTCTGAGGACATAAGCTTAACTTTTGTCTCGTTAAAAGATCATTGGGTAAACATGGTTTGGTGTCTTAATAATGGACAATGCAGAAAATTCTTGCGCACCTGTGAACTGTTATTACAATTGATCATGAAATGTCTCTTATTTCCCAGTCATTTTGACACCAATATTTCACACTTTCAGCTTTAGAAAAGACAGTGTTTTAATCTGTAAAAACCCAGATCTTCTCCCAAAAGAACAGTTGTTCAGCTCTGTTAGACTGGTTTGGTGCTATTAAGCAAGTAGTGTTAGTTCTCACAAAATATGTTGATCACAAAACAGTGCAGTTTGTCCATCATTCAGATTTCTGAATGGATCAGGAATTCTCTTTTCCACCAGGTGCGTTTCACAGCATCCTACAGTGGTTCCTTGGACCTGGATGTCTGTCTTCAGTTATCAGTGAGGGGCTACAATAAGGCTGGTCTGTCTTCCATCGCTAGTACCAAGATTGTTGACTGCGATGATGTGAAGCTGATCGTCCCCCATACTGTCATTGATGCTGATCGTAAGTTTATCTTCTTTGCTATTTTGTAAATTAATCAAACGCAGGTTTAGGCAAAATTCTTTGAATTACGGCTGGTTTCTCTCATTTATTGCCTGATTTCATGGTACTGCACTGTGCTTAAAGTGTTGTGCAATAAATATAAGTGCTAAGAATCAGAAGAAAGTTTCAGAAAATTCTCAGAAGAATGGTTTCCTTTAGAACACAGATGATTGGTGCACAAAATTTATCATGCGCCATGTGCGTGCAAACCAATGCCTGTATGCAATGCGTCCCTTCCACACAGCTCACACAGTAATCCCGCAACACCATTTTCTGGTCATGCACTGAGCGCACAGGGAACACTTCATATTTTTTTATCTTGTTTTGAACAGATGAAGTCTTCATGGAGCAGAATGCCAAGTGGCCGGAACCAGACAAGAACTACATCTCCTCTACGTCTTCCTTATCAGCAGTCTGGCCCACACTACGCCACAGGGCCTACACCTGGGCGGCCATTTTGGACACCGGATCCACTGCATTTGGAAACTTGGACAATGGTCTGCGGTATCCCTGTAATCACCCATCAATGAAGGCCTGTGGAGAGACAAGTATGACATTGCTTCATTTAGAATGCCATTTTGAATTGTGACCTTTCAATCAGATTTCATATCAAAGGTTTGTTTGGAAAAATATTTTGAAAAGTGAAGAATTTGAAAAGAACAATGGGGGAGGGGAAGTGACTTAATCATGATGTAATCCTATTGGATGCAGAAAGTAATGAATTATTAAACAATCTGAAATGAGGGATTAGGATACGACACACTAATATTGGTTTTGGTTCAATAGGTAAAGAGTTTGTCAACATTCCTGATCTGGTCCTGCATTATGGCATGCGTTATCACATTTGCATCCATGCTGATGAAGTGACATTGGAGCATGAGTTTTGGAATGAACAGCTTCCTGCTGTGTCCAGCTGTAGTGATGGCGTTGTCATAGATACGACCCCACCGACCCCTGGCTCTGTCTGGATTGGAGTGGATCAAACTTACCAAGTACGTTTCTCATGTTTCTGCTTGATCAAGCTTTTTGGGGTGCAAGAAAGGAAAGCTTAGTCATACTAGATTGTTTTAGTTCTGGTAATTTATGTCTGGTTTACCCAACAATTTTTTGTTTGTGGTATGTGAGTCCTCACCACCAAATTTGTGAGGCTAGTTCTTGGAGATTACATTATTTTTTTCCTCTGTTCATGTTTTTTAATCTAGAGTTCTGTGTCTGAGTTAGTTCTTCACTGGGAGTCCTTCACTGACATTGAGGAACATGGCATGGCACGTCATCACTCTGGGATCAAGTACTATGAATATGCCATCGGTAGGAGCTGCTTGGTTTTCATGAATCTGCTAAATGATCCTTTGGCATTCAATAATGCAATAATGACATCGTCTGTCACACTCTGTATTTACAAATCATCTATAATTAAAGGCAGTGTTTATTATCAAACTTTACAGCAATTTAGGGAATTTAAACTTGATAATTATAAATTTCTTAATTTTTCAGGTTCAGAGCGAGGTGGTAGCGACGTGATAGATTTCTCGCGAGTTGGAATCACCAACAGCATTATTGTACACAACATGAGATTACAGAATGGTCATAGTTACTATGCTACCATTCGAGGTAAGCATCTGACGCAGCAAGAAACGTCTTGATACAAGTGTTTTTAAAAATGAAAACATTCACCAGCAAGCTTCATCATCTCCTCTCTCGTAAATTGCATCTCGTGTCAGTTGTTTTAGTAACCACAGAGAATAGGATTTTGCAACTGATGTGATTTCAATTGTTAATTTGTTTTCCACCCAGCGACTGACTTTGTTGGTCTGTCATCACAAGCAATGTCAGACCCAATCACAATTGATACGTCGCCGCCTGTCATCAGTGCTGATCATACGTTGGACATTGGAGGCAGCTTCATTCAATCAAAAACTTCCATCTCAGCAAGGTATGGTCAAAATCTGCTTATCGCCATAAATTCAAAAAAATATATAAAAATTAGAAAAAAAATCTACCAACCTGTTGTCACACATCATGTTTGATCTGTATTACTTTTCAGTTGGGAGAATGTGTTTTCTGACCAGGAGAGTGGTGTTGCATATTATGAGTGGGCCTTGGGTTCACATCCAGGCCATGCAGACATCATGCCATTTACTAGAGAGAGTACAGAGATCGGGGTCAGTGACCCCTCTCGACCTTTGCTCCTTCAAGAAGGTCACTCCTATTTCGTTTCAGTCAAGGTAGGCCAATGCCTTCATCTTGTCTTGACTCAAATGATTCAACACGCACTGTACTGGAGTTCTATTTGTCATGAGAAAACAAAATAAGGTCTGTCAAACTTTCATAAATTTAAATTAAAGTCAAGTCATCCCAAGTTTGTCACAAGTCAATCATAAAGTTTTCAGTCAGGTAATTAGCTTTACAGTTGAGTCGTAAAAGGCTTTCCTTTGTCATTGTTCACTATCTGTTGTGACGTGAATTGTATTAGACTGGGCTTTAACTCTGTGATCCAGTCATAATCACTTGTGACAAAGACTAGGCTTATTGGATGAAACTTGAACTCAACAGAGGCTCAAACTGAGACTTGAAGCTTATGACTAAAAACAAACCTGTCCCGACAACAACAATATAGAAGCATAAATCTTCATTTTTGAAATTATTTGACCCAGGCCATCAATACTGTAGGTCTGATCACACTGAAGAGCTACGGAGCATTCACAGTTGACGCAAGCCCGCCATTGGCTGGCCACGTTTTTGACGGAAACCCAGCAAACACCTCGGCTAATCACAGAGACCAAGACTTCCAGGAGGATCGTATGGTGATCAGGGCATTCTGGGAAGGGTTTCATGACCCACACAGCGCCATCGTTGGATATTCCTGGAGAGCTGGGATATGTTCAGGGTGTAGCAATGTCATACCTGAGCAACATGTGGGCTTGGACACTTGTAAGTACATCTGTTAAACGAAGATTGGCACAAATTATTTTTGTTTATAAAATTTGTGTTCTTAAAGCAATTAGGGGGGACAACTTTGGTTTTTTTAGGCAATAATTTATGTTTGAATGTTTGTTTATTTAAAGAAAACAACACTTTTTTGTCAAGTTAAGAGAATATGATGTGATTAAAATAAAACAGTGTAAAGTTAAAACAATTTTCAAATGCTACCTTAAATTAAGCTATTTTGCAAATGAAACTGATAAAACAGTGAAATTGTCAAGTATTTCTTAGTGTAGAAGGGTTCTACACTGGTGTGTAGATGTAGATTTTTTCCATGGAATTCCACAATCCCCATTTTATAATCAATACATCCCTCTTTCCAAACATGGTGTGCTAATTGTCAGTGTTGATGCAATTCACTTTCTAGATGTAACTGCGGAGAACTTGAACCTAGTGCCTGGTCTGACCTACTATGTGACGGTGACGGCTTGTAATGCCGCTGACCTTTGTACCTCAGTGACCTCTGATGGGGTCACGGTGGACGACTCTTCCCCGGTAGCGGGGCGTGTGTATGATGGCGGTCCTGGGGGTGGGGATATCAGCTACCAATCCTCAAGGTGAGTTCACCCCTGAATGTCACATCAAATTATTTATCTGACCACTAACGGTTGACCACTGACCAAAGATTGTGTAAAAATATAATTAATTGAAATAGAAATGGTTACATTGTATTGCTGCAAATCATTGCAGGTGTGTTTGTCTCAATGCTCATTCTAATGATATTCCCTGCAGGGTCCAGCTCCGAGCTCATTGGTGGGGTTTCCATGACCCTCACTCGGGCCTCTCCCACTACGAATGGCGCGCTGGCACGGCACCAGGAGCTGAGGACATTCTTACCTCTACACGCATCGATCTGTCAGAAGATGCTCTGATATTCCTGTCAGATTCGGATCAGATGCCAAACAACACCGATATCTACATCACGGTGCGCGCCTATAACCGGCTTGGTATGTGGAGTCAGGCTACGTCTAATGGGTTCCGTGTGGACTCTAGTCCACCTGATGTGCTGAATGCACCTGCTGTTGATGAGACACGGGGCATGGCTGTCAACAATACTCAGGTAGGACTTCTGATCACAGTAGGCTGGAGCTGCATTTCTTGTTCTACCTAGAATAATCTTAATCCTTTCTCCGACATACAGATATATTCTATCCAAAGAAATTTCCAGCTTTTCATGATCTTGCATGTAAGTAAAACTTCAACATCTTTATTTTCTTATGTCTCTCAGGTTTTGCAGGATGTGATGCACTTTTCCTGGAAGTTCAGTGACGCTGAGAGCGGCATTAAGGACCAGTTTGTATCCGCCAACACACATCATAATGGAGATGTCAATATACCTCCAACAAAGGTGAACTCTCTATTAAAAGAAAAAAAGTTACAATATAATTTTCATATTATGGGTAAACGAAATACATGCCAGTTGTGGCGTTTTTGATTACAGATTGCGGGGAGTGAGTTGGACCACACCTTCACCAATCTGACATTACATGAAGGCAGTCGTTACATCATTACCGTAGTGGCTTGTAACTTTGCTGGTGTCTGCACACAGGCCAGGACAGAACCTTTATTGGTAAGTAACCATTAGATCTGAGACATAATGACGTCATGCTTTGTTTACATGGGAAGGTAGGGACAATTACCTGGCTCATATAGGAAAGTGCACATGTAAACAAAGCATGACGTTTTTATGTCTTAGGTCTATTAAAATTGGTCATTGCTGAAAACACCACTTTCACAGTTCAAAATGTTTCAAATTGAATTGAGCAACCACATTCAGTAGAGTTTTTACATTGTTAGTTATGATTGCAGCTGTTTTGAATCACTGTACATGTCCTTTACGATCTCTGAGTACCTTTGTGGTCAAGACAAACTTGCCATTATTCCTTGTTTGTTTGACTCTCTCAGGTTGACGGTAGTCCACCGTCCGTCGGGACGTTTGCCGTGGGTACAGAGAGTGCTGCTAACTTGGATCGTCATCATATCATCTGGATTGATCCAACTGAACCAGTGATACCAACTATCACAGATCTACTGAACACAGTGAGTCATTTTTATTATTTGATAGTATCACTCTCTATATAACATGCAAACAACCTTAGTTTGGTACCAGCAACAAGTGCAGAATTCATACTTCAAGGCCTTATTATGGTTATCTCTTGAAACAATGCAGATTAATGGCACTAATTTCACCGATTCGACCAACTTCACTGCTGAGTTTGTTGCCACAACCGACTCAACCAACTCAACCAACTCTACTGCTGATTTCAACAACACCACTGATTTTGACAACACCACTGATTTTGACAACACCACTGATTTTGACAACACCACTGATTCATCAACCAACTCCACCACCGATGTTGCCAACACCACTGACTCCATCAACACCACGACCCAGAGTCCACCAACCACCCCATCTCCCCCACCCTACCACTCTGGTTGGATGACTTGGGTAGAAGACCCCCGTACATCCCTTGGTTCCTTAGCCCTTGCCTGGCTGGGATTTGCTGATGTACACTCTGGTATCAGCCACTACTTGGTCTCCATCGGACGCACCTATGGCGGTTCGGAACTCACTCCGGTATCTCAGTCTAGACATTTTGTTACTTTTGAATTCCCCAAAAGGTTGTTATTTGAAAGACTTGCTGGCATTGGAGCCAAAATTCAAGCTATTATTTTTATGAAGATTTGTTATTTGATTTTTCGGTCAATTAAATTTTCTCTTTTCCAACTCTGCATTTTTTAGTCTTTTCTGTGATCTTGTTGAAAAAAAAATCAGCATTATCACAGTGCCACTATTCCAAACAAGATCATATTTTCTCACCTTGTATAGAGTGGACCAGTCCGTGTTGACCACAGCTATGACGGCATGTCATTAGATGAGGGCATCGCGCAGACAGCCATCATACCACTAGAGGGCAGTATAACTGACTTAACTCCTCCATATCTCTACATCTCCATCTGGGCTGTCAATGGGGTAAATTGCTGCTTCATTCCATTCAATCGACAAAAAAATATACAGATGTTTTTCAAATTTGAATCAACACCGATTAGTCTAACGTTTTGATGTGGTGGTTACTAAAATAGCACATCAGCCCTGGAAAGTACCATCTAGGCTTTTATGTGGAAACTCATCGTCTAAAGTATTTTCACCGGTCTCATCACTGATACGTAGCAATCTTCCCTAGCATGCAATTGTTTGTTTTTGCTCAAAATTTCTTCACTGTCGTTTTTTTGGTCCATCCCAGGCTGGTCTACCAAGCACTCGCCATCATTCTACTTTTGAGGCTTCCCCTACTTCACCAAGTGAGGGCGCTCTTGTCCTGTTACGTCGCTGCTTGCCTGTGACATGTGAGGGCCACTGTGCATGTGCACCCATTCATCAAACGTGTCTTATGGTTCCACAATGCACTGACCTAACTTACAGTAAGTACAAAATCTCACATTGTACAGGGAGTCATACAACAATTGCATTCTTTTGATTGAAATGTGTTTTAATATCCTTCAAATTAATTGTTTTCACTAAATTATTGTAAAACTTGCAAGTCAAAATAAATGCATTTGAAGCTTCCAAAGAAAAAAAAACATTTTTTAGCCACTTTTCTATGTATCATAATGGGTTAAGTGATCCAAATATTCGCAGTATCTTCCAATATTGCTTTTCATTTGATTATTTTCTCATTATTTTTATCAAGATAATTCCAACACTGAGATCGAAGTTCTGGATGTACTGGATCTGATGCACAATGATATCGATAACGTGATCGATATTGATGACACAGCCACTCAGTATATGGCAGGTGCAGTCTGGCGAGTCACTGAGCAGAAAGGACTGGACATCAAGTGGTGAGTTGGCTCATACAATATTTCCTATTATAGAATTGAAATCAATGCTACTACTTAGAAACTGCAACTCAATCATCAACAACTTGTCCTTTTTGCAGCCCTGTATGTGATCTTAATCAAAGAAAAAAAGTGGAAAGAGAGCATTCACAGAAGGCTTTGACAGTTCCAAAATCTTGTCCAAATCAGAAGCAGAATTGAAATCAATAATACTACTTCTTAGAAACTGCAACTCAGTAGTCAACAGTTTTTCCTTTTTGCAGCCCTGCATGCAATTTTTAATCAAAGTAGACATGGAAATCAAGAAAACGTATCAGTAGACTTTGACCGTTTTAAAATCTTGTCCGAATTAGAATGAGAAAGGTCTTTGTTAACACACAATATGGGACTTGATAATGCGATCCTGGTGTGTCTAACACCTAGGGTTTTTTGGCTTTTCTTACAGGTATGAGTGGAGTATTGGTGATGATACGTCTTCAGACTTCGAGCCAACGGGAGTCTTTGATCCTGCCTTAGACAGAGTGTGGTTTGATGTTGGACAGGACAATCATACTATCATCCTGTTTGACGAAGGTATTAAGATCAATTGATTCCTGTGCTATCTAAAGTTTTGGTTGTTCAGTTCCTACATTTGGATATGTTCTTCCTTGGGAAAAGGTCCAAATAAAAAAAACTGTTTCTACTCAGGTTGGCTTCTCTTGAATAAAGCATCAGTAATGATTTGAAGAGAACAGCTTGTTCATTTCAATATATCTGAAGATTGTTTGCATTCGGTGTTTCTCCTTATAGATAGAAAGCTTAAAAGAGAGGTAACATATCACGTGTTCATCCGGGCCTGGTATGACGCAACTACATACGCAGTGTTCAGATCAGACGGCATTACACCTGATATCACACCGCCCAAAATATCAACAATCAGAGGCACAAAGGCAGGTTTCAATTTCTAGTTCACTCTAAGCTCTTTTGGTTAAATTAAAATTACGTGGTCTATTACTGGTCCTTTCACTTCCCAATTTGTTTAAGATTTATACTGACCAAACCTGTTCATAGGCCTTGTAGGAATCCTTTGATCTTCCAAAAATTAATCATACTGATCAAGCAGTCAGAATTGAAAGTTTGCTCCTTTGAGAGGATCGGGTATCTGAAATGACAGCACACACATTTCGATGAGTTTTGACAAATCTGGGAGACCTTCAACTTCAACATGGGCCCTCCGTAATGCTTCTGTATTTGTTGCTCTCAGGTTAAAGATCTTACAAGACCAGATGCCAGCAAAGACACTGATTACTTAACAGATCCTGATGTTGTCTTCATCTGCTGGGAGGGAGTGTTTCTAGACAAAGCAACATCTCACTACCAGGTTTCTCTAAGTACCTATCCAGGAGGTGAGTTTTTGTTCACTCTGCTCCGTCTCTTATCAGAGCTCATTTCCCAATTCTTTATCTTATCTTTAAAAAAAAAGCAGTCTGTTGTGCCGTGTTTAGACTGAACATTGGGAACATTTGCTACATGCTATCCTACATGTTTCTACTGGACTGTATGAATCATGCGTCGGCACAAACCTTGTTTGTTCGTCCTCCTCAGGTGAAGATATTCGTCAATTTGCTGACCACGTCTTCCCAGCCAGTGTGTCGTCCACACAGTTCACCAGCCTAAACCTACAGAGTGGACTGCGATACTACAGCAATGTACGAGCATTCAACAAAGCTGGTCTGCACACGCTCAGAAGCAGTGACGGTTTTGTGGTGGATACCAGGAGGCCAGATCCAGGCCTGGTCTTTGATGGCATAGGTATGAAGCCTCTTACCCAGTTGGCATTGATAGAGGATATACTAGTGTGTGCGTTACTTCCAGTTCATTTCTTCAAGAATCATTGGATGTGCTCAAGAGGACTCTCACTTCTCGTTCCTCCATCCACTACTCCTTGCCAAGGTCTTACTTTCTTCTTCATAACTTACCACAGCTCAAGCAAAATATCAACAGATACCTCCAACTCACTTCAACTTTCTTATTTATTTTTTGTTCATAAAGTCACCATCTTTAGTGGCCATGGCCTTGGGGTTGGACAATAAAGAACCAAAGACTTCTACTTCTTTATTTTATTCTAGAACTTCACGATGTAGAGTATCAGAACTCCAGCACAGTCATCTCAGCCTCCTGGCATGGCTTTGTGGATCTGGAATCCTACATAGACCATTATGAGTGGTGCGTTGGACAGACCCCTAGCCCTACAGATGATGGCATTCTGCCCTGTACAAGTGTTGGAATCCACCTGTCTGCCTCCAAGACTGTAGCTGTGCCTCTCACAGATGGTAAAATTGAAACCAAATTCACTGTTGTCATAAAAGATGTCAAATCAGAAGAAAGCATGAAGCAGTTTGCTGTCAAATTTGTTATTCAGGTTTTAATAATGATTGGTTCCCCAGCTTGAGAGCTATAATGTCAAAGACAAATCAAAAATAAAACAAAATATCAGTTATAATGAAAAAAAAAATTGCATCTCCCATGTTGTCTGTTAATATATGTTACATTGGAGCACAACATAAACAAAATAGTTTTTGGTGTGACTGGCGATTTTAACATCATTGCTAAGTTGAGCATTCTCTAAGCAGGTTCTTTGTGTTAAAGATTTGAAAGAATTAAGAGAAAAGATGGGTGAACTCTTCAAGAAATTTCCACTTGAGTTCCTTCATGATTGGCTTTGCTTTTCAACCCTTACCTTCACCTTAGTCTCCTATAAATGATGGATTCACAAATGCATAAATGCTACTCCTTTATTTGTCCTTGATCAGGCATCCGGTATTACTCCAAGATCTCAGCTATCGACGCTGCCGGCCTGCAGTCTGAATCAGTCTCTTCAGATGGGTTTGTGGTGGACACTACACCCCCTGAACCACTAGAACATACCCTTCTCGGGGAGAACTTGATCCAGAATCCATCATTTGAAGGTATAGAAAGATCTAATATTAAAATTAACCATTGGGAGACTTGGTTTTCACTTATAAAATATGTGTTCGGATTTTGTGGTATTCGAAAGATGTTTCAATGTTAAGTAATTAATAGATACGCTTATCCTTCCAGATATAAATGCTGAATTGTCAACAGACGAAACCACAACAACCCAAGGCGAATTGAAAACTGAATCAGAAAGTGAAGGAACAGAATCAACATTAACAGAATCTACAACAGTTTCCACCTATGAGGATGTGTCAGATAGCTATCCCACCGCTGCCACTAATTTTGTGACTAACATGCCACCCACCACAGATGGTATGGATACTGTTGAGGATACACAGCTGCCTGAATGGGATGTTGGATCTGTTAGCCAGGTTTCTGTCATCACATCTGACAAGAAGATTGCTCAAGATGGCCGTTCTTACTTGTCTCTTCATGGCTCCATCTCCCAAACCTTTGACACGTCACCGGGCAGCCACTACCAGGTGGTGGTCTTCGCGAGTCATGCCGTGTTGTCCCACAATCCTTTGCTGAATCAAGAAGGTCGCATTGAGGCTCCAGGATTGAATCGCGTCTTCAGGTTGTATGACCGGCCGACACACGGTCACTCAGACCAGAGTCTGAGGTCCATCCAATGGCATCAGCACAGGTTTTACTTCACAGCCAGCGACGATGTATCAACATTAACAATCTCCTCAGTCGGAGAATGGAATGGAATCCTGTTGGATAATATTCAGGTGAGTAAATCCCTGTCCATATACCCTTTTTTACCATATACCCTTTTTTATTATATACTCTTTAAAATTTTATCTCACATAATACTACTCAAGACACGTTTTCCTGTACCACCCCCTGTTATTGATATCAGCTTGCACATTCCATGGTGAATACCTGATAACCTAGCATTTTATCGGTTTTTTCCTTGTACATTTCAGGTGAGGCAGTTAACCACTGGATCAAGTACCGGTGATGGGTCCGTGGAAGTCCATACTCAGTTCATTCACAGCTGGTCGTCAATCCAGGCCAAGTGGCATTTCATTGACCCTGAGAGTCCCATAGTGGACTACAGCTGGGCTATAGGTAGGTTGAAGCTTGTATTCTCTAGTCACCCATTTAAGTACTATGTTTCTCCTCACGGCAGTGCGTCAAAGTTGTTCAGATTTAAGACGTAATTTGTTCGTCACATTTTTATAATCTTTTTAGAAATTGACAAAAGGAAACATGCCAAATGGAGATTTTAAAAGTAATTAGGCATACAACTTTTCCTCTGATCCAGTCATTTTTTACTTCTCATGAATGCCATTACAAATTGAAAAACACTGTACAAAGTCTTGTGTGGTTTGGAGTTTCCTCGTTTTTTCTAAATTTCCAGTTGCATGCCTGAAGTAATGTTAACACTACAATTTTGTTAGGAACTACGAGAGGTGGCACCCAGCTTCAAAGCTTCACGTCAGTGGGTTTACAGACAGATGCTATCAACACTGACCTCAACATGGCACATGGCTCCTATGTTCATGTCACTGTGATGGCAAGAAATGCAGCTGACCTCATTGCCATAGCAACCTCTGACCCCATACTGATTGACCTAACGCCACCACTAATTCATTTTGTGATTGACGGTGGCGAGGCTCATGGTATGTAAACTTAAATTTCCCTTCAAGAAATTTAAAGTATACAATTATCTAAGTCCAAAATTACTCATGACAAATTGTGAATATGTCGGTAATGAAAAAAACTTCTGTTTTTGATGGGAAATGAAGCCCATTCAAAAGCAGAAAATTCCAGCCCATATCTGAGTGTGATAAAAACCAGATCCAACACGTGGAAGGCAAATCTTGCTTGACACCACCCTCAAACTCTTTCCAAGTTTCTAACCAATTGAGATCACATCAGGGAACATTGGCAAAAGAAGCAACCTACTGGAAAACGGTAGTTTAAGTGATACACCATGTATTGCTCTGACGTAAGATGATAAATCAATCACTCATTTTGCATCCTGTGGCACCTTTTCAGCACAGGTCTCTGTCTCTTCTTCTTTATCTCTCAACAGATGTTGACTTCAGTGCGGATGATTCTTCTCTGATCTTCAGTTGGTCAGCGTCTGATCCTGAGAGTGGAATTGATCACTGTGAATGGGCAGTTGGTAAGTCCCTCAGTTCTCTTTCTAATGGTCAGCCTGAGGATCTGAACATCAGTTGGTCAGTTTTCTGAGCCTTAGTTGGTCAATCCAAGATTTGGGCACAGTAAATAGTCATGGATTTAGTTGGTGTATGTCAGCTTTTTGCCCTGCATCTGTCCCCAGTTGGTCAGCAATATTACTGACCCTCCGTCAGTCCACCCTTGGATAGCTAACATTTCATCCTGGTCATCTGACTCTTAGCCTTAGAATCCGATCAGCAGTTGGCATGACCTTCACTTGGTCAGCGTTTTGCTTAAAGAGTAGACAGTGAGTTTGGTATCTTTATTCTTTGACCCCCTGCATATTCAGTAAATTTTTAAATTTTTTTTTCCTCAAGGATCAGAGCCTGGATTTGATGACATCCTACCAAGCTCATCGTCTCCTGACGGCACTTCCACTGTCAACACCAGCCTGTCCCAGGCTATGGTTGAAGGTCAGCGACTGTACGTCACTGTCACATGCTACAATCACGCTGAGAAGTCGTCATGGAAATCATCAGATGGCGTTACCATAGAAACCGTGCCTCCTAGTTCCTCATCTGCTGTAGTCAACGTGAAGACACTGTCAGAGACTCGGCATGAAACACGCAACTCGTACCAGTCACAGAGAGACTCCCTCAAAGGATCATGGGATGGATTCATGGATCCATTCGGAATTCAGTCTTACGAGGTAAGTGCATTGTGCAAAATCTTCTCAAAATTTTAAATGTACAGCATTCCAGAGTTCGTCTGTGCAGGTATTTTAAGAGATTGTTTTGATCATGTGTAACATTATTTCCGCTTATTACGCGCTTATGTCATACATTTTGCTGCCTAAGTTGCCAAGAGAGAGAAGTAATCTGTACAAAATGTCTTGCTTAAGGACACAAGCAACTTGCTCATTTGCTCATTTGCTCAACTCAAATTGTGAATTTTTCTAAGCAAAACTGTGAGTGTGCGAGGGATGTTCATGGTGTGTTGGTGTCGTAGACATTGCAGTAATAATAAGGGAGGATGGAAACTGACTCCAATAGATAAGAAGCTGACATTTATAAACTCTTTACTTATGGATTGTTATGTTCCCCTCCCAGTGCCACCTTAGTGGACCCGATGCCTTCACCTCCTGGACACCTTGTGGATCCACATCAGAGACTCACCTGGATTGGTCAGGTCTTAGCCTGGTGGATGATGCAACCTATAGCCTGTCAGTCAGAGCCGTCAATCATGCTGGTTTGACCAGCCAGGCTATCACAAGCAACTTCACCGTGGAGTCTGCAGAGCCTATTTTAGGAGGTATATATCTCAGCAGTGTTGATTGTTTTCTTGCTTAATTTTCTAAATTTGAACAGAATATTCATCTGTTAAGTGTTTTAAGGGCTAAATAGTGATTCTAAATTAAAAAAACCCTTAAACTTTATACCCCTTGATTGCTACCCCTTCTAGTTGCAAACAAGGTCCAACTTGTGAGGTACCATTATTCCCATGTACCACATGCTCATCCCTTCATGGTTCACTCATCCACCCACCCAACTCACGTGAACACCACTTACCTTTTGATTTGTTGGTGTCTCTTACTAACTTGATTCATTCTTCTTGACATTTCTTGATTGATGTAACAGCCTCAAACCTGATCAGATATTTTTGGCGTGGTGAAGGGACGGTTGATCTTGCCTGGGATGGCTTGTTCTCCTCCCCTTCCTCCTCCTTGGTCTATGAGGTATCTCTGGGTACCATCCCAGGAGGTAGTGATACCATGCAGTGGGTGGAGACCATGGAGACTGATATGCGTGTCTCACCGCTGGCTCCCTACACCGACTACCACTTGACGTTGACAGCCATCAATGCGGCCGGCTTGTCACAGACAGTCAATAAGATCATTAGTGTGTAAAAGATTTACAAAGTCAAGATGGAAATGCTGCTTAATTTGTTTGTTTCATTACTGCTTTGAGACAAAATATGATTTTTGTTCCTTTCTTAATGGCATTTACTCATCAATTTATATACATGTTCACAGATTAGTTTGCATGGTTAGGAAGCATTTTTTTCATTTTGTCATTACATTGTGTAAATTGTATTAATTGTAAATTGTTCTCTGAGGCTAACGTTTTAAAGTTCATTTATAAATTCAATACTTTCTCACCATTGGTCTGAAAAAATAAGCATACACATGTATGTATACATCGTAACATACCCTTAGAATTGCAGAATGTTAAGCCGATTGCAAATTACACGAATCTCATTCCTTTTACTATTTTGTATAAATGTCCTCTATTTTTTCTCAGTTTTGTATCACAAACTATTATGTCAACCTTGACCATCTTAGATGATGTTACTTCTAACTGTGCGAAGAGTTGTTAAATGTTTAACTTTAGGGCAGCTGACAGAAATTGTGTCTCTTGAAATGTTCATGCATTCACGTAGTTTGAAGAACGGCTTGATTTATACAATATTTGTTCTTTTACATGCTGTGTAATGCTCATTAAGTTGTTCCAATTATTACCTTTTTATCAATGTCTGTTTTATAACATATTGCTGTACAATGAGAAACAGTTGAGAATTATAGGAACTTTTTCATATTTTATTTTAATCGTTTGTGGCTTGAAAATCTTGTCCACAACTTTGCTGTGTTCTGAATGAGTACTTTGGCTGAGAATCATTCAGAAGCAATAATCATGACATCACTTTTGGTCGGTAACCATTTTTCTTTCTTCAGAAAATTCTTAATGTTGTACTCCATTTGAAAGACATTCGTTCACTGATTCTTATTGTACTTTGTGTACAGGCTCATCATGTTTGAAATGTATGAGTGGACTTTACATGTTGATCAACTGTCATCCACAAATGCACATTTATATTGTAAGCCTTCTACTCTGCACTTTGGATTTCCTGGGTAAAATGATACACCATCCTACACCAGGATATCCAGTGAAGTGTGGACATGAAGATACCGATATTGTAAATGGAAGTTACCAGTTTGTAAAGTATAATGACCTAAAATTTGTCTGATTGACTGTGAGTTTCTGTACTTAATTCTAATTAATATAATCCAGCCCTCCAGGAATTCTCGTCAGCTTTGTAGACAATGGACAATTCCTCCATGTTTTTCATGAAACATTGATGGCAATCTGAAATAATATTTAAATATGTTTTTATAATGTTTACTTTACTGCACAAACTGGTGGGGGGGGTTTGGGTCTAAATATCCATGTTGTATCAAAAGTAACAATTACTATGACGATGAAATGAACTTTTTAGCTCCTAAAAAAGGAAATATTTTCTATCCTTTTATATAACCACATAGTTTTAATTTTGATATCAAAATGTAGGCCTTTATAACAATAATCGTTATCGTAAAGAATAATTCCATTTTTATTTCCATCATTTATTATATCATATAGTTAAATTTTCCTATATGCAGCTGCATGGAAATTCTTAGTTACATGTTGTTAGCCTGGATTCTTCTGGGTTTTTTAATGATAGCACAGCAAGTGAACAAGGTAAAGAATATGCCAACAAAATTTTTGTAGATTTTGGGAATGTTGCACGTCCACCAGGAAACAGATAGTATGGGCTTTATTAATGCCCCTTTGATTTAGGTTTTCAAAACAGAGTGTTCAAGGTCATCATTAATAAGTTTCCAAAATCACAGACCAACAAAACAAGTTAAGAATGAATTACAGCCGTGAAAAAAAAAGATGATTTTTCAGATATTTGAAAGTTTGGTATCTCCTCGTATTTATACCCAGATTTTGTTGGAAATGATTGAAGCGGCGAATGATTTTGTACTTAAATAATAAACTTTGTCTTTGCAAGCATACTTTGTAGATGTTCACGTTGTATTATTGCAGGTGATAGGACCATGGAGCTCCTTTTTTATAGCTCCATGATAGGACAAAGTACATGTACACATAAGTTAAAAAGGAAACCTTTCCCCTTCCATTTGGTGATTTATACAGCCTTGACAGGTATTTATCGTTGTGCCGCATCAGGTGACCTGATGAGCCCCGTTTGTGTTAATGAACGTTTAAATATTTCCCTTCCCAAAGGGAAACTATTGACCGCAATCCTAGGCTACCATGGCTACAAACGAAGGCCAGGTACAATATCCGGGTCAGTTTGCACTGTTATTATTTGACCGGCACTTCACGGGTTGAGCGCAAATTTGCGACAGGTGTGATGCGCAAATATTTGGTTGCAGTACTTGACATAAAAAGACGGTCAACTTCTACTTGTATGGGTTGCATTACATTACAGTCAATTACGCCAAGTTAACTTTGAAATCAGTCGATATTCCAGTGAGAAGTTGCAAGAACTTATAACTAGCCGAAAAAAAGAAACGCAACTTTATGGTAATTCAGGATTACACTGGAGACCGTGTTCTTTTTTTTTCAGCAACATCATACACCGGGCTTCTTTTTGGGAGTCACTGAAGCGTGCCAACAGGAACCAACTACATGTACTGAGGTTTAAGACAGTATTGTGTATCGCAAGCAAGATTATCTTGAAAACTATTATTCGAAGTTGCGTTTCTTCCTTGGCTAGTATATTTATCTTTCCATCTACTCTGCTGAAACAAAATGAGAGAAAATAGTCAATTGAACATGATCACACCTATCTGAAAAATTATCTCTTTGGTTGTAAACATGCAACGATGTAATGCGTATCTTGATCTCGCAAGAAAGTTTCCGGACCTCCGTGTAAACACGGAGGTAGTGTAAACTACCATTGTGAATGAACTTGTAGGCTCACTTTCCAGAGAACACAGTGTGAAGGAAACTGCAGTTATGTAACAGCTTACAATTGTGTCTATATGCTCAGTCAACAAAATCCGGGTCAAATAAGGCCGGACACTCATTCCTGAATATTTCTTCCCTTTGACATGGCAGCAAGGTGACTGAAACTGTGGACGGCCCTGATGCGATCCTAGCCCGGCTTTTATTTAATTGTCTGTGCTTCATGAAAACGTCATTGTTTACTGTCTTAATACTGCACAGACCGCGTGAGCTTTCTGATTATGCGGTAGAATAGGCCTACACATTATAATCCTTGAAAGTGGGATTACTGAAGTTAATAGTTGCATGCGCACAAGAGTCGTTATAGTCACGGTGGTATGTGGAATGTGAGACGAACGTCACCATTTTCCTGCAGATTTGCTGTTTGAGAGAGATGATACTACACTCGACTTCAATAGGCCTGTAAACTGGGGTGAAGTTCAGGCAGAAGATGAAAACGGATTCTCCCAGGGCCACATCGAACTAATAAGTCGCTCTGCCATTAAATGTATGATGCTGCTTTGAACGCCAAGACGACGATCAATTAACATCAAAGTAGCGGGCTGAACGATTTTAATTTACCAGAAAGAATCAGATCGAAAGGCGTCATGTTAAAGCTCGGCTGTCTCCTAATCGTCTTCAAGTTGCTCACTATTTCGCCACGTGCACGGTAAGTAGGATACCCGTTTTCCCGCTATTTTTTTTAAACGTCATGGTATAGGCTATTCTTATGATAATCATATTTAATTCCATACCCAACAGTTGAACTTTTGGAAGTGTTTCCAGTTTCTAAGAAATTCGGTTTTCATAGCACAATCGCCATCTATAATTAGTTTTGAATAAGCAGGGAAGTATGAATTGCTTATCATTGCTCTTAGGCCCATGCTCGTGGGTTCATTCATTGCATTCAAGGTGCCACTTAAACTTTTTAAATAGCGCCATCCTGCAACCAAACCGGATGTCTTCAATCCCAGTCCGAAGGGTGTGTCAATCAATTGACAGTGCCAGGGGGAATACACAGTGGCCAGCAGTTTATGACCAGTTATATAATATATGGGGCAAAGTAAATAAGAGCAGGAAGGTCCTTGAAATGAGAGTTCATGCATGTGCTGAGCGAAAAGTATAGGCCTATTCGAAACCGGGAGCCCTATAGAAAAAAAAAACAAGTTTGGATTACTGAGAGCCTATAGCTCCATGCTTAGAGAAAAGGTACATCCCCATGCAATTCTCAAAGTGAAAGTACATTTTAGAAGAGAGACTGATTTTTTTCCTCCATTTTGTTTGGCATGAGTACCGTAAGTGTTGTCATTTGTTTCTACTTTATGTGCAGGCAAGGGACATATGTTTTCTAAATGGAAACCATTATGCAGCTTTGTTTTTTAAACAGGGCCACAGTTTGTTCGTACAACTGCCCACAGCGCTACACCACAACGTGTGGATTTTTGGGCTTGTCTCGCTGCACCAGATACAGGTAATTCCTTTTACACCATGTTAATTCCTTCCTCCATGGTTTACCACACATCATTATAGTAGCAGTAACAATAACTAGAAAGCACTCAGAGCGCAAACCTCCGCCAAGGCTAAACAATTCCCCGCCATGTTGTCAGTTCACGCAAAAGAAATAGGCCTACTTATAAATGGTGAAGAATCCTAAAAAAAAAAATACAAAAAAAAAATACGGGATCCAGACCCGTACCCAGATCGACCCATATCACTTCCAAAATCGAATCGATTTGTACTTGTTCCAAGGACCAACCCTAACAAATTGTACATGAAAACCGTCAATAACTTTTGGAGTTATCTTGTTAACAGACAAACCAACCAACCCACCAACCAACAAACTAACAAACACCGATGAAAACATAACCTGTCCTTGGCGGAGCATATGCAGGTTCTTATATAGGGCAATAAGATCAAAGCGCTTTACATAATATAGTACGGCCTCACGTACAATGACAGATGTTTAAAACAAATGTAATTGAAATATTGAAATTAATCACCTTTCCTGATTGGTCGATTGCGCGTGACACCTTTAGAAGAAAGAAGAAACTACGCGCCGCGCACCTTTTTTTTTTTTTTTTTTTTAATCCTGAATGGACTAATGGACATTGACTATACCAAATGGAGATCAATGCAAATACATCAGAGGTATGCGTTCGAAATGTCCCTTCCTTACCGTTGAGGGGGTACTTGTACATGGAACTCGCGCGCTGTATAAAGCTGTTTATGCATGAAATGGTAAACAAGTTGAGGAATGTGACTTTGATGTACAGACGGTTTTAACTTTTTGGTGTGGAAAAGACACACCAACCAGCTAGTACTAATACAGGAAACGTATTTATGAATTTTAATGGGCATTCACAGTGTCAGTAACCATGCAAGCTAGATCCGGCGGTAAGTTTATAATACAGGCCACATGTTTCTTGAGATGAAATGTTGAAGTTGAGCTTAATAAGTTATAATTTACGCAGTGGCTATTGTTACGGCAGCCGTAACGCATTTCCCATTTTCTATCGTTACGGTAGTACTGCAACTTTTATAAAAACATGAGAAGAAAATATAAATAAGAAGGAAAAAAGTGAATTTGAACGTTATAAAATTCGGACTTTATTTCCCTTTTAAAAAAAACCCTCCAAAGCCTAAGGTTAGAAAAGGAAAAAAAATTGAGTGCAAAACTGAGATGCGAACCCGCAACCTCGCGGTGCAAAATCCTACCCGCTATCGACTGAGCTGTCGCACTGTTCACCGAAACACGGGAAAACAAATAATTATATACCTGCGTGCGTATCAAAAAAGAATCGTTGAGGGCGCTAAACAACGAATGCCGTAACGATAGCCACTTCGTATAATTTATAGTTATATTGGTCAGTTGGTATACCTTACTTTATGGCATATGCACAGTCCCAAATCATGTGGCCAATTTTAAATGCTTACGGGGAAAGATTCTCATATCTGGCCATCACTAATTTTTCCCATCAGTGACCTAGGCCTGTCACTGTGATGTCAGCTAGTATCAGAAAGTGGTAATCCTTACTTTTAGGACACCTCTATTTTGTACGAGTTCTGTTCAAAACTGACTTTTGCAGATGACTGTCCAGTACCAAAGTGACTTTTGCAGGCTAAAGAAGTCTTTTTTCTTCAGACAAACTCATGTTAGTTATAATTTTGAAAGCACTTTCAAAGAAAATGTGACTTTCCTACCTTTTTTTGCAGTTCGCCATCTTGCTTTTTAAATTTATTTTCTGTTTGTCATCGTCGTCTTTAACCCCTCATAAATCAAAACCCTGCCCTCTTTCTACAAAATTAAACCTGCTGATATTCAAGAGGTGTCATTGCCAAATGTTCAAATGTGTCAATAAATATCAGAATGTCACTTTTGAGTGTCATAGTCAGCTGTTTTGGTGAGTCTTTTAACCTTATATAGGAAAGGGGTCCTAAAAGTAAGGATTACCCAGAAAGTGATCAGGCATATATCCAAAAAAGTAAAATTTAGCAGGGAAAATATTGAAGTATTAGGCCTATTTACTCACTGAGATGGAGAAAACATTTTTAAAAAATTCAGACCAGTCTCATACGGTTTGTGCATAGGGTGACAAGTGATGGCCAGATATGGAAATCTGTCCATTTACGGATGCAGTCTGGTAAATTGGCCACATTTATAGTCTGGTTTCCAGACCAAGAGATGCTGACTAAGCCTATTCCTGATGAATCTTTAGGTCAGGTAGCCGTCAGTACTACTGACGTGACAACAACGGGAGGAATTCTCCTTTTTCCGAAAATGTCCAAAGTTTGCTGAATTCATTTCATCGACAATTGGATAGCGCCCGAGTATTTCCCAAATTACTATAGGTTTATTAACTGCTAATTAATTGCTAATTAAAAACTTTAAAAAATGAGTTGATAATTAATATTCATTGACATTGCTTTCATTTAGAAAACTTGAAATTCAGCAACGATTTTGTGCATCAAGTATACTCGGAATATGTATATGAGGGGCAAACTTTTGGCGATCGTGTTTCTACGGGCCCGGTTCCTATAAGGAAATAAAATCCACTGTTTAAACTATTTAACCTACCAAACTAGTTGGTGACATTAAGAAGATTTTCCAAAACTGGACGTGGTCTCTAACAACAGTGCTATTTTTATTTGGTTGCCTAACTTTGAAGATTCCAGGTCAACATTAGTCAATGTTTTCTTACAGAAATATCAAACTGAATATCATAACTGTATGATTATTATATAGCAAGTGATATTTAATAATTTGATTGGAACATTAAAAGCTACCTAAGTGATAATGCGAATTCGGAAAACGAAGCCGAGCTTTGAAAAAGGGCGTCAATGTTGTCATGTTTATTTTTAGCCACGGAGGCTGCCTGACCTTAATTTAGACGTGAGCGTCAGGAACAATTATCAGGTCTGGGAACCAGACTACATTTAATATGGGGCTAGGGCTTGCTCAGTAACTTGCTTCTGATACTGACAATACTTAGGCCACGCCCCTTGTCTATTCAATTTATTGAAGAGAGATTTCATTATATGTGGAGCGCTGGAACTACGGTACCCTCGGTAAGCGCTGCACCGAATAGGCATACTTTGATGACTGGTACATGATATGCATTTTGTGCATACCCTCGCGAAGACAAAAGGCCCCCCACCCAAAAAAAAACAAGGAGTAAAGAGAATACAAATGGGAAAGACAGTATTGTCAGTAACCCTGGATACATTCATGACATCCCATAAGACCCCTTAAATTGTTTCCAACATGCAGTAATTTTGAAGGGAAAAAAAGTCTGATAAACAACTATCCATTGAAATAAGACTAATAATGAATATTATATAAACTAAATATTCAAGAGAAATTCAATATTCATAGTGACGTATTGCACTATCATTGGCCGGCTTGTGTGTTGTCGATGTCATGTGTAACGTGCTGTTAGACTTCCAGACACTTCAAACACTATGGCCGGGTGCCATAGTGACGAACACGTTTGGAATACGTAATAGCTGAAATCTCAGCTGATCAATAAATTAATTTAAATGAAGTCTTCCCGTTGCAACCTTGCAATTTTATCTATCTTCTATCTTTCTCAGAGACCGAAATTGCTACCAGTGTTGTAGTGGATGGACTGGAAGCACTGATTCCGGTTGCAGCCAAGGTACAAAGATTGATTTATGTTTAACAGTAATTAATACTGTAGATCTGAGGCATAATTTCAGCAGGCTTTTTGCTTACGCATATTAAAGGTAATTTACAACCTTTGCTTTTGCTGTTATTTTCAGAAATGGATGGATTTGGGGGTTAGTATTTTATAGCAAATATTGTTACACTGACCTGTTTAAAGTTTTGTGTCAATACCATAAGGGGATGCTGGAAAAACCAAGAACAAATGCTGTTCTTCCCTGACCCTACTTCAGACAAAATGGAGCAGTTATAGCAATTTATAGGTCAGGGAACTTGACTAGCTAGGCTGCACCCTTTCATGGCTGTGTAACCAATTGCAAACAAAATGTGGACTAACTAAATTTGGTAAATTGGGGGCAGTATTTGAAACAAGTCAGTTTTTTCCGACCATCATTGGAATTAATTTAAAAATTCCTCTTTTCTTGAAAATGACAGCACACTAGGCGACACGATTTCACAGGATGCTTGAGACAATTATTCACCTAAAGTCATATAAATAAGGTATTTCGTAATAATTGGTGTTTTTTTTTAGTTTTCAAGTGTTGTATATTTTAAACCAAATGAGATTTTCTTTTTTGGGGTCTTTGTAGCCATTTGTTTTGGTGTCACTACATGTCCCAATGGAGGATCTTGTACAAATCCAGACTCTTGCACCAATTGCAACCGAGGCTATTACTCTCCAAGATGTGATGGTAAGTCTTGAGAATATGGACTCCCATTTCTTATAACTGGATTTGTTATCTTGGGAAGTTGTTGACATTAGGGTTTTTCGTGGGGTCCACCACATGCCCATCCCTTGTCCAGTCACAAATAAACCACAAGTTCATTCACAAGTAACAATTGTTGTACAAAAACAAAGGAATGCCTTTGTCAAAGCTCATATGAATAGCTAGTGAGTTGAATTGGGACTTTTGAGGATTTGTAGACACACGTAATTGACTTGACTACAAGTAACAACGCTGTTGGAGTTGGACACAACTGGACAAATCAAAGCTGATGACCCTGTTGACCTTGATCTCAGGGGAGGGACTTTTTCCCAAAACAAAATCTGTTGCAGAAATTTCTGACTAATTAAACAAATCATTGAGGAGGGTAGTGGGTTATAGTGGGAAGCGGGGGACAACATAGATTTATGTCCAAATGCAAATATAAATCCTGGTATGTAGGCTGTAAGTCAACTACATTTTTGGTAACTTTTCTTTGAAGGGTCAAAAACTTATTAAATTTTAGAAGTGTCTTTTCAATCTGGATGATTTGTACAATTTCTTTTTGACAGCGTGTTCACCCATTGCCAACTGTCTTGAAGTGTTCTGCAGCTCATCTTCAGATCAGAAATGTGATCGGTGTGATGGTGAATTCGGCCCTACTAGTGGAAATGCCTTTCAGAAATCTGGTGACCAGAGACAATGCATCAGTAAGTTTTTGTCCTCCAATAATAATCCCCCAAAATACTAGTCAACGTATAATGCCCGCAACAAACTTGTGAACTAAGATTTGGTGTCCAAATCATTGCAGTAAGGATTCCAATGTTCTAGGTTTTTCCGAAAGAACATAGTTTGCTCTTTATTTTGAGTTATAAATTTTGCAAGTCTGGCACCGATCGCATAATTTGGTTGGGTTGGGTCACATACGCTTCTTTTCTTTGCCTCTCAATGCAAACATCAGTGAAATCTGGTACTAAGATTTGAGTGCCAAGAGTAATTTATTGAAGGCCATCATGTGGTTAAAGTTTACTAATACGTGCCAGATACACCTTCCCTGTTATCAGACCTATGCAGTTATTTATTCAGTTTTTCCTCCCAAAATGGAATCCCTAAACCCTAACCCCCTAAAGGCTCATCGGGGGGGGGGGGGGGGGGGGGGGGGGGGGTCATAAGGACCAAATACCACAGAATACTACATGTGTTTTGCACACTTGTATGGAAAGAAATGCATACTACAGGTAACTACTCACTTAGGGGCGGTTAGGGTTAAGCCATGCCCCATGATGTTGGACCAATCACAGTGGTGATCAAAATGTCTGACCTGCGTGAATGCATGTATGACGTGTGTAACTGACAAAAATCACTGCCTGCAGATTGCCTCACTGCTCTCCCTTACTGTTCTATACAGCACTCACAAGATTTTATTTTTTGGGTAATCCAAAGATAAGCTAAACAAGACCTGATGGTTATTCAAGTTCACTTTTCATCCTTGGACGCATCCCCCTCCGATCCTACCCAGCCTGACTGTTTTAATGGCAATTCCAGATGTCTTTACTATAAAACCACATCCAGGAATTAGCCAGCTGTTGCCTTGGCCTGTGTAGTTTTCCGTTTCCTGCTTATGTTTTATTATATTTCCATGTCATTTTACCTTGCAGAAAAAAACCCACTGAATTGAATTGACCAGGAAAGGTTACTGCTTTTCAAAGACGTCCTGGGTCATCACACTTCTACAGAATTTCCTGGGTGATTGTAGATTCTGTGGAGGACGCTGTTTGATTCTGTTTATAAATATCTGATATATCTGTAGGGTGATGCTAAAGAAATGGTTGTTAAAACCTGGGCTAGAGTGGGATTATGAACCATAACTCTATCTGTTCCTCACCCCATGTCCTTTTTTCTCCATATTTTAGAGCAATGTTCATGGCGGAGTGACAGCACTGCATGCTACCCAGGATCCTGCTCAAATTTCCTGTGTGCTTGCAGCCCAGGATTCTCAGGAACTGACTGCAGAACAAGTGAGCGGAATCGTTAGACAACAAAAACAAAATTGAATGTGCAGCAAGATGATGCCCTCTACACCAAGACAAAACTTTTCCCCATAGTTTTTTAATTTCACACTCCCATGCCTAACTCTAGAGATGAACCATAACAGTTAGTCCTTATCGACCTGTGTTTCAACATTTTGATGTGTATTTGTAAGTCCCATCTTCATTGGGAAATAGTAATCAAAGGATCTAGACAATAGAATTTTCAGTGTCTATAAAAATCATTTTCTAAAACATTGAAATAAAATGTAAGTTTTAATAGTTATGCATAGCTGCCAACTGTTACGAATTTTTCGTAATTATTACGAATTGTTTGTTAAATTACGAAAATACGATATGCCACTAAAACATTACGAATTTCCCATTTTCTACCTAACGGAAAAAAAAATACTTGTATAGTATCGTTTTTGACCGAAAACTTCTGGCGAAATGTCGCGATAATGGATGGACTGGTGACAAGTCTAATAAGAATGCAGTCAAGCACCTGATAGACATCAATGCAGTGTGCGCAGTGGAGTACTTGAGGACCAGACTAAATCTATTTTTCAATGGTGTGTCATTTGTGTGCTGCATCTCGTGGATGTGTGGTTGTGTGTACTGTATGCGAGTTGTGAGTACTTTTCAGTGACGATCGTGAGCACATTTGGTCGCTTTTTGCTGGGATGAGTCTATCAGTGCGAGATTTTAATCATGGAATTTAATAAGATTATGGTTGGAATAATTGGTAATAGAGTTTGAGTTTGTCACAACGTCCAGAAAAGATAAATCAGCATGCGTTTGCAAGGTATGTTGATGGGATATTTCTATTGCATACGGTGGCCCTAAATCAACGTGTGTAAAAACGTTGATACGAACTCGAAACTCCACATCGATAGCATGCATCTCAAAAAAAATATGCGCACATGTTATTATTGTTATTATTTATTTGACTTCAACAAACAAATACAGACATTGAAACAAAATTAATTTTTTTTAATTATTTTTTTAAATTATCTTTTTGCCTACAGTACATTATTATTCACAACAAGAAGGGTATGCACATGTATGTGTACATGTAAACCATGTATCTGTACTCGATGTTGATAAAGCTTTTGATAAAACGAGCAGTTGAAAATGACCGCGCGGGTTGATTACTAATTGGGATTTTGAAAAGTTGGCAGCTATGGTTATGTAATGGAAACTCGTTTGACACCTGTCTTTGTCAAAAGTTCCCAACTTGGACAAAAACTTGATTGCTTTACATTAAATGGATTGCATTTTCCTGTGTAGTGAGTGAAGTACCAGTGATATCAGAGCATCGTGTCACCCTGATTGAGGGGACGACAACTGTGGAATCCCCCACGGTCCAGGGAAGTACGGCCACTGTTTATACCAACCTAAGAAACCCTCGCAACCTCAGAATCAATTGGATTAGCTCTTACCGGCCATCTACCACGCTCCCAAACCCTTCAGCAGGTGGACATCCTTACATTGAAAGTGTGGGCATTGGTCTCATCAGTGCACAGGTCTCTGCTTATGCCAGACGTGAGTTTACCCTTTACTTTGCCATTACCGATTACTGTGTACATTTTGTAGTGGTTCATTCCACAATTCAAGTGGAAAGAAGAAGATTTTCAGTTCAATTTGACCGCAGTAAGATCTCAACAACATCATTATAACTGTTGGACATTATTTCAACATCACAATGGGATTTGATTATATTTTTCTCTTTGCGTGCACTAGGTGTCGGCACTGGGACAAATGTTTATGAATCGGGTTCACAGGAGTGCACAACATCAACAACTGGAAATTCTTTCAATGCAGACAGTCCTGCTACAGATCTGGTATCCTGTGAATTCACATTCAATGTCAATGCCTACACACCACAAACAGGAGATGTGTAAGTCTGAGACCATTTCATCCACAAGTTCGAAATCTAGCTATTTGTATGGTGGGAGGATTGGTTGTTAACAAAGAAATGCTCATTGTCTTGACAGAGCTGTGAAGCTGTGAACAGATGGTTTGTTAGCACAGAATGTATATATCCCCTTATCGGTGACAAAGACAAAGTTTGATGGAACCTGAAATGCAATCAAATTAATCATGCACACTGTGCATCAGATACGTCTGAACCAGGACAGGCACGAATGGTGACTAGAGTTGCACCTTCTTTTGTTAACGTACAAATGGCCATATGTTGTATTGGGTGCAGTGGCAGATCATATCGTCACCGACACCACAAACTGAACACTCAGTTACACGTGAGTGTCCAGCACGCGCGCGTACTTTACAGAACCACGTTATTTTCGTTTTTCACGACTGTACCGACCTTAATTTCACCAGTGAAATTGTTCGTAATTAAACTTTTGTGTAAGCCCACAAGAATATGGATGGATTAAATTCGTGTCATACCTTTCAAAGCATGTTTCTCCGAATGGTATTTTCGCAACATGCTTGTGCTTCAGTTCTTGCAAAACCAAAATCATTATACTTCAGTGTACGAAGTGCGTGCCCGCAACTAGGTGTCAGTTCGTGAAACGGAAATTATTGATTACGTGTTTTTCACAAACTGACTCCAAACAGAGGGTGCGTGTCAGATCGTGAAAACCTTGACGATATGTACCCTAAGACTTCTCCTCTGGAATGGCTGAATTAGAATTCACTGTCTTGCATCTTGTGTGTTGTATTGCAGACTGAGGTCTGATGTGGAGTCTTTCAACGGTGGAGTCTTGAAACTCTACAACCGAGACTTCTATAATCTGGTTGTCCCACGATACTACACTGGCAGGTCAACCTCCAACCATGCAACCATCACCTTTGACTTTGATGAGCCTTATCACTGTGTGAATGCTGGATGTAGAAACTCAATGCTACATGCAGGCAATGATGTGACTACACAGGTCAGTCCATGCAGTCTTTGGTAACTGTGCCCAATTTAGAGATGTCGAAGGAAAAATGTTTTGTCCTTTACTGTCTGAGGAACAAAAGCTTGTATTAAAAATACAAGCTTACAAGTTGTATCCAAAATACAACTTGTATAAAAATAACAATCTTGAGCTATTTTAAGTTTTCATTGTCTTCTTAGATAATTTGTCCCCAATATTTTTTTTTCAAAAGCTTTCATACAGTATTGAGCATGGTTAGAAAATTATTTCTGCAACTGGTCTAGAGCCCTGAATCAAACTTTCGTGATGATTCCGTAAATTTGGCAATTTGTCTCCAGGCAAGGATTACCATCACATGGCAAAGCTGGGATGACAGTCTCTCTGGCATCAAAGAATACGATCTGCAAGTGCGACAGCTGTCAGGTAGCCATGGCAATGAGATGACAGAAATCTTTGACAGTCCAGCTGTTTATAGTGGAGTGACCAGCTCTGGTCACGCTGTCACTTTGCCCCATGTTGGTAGGTTTGCTTTGCCTCTGTACCTGATTTATGATTTGTTTTGTGCAATACTATCTTTATTCACCCTCTGAACTCGGTGTAGAATGTTGAATGATTTGAGAAAGTTTTGGCACACACTTTAATTAAATGTAGCCTTGTTAAATTATTTTTTAGAATGACTAGGATGATCTCTGTGAGTCACAAGTCTCAAAATGTATGGCTGTAGGTTCTGAGTTCTCACAGATAAAGAGTATGAACTGTTCCTAGAATTACTTGTCATTTAGAGATTGATTAAAATTTTGCAAGACAAGAATTACTCAATATCAAATTTAGATAAAAACAAAGCTAGTAGAGGACAATCGTTGATTGGAAAGGTGCATAAAACCAAAAGAACAGTTATTGGAATGCCTTATTAGGATGTGCTTTGAGGAGGGTATTTTAAAAATTATGTTGAATCTTAAATTTCTTGTAAATTCCCTGTTATTCTTTTCCATCTCCTGCAGGTGTGTACTCCATTATTCTCTCTGTCATTGACAATGCTGGCAACGCCAAACTCAGCAGACGTTTTGTGTTCTTTGACGACGATCCAAACGACGTCACTATTCAGAATGATAACCCTATGAGGATCCTGTCAGCATCTTCAAGAAGCAACTATGTCTGGCAGACCAATCTAAACTCGGGAGGGACGACATCCGTGGAGATACAGTGGACAAACAGATTTATCAATTTGTATTATGTCAACCAAGGATTGTTAAAACCCATCGGGTCTTACATCGGCGGTAACATTGAGAGCAGTAAGTGTGTTGTTCAGGCAGAATTAATAGTTTAAAAATCAAATACATCTTGCTGCCAATATCGGAACTCTGTGTAATTAAACAATATCTTATTGCATGCATGATGACTTTTTTCCCTAGATTATGACCAGAACTTTGGGCAGCGTGGCCGTGCAGCCATCTCTAATACCCAAGGCATAACAGAATTCCGGGTCTTACACGACATCGACCACAGCGGTGGCAGGACTACCATCACAGTTAGCAATGACAACTCAAACAACTGGAGTAATGAAGGCACAAACACACAAGAGACCTATGACCTGACCCTAGTGGACGGTGATTCCATTCGGTTCTGGGTGGAGGCTAGGGACCTAACTGGGCACTTTGTGAGGGACAGTGTGTTGGTTCATGCTGATTCCTCCCCGCCTGTGATTGAAGACTTCTGGCTAGTACGGGACGGGGAGGTGAATCTAGCTGTTCATAGTTCAGCCGATCTGCATGAGATGAGGTGAGAATTCTTCTCTGTAATAATCAGTAGTGGTGTGCTGCAAACGTCGGTTTGATGACATTAGTTAAAACAGGGTGGACCACGTGAAGGTTGTGATTCATCATATGAGTTCTGGTTGATCTTTCACATTTTTCATTTAATCAACCTTTGCTTTCTCATTGTACAAGTTGTCTTTGAAAGACGGTGATCTTCTTCAACCTTGTTCGTCCTTTTTGAGATCGCAAATTAAAAAGAATTTGGAAATCACAATTTAAAATATAGTGAATGAGGATTACAGTGTTCAACTTGTGTGCCGTGGTACATAAGTTCATAGCCTTATTCAGTCAAATATTTTTCCACAAATCTCTTTCAAATCATAGATCTTAATTGAAATACAAAGTAACTAATGTAAAGTTGAAAATTCATTTGAATATTTAATCAAGTTTAAAAGTACCATGTTATTAGTCTGCTTGCAACTGTGTTCTTGATAAATCTAAGGTTATTTTTTATTATTCAACATTGTCTTTCTGTCACAGTGTTGAGTTCAGGACCTTTGACATTCACAGCGGTGTAAGGACCATTCATTGGCGACTCTGGGATCCTGTGACGGAGACAGAATATGGCAGCCAGACCATTCCAGCCAGGCAAATCAATCCAGTGAGGCAACCATTGTCATAATATGCAACCTTGAGCGCTCTAATCTCCTGCTTAAAAGTCTTCTGTAACCCTTGCAAAATAAAGTGTCTTAAAGATTGGAGACTCATTTTTTGAGCATCCAATAAATATCACATAAAGGTTGTGGCTTATTGTTATCCAGCTGATATAATATTATTGGTTTGGCATATATGTAAAGGGTATAGGACAATTATGTTGTTCCCTATTATTTACTTATAACCCTCTTGATGTTTTTGTCCATGACATGCCCTTGTGTCACACTTGCCAGCTTTGATAAGCACAGCCTGTTTTATATTTTTGTTTTGACAGGACACTGAAGACTGCGATCCAGTCAGCTGTATGTGTGTCCCAGTCGGTGATTGTTACGCTGTTGACTACGGGTTTAATCCAACTTTCCACATCGGCGCCCATGACACTGATTACTTCATCACATTAACGGTTACCAACCATGCAAGACTTATTACTACCAAAACAATCAGGGTATGTGTGCAGCATGGTTCAATTCCGCAAGCAATTTTTAAAAGAAAAACTTAGTCGAAAACCAAAATTAGAAATTATTACTGAGGTGGCACAGAATCACCTGCAGTATGCCTGTACTTTGGGTTTTTTAATTACATGCATTTTTTCAAATGAAGAAGTGTGTAATTTGTGCGCAAGTGTGCTGACTGCCAGAATTTGAATCTTTATCATCTACAACCTCTACATCCAACCACAGATAACCGTAGATACGTCAGGCCCTCAAGTAGGTGTGGTGAATGATGGGATACGCGGGTCTAATGAGGTAGACTTTCAGGAGGGCAATGACCTCTCAGCTCATTGGGAGGGGTTCTTTGACAAGGAGAGCGGGGTCAAATTCTACCAGTATCTCTTTGATGATTCCTGCTGGATGGATGAGACGTCAATCGGAAGGGTAAAAGATGAGGTGAGTTGCAAGTGGATCTCGCTTTTGTTTTCCTTTTTTCTTTTTGATAAAGCCATTTACCGTAAATCATTGGTTTTCTTGTGAAGCTTCAAGAAAATGTGGAAATCAAACCAAATTTCAGAAGTGAATACTTGGCACTAGGGACAGATCTCCTAATGGACAGTAGACCCTAATCCCCACCATTTTTTACATCGTCCATTCTTTAGATGACAAGAACCACTTCTACGCATGCGAGTTGGACAGCCCCCTCGCCTGGCCAGTACTATGTCACCGTCATTGCTTACAACCGAGCTCTGGAACCCTCAGAGGCTGTCTGTTCCGACGGTGTCGTGATCGATACCAGCCCACCAGAGTTGACCCAGATTGCTATCAGCTATGCTCGGATGTGGCCTGGTCTGGCCAAGGATGCTGAGGGTCGGGTGTGGTTCATCAACGAGCATCGCAGGAAGATGGAACTGATGGATGCATCCAGTGACTGCAGGTAGGGACATTACTGAGACTCAGATGTCGAGCCGAGCATTCCGATAAAACGGATGCTGCATATGGACCCCCTGCAGGAACAGAAGATGCTGCTTAGCTTCATGGAGTACTGAAGTGAATACGTCACGTGCACAAAATGTGCGTGAAAGACATTGGCGCGTGATTTAGCCCGTGAACCAACACGCGTGCATACTCCACTCATTTGCACTACACTTTCTGGTTCTAAATGACGCCACACTTCGGTACTCCATTGTGTGAAACATGCTGCATAGTGTGCATTGCTTCACACATATTGGTATTTCCCACAGTATGCACAACTTATTTCATTCACAATGTTAATGAACAACTGACAAACACGTAGTGGCAATGGTGTTCACATGCCTCTGTGCACCCAATTACTGTCGGATCTTTGGGCTTAAATTACCAATGGAACTTTGTATACTTACGTGCGCTATTTACTTCTCTTGCCCTCAGTGCTAAGGCTGGTCTGGTAGATGATTTGTCTGTTTATCCTGAGATGTCTGACATCAACGAAACCTCAGCAATCCTCCAAGGAGACCTAGACTGCCTCTGGATCTCAGCCGTCCAGCAGAAGTTCTACCTTCCTACCGACAAACACGTACGTTTTACAGATATGCTTGATTGAGCTTAACACATAGTCAAAATTGACTTGGTTTAGTGGGCTGGACTATAGTTGGATTGGGATATTCTGGTATGGTTCAACTGGGTTGGTACAAGGATTGAAGCTAGACTAGGTTAAGGTAGTTAGGCTTGGGTCAGCTGGGATGTTTTAAGTCAACCTGCAAACCTTAAGATACCTGACTGGTTGTATTTTGTGTCTGACAGTTGACTATCTCCTGGACCGCAGAGGATACAGAGAGTTCAATCTACGATTACGAGGTCGGATACAGCTCAAGCCTCGTCATCGACTTCTTCACCTCCGTGTCGACATCGGGTCATGATCACTTCATGTTGCACCATCCTCACTTCAGCCATGGATCCGTGTTACATGTGACTGTGTTGGCCATCAACAAAGCTCAGATATCTACGTCCAAGGTGTGTAAAATAATATACATACATCATAATTGCCAAGAAACAATTGATGAGATTTCCATTCACATCCCATGATTGAGACATCCTGGTCAGTTTTATTCCATGTGAGACTCGGGAACTTATCTCATTCTTTTAAATTGACCTGGTGTGTAGAACTGGGATTGTGCTGTGAATTTATGACATAATTTTGGATGTTGTCTTTATTTAAGACGGTGCCTTTTTGTAATAGGAATGAAGACTTAGCGTTGACTCTTACACATGTTTGATGGATCTGATCCTTGACATTAATGGAATTGACCTGATAATTGCGGGAAGACTGATGCCGCCAATGCCACAGATGACATTGAACTACGATGTGACTCTCGGTATTGGTTAAATGTTCTCCATAATATTAAGTTATCACCTTGCTGATGATGCCACCCCTTTGAATGTTTTACCTTGCAACATTTGGGAACTTTTAATCTTTGGAAACATTTGATATCTCTGCAGGTAATTGGTCCAATTATAGTAGATACCACCCCACCCATGTTTGTTGGGCGTGTCTCTGTCCATGTGGAGGATGAGTACTTGATTGCTGAATGGGGAGATAGTGGCTTCATTGATGATGAGGATACCAGCCTGAGATACCAAGTTGCCATCGGTGAGTCAAATGTAGATAGTGTTGGTTATTGGTCCAAAGTGCCCTGCCCATGTTAGTTGGGCGTGTCTCTGTCCATGTGGAGGATGAGTACTTGATTGCTGAATGGGGAGATAGTGGTTTCATTGATGATGAGGATACCAGCCTGAGATACCAAGTTGCCATCGGTGTGTCAACAAAATGAACTGTTGACATGTTAGTTTGTTTATGTTTGCAAGTTTCACTTATATTACCTGCCTAATAATTCAAGAAATATTGATACTGTCTCTGCCAAAGCATTGTTTTCACTGTTGACTTGTAGTAAAATAACTATTCATGCAGCGTTTTTGCAATGATGCTCTTTCTAACTTCACAATAATAAGAGTTCTCCTCAAGATTTGGTCAAAATTTTCCTGCCTTATTCCAGGGAGCACCCCAGGCGGCACAGAAACTCTCCCTTTCCAGGAAGAGAAGGACTACAAAATTGGTCCTTGTTCATCCCAAACCTCCTGTGCTGCATTCTCATTGGCTGACCTAGACTGGCATCTCCATGGTGATCATGAATATTACGTGTCAATCAGAGCACAGAATGGCGCTGGGTTAGCTACGGTGGGGACGTCATCGGTTTATAGACACATCGTGCAGTTACCATCTCTGGGTGTTGTATTGGATGTCGCACCCCCTGGGGAAGAGGTGGACGTGGACTTTGGGGTAATGTATCCTGAAATCAATCCTACTGCATCTTTTCTATAACTTATTGTTGATTCCCATACATTTCTTAGAAGCTAAGAAATGTGTCACAAGTCTGTAACAGGTCAAGTCACATGTAAAGAGAAACAATGAGGATGGTATTATTGTCTCCTGTCTTTTTAGTCAAAGGGATTATAGTTGCTAACTTTCCACCATAACAGGTAGCCAAGGATATTGATGTACAGATGAACACCACAAGCATCTCAGCTCGTTGGTTTGGTTTTGAGCATCCTCATCTTGATATCAACTATGAGATTGCCGTCGGATCAGAAGGAGGTCCTACTGATGTCAGTGATGGTTTCATCAATGTCGGCAATGTAACCTTCTATCGACTGCATGGACTGGATCTCATGCCACTCATGGTAAATAGCAGCACGTTTGAAACTTGTAGTGTACATGCTTGTATGCTTCTTGGAAACACAGCACACACCAATTGACTGATGATTGTACTCTCTGGATGCACTCCAAACAGGTTCCCTTTTAGAGCAGACCATTCTGAGATTGTATGCATGTATGCACTCACTTGAGACACAAGCCTTTCCACAAGGCAAAGAGGAGAGCGTGCATTCTTGAAGAAACTTGCCCATATTTCCACGTTGGCAGAAGACATCATCACTGTACTCTAAAATGTCTTTTGAATGGGGGCAAACTTTCTTGACATATTTTACTCAATTTCTGAAGACAATTTTGGGTGATTTCTTCCTCTTAAAGAATTGTCAACCCTTCTGAAGTTTCTCTTATATGACATTGGGATGTCACCTTTTTAAATTGTCTTCGTAGGTCCACAAGCCCCCTTCCCCATGCGCAAAGACCCTCCCCTCCAAATAAGATAGGTCTTCCTTGGTCTTTTCTCAAGATAATTTAATTCAATTCTTTTTTGCATAATGCTTTCTCAACAGACATATTTTGTGACTGTCCGAGCCAACTCAGAAGCTGGTAGTGTCACTGTCACCTCAGATGGTGTCAAAGTCATTCAGGAGGGTCAGGCACTGGAGGGAGCTGTGATCAGAGATGGACTGGGATGCAGTCAAGATGCTAGTAAGACCTTTACTTTGTTTTATTTCTTATCTACTTCATTCTTCATTCATTCTAAAATGAAAATGTTTTTTGTTATCTAACAATTAGTCGATATTTAAGCTTGAATGTTGGTCCCTGTAGAACCGTCTATCTCCTCTGTACCCTCTTTTCAGTTTCTGGCATCCTTCTTGCAGTGTCCTTACCATCAGGATCTCTCATCACTCAGAAATCTCAGCTCAGACCATCCCTCTAGATCCCTCCCTACTCTCTCTTCATTCACAGTTTCTTGCCTCCTTCTTACAGTGTCCGTATCATCAGGATTATCTCATCACTCATCTGTTGCTGATCAACCCTGCCAGGATGACATCACCTACCAATCCTCTACCTCAGACATCTCAGCTCGTTGGACTATCCCTGAGATGCTGCAGCCTTTTGTTACGAGCGTTCTCTGGGCAGTTGAACAGGAGATCGAAGTCAATTTGGGTAAACTCATAAAACTTGTCTCATGCTACATTTTAGTTCATGTGTCATAAGTCTGGGGTTTTGACATCTTTAAAATCCCACACTGTCAAAAGTGTCTTTTTACCTTATTTAATTTTTTGTAAACATTAGTTTTCTAAAGGTTATTTTTTTGTATTACACAGATGATGAGACCACTACAATGGAGTGGATTACATTACTTGATGATCAAGATCTTGGCATGGCATTCCAACATGTTCAGGCTGGTTCAGGGTTGCACAGTGGAGCTCATTACAGATCCAAGGTAGCAGAAACTTCTCCAGTTACGGAAAAATAAAATTCTTGTCCGTACAGTTCAAATCTGACTCTAGTCTGTTTTTCGTTTCAACAAAAAAATTCATTCCAAGATAATCTTCTCAGTTTTCCATGTGGTTTGTATGTATTTTTATTTGTTAGGTTCAGTTTTGCCATGTTGGCGTCTGCTTCCAACCCATCGTCAGTGATGGATTCTGGGTATTATCACAACCTCCCGAGGTCGGTCAGGTCACAGTCGGCAACATTGAGACCACGCAAGGCAGGACAGAGATCAGCGTGGTCTTCCAGCCTTTTGCGCATGATTATGTCCGTCATGACAACCAACAAGTACTGATGGATTTCTATGAGTGGAGCATTGCTGAGGATGGTAGCGATGGAGCACTGCTCAGTCCCTGGATGAGAATCCAGGATTTGGTGCCAAGCGGAGATGTAGTGAGTTTATTATTCAGATCGAAGCAAGTAAATTACAACTCGATGGATGGGGGAGACAAAGGAAGACTAATCTCAAATGTTGATGTTGCAAGAAGAGTCTATTTATGAATACGACTTTAGGGGTACCTTTTGAGGTGCTTTGTTTCAGAAAAGACAGTGTTTTAATCTTAAAAAAACCCCAGATCTTCTCCCAAAAGAACAGTTGTTCAATTCTGTTAAACTGGTTTGGTGCTACTAACCCTAACCGCCCTGATGAATCCTTCAAAATCCTCTTTGCCAAAGTGGAACAATTTGGAGGATTGAGGTCACATGGCAAAGTGCGTTACTGATTTCGTAGAATGCACTTTGTCAAGGTCTTGGGCCGGACCTTGTGTTGTTTTTGCTCAACCATGCATAAATATAGGCCTGGATTATGCTTGAAATCCTCTGTACTGCTCCAGGATGTCACTGGCCAAGCCTCAACACATTGACAGTCACTGCCGCAGGATTTTGCAAGATTCAGGCAGTGGTCATCCCTCAACGGACCATTTTCAAGAAATAATGGAGGAATTTGCAGGATTGAGGCTTTATGCTATTTTTCCATGAGGCCAATTGGAGGATTTTGCAGGATTGAAGCTACACCCTAGCAAAAAGGCCTAGGGAGTTGGGGTTAAGTAATTACTGCTAGTCCTCACAAAATTTGCTGATCACAAAACAGTGCAGTTTGTCCCTCGTTCAGATTTCTGAATGGATCAGGAATTCTCTTTCCCGCCAGGTTCGCTTCACAGCATCCTACAGTGGTTCCTTGGACCTGGATGTCTGTCTTCGGTTATCAGTGAGGGGCTACAATAAGGCTGGTCTGTCTTCCATCGCTAGTACGGAGATTGTTGACTGTGATGATGCATCACTGGTCGTCCCTCATACTGTCATTGATGCTGATCGTAAGTACATACTCTACTCCTGGGTTCTCTGATGGATCTGATGAAAGATAGGAAGTTTTATTCATTGCTGTCCTTACTTTGTCAGTTACTTACATCACTTATTTTGGAATTTCATCAGACGCTTGAATTTAATGTTTGCATTTCTTAACTATTTATTCTTCAGTAGCCCAAAGTTAGAATGTCAGATTCAACCCTGCTTTTAAAGTTGACACTTTTGCTATGAAAGATCCAATTTTCATAACGTACTCTCTTATTTTCTTGTGTAACAGATGAAGTCAACATTGAGCAGAATGCCATGTGGCCGGAACCAGACAAGAACTACATCTCATCTACGTCTTCATTATCAGCAGTCTGGCCCACACTACGCCACAGGGCCTACACCTGGGCAGCCATTTTGGATACTGGATCCACTGCATTTGGCAACTTGGACGATGGTCTGCAGTATCCCTGCGATCATCCAAGGGCGAAGGCTTGTGGGAAAACAGGTAGGAAGATTGAGAAAGAAATTTTGTTATTTGTGAATTACTTAGCACATTTTAATGCAAAATGCTGGCGTAACTTGGAACGGAAGACAACAAAAAACATCAAGTTTTGAAGTTGGAAGGAAAAAACCAAGACAAATAGTTTGGAAAACAGCTAATAAATATATAGAATGAAAGTTAGCGCATATTTTAGCCTAAGTGAGATTTTAATTTTATTCACACAAATGTAATCAACGTACTCACCAAATGTCATTCTCACAGTCATAGCAATATATAGCAGTTGAAATGTTTGTTTTCTATCTTGTCATGTTTGTAGACAAAGAATTTGTCAACGTTCCCAATTTGGTTCTTGAACATGGCATGCGTTATCGCATTTGTATCCATGCCGATGAAATGACATTGGAGCATGAGTTGTGGAATGAACAGCTGCCTGCTGTGTCCAGCTGTAGTGATGGCGTTGTCATAGATACGACCCCACCGACCCCTGGCTCTGTCTGGATTGGATGGGACCAGCATCAAACTTACCAAGTAAATGTTTCTTTTACTTATTTAGTTTTTTTTTACACACAAATTGTTAATCACAACTGCCAGTGTGTCAGCGTGATTCAACTCTTTTAGACTGCCTTTTACAAAGCCATTTATCACGATTACTTTTTGGCACAAATTTAGACTTTAATGAATACCTTGTTTTGTAACATTTTTGAGGAATTGGACGTTTTACCATGACTTTGAATCTGTCTGTGTCTTGTTTTTGTCGTGACAGAGTTCTGTGTCTGAGTTAGTTCTTCACTGGGAGTCCTTCACTGACATTGAGGAGCACGGCATGGCACGTCATCACTCTGGGATCAAGCACTATGAATATGCCATCGGTAGGAACAAACTTGGCTTTCTTAGTAGAATTATTGTTGACTTGAAGGTTAGCAAACATGCAATATTAACTGTTTGTTTGCATTTATTTCTAGTAGTTCCACCACCAGTTTGTTTTTCCTTTGATCCATTGACACGGAATTCACCCATGCCCATGTATTTTTCCCTAAAAAAAGGGTAATTGTAATCACTTGTCATATATTTTTATACATTTGACCTCTTTCAGGTTCGATGCGAGGTGGTGGTGACGTGAAAGAGTTCACTCGTGTTGGAATCACCAACGGCGTTATTGTACACAGCTTGAGATTACAGAATGGACACAAGTATTATGCTACAGTCAGAGGTTAGGAATAGATGATAAATGGGTGTAAATGGGCGTAAATAAATGGGCGTTATTGTACACAGCTTGAGATTACAGAATGGACATAAGTATTATGCTACAGTCAGAGGTTAGGAATAGATGATAAATGGGTGTAAATGGGCGTAAATAAATGGGCGTTATTGTACACAGCTTGAGATTACAGAATGGACATAAGTATTACGCTACAGTCAGAGGTTAGGAATAGATGATAAATGGGCATATAGCTAAGTGATAATGAGTGGCTAGTGATATGAGTGATATGAGTGGCTAGGTATTGTTGAATAGATTGTGGTTTCAGATTTGAAGCTCTATAAACAACGTATTTAATTTTTGTCATACTGATTGAGACAAATACAAAATGTTTCAGGGCATATGTGGTTTAAATCTTTCTGTGCATTGTTTGTAATGCTCTGTAGACCGTTTCACAGATACCACCATCTTTGTTGTCATGAGTTAATCCATGGAATGATGGGACATATTTCAATGAAATTCCCCAGAGAGGGCAGTATCCATGAAATGGTCAAATCATAGTATACAAATAATGAATGTGTATGAGTGCAATGGTAAGACTTATTTCATGGGGTGACAGATGGAATGTTCCATTCCATGAGGCGAAGCCCTGCCATCGCTGCATGAAATTATTCTTTCCATTGCACGAATGTGAAGTATTCATTATTTGTTTTATACAACACCTGGATAAATCCTTGTCATCTGATTGGTCAGAGCCGCCAATCGTGTGACCGTGCCATGGAACTTCCATTTACCAAGGAATGGAACTTCCATTTACCAAGGAATGGAACTTCCATTTACCAAGGAATGGAACTTCCATTTACCAAGGAATGGAACTTCCATTTACCAAGGAATGGAACTTCCATTTTCGCTGTGCAGCCGGGCCGTGGGTTGGGACGAAGAATTGTATGAAACGTATTAACAACCCACCAAGTCGACCCTGAGTTATGGGACAGTAAAGCTTCATGGCTGTCAGGTTTCATTTCAAGACTTTCTTGATCAAATTTTATCTCCCACCAGCAACTGACTTTGTTGGTCTGTCATCACAAGCCATCTCCGATGTTATTGTCATTGATACATCATCGCCTGTCATCAGTGCTGAACATACATTGGACGTTGGAGGCAGCTTCATCCGATCTACAACTTCCATCTCAGCAAGGTACAGACACACATCAACAATCTTAAACTCGACCTAAGATTTATGATGATTTTTCCCTCTTATTGACCAGCCATAGGAAACAACTCCAAGTAACTCCAAATATTATGCTTACTTTGGATATCAGTGAAGTTATTTCACACTGGTTTTTCTGTAATTTCTTTCAGTTGGGAGAATGTATTCTCAGACCAGGAGAGTGGTGTTGCATATTACGAGTGGGCCTTGGGTTCACATCCAGGTCATGCAGACATCATGCCATTTACTAGAGAGAGTACAGAGATCGGGGTCAGTGACCCCTCACAACCTTTGCTCCTTCAAGAAGGTCACTCCTATTTCATTTCTGTTAAGGTAAGCTGAAGGTTATTGATATTTTCGTACTATTCATCCTTGCTCGTACATGTAGTTAACGAGGCAAAGCAATCTTTTGATCAACATATAGTTGATCAACATAATTTGATCAACATATTTTACATTGAGTTTCTGATTTCTGTTCCTCCTTTTTCAGGCCATTAATACTGTAGGTCTGATCACACTGAAGAGCTACGGAGCATTCACAGTTGACGCAACCCCTCCATTGGCTGGCCACGTTTTTGACGGAAACCCAGTAAACGCCTCGGCCAATCACAGAGACCGAGACTTCCAGGAGGATCGTACAGTGATCAGGGCATTCTGGGAAGGGTTTCATGACCCACACAGCGCCATCGTTGGATATTCCTGGAGAGCTGGGATATGTTCAGGGTGTAGCGATGTCATACCTGAGCAACATGTGGGCTTGGACACTTGTAAGTTTCAAATACTTATTGTTTAATTCTGATTGGTTTTAGTATTACAAAATCTCCTGTCTATCATCCAACTCAAGTACACCGAAAAATAAACATTTTTTGCACAATTTCTTCAATTTTTGAAAATGACTTGGATTTTGCAAGTGAAGAGATGTAATCATCTAAAGATTGGTTTATTTCTCTCACAGATGTTATTGCGGAGAACCTGAACTTAGTGCCTGGTCTGACCTACTATGTGACGGTGACGGCTTGTAATGCTGCTGACCTTTGTACCTCAGTGACCTCTGATGGGGTCACGGTGGATGACTCTCCCCCGGTAGCGGGGCGTGTGTATGATGGCGGTTCTGGGGGTGGGGATATCAGCTACCAATCCTCAAGGTGAGTTAGACAAAAATTTCCAAAAACTGGAGACAAATCCCAAACAGGAAGAGTCACAATGGTAGATGCCTAATGGGGCTGACAGCCAATTCTCTAAAATAACTGAAGTAGGATTGGAACCTGTGACCTCTAAACTGCCGTACTATCACTCAAACAGAAAGCCATGCCCCATGCTGGTGGTCTCCTAATTCGCGGAGAGTAAATTTTTCAAGTTTACAGTCGACAAAACATGGCCCATTTGAATGAGTGTCGGTAGACAACTTGAGCTAATATGTCATAGATTGGGGCATAGCGTTCTGCTGCCTTACAAAAACACCATATTGATAACAAGAAAAGAAATGGGCAAACAGATCCTCGAATCATACACTTAATTACGAAACCACTGACTGGAAAAACTAACAATTTCAAATGTCCCGCACTGCGAATTTGTCGACCATCTCCCACAATGCACTGGGAAAAATAACTCTCCGTGGCAAACTCTTGGTGGCGCACTGCACTGTGAATCGCCCGAATTGATCTGACTTATCCTGACCAGTCAAAACGTAGTCTTACTGAATTGTTTTTGATGAGAATTGACTAGAGTCGGTGGTATTTGAGCTTGGGCTCCTGAGTTCTATACTATTGCTTCACTGCTATATTTGTATAGGTTTCCCTTGCAATGTCAGTTTCCTTGTTCTGTGCTAGTTACAGGTCACACCATACTTAACATGTCAGGAATTAATAGATTACAGTTCAAGAGTTTCATAAATGACTATGGTGCGATATGATTTCATGATTTGTGTTTTTTCTGATTGTCTGTAGACTTGAGTTACGAGCTCATTGGTGGGGTTTTCATGACCCTCACTCAGGCCTCTCCCACTACGAATGGCACGCTGGCATGGCACCAGGAGCTGAGGACATTCTCCCCTCTACGCGCATCGAGCTGTCGGAGGACGCACTGGTATTCTTGTCAGATTCAGACAAGATGCCTGCCAACACTGATATCTACGTAACGGTGCGTGCCTACAACCAGCTTGGTATGTGGATTGAGGCTACGTCTAACGGGTTCCGTGTGGACTCTAGTCCACCTGATGTCATGAGTGCACCTGCTGTAGATCAAACTCTAGGCATGGCCGTCAGAAACACTCAGGTAAGAATACAAAAATGACTTTCAAAAACATTTCTTCTTCTTGTGTTTTTTGGGAGTTTCTCTTAATTTAGTGTCGCTGAGAGAACAAAAATATTAAAAATTTGAAAGGTTTTTGATTCTTGTCTATTGAAGTCTTATAAAAAAATTCTCCAATCATTTTCAAATTTCAGAGCAGACTGGTATTAATTTGTAATTAACTTTGTGTCATTGTTTTCATTTCTATTCGCAAGCTCCAAAAATGAAGATTTTACCTCGCTTTCAATTTAATATGGCCAACTTGGAATAAAGCCCATGATTGGTTTGTACTGTTCAATTTTCAGGTTTTGCAGGATCTGATTCGTTTTTCCTGGAAGTTCAGTGACCCTGAGAGTGGTATTAAGGACCAGTTTGTATCTGTCAGCACACACCGCAACGGAGACGTCAATATACATCCAATAAAGGTAAAATCGTTTTATCAACACAAACTGTTAAAATAATAAACTGGGTTAGAATTTAGTGGGAGTAAAAGGAATGTAATATTTTTAAATCTGGAAATGAAACCACCGTTCAAAGTTCTACAAATCTTTTGACACAGGGAAGAAAAAGCAGTTCATTTTGTGTGGCTGTATTTGTTTTGAACAAGTTTCTAATCTGTTTGAGTTCCAGCAAATGAGAGTATCTTGTTCTTTCATCATTTGCAGATTGCGGGGAGTGAATTGGACCACACCTTCACCGATCTGACATTACACGAAGGCAGTCGTTACGTCATTACCGTAGTGGCTTGTAACTTTGCTGGTCTCTGCACACAGGCCAAGACAGAACCTTTATTGGTAAGTGACATCCACTGCACCCACTGTCTCATCATACCACTTATTAACCACTGCAGTCAAAAACTGTTCAGTATCTCCTGATTCTTAATTGGTTCTTACATTGTTGTATTATCTTCATTATGAGGTTTTGTATGCTTTTACCAGCTTGTCCTGTCAAAAATAAAGATGGTACAGTTCCATCTTTCATTGTCCGATTTATTTCCTCAGGTCGATGGTAGTCCACCGTCCGTTGGGACATTTGCTGTGGATACAGAGAGTGCTGCTAACTTGGAACGTCATCATATCACCTGGATCAACCCAAACACCGAACCATATGATGTAAGTCTTTTATATGCCACCCAATCCTTAACTTTTCTGGGTGTTTTTTGACTTATGATTTGACTTTTTAGTTTATTTCCAACCACTACACAGTAAGTTAAAATGCTCACTGTGTGCTGATTAAAAGTTCTAAGACACTTAATTTTTCATTTGAAAATAAAATATCTCAGTTTAACGAGGACTCTCTAACACTGTAAAAAAGGACAAATGCTGTAGCTTCTATGCCTAGACTTGCACAATGTGTGTATTTACAATAATACTATAAATGTGGTTCAATTCTATCCCTTGATACAGCCTGATGTAGCTTCCCCACCCTACCACACTGGCTGGATGACGTGGGTAGAAGACCCCCGTACATCCCTTGGTTCCTTAGCCCTTGCCTGGCTGGGATTTGCTGATATACACTCTGGTATCAGCCACTACTTGGTCTCCATCGGACGCACCTACAGCGGCTCCGAACTCACCCCGGTATCTGTACAAATTTCATTGAATTGTCATATATGGGTGGTACATTACTGTCATTATTAAGTGAAAATCACTGTTCAAAGGCAACGAGAAATTACATAAACCTTAAGTTCCCAAAGGTTTCCACAAGAACTGTCAGTTTCTTACTAAAGTGCTTTTAAGTTTCATTTAATTGCTTATTTTTTGTGCTCATTAGTGCTACAGGTGTGTTCTTTCAATCTTTCAATTAAGTTAGAACTTTCAATAATGATCCATTCTCAATATTGTTTTATATTCAAGTTATTTGAATTTCCTTTGTCCACGTGTTACTGTGATATAGGTCTATCCTTCCATGTCTGTAGAAAACAGTCCAATGCTGTAGTTTTATAACATGGATAATGCAACCGTGTCAATATTCAGAATATCATCCTCCATCATGCATATTCATTGACTTACAAAGTTTGTGATTTCTCCAGAGTGGACCAGTCCGTGTTGACCACAGCTATGACGGCATGTCATTAGATGAGGGCATCGCGCAGACAGCCATCATACCACTAGAGGGCAGTATAACTGACTTAACTCCTCCATATCTCTACATCTCCATCTGGGCTGTCAACGGGGTAAATATAAGTCTCATAAATACCCTCCAAAAAAGAATTGTTCAAAAAATTGATGAGATCAAAATAGGAATTACTTAAAACAATGGCAGACTTTGTCTTTGAATCAAAAGATTTTCATTCATTTTCCACTAGTTTATTTCATTTCTTTCTTCACACAGGTTGGTTTACCAAGCAACCGCCATCATTCCACTTTCGAGCTTTCCCGAAGTTCGACAGACGAGGGCGCCCTCGTCCTGCTGCGACAATGCTCACCTGCAACATGCGAGGGCCACTGTGCATGCGCTCCTATTGATAAAGCCTGTGCCCCGGACAGGAGTTGCAATGACGTAACTGATAGTAAGCAGAGTTTTTATCCAGCGACGAATCCCATGAAACAAAAAATCATGTTATCGCTTCAATAGTGGTCATAATTTAAACATGGAATCTTAAGGGAGAATTTAGTAAAGTCTTGTAATTAAAGAAAGTTAAGACTAAGGCAGCATGGACCCGAAACAGGATTCAAACCAGCTCCTTGTTGCCATGGTACCATTCATGTCTTGACTCACTTTCTTACCATTACCTCAAGGTAATCCCAACACTGAGATAGAAGTTCTGGATGTACTTGATCTGATGCACAATGATATCAATACCATGATTGATATTGATGACACAGCCACTCAGTATATGGCAGGTGCAGTCTGGCGAGTCACTGAGCAGAAAGGACTGGACATCAAGTGGTGAGTAAATATATGATTGATATCGATTATGAAATTGACACTGGTGAAAGTTTTACTCAGTTAATAGCAACTGCTGCTCTTTGGTTCACAAAGCAGGAAAAGCATTTTGATGTTCAGTTTTGCATGATGTGTAAAATTGCAAGATTGATATTTGTAACTCTTACACTCAGTAAATCAAAAAGTGAGTCTGACAGCTGTAAGCTATCACTCCTAACTTGAAGTTTCTGATCTCGCCAAGTGCAAGCGAGTTTTTGCACCGTTAACACAAATACTGCCTATGTGACCCACTCTCTTTCTTCATTTATCTGAATATTACCAGGTTTGAGTGGAGCATTGGTGATGATTCCTCGTCTAATCCATCGGGAGTCTTTGATGCGGGAAGGGATAGAATATGGTTTGACGTAGGACAGGACAATAAAGTTATCATCATGCTGAATGAAGGTAAGAAAATTGATTGAAAGAAAATATGTTTCAAGAATCACTAGCTATGACATATTTCTAGAGCCTTGGCAGCTTTTTAAATTATATTAGGCTCCTGCTAAAGATGACAAGCTGATTTGTGAGGTGTTAGTTGCAAAACGAGACGGAACTGGGCACAGGCTGTAATGGAGAAAAATGCAAAAAACTAAATAGGAGTGAATTTTTTCTTTCAATTTTCACATTCATTAATATTTGTAACCTTTGAAATTTACTTCACATATTTTGAAAAAATAGTATAAAAATCGTGGAATAAAAGCATTAAGGAGAAACAATTGGCATCTTTCATTTTCACGACTAAAAAGTCAAACTTTAAAGGCCTTGTTCCATCAGTATTTTACTTGTTTGACATGTCGGTAAATGCTAACTTTAAACAGCCACAACTTGTCAACGGAATGTCCGATTGAAGTGCAACAATCAGTATTTGTAAGAAGGATTTTATTCTCTTTCCTAATACCTGCATTTCAACCTCTGCCCAGTTCTGTCTCATTTTGCCAGAACACCTCACATTTATCATTTTAAATATCATAGTGCATTATTTCATTCTGTTTGATTAAAACAATTAGGTTCCTACACAAGAAATTAATTGCATGAAGGTTCTGCATAAACTATTCCAACTTAACTTCTGCATCGGTCCATTATCACCTTTTTGTCCATCATATCCGTCAGACCAAAAGCTGTCCAAGGGAGTCAAGTATCACGTGTTCGTCCGGGCCTGGTACGATGCTACTACATACGCAGTGTTCAGATCAGACGGCATTACACCTGATATCACACCGCCAAAAATATCAACAATCAGAGGCACTAAGGTAAGAGAACTAGGACGTCAGTTGTGAAAGTTGACAACCTGAAGCTAACTGCAGATACATGTCTTCTGTAATTCCCATATTAAACAATGTTAAAGTTATTCAGTCAAGTAGTTGATATTATGTGCAATCTGGTCTTTGTACTCACACTATCAGATCCCTGAGAATACTTCAACCATAATTGTAATATTCTGTTATCTGCTAATCTGATCATTAAGTCAATCTTGTTAAGATTAATGGAATATCTTTCTTTGTTTCCAGATAAAAGATCTTGCTAGATCTGATGCTAGGAAAGACACTGATTACTTGACGAATCCTAGCACCATCTTCATCTCCTGGGAGGGGGTGTTTTTAGACGAAGCAATGTCCCAGTACCAAGTGTCACTTAGTACCTATCCAGGAGGTAAGTACAGTGAAATCTACTCGAATCCATTGACAAAAGACTCTCATTAATAACGTGGGTCATCCAAGTAACAAATTTCGTCTTAGATATCCTTACGTTGACCCTGTTGGGGCTTGACTCCTACTCATTGAGAATTCAGATGCAATTGGCATTGAAGTGTGGTGACAAGCATTCCTGTAAATTTGCAAAAGTTGGTGATGTTACAAAGATTGTGAATTTTGCTGCATCGTTTTGTGAATTTTGCTGCATCTGTAGCTTTGCATTTTCAGTTGTGAACAGTATGAACCATTCTTTGCTACAACTGTTCTTGTGTTGGCATGGCAACTCTAACCTCATGGTACAAGAACAGTGGAACTACCTTGTAACTCATCTTCCAAGATGCTCTGGTCTCTTTTCCCCTCAGGTGAAGATATTCGTCAATTTGCTGACCATGTCTTCCCAGCCAGTGTGTCGTCCACACCGCTCACCAGCCTGAACCTACCGAGTGGACTGCGATACTACAGCAATGTACGAGCATTCAACAAAGCTGGTCTGCACACGCTCAGAAGCAGTGATGGCTTTGTGGTGGATACCAGGAGGCCAGATCCAGGCCTGGTCTTTGATGGGATAGGTCAGTCTGTAATATTTTTTCCTGTACGAATAAACATTTTTCATTGGCTGTGTGTCTCTGTTGCTCATGATTCATCTTTATTTTTTCTGACTTTGCTATTGAAGTGCACAATCCTTGAAATTGCCCAATACAACAATTTGGCACTCATATTTTTACCTAGATATATATCACAGTCACAAGCAGAAAAAAACCTCTAAACTTATCACAATTTGCTTGAAAAAGTTTGATCCTTTATTCCAGGTATTCACAACATAACTTTGGCACTTGGATCAGCACTGGATGGCTTGAGATTGACTTGTGATTGACTTGTGATTGCCTTGTGATGGACTTGTGATTGCCTTGTGATGGACTTGTGATTGCCTTGTGATTGCCTTGTGATTGACTGGTGATTGACTGGTGATTGACTTGTGATTGCCTTGTGATGGACTTGTGATTGCCTTGTGATGGACTTGTGATTGACTTGTGATTGCCTTGTGATTGACTGGTGATTGACTGGTGATTGACTTGTGATTGCCTTGTGATGGACTTGTGATTGACTTGTGATTGACTTGTGATTGACTTGTGATTGACTTGTGATGGACTTGTGATTGACTTGTGATTGATTTGTGATTGCCTTGTGATGGACTTGTGATGGACTTGTGATTGACTTGTGCTTGACTTGTGAATGACTTGCGATTGACATGTGATTGCCATTTTACACTCTGATTTTTTTCCATCTTTCATTCTAGATCTTCATGATGTAGAGTATCAGAACTCCAGCACAGTCATCTCAGCCTCCTGGCATGGCTTTGTGGACCTGGAATCCTACATAGACCATTATGAGTGGTGCGTTGGACAGACCCCTAGCCCTACAGATGATGGCATTCTGCCCTGTACAAGTGTTGGAATCCACCTGTCTGCCTCCAAGACTCTAGCTGTGCCTCTCACAGATGGTAATGATCCAATGTCTTACGTTCGTTGAACTGTTTGCCTCCCCTACACACCTCCCTGAAACAATATGTATTTGCTTAATGTTAATTGCATTTTTTTTAAATCTAATTGTGGTTTCTAATTCTGTAGTCAAAAGGCCCAGGGAAACACCTCTTTAAAAATGGAGTGTGACCCAATTCAGAAAGAGTACGGGAAATATTTCACTGATCAGTTTTACTGGGCAGAGGCTGGCCAACAAAAAGTAACTAGTACGAACATTTTTGGAGGCGTTTACAGTAAAATTTAAATGGGACACGCAATCATTGTCTCGGTTCCTTTTACCAAAAATTGTTAACCAAGAACTTTTATTCCATGTTAGGAAAGTAATTTAATTCCCCTCCTAAAAGCCTAGGAATATTAACAAGATTAACAAGACCTTGTTTTATATCTATCTTTTCAGGCATCCGGTATTACTCCAAGATCTCAGCTATGGACGCTGCCGGCCTACAGTCTGAATCATTCTCTTCAGATGGGTTTGTGGTGGACACTACACCGCCTGAACCACTAGAACATATCCTTCTTGGGGAGAACTTGATCCAGAATCCATCATTTGAAATGATGCTGCAGGAACCAGACAACACAGGTGAATATTAAATTCTAAGGAAAATAGATGCTGCCTTATTTGAGACAAAACTGATGGAATATCATATAAATATATCTTTATGAAAACATTTTAATGAATTTACTATGTATCATTTATTGTTCTTTCAGATATGGAGGATATTATTACAACAGTTAATCCTGACAGTGGGTCATTCAATGAAACCATGACAAGGCCAACAAAGTCACCTGATATTAATGCAACTCATGAAGCACCGACACCTTCATTGACAGAGTCCTTGACTGTCAATGCCACTGATAGTTATCCCACTTCTGACACCAATTTGACAACTGCCGAAATGCCATTCACAACCAGTAAGCCATCCACAGCTATTATTGATGTTACACCAGATGAGCTGCTAGGTCAGTGGATCATTGCATCTAATAGCCAGACTACTGTGGTCGCTTCTGACAAGAAGATTGCTCAAGATGGCCGTTCTTACTTGTCTCTTCATGGCTCCATCTCCCAAACCTTCCACACGTCACCGGGCAGCCACTACCAGGTTGTGGTCTTTGCGAGTCATGCCGTGTTGTCCCACAATCCTTTGCTGAATCAAGAAGGTCGCATTGAGGCACCAGGATTGAATCGCGTCTTCAGGTTGTATGACCGGCCGACACACGGTCACTCAGACCAGAGTCTGAGGTCCATCCAATGGCATCAGCACAGTTTTTACTTCACAGCCAGTGACGATGTCTCAACATTAACAATCTCCTCAGTTGGAGAATCCAATGGAATCCTGTTGGATAAAATTCAGGTAAGCAAATGGTTTGGAAATCTTGAATGCAAAACTCTAAGCACTTGGAATGTTCTGTCAAGAATATGTTCCCTTCTCAAGTTCAGAATGCATGCTCTATTTAATTATCCAAGAGTGCCGTTTGTTTCTGCATATAGAGATATAGTTTGTCTCAGCCCTTGATGATGAACCTCAGTGCAAGTTTGAAACTCAGTCTGTTTCATTTAAGAAGCTCAAGTGTTTCCAAAAGTTCTTCAATCTGGGAATGTTACAAGTAAACATTCTATAAATGAAAAGCACTCGCCGCTGTTGGCACCTGTTATTATTGCCTACATGGCAGGCAGTTTGTCGCACTTTTTTTATGAATGATGGTGAAATTCATCATAAAATATATATGTTATTAGCATAATTGTAAAAATTCCAATTCTGCCTTTCTAGGTGAGACCACTTACAACGGGACCGAGTTCTGGAGATGGGTCCGTAGAAGTCCATACTCAGTTCATTCACAGCTGGTCGTCAATCCAGGCCAAGTGGCATTTTATTGATCCTGAGAGTCCAATAGTGGACTACAGCTGGGCTATAGGTAGGTTGAAGCTTGTACTCTTTTAAGAAGAAAATCATTGAAAAACTGGCGCTTGAGTGTACCAGTGGTGCGGTCAAGTACTCACAAGTTCTTGCAAGTCATTCACAAGTCATCCCCAGTCAAGTCACAAGCTATTCAAGTGAACTGTGACAAATGTATTACTTTGCTAGAATTTGTCTGTTAGTTGTGATCAGACTTGTGAATTGACTTCTGATTTTAATTTTTGACCACAAGTGTATAAACATGTAAGAAACAGATGCCCATCAACGAGTGACTTCAATGTCAGAGATGTTCTATTGAAGACCTATAGCGTTGTGATGATGTTTTGTATCTATTAATCCTGTCCTTTTTTGTTAATATGTTAGGTACTACCAGGGGTGGCACCCAGCTTCAAAGCTTCACGTCAGTGGGTTTACAGACATATGCTATCAACACTGACCTCAACATGGCACATGGCTCCTATGTCCATATCACTGTGATGGCAAGAAATGCAGCTGACCTCATTGCCATAGCAACCTCTGACCCCATACTGATTGACCTAACACCACCACTGATTTACTTTGTCTCTGACGGTGGCGATGCAAAAGGTAATGTTAAATTCCAACATTTTGTATTCCAGACTGACGTGTCATGTCCACTGAAGACAGATGTTGTCATAGTAGGATTCAGGAAATATACTTTAGGCACAATTCACACTTGGTGAGTTTGGAAGGACTTATAAATCAGGTTTCGCCCTCAACTGTTTTTTTCACAGGTCTGCAGTTTCACTAGCCTGTGGACTAAACGGTTATCTAGTCCACGGGCCTTTCAACGAGTCCGCAGTAGAATTTTTAAATGTTTACACCAGAATGTCATAAACAACGATGTTATGTACAATAAGTTTGGCTCGCCAGGGGGACTACTTAGGGAATGGTTTTGACTAGTCTACCGCTGTTTTTACTCGCATTTTGAGTATGGTCAAACCCTGTAAATGCATTGCTGCAGTACGCCCGGTGCTCATGTGATGACAATAAACGGTTGAGTTCTTTCAGAGTAACACCATATACGTGAACTAGTAGTCACTCATAGTGTGTACCTCCCATGGTGTCCCTCACAAAGAGCTATCTAATGTTTATGCACTAGTCCACAGTCTCATGGCAAGAACATCTCAATAAGATTCCCTTTTGTCTCCCAACAGATGTTGACTTCAGTGCGGACGATGATTCTCTGACCTTCAGCTGGTCAGCGTCTGATCCTGAGAGTGGAATTGACCACTGTGAATGGGCAGTTGGTAAGTTGATATGTCTTAGTTGAGGTCACGTGGTTAAAAACCAAAATCAAGAGCTGAATTTTCCTCCTTGACAGGTCACTGAGTAATTAAATGCGTCTCAGTTCTCTTGTTTTAGCATCCTGGCCTAACAGGAGAATGACCACCATGAGTGGGCAGTCGGTGGTGCAAGCATCCCTCAGTTCATGACTGACTATCATTTTAATTGATCCGTCGTGGGCAGATTCAGGGGCGGTTGGAGTGGCCCACCTCCCCCTGTCTTCCGAGAAAACCCAAATCCCAAATGTCATTTCTTGAAATTAAACCTCACAGTATTACAATTTGATCACTGCTAAATGGCCTTTGATCTCTTTATGTGTAAAATCAAACCTAAGGCCCCCCTAAAAAAATCTCCGGTTTCTGGTGTGGAGCTTGCCCCAAAAGTGGTGCGTTGATGCATGTTTTTTTTTTTTTTTTTTTTTCAAATGTCGGCTGATATTGCAGATAACACTTCAATCCCCTTAAAACTCGCAAAAATATCCTTCAAAGTGGAGCTTGAGGTGACCTCAGTAAGGCCATAAGGCTTGAGAATTCTGCACCAACTTATGATCTCGACCGCCCTGAACATTCTTATGGAAATTTGGATAGTCAAGACAAAAATCAGAGAAAACGGTAACGTCAGACCATACAGCCACATTCAACATTGTACATGTGCTGCCAGGCTGGTCGTTAGTCTGCTCCTTTACATACATGTATTGCGCTAATTAAAAAACATTTTACAGATACACGACCATCGCTCCCTCAGTCTGGCTTCCAGATGCACAATTACAAAATTATAACACCGTCTGCAAATGGTGCCTGACTAAATTTAGTGCAAACTATATGGGAGCTCAGAGGGGCCACATAAAGCTTTTACTCACTCATAACCCTATCTAAAAACAAGTTAAAATTGTGCAGTGGCAGGATTCTAATCAAACCAGTGAGTTTGGCGGTTTTGAGACATCATCTTACATTAAAAAATAAACTGTTTAATTTTGCCGACGCGAATGGCTACGGCGATGCGCGCGCAGACCAGAAACCGGAGAATTTTTTTTGGCCTATAAAGCCATTCCCCTTGAATATAACTGAATGCCAACACCTTCAAAGGCTCACCAACTGAAATAAATTATTTCTTGCTTTTTTTTAAATATTCTCCCAGGATCAGAGCCTGGATTTGATGACATCCTACCAAGCTCATCGTCTCCTGACGGCACTTCCACTGTCACCACCAGCCTGTCCCAGGCTATGGTTGAGGGCCAGCGACTGTACGTCACTGTCACATGCTACAATCACGCTGAGAAGTCGTCATGGAAGTCATCAGATGGTGTCACCATAGTAACGGTGCCCCCAAGCTCATCAGGAGCTGTAGTCAACGTGAAGACACTGTCAGAGACTCAGTACGAAACACGCGACGGGTACCAGTCACAGAGAGACTCCCTCAAAGGATCATGGGATGGATTCATGGATCCATTCGGAATCCAGTCTTACGAGGTGAGCTACTTCTTAGATTCAATGTTAAAACTTATCTGAGGATGATTACAGCACTTTCTTATTTTAAAACTTTGCCCAGGGCATATTTCGCACCACAGGTTCTCAAAATACAATATTATTACCCCTGTTCATCAGGACTATAATTGTGTTGACCTGGGTAACATGAACCCAAGTGGAACTCCCAAGTGGAACAGTACACAGACCATTTTCTAGTTGAATATTTAGAACACTGTCGTGTGCAGTGTGCAAGTAGTCCATTTTTAAACGAGAACATGAAAGCATGAAATTTGCCCTCAACTGTTATTGTCATGTTTCTGTCACCTGTGGCTTTGTTCTGCACAGAGCCCATTCTCATTCATAATTGCCTGCGATATGTCAGTATTTATTTGATCAGATGCAGTTTGTTGTCTAGATTTGTATTAAAGTTGACCTCTCTTCCTCCCTCCCAGTGCCACCTTAGTGGACCCGATGCCTTCACCTCCTGGACACCTTGTGGATCCACATCAGAGACTCACCTGGATTGGTCAGGTCTTAGCCTGGTGGATGATGCAACCTATAGCCTGTCAGTCAGAGCCGTCAATCATGCTGGTTTGACCAGCCAGGCTATCAGTGGCAACTTTACACTGAAGACTGCAAAACCTTCTGATGGAGGTATGTAGCTCAATGTTTTTTTTCTCCAAATTAATGTTAGTTTCATGGTGTCACGAAAAACATTCCAAAATGTACAGAAGTGACTTTAATTTCTGTTGGACATTTCAGTGCAATTCATGTAACAGCTACTCTTTTTAAGGGGCTATTGCAAAAAAAGGGGAAACCACCTTAAATTTTTCTTTCACAATTGCTCCAGATACAAAACAAATTTAGAAATGGATTTGTATGTTTGCTTCAAGTTGGGATCTCCCGTCAGCAACTACTTGTTAAAGTCTATTAACAGAAAAAAACTGGCAAAAAGCAGGCCAATCTCTTTTCTGCAACTCACTCCCCACAAACCTACCAACCCATCTATGGAGCCATGACCTGTTCCTTAAATCAATTTGTTTTGTTCCAAACAGCCTCAGGTGTGATCAGATCCACCTGGCTGGGAGACGGGACGGTTGATCTTGCCTGGGATGGCTTGTTCTCCCCTTCCTCCTCCTTGGTCTATGAGGTATCTCTGGGTACCATCCCAGGAGGTAGTGATATCATGCAGTGGGTGGAGACCATGGAGACTGATATGCGTGTCTCAACGCTGGCTCCCTTCACCGACTACCACTTGACGTTGACAGCCATCAATGCGGCCGGCTTGTCACAGACAGTCAACAAGATCATCAACAGTGAGTAGTGCAATGTTATAGTCTCAGACCTGCCAGCTTTCATTTTTTGACAACAAATATCATTATTTTCTGTTGGTTTTGACTATTCTTGGACGTTTTAAATTGTAAGGGGTTAACCTTGCATTTTCATCAAAATTGGGCAAAATTTGGCTATTCTTAAACGTTTAAAATTGTAAGGGGTCAACCTTGTATTTTATCAAAATTGGCCAAAATTTGACTATTCTTGGACGTTTCAAATTGTAAGGGGTAAACCTTGTATTTTCATAAAATTTGGCCACAAATTTTACTTTTTTTTACACATTTAAAATTGTAAGTGGTTAACCTTGTATTTTCATCAAAATTGGCCAAAAAGTGTACTTTTTCACACATTTAAAATTGTAAGGGGTTAACCTTGCATTTTCATCAAAATTGGGCAAAATTTGACTTTTCTTGGACGTTTAAAATTGTAAGGGGTTAACCTTGTATTTACATCAAAATTGGCCAAAAATTGTACGTTTTCACACATTTAAAATTGTAAGGGGTTAACCTTGCATTTTCATCAAAATTGGGCCATATTTGACTTTTCTGAGACGTTTAAAATTGTAAGGGGTTAACCTTGTATTTTCATAGAAATTGGCCAAAAATTGTACTTTTTCACACATTTAAAATTGTAAGGGGTTAACCTTGCATTTTCATCAAAATTGGGCCAAATTTGACTTTTCTTTAACGTTTAAAATTGTAAGGGGTTAACCTTACATTTTCATCAAACTTTGGCAAAATTTGAATTTTCTTGGACGTTTAAAATTGTAAGGGGTTAACCTTGTATTTTATCAAAATTGGCCAAAAATTGTACTTTTTCACACATTTAAAATTGTAAGGGGGTAAACCTAGCATTTCGATCACAATTTGACAAAATTTGACTATTCTTGGATGTTTAAAATTGTAAGGGGTAAACCTTGCATTTTCATCACAATTGGCCAAAAAATGTACTTTTTCAATCATTTAAAATTGTAAGGGGTAAACCTTGCAATTTTATCAAAATTGGCCAAAATATGTACTTTTTCACACATTTAAAATTGTATGTGGTTAACCTTGCATTTTCATCAAAATTGGGCAAAATTGGACTTTTCTTGGACGTTTAAAATTGTAAGGGGTTAACCTTGCATTTTCATCAAAATTGGGCAAAATTTGACTTTTTTTTCAACGTTTAAACTTGTAAGGGGGTTAACCTTGTATTTTCATCAAAATTTGGCCAAATTTGACTTTTCTGAGACGTTTATAATTGTAAGGGGTTAACCTTGTATTTTCATGAAAATTGGCCAAAAATTGTACTTTTTCACACATTTAAAATTGTAAGGGGTTAACCTTGCATTTTCATCAAAATTGGGCCAAATTTGACTTTTCTTAAACTTTTAAAATTGTAAGGGGTTAACCTGGCATTTGCATCAAAATTGGGGAAAATTTGACTATTTTTCAACGTTTCAAATTGTAAGGGGTTAACCTTGTATTTTCATCAAAATTTGGCAAAATTTCAATTTTCTTGGACGTTTAAAATTGTAAGGGGACCTTGCATTTTCATCAAAATTGGGCAAAATTTGACTTTTCTGAGACATTTAAATAGGCAAGGGGTTAACCTTGCATTTTGATCAAAATTTGACAAAATTTGACTATTCTTGGACGTTTAAAATTGTAAGGGGTTAACCTTGCATGTTCATCAAAATTGGGCAAAATTTGACTATTTTTGGACGTTTAAAATTGTAAGGGGTTAACCTTGCATTTTTATCAAAATTTGGCCAAATTTGACTATTCTGAGACGTTTAAAATTGTAAGGGGTAAACCTTGCATTTTCATCAAAATTTGGCCAAATTTGACTATTTTTGGACGTTTAAAATTGTAAGGGGTTAACCTTGCATTTTTATCAAAATTGGCCAAAAATTGTACGTTTTCACACAATTAAAATTGTAAGGGGTAAACCTTGCATTTTCATCAAAATTTGGCCAAATTTGACTTTTCTGAGACGTTTAAAATTGTAAGGGGTTAACCTTGTATTTACATCAAAATTGGCCAAAAATTGTACGTTTTCACACAATTAAAATTGTAAGGGGTTAACCTTGCATTTTCATCAAAATTTGGCCAAATTTGACTATTTTTGGACGTTTAAAATTGTAAGGGGTTAACCTTGCATTTTCATCAAAATTTGGCCAAATTTGACTTTTCTGAGACGTTTAAGATTGTAATTGGTTAACCTTGCATTTTTATCAAAATTTGGCCAAATTTGACTTTTCTGAGACGTTTAAAATTGTAAGGGGTTAACCTTGCATTCTTATCAAAATTTGGCCAAATTTGACTTTTCTGAGACGTTGTACGTTTTCACACAATTAAAATTGTAAGGGGTAAACCTTGTATTTTCATGAAAATTGGCCAAAAATTGTACTTTTTCACACATTTAAAATTGTAAGGGGTTAACCTTGTATTTTCATGAAAATTGGCCAAAAATTGTACTTTTTCACACATTTAAAATTGTAAGGGGTTAACCTTGCATTTTCATCAAAATTGGGCCAAATTTGACTATTTTTGGACGTTTAAAATTGTAAGGGGGTAAACCTTGCATTTTTATCAAAATTTGGCCAAATTTGACTATTTTTGGACGATTAAAATTGTAAGGGGTTAACCTTGCATTTTTATCAAAATTGGCCAAAAATTGTACGTTTTCACACAATTAAAATTGTAAGGGGTAAACCTTGCATTTTCATCAAAATTTGGCCAAATTTGACTTTTCTGAGACGTTTAAAATTGTAAGGGGTTAACCTTGCATTTTTATCAAAATTTGGCCAAATTTGACTTTTCTGAGACGTTTAAAATTGTAAGGGGTTAACCTTGTATTTATATCAAAATTGGCCAAAAATTTTACGTTTTCACACAATTAAAATTGTAAGGGGTTAACCTTGCATTTTTATCAAAATTTGGCCAAATTTGACTATTTTTGGACGTTTAAAATTGTAAGGGGTAAACCTTGCATTTTCATCAAAATTTGGCCAAATTTGACTATTTTTGGACGTTTAAAATTGTAAGGGGTTAACCTTGCATTTTCATCAAAATTGGCCAAAAATTGTACGTTTTCACACAATTAAAATTGTAAGGGGTAAACCTTGCATTTTCATCAAAATTTGGCCAAATTTGACTTTTCTGAGACGTTTAAAATTGTAAGGGGTTAACCTTGTATTTACATCAAAATTTGGCCAAATTTGACTATTTTTGGACGTTTAAAATTGTAAGTGGTAAACCTTGCATTTTCATCAAAATTTGGCCAAATTTGACTATTTTTGGACGTTTAAAATTGTAAGGGGTTAACCTTGCATTTTTATCAAAATTGGCCAAAAATTGTACGTTTTCACACAATTAAAATTGTAAGGGGTTAACCTTGCATTTTCATCAAAATTTGGCCAAAATTGTACATTTTCACACAATTAAAATTGTAAGGGGTTAACCTTGCATTTTTATCAAAATTTGGCCAAATTTGACTTTTCTGAGACGTTTAAAATTGTAAGGGGTTAACCTTGCATTTTTATCAAAATTTGGCCAAATTTGACTTTTCTGAGACGTTTATAATTGTAAGGGGTTAACCTTGTATTTTCATGAAAATTGGCCAAAAATTGTACTTTTTCACACATTTAAAATTGTAAGGGGTTAACCTTGCATTTTCATTAAAATTGGGCCAAATTTGACTATTTTTGGACGTTTAAAATTGTAAGGGGTAAACCTTGCATTTTTATCAAAATTTGGCCAAATTTGACTATTTTTGGACGATTAAAATTGTAAGGGGTTAACCTTGCATTTTTATCAAAATTGGCAAAAAATTGTACGTTTTCACACAATTAAAATTGTAAGGGGTAAACCTTGCATTTTCATCAAAATTTGGCCAAATTTGACTTTTCTGAGACGTTTAAAATTGTAAGGGGTTAACCTTGCATTTTTATCAAAATTTGGCCAAATTTGACTTTTCTGAGACGTTTAAAATTGTAAGGGGTTAACCTTATATTTATATCAAAATTGGCCAAAAATTGTACGTTTTCACACAATTAAAATTGTAAGGGGTTAACCTTGCATTTTTATCAAAATTTGGCCAAATTTGACTATTTTTGGACGTTTAAAATTGTAAGGGGTAAACCTTGCATTTTCATCAAAATTTGGCCAAATTTGACTATTTTTGGACGTTTAAAATTGTAAGGGGTTAACCTTGCATTTTCATCAAAATTGGCCAAAAATTGTACCTTTTCACACAATTAAAATTGTAAGGGGTAAACCTTGCATTTTCATCAAAATTTGGCCAAATTTGACTTTTCTGAGACGTTTAAAATTGTAAGGGGTTAACCTTGCATTTTTATCAAAATTGGCCAAAAATTGTACATTTTCACACAATTAAAATTGTAAGGGGTTAGTTAACCTTGCATTTTCATCAAAATTTGGCAAAATTTGACTATTTTTGGACGTTTAAAATTGTAAGGGGTTAACCTTGCATTTTTATCAAAATTTGGCCAAATTTGACTTTTCTGAGACGTTTAAAATTGTAAGGGGTTAACCTTGCATTTTTATCAAAATTTGGCCAAATTTGACTTTTCTGAGACGTTTAAAATTGTAAGGGGTTAACCTTGTATTTATATCAAAATTGGCCAAAAATTGTACATTTTCACACAATTAAAATTGTAAGGGGTTAACCTTGCATTTTTATCAAAATTTGGCCAAATTTGACTATTTTTGGACGTTTAAAATTGTAAGGGGTAAACCTTGCATTTTCATCAAAATTTGGCCAAATTTGACTATTTTTGGACGTTTAAAATTGTAAGGGGTTAACCTTGCATTTTCATCAAAATTGGCCAAAAATTGTACGTTTTCACACAATTAAAATTGTAAGGGGTAAACCTTGCATTTTCATCAAAATTTGGCCAAATTTGACTTTTCTGAGACGTTTAAAATTGTAAGGGGTTAACCTTGCATTTTTATCAAAATTGGCCAAAAATTGTACGTTTTCACACAATTAAAATTGTAAGGGGTTAACCTTGCATTTTCATCAAAATTTGGCAAAATTTGACTATTTTTGGACGTTTAAAATTGTAAGGGGTTAACCTTGCATTTTTATCAAAATTTGGCCAAATTTGACTTTTCTGAGACGTTTAAAATTGTAAGGGGTTAACCTTGCATTTTTATCAAAATTGGCCAAAAATTGTACGTTTTCACATAATTAAAATTGTAAGGGGTTAACCTTGCATTTTCATCAAAATTGGGCCAAATTTGACTATTTTTGGACGTTTAAAATTGTCAGGGGTTAACCTTGCATTTTTATCAAAATTGGCCAAAAATTGTACGTTTTCACACATTTAAAATTGTAAGGGGTTAACCTTGCATTTTCATCAAAATTTGGCCAAATTTGACTATTTTTGGACGTTTAAAATTGTAAGGGGTTAACCTTGCATTTTTATCAAAATTGGCCAAAAATTGTACGTTTTCACACATTTAAAATTGTAAGGGGTTAACCTTGCATTTTCATCAAAATTTGGCCAAATTTGACTATTTTTGGACGTTTAAAATTGTAAGGGGTAAACCTTGCATTTTCATCAAAATTTGGCCAAATTTGACTTTTCTGAGACGTTTAAAATTGTAAGGGGTTAACCTTATATTTATATCAAAATTGGCCAAAAATTGTACGTTTTCACACAATTAAAATTGTAAGGGGTTAACCTTGCATTTTTATCAAAATTTGGCCAAATTTGACTATTTTTGGACGTTTAAAATTGTAAGGGGTAAACCTTGCATTTTCATCAAAATTTGGCCAAATTTGACTATTTTTGGACGTTTAAAATTGTAAGGGGTTAACCTTGCATTTTCATCAAAATTGGCCAAAAATTGTACCTTTTCACACAATTAAAATTGTAAGGGGTAAACCTTGCATTTTCATCAAAATTTGGCCAAATTTGACTTTTCTGAGACGTTTAAAATTGTAAGGGGTTAACCTTGTATTTATATCAAAATTGGCCAAAAATTGTACATTTTCACACAATTAAAATTGTAAGGGGTTAACCTTGCATTTTCATCAAAATTTGGCAAAATTTGACTATTTTTGGACGTTTAAAATTGTAAGGGGTTAACCTTGCATTTTTATCAAAATTTGGCCAAATTTGACTTTTCTGAGACGTTTAAAATTGTAAGGGGTTAACCTTGCATTTTTATCAAAATTTGGCCAAATTTGACTTTTCTGAGACATTTAAAATTGTAAGGGGTTAACCTTGTATTTATATCAAAATTGGCCAAAAATTGTACATTTTCACACAATTAAAATTGTAAGGGGTTAACCTTGCATTTTTATCAAAATTTGGCCAAATTTGACTATTTTTTGACGTTTAAAATTGTAAGGGGTAAACCTTGCATTTTCATCAAAATTTGGCCAAATTTGACTATTTTTGGACGTTTAAAATTGTAAGGGGTTAACCTTGCATTTTCATCAAAATTGGCCAAAAATTGTACGTTTTCACACAATTAAAATTGTAAGGGGTAAACCTTGCATTTTCATCAAAATTTGGCCAAATTTGACTTTTCTGAGACGTTTAAAATTGTAAGGGGTTAACCTTGCATTTTTATCAAAATTGGCCAAAAATTGTACGTTTTCACACAATTAAAATTGTAAGGGGTTAACCTTGCATTTTCATCAAAATTTGGCAAAATTTGACTATTTTTGGACGTTTAAAATTGTAAGGGGTTAACCTTGCATTTTTATCAAAATTTGGCCAAATTTGACTTTTCTGAGACGTTTAAAATTGTAAGGGGTTAACCTTGCATTTTTATCAAAATTGGCCAAAAATTGTACGTTTTCACATAATTAAAATTGTAAGGGGTTAACCTTGCATTTTCATCAAAATTTGGCCAAATTTGACTATTTTTGGACGTTTAAAATTGTAAGGGGTTAACCTTGCATTTTTATCAAAATTTGGCCAAATTTGACTATTTTTGGACGTTTAAAATTGTAAGGGGTTAACCTTGCATTTTTATCAAAATTGGCCAAAAATTGTACGTTTTCACACATTTAAAATTGTAAGGGGTTAACCTTGCATTTTCATCAAAATTGGGCCAAATTTGACTATTTTTGGACGTTTAAAATTGTAAGGGGTAAACCTTGCATTTTCATCAAAATTTGGCCAAATTTGCCTATTTTTGGACGTTTAAAATTGTAAGGGGTTAACCTTGCATTTTCATCAAAATTTGGCCAAATTTGACTTTTCTGAGATGTTTAAAATTGTAAGGGGTTAACCTTGTATTTACATCAAAATTGGCCAAAAATTGTACGTTTTCACACAATTAAAATTGTAAGGGGTTAACCTTGCATTTTCATCAAAATTGGGCAAAATTTGACTATTTTTGGACGTTTAAAATTGTCAGGGGTTAACCTTGCATTTTTATCAAAATTTGGCCAAATTTGACTATTTTTGGACGTTTAAAATTGTAAGGGGTTAACCTTGCATTTTTATCAAAATTTGACTATTCTTGGACGTTTAAAATTGTAAGGGGTTAACCTTGTATTTATATCAAAATTGGCCAAAAATTGTACGTTTTCACACAATTAAAATTGTAAGGGGTTAACCTTGCATTTTCATCAAAATTAGACAAAATTTGAATTTTCTGAGACGTTTAAAATTGTAAGGGGTTAACCTTGCATTCTTATCAAAATTGGGCAAAATTTGACTATTCTTGGACGTTTAAAATTGTAAAGGGTTAACCTTACATTTTCATCAAAATTTTGATGAAAACGCAAGGTTAGCTCCTTGCACTTTTAAACGTCCTAGAAAAGTCAAATTTTGCCCAATTTTGATGAAAATGCAAGGTTAACCCTTTACAATTTTAAACGTTTAAGAAAAGTAAAATTTGGCCAAATTTTGATGAAAATGCAAGGTTAACCCCTTACCATTTTAAACATTTAAAAAAAGTACAATTTCGCCTAATTTTTGATGAAAATGCAATGTTCATCCCTTACAATTTAAATGTGTAAGAAAGGTACAATTTTGCTTAATTTTGATAAAAAAATACAAGGTTAATCCATTCCATTTTTATACGGGGAAGAAAGGTACAATTTTGCTTAATTTTGATGAAAATGCAAGGTTAATCCCTTACAATTTTCAATGGGGAAGAAAGGTACAATTTTGCTTAATTTTGATGAAAATGCAAGGTTAACCCCTTACAAATTTAAACGTCCTAGAAAAGTCAAGTTGTGCCCAATTTTGAACTTTACATTTGTAAGGGGTTAATCTTGTATTTGAATCAAAATTGGGCGAAATGAGACTTTTTGTAGTTTAGTTTACATAATTTTTTGTGTACTGCAAGTTTTAATAAATTATATGAAGATATAATTTTATATTTTGATGCATTTCTCTGACCAACTTGCAAGTGTTCATGAAACTTAATACACACATAATCTTAACAGTAACATTTGAAATCAAGGCCTGTGGTCGATTAAACATAGAAAAAATAGTTTGTTGCTTCCAAAAGTACCACTCTTTAACATTAGTACCTGAAAACCTGGACGGAAATGACATATTAACATTTTTTTGTGATATATGAACTTATTAATACCAGCAGCTGACGTCACGATACAGTGCGTAACTTACGACTTGCGCACAATTTGTTGCGATGGATTTTAATGAAATATTGAGCATCTGCGCAAACTTTTAAATAATCTGCACATTTTTTTTATGAGGATAATGACATCATTTTTGACAACCGTTTGTCTTTGATTGGTTCAGTTTTGCCTGACTTTCTTCAGATTCTTGCTTTAACTCTGAAATTCTGTCACAAGTAAAATAACAATTTGTTTACTTCAAACACACAGCTGTGAGTGTCTTCTATCAACCTTGATAAGTTGTGCAATGACAGGCTGCAAGACAAGCATGATTTGCTAGCAAAACTGTTAGTTTTCATTTGCTACACCACAACTTACAGCACCTTAAATGATTACCCAAGCTACGCCATAACTTATCCCGCAAGTCGCAGTCTTACTCACCATGAAAAGTGTCATAAAATGTTGTGCAGTGTCAAATTTTGCGCAACTTATGCAATAAATTATGCGCAAGCGGAGTTATGCCATTGGGAAGTTTTGTGAAGTCAGCTGCAGAAAGGCATGCCTTTAAATTCTACCTCAAACGTTATATCGAAAAACAGTGAAATTGTATCCAAAAATGTACATAAAGGTTCACTAATTAACATGTGTAATATCAATATGGCATGTACAGTTTTTACAGAACTTTAGAAAAACATTGAAATCTATGCAACTACTTTTCCTATCATGATATTAGTTTTTTACAATTGACTTATAAACAGCTTGACAGATGCTATCATTTTATAGAAATATGCTGAAATGGCATCTTGAGTAGTTAAACTTGTATATTTTTGAGTAGTTAGCCTTGTATATTTTTGAGTAGTTAGCCTTGTATATTTTTGAGTAGTTAGCCTTGTACATGTATATTTTGGTTGTAAAAAAAACAAAGGTGATGTACAACTTGTAACTATACATGAGGCGAGTGAAATATAAAACTTAAATGTGATTAAACCATTACAGAAACTCCATCCATGCGTGACTTTCAGTGCTCTCATAGTGTAAGTTTGTACAAGTATTGAAATTGAATATTTCTCTTGATTAAACAGTATGCTTCAAACTCACATGTGGCAGTCAGAAAAACTCAACGCCTAAAGCAACGACCATAAAATACAATGCACTTCCTTCTACATTTGTACAACTACAATTAGGAATGTACATACTCTGCATACAAAGATAAAGAATATTAAGAAATTGAGTAGTTGCCCCCCCCCCCCCTCAGTAAAATGAAAATACCCTTAGAATGCACAATATTGACCATATTTTCAGCGTTGTCATTTTTCTTGTACCCTATTTCTTGCAAATTCTCCTCACAACCCTTACTTTCTACGAAATCCTTAAAAGTTTCCTACCGGTTCTCCATATATTCGCCTTCTGTTGAACGGATCCGACGACATTAAATCTTCTGGTAGTTGGCAGCATCAATGCTGTCCGTTCTCATGAGTCGGCCAGGATGGTGCATCAAATCAACGATGTAGGACTTGGGAGGAAACTTGGGTTTGACTTGCTGTAAGAAAACATGAGGAAAAGAGGTTAATAAGCTTTCATTCAAATACTAAGAAAATTCCTGCAATTTGGGAGTCTGAAAATGTCTTGGTGCAAGTATTGTGGGGTAACATACTGAATATATCGTGTTTATACGTCGGTGAAGGGCCAAACCTAATATTGAATTGACAGGTATCTACAGTAGTTGAAATATCTTGTTTTTGAGGGGAATATGAAGTTCTTAAAGGCAAGACGAAACTTGGGCAATAGTTAAAGAGTTTTGGTAGGTTCAAAATGCTTTAAGTGATTCCAGGTGCAGCATCACCTTATGTGTTCACAAACGTGATTCAAGAAAGTGAACTCCATGCTTAGCTCATGTCATCAAAAGCCCTTTGATGGTGGTCACTATAGACTACTACGATGATACCCATTTTCTGCGGTGGCACCAGGCACGCACAAGTCACGCTCAGGTAATACACATGCACTCTGGGCTCCTTCCACCAACAGCGCTACCAAAATACTGAACGCACTTTGCCTTTAGGAACGTGTGTGGCATGAGTGCAACATGGCACCACTGCAAAAATGACTTCTAATTTGTTTGGCGAATTCCAGTACATGAAGCAGAATGGGATCATCATGGAGGTCAATGAGCTGGTGTTTAATAGAGCTTTTGCATAGCAGCCATTTGATCCCTCAGGTGCATTCAATATTACTCAATCAAAATAACAAAATATCCTCCAAGGTGGCTGCTATAGAGTACCAAAGTGTTACGTCATAAGACCAGAAAATGTAGTGCAAACGAATGGAATACGCGTGTTGGTTCACGGGCCGAGTCACGCGCTATAATGCCTTGTACATACATTTTTTTTGCACATTAAGTATTCACTTCGGTGCTCTATAGATGTCAATATCTGAAACAAGACAGTCATCTTACGTTATCATCTTCATCTATCAGCACGACTTCATTCCAAGCTCTGTTGTAGTCGCCTCGCACGAGAGAGCAGGCCACACCAATACGATCACACAGAGTCTGGTGAGAAAGAAAAGATACTCATTCACTCTGAGTGCAGTTTTCATGAAAATGGTCTCATGTCCTGATGAACAGGGGTAATTATTGCGAACCACTTGAGGACCCTTGATATAAAGCACTATAAAGCACAACATTATTATTATTCTAAACAGTTATTGCACCATAATTCCATCTTATGAATAGTTCTTGCACAAATTAAAGAGGACTCAATCAGGAACAGTGTATTATGTTTTTTAGAAAACTTGAAACTATTGTCATACTTATTTGTATGGCCACAAAACGAGTAGAAACTTAATAGATAAATTTCAGAGTTCTTCAAAGAAAAATCTGTAAATCTGAATTTTCGTCCGTTTTCTGGCCAAGCCTACCTTGAATAGCAGAGCCCTGTGGTAGTGGATACCCTTGTCTATTCTACCGATGGGAAGGATGTTACTCTTGAGTTCATACTTGAGCTGACTGATTGACAACTCATAGCTGAAGCTGGATAGCTGACCTCGCTCAATGGAACCACCCATCTTGTCACTCACAAATCTGCCAAGGAAAAGAAACAGGCAAATTAAGTGGTGAAAAAATTACCAGGAATACTTGAACTGGTGTACTGTTGTAGGTCTCGTTTGGTAAGATGGGGGAGGGGGCAGCAGCAGGCTTCAAATGTTGTTCCAATGCATCAATTTCACAAAAGCTGAGCTTGCCTATTAATGACATTGAATAACTATGCATCAAAGACACCAGAGCAAAACTGAGATGTTTTTGCATGTATTGATAAATTGGTCCTGTTTTTTTTTAACAGCATGAAACAAGACAGCTATTACATGCTCACTGAATGAGGCCCTTTCCTTCACATAAATTGTCCAATGTTGGACTCGGTCCAAACGATGCGAGTATAGGTATATGTTATGCCACTTTACCACTTCCAATGAATTCGGACATGGCCTTGGTACAAACATTTCAATAGGAACTTACTGAGCCACCACATCCAGCTGTTCCCTAGTGGTGGGCAATCCCGCGGCATTGATCAGCATCTCTGTGATGTACTCTTCTAGTTTAGGGTCAGCTTGGGGTTCAAAGGTCGGTGGTTGCTGAGCTAAGATGGCTTCCTGCTCAGCCAGACGTTCTGCTTCCATACGCTCACGTAACTCTCGTTCCTCTTTCTCCTTCTTGGTTTCCCGTCTGCCCCTAGAAAAAAAATTTTTAAAAGTAAAATAACATAGGAAGACATACCGTTATAAACACAAGATAAACAAAAGTCAACTATAAAGGAATGTCATGGTAATGATCTATCCAAGGCTGGTAAGAACTAGGATGCAGAACAATTATTTTGATAACACCGCACTCACAGTTTCTGATTGGCAGAGAGGGAGTCACATGGCATTCACTATTTGTTATCTTGCTGTGCACTGCCAAAAGTACTTCACCCATAGTAACCAAAGTACTATACCCATAGCTACCAAAGTACTATACCCCAAGCAACCAAAGTACTGTGATACACGTATTGTGTGCAAATGCATATGGGCGTACGCAATGCGCGTATTGTTCCTAAGCGCTAGCGCAACAGAGCTGGGTTCAAACATTTCGTGAAGGGGTAGTTTTGGAAAAGTGCAAGTAAATTTTCAACTAATTTCGTATTAAGATAGAAGTTCATTTTACTTGCATTTTTAATAGATGAAATTAATTAGTTATCGCTGAAAACCAAGCAAAATCTGTGGGAGAGGCGTTATAAAACAAATATCACTGTTTTATCTCGTGATGTAGTAAAACTAGCCTCCCTCGGTGATCCACGGAGCATTCTATTTTCCCTCGGCTTCACCTCTGGAAAATAGAATGTCCATGGATCACCTCAGGTGCCTAGTCTTATTACACCACTCGAAGCAGTCAATATTTGTATAAAATAGAATTTGCTATTTTGGAAGCCCAAGGGAATGTTTGTTCTAGCGGTGTTTGTTCTAGCGGTGTTTGTTCTAGCGGTGTTGGTTATAGCAGCGTTTTACTGAAATCTCTTCTCATTCACATTAATGAAGAGACATCATTCCAAAAACGCAAACCTTTCACGGTTTTGTTACCTCACTATACAAATGTGAAAACTGTTCTGCTAAAATTAGCACAATTTTGCTTTAAACCTTTAAGAGGCAGCAAACATTTTTTTATCATGCCAGCCAGAAAATCTTAAGGATTAGAACTAACACACAACCCTTGTTAATGACAGAATAGCCACATGGGGCATTGGTATTACAGCTTCTTCACTCACCCTCTCATTGCTGACTTGGAGGACTTGCTAGCTACGTTAGTTCTTGAGGTGTCTGTCTTCACATCTAGTTCTGATGGGTTCGTTGGTGGTGCTGGGGATCTGGGTGGGCTGCAAGGAAACAGTGAACAAAGACGATGAGCGTCAACCTTAAGAACACAAAAAATGAGGCAAGGACCAAGAACGATCTGCAACAAAATGAAAAGGCAAATAACCAACAAGTCTGAGCAGGAACTGGGTTAACAACAGCTTGACCAAATTCATTCGTTGAGGACATATTTCACAAATCAAATACAGTGGAATGTCGCAATACCAAACACTGCTACTGAACATTGTGCTTGGCTCCCGATTTTGTGCACAGCACGTACTGAACATTAGTGTTGAACAATGTCAACAACAGAGCGACAAGTGGCTATTATTTCCCCATTGCTGTAGATAATAAGCTCAAAAATTGTGTAATTACATAATTCAATAGACGGCCTGGGTTCAAAGTCGTCTTTCAGTAACTACCAGGGCGTGCAGGGTGACGTTCGGAAGGGCGGTTTTTATTTATTTATTTTATTTATTTTAAATCTTTGGACAACACAGAAGTAAAAAATATCTCATTAGCAGGGTCTGCTTTGAAAAGTGAGTACCAGAGCACCAGCAGATTAAAACCGCACATTTACCGAATGATCGCTATATTACAAACAATTTCTGTGGATCCCGCGATATTTGTTATAACGACGTTCAACTGTACAAGTCAATCAATGAATCAACGCGGCTTGCTTTACCCCAGGCTACATCCAGATTACTTTGCTACGACAATCATAAACACACGCACCAAATGGACTGGCCTAGGCCACTTAACATACACATGTAGAACTGCTAATGAATGGTGATGATTGACAATAAATAATGACAACCCACCTGGCATCAGCTGATACACAGTTAATCAGGATGACTGGTCTCTTCTGGTCCACTTCCTGTTTGCTCAACTCTTCTAGAGTCAGGAACTTGCCCTCTGTGCGTACCTGCGGATCATTAAACCACCAATAATCATTAAAAAATGAATCCTTCCATTGGAGTCCTTGAGCAAGACACTTTACATCAATTAAATCCTTTCTCTAAAGAGCTAAGAAATATATGGATAATGAGACATTGTCATTTTATTCTTGCATCTCAAAAGAAAGATTCTCAGCATGCACTGCTTCATGTTTACGACCACTAACACATTTCTTGGTGCCAAAAGAATATTCAGGGAACATGTCCATCATTCTAAATTACACTCCCTATGCATGGTATAGATGCCGTGTGCAAACAAAGAGGACACATTTTGAAAACTGTTTGAGATCCCTGTGGATGTCACACCGTGTGCGCATACTGGTTCGCATGCATGAAGCGCAAAGTACGCACATTCTGCATGTGCAAGCCATGGCATCTTCCTGGAGAATCAGGCACTGTCAGCAATGCGTTTGAATGTCCCTCCCAGCGGCCTCCACTAACTTTCCTTTCTAACTGTTGTGTAGGGCTGTCCCGAATATACCAAATATTCAACTATTTGATCATTTGTTCATTGTTCCCATCCTTTAAGCACTTACAACATTCCTACTGTAAAACACACCAGCTGCCCATAATTGTGATCGCCGCACGCATCTTTAGCCCAGCGTGGCAGGCAACTGCAAGTGGGGTGTGTAAAGCTTGATCAAAGAGTTTTGAATAATCAAATATTCGGTGGAACGAAGCTCCGTATAATTGAATACTCAATTATTGGAAAAAGGACAGTCTTATACCGTTGAGGGGGTATTTGTGTTCAGAGCTTATAGTTGGAATAAGAAACAACATTTTATTTCACACTGCTAACATTCGTCCCAAGTGTCGACCTCATGGTTATCTTACCCGGCCTGCATCATAGAATCCATCTTGAATGATGTCATTAGGACCCAGTACCCCCATCAGAGCATACTTAGCAGGCAGAGTGCTGTCTAGCAAACGTTCCAAGGCAGCATCACTGAAACTGCTCTGTCTTGTACTGGACAACTTGATTTCCTTCAGGATATCAAGTCCGCTGCACAGAAGCAAACAATGAGACAGGTGTAACTGCCCATGTGGTAGTCATCAAGATTCATGTGTACTCTTGAAGTGTACATGTCCTTCATTACGACACAGGACTTGGAACAAAGGCTTACCTGAGACAATAAGATCCCTAAATACCTGAGCACAAGTTCTTGGTGGTTTGAGTGTGCAAACGTGAACAAAAGAAGGGAACAGTACGGGACCTGGGTAGAATAGACCGATCTGAGTGGCCCACTTTTTGTGATTTTTGAGTTGGCTATCCAATATTAAGGGCACGTTCCAATTTCCCTTTGGTATTTCCCACAATGCACTCCCCTTCCATGATGTAATTAGAGCTATAAAAAATGCACCTGTGAGGGGCATTCAGGCTTGGACGCACCCCAGTAATGGCTACCAGAACTGTCATCGCAATTTTACAATCAAATTGGTGTATAGAAAAACCAGACTCTATGCACAGACAGTGTGCCCCACAATCTATGCTTACTTGAATCATCATGTTGCTACATCTACTGGAGGGCAAAATTTAAATATGTGTTGGACTCACCCCAGTTTGCATAACTCTGTAGCGACGAGAGGGTCTGTAGCACACACCATGATGGCCCATGATGCACTGCGTCGGACTTCATCATTACCTGATTGTAGGAGCTTCAGTAATGGAGATAGGCCACCTAGGCCACGCAGCTAAGTCACAAATAAACAAAATAATTAGGGAATAATGAATAACCAGGTTGATGTTGGTTTTTGTAGCTTTGGTTACAAATTACAATTTGTGTTTTAGTACTTAGTGCTTTCACCAGATCAAACGTACAATTTTGTACAAGCACACTTTGACAATTTTGGCGATTTCAAGAAAAGGATTTTACATTGCACTGATTTGCACCAATATTGAAGTTACATGAAAATGACTTGCTCAACAATATGAACTGAATATCTGAAGACAAAATTTAACTAGGCTGCAACAACTGAATGAGATAAAAGTTGGCTACAACAACTGATAGAGAAATGAATTTACCTGATTACGGGAGTCGGCATCGCATACGAATGCTGCAATAGCCAGGGCTGCTTTGCTCTGTACTGAGGTGTTACTGTATCAACAAACAAAGAAAAAAAAACAGTACTCACTTTGGTTTACAGAAAAACTCTTCTTCTTGAAAGAAATATGGTAACAGACTTTGAAATACCCACTGTTTTAAAAACAAATCACTGTTGGAAAACAAAAAGGGGACTAGAAAAACCAAGCCACGTATTTAAAATAGTAGGCTTTTTTAAGTGCTGTAGTACACTGTAAAGTGAGGGAGAAAGCTGAGAGAGATATACGGAACATAAAAATAAAAAAAAAACATTCGCTGGCAACTGCTTACTGGAATGACCTGAAATATACACATAAAAAAATAGGCCTGTTTTCTTGATGGAAAATTGAATGTAAAAAGATCCCATCTTACGTTGACAAAAGGGGCGTAATGAGAGCCCCAACCACACCCCTTTTCTGGATATCCACTCGTAGGATTTCATCTGTAGCCATATTGGTCAGTACGACGGCCGCGTTGGCCTGAGCGCCCTCATGTGAGTTAGTCAGTAAACCAATCAGCGGCTCGATACCGTTATGGTCGGCTATCTCCACACAGTTAGCCATCTGAGAGGTGGTCAGGTTAGCGAGGGCTAGCGAGGCATTCTGGACGACTTCTCCATTTTTGTTGTCCAGGAGTTTGATGAGGGGCGCAATGCCATCTACACACAGAAAAACAAAACCTGGTCACAAATCAAATTTGTGGGCTCTTTTTTTATTTCAATTTGTATTGCACACACTCTGTGTGGTAACCGTAATACTTTTGACTGATGGCCATCATTTTCCAAAATCTGGGAGCACTCTTTGTCAAAAGTGTAAGTCAGCATTATATTCACAAGTCTTATCACCTCCTGGTGCCATTACAGTGTAACAGCGAATAAACACTGGGCAATCCCGTAAATTCAGACGTAGATGTCCAACACTTTAATGAGCTGCTGTTGGAAAAGTGAATGTGATACATCACTAATAATGGGACATCTAATGAGTGGGAAACAATTACAGACCAAACTAAGGTACCACCACCTCAATGACCTTGTACATCATTTGGTCTGAGGTACGCAGAGGATTGGATTGTATGGAATGGCCCCACTGACTACTGACTTGTCACAGTTGATCTGACTGACTCATTATGGACACATGATGGCCTTATGATTGGCTTTTGATGAACTCATGATGGACATGTGATAGCTTTGCGATGACTGGTAATGGATTTGTGTCGACAAAGCTGGTCTTAAAGGTAGCCTCCATCATTTGTAATTTGTGCATTATGTTCGTTTGAAGCACCACAAGTGCTAAAAATGTAAAGAAGGGTGCTGAAAAAACTATAACCTGATGAAGTTTCAGCTCAGTAAATGCTGTGTATTCCGAGAAAACAATATTCTAGGATCTCGATTTCAAATCAAAAGTTTCTGAGTTATGTTTCGAATTGGGCCTGAATTTAGCGTCCGAGACACGTTCTCACTGAGCTGATTGCAGCTACGCGATGTCGCGCACTGAACCGACGAATTATAGCAACCACGTGCGTGTGTGCATTGTGTCAACGGTTGCGCGCACTTTGCCTAATATAAAAATGAACTACCTATAAAAATTTCCCAACGATGTGTCTTTAGACGCATAATTAGAAAGGCCTTCTTTCATTGATTTCTTCAAAATGACAGCTTGCCAGAAAGAATAATTTCACAGGGAGTTTAGTCCCCTTACTAAATCATTACTAAATCATTGCCCTTACTAAATCTTTATAATCAAGTATGTTTTTCAACAATAATTATGTCCTTTTTGGATAGCTGCAAATGATGGACTCTAGCTTTTATGATCCTTACCATATTCCGCGATGGTTACTCTGCAGATAGGACTCTGTGCCATGATCCCGAGTGCCTGGGCAGCAGCTCCCATGACTTGAGCGTTATCCGACGTCTCTAGCAACGAGATCAACGTCTTCTCTCCCTCCTGCTCATGGAAGATCTTGCAGTTTTCACCTGCAAGACAAAAATCACAAAAAATAAAAAATATATAAATGGGTTTGGCCCAAGCATCCCACAGAAGCCCAAGACATAACCAAGCAAGTAAAATTACCAACCCCAACTTCAGGTGTTTTGGGAGTTTTTTGACATACAACAAGATTTACGCCGGGAACAAGCCAACTACTGACCGTTTCTTGCTGCCCGTGCGATAGCCTTAGCGGCATGCATCTGAGCTTCAGGCACCGGTGACTCCACAGCGAATGCCAGGAGTTTCTGTAGTCCCCCAGTGGTCTGTATGAGTTCCATGGTCTCTACATCCTCAAGACAATTAGACAGAACCAGAAGGGCGTGGACGTGGAGATCCTCCCACTCCTACAAGAAATAACAATCAACACATGGCACTTTAAAAATGAGGGACCAGACAAGGTTCTTCAAGTATCAGCAAATTAATTCTGTATTTGCAAAGACAGAAACTTTAGACAGAGTGTTAGCTCAGTCTTCGACAATGAACAAGTAATCAAATATCTACAAATCAATACAAGTAACCAGTTACTACACCAATAGACAGACCAACCTTTGTGCTTACAAACTCCACCAGTCTCTCCAGGCCTTCCACCTCCCTCAATGCTTCTCTGTTCTCTACGTCCTGCGTACACAGCGTCAGGCAGCGCAGGGCCATCTCCTGAATGCTGGGGTAGTCAGACTTCAATAAGTCCAACAAGGACTCCAGACCATGCAACTCTCTGAGGATAACACAACAAAGGCTGGCAATAGTTATGCTATTAGCAAGTAAAGCAATAAAGTCACAGTGGTCTGATGTTATCAATCAACTTTCAATCTTTAAGCTAGAGATTTGCGTTTGTTGAGTAACAAATGCTGGGTGATCAGGTTTGAAAAAACCCTAAAGAATAAGACTCCTGTCTTGGAATTTGACTAACAGCATGGACTCACACAACGTCCAACCATTTCACTTTTTATTCACTTCAATACCAGAGACAATCCTGACCTGATGGCCGTTCTAGTCTGATAGTCCTGCAGCAGCAAGCAGACTGCCTCCACAGCATTCTTCTGTACGTCAGGATCAGTGACTGCTAGCAGCATGATGAGAGGCTCCAGGCCATCCTGCTCAATGATCTGAACTTTACTAGTGAACTCCTGGGCCATGCTAGCTATACACAGACTGGCAAATTCATGGACGAGAGTCTCCTCTGTCAATAGAACAACAGATGATAATCTTGTCAAAAATGACACTAAAAGTCGTATCGAAACCAAAATGTATGTAAAGCAATTCAACTCAACCCAAACAGAATACAGTTTCGGATTGCAGTTTTTTTTACCGTTCATTTTTTTCCATTGCCTAGACTCGGGGTTATCCAAGCAACTTCAACAGTCAATCTTTTGTCTTGGTAACTTACTCCATTTTCAATTCTCAAAATGTTAAAGTACTTATTAAAAGTTCAGAGAATAATTTGGCTTATTAACCGAATAGTACTTGTACTACATTGTATTACATTTGTGTTTATTCACTGAAGAATCAATAAAACCATTGACAACTGATGGGGCTACCCTGGTAAAATAACATGAAGTAAGTAAATAACTAAATAAATAGAGCGCTCAGGTGGTTTTGGGCGCTACAGTGAGTAATAGGCAGGGCAGTTTCAGTTGTTCAAGTGACTTAAGGATTTAAACGACTCCTAAACATTATACTGAAATGGGTTATCATTTACTAAAGGAGAAATGCACTGTGACAACTGATCTGTTTTCTTTTGTCTTGTACAATTCACAGGACGTTCCATTCCAATGGCCGTCTGTGATAATTTCCAACCACTCAACTATGACGACAATCTGATGAGCGATCACAAATGTTAGATTGGGATTTACCGTCTGGTGAGAGAAGCTTGATGACATTCCCAATGCAATCACTTTTCCTGAGCACTCTCCGAACTTCAGCTGTGGGCAAGACAGGGAAAATATAATATAAATGACACAAAAATATCTCCGTCATCATTCTAAAAGAAAGGATATGCTGTTTCATTGCTAACCAAGCTTTGAAAGTACTGCAATTAGTGAGTCAATATGGCTCATCATGCAAGTGTTCATCTCTGGTTTCTGTGCCAGGAACAGATTGAGAATGTTCGATTTGTCCTAGATGGAAGACCAGGCCATCGCAGATCCTGAACTGTCCGTCGGTCCACACAACGGACAAACACTAGACAAACTACACTTACGATGTGCTGACATGACTCCTAGTGTCATGGTGGCATTCCGACGGACAGTCTTCTCCTCCGAGGTGATGAGTTTCAGGAGAGGCGGGGCGGCACCCATTTCCATCAAGAGGGCCTTATTCTCATCACCTGTTGCCATGGTAAAACAAAGATAGGTTTAATAAGTGAGAGGTTTGCGGTAACACCATGTGGAACTTTCTCTTTTGTGAGTATGTGTGGCTCTGAGGAGAACCAGTTGGATTAATAGATAGGTTCCTTGACCGTGACTATTATTATAATGGCATCGTACACCTCCTACCAAAACCATGCTCATTAAGACTTGTTTTTGCCCAAGACCCTCCCAAAAGAAACACTTTCAGAGATGTAATTTGTAATTGTTCTGAAACTTATTAACAGTTTGACATGTTCTAAGAAATGATGCAAAATCAAGAATCAACTTCTCAAATCTATATAGATTGATATTGAATGAAGTACCCCTATCAACGAAAGCACAGGGTAACAACTGGCCTTAACATTGATGTAAAGCAACTAGGTATATATTAAAAGTAAAGGAACTTTTGTGCCCTCTAAAAAATTGGAGTTTTAACGAGTCCCTGTTCCATTCAATCCTCACACAGTGGTAAACCCGTATTGAAAAGAATGACTTGATTTATTTTGGACATGAATGAGAACATACACTTCTCTGCAAATTTGTAGAGAGCCTCGCATGATTTGATGAGGATGTCGTCTTCTGTGCTGTCGAGCATGAGAACCACAGTGGCTGCCTTCTTGCTCTCAACAGACAGAGCGTCAAACTGAAAGAGAGAGAGAAAAAAAAAAACTCAGCTAGATTTTGAAGGAGTTATTTAATGATTTATTTCAGTGCTTCTGGAGGGGTGTCTGTTCAACTTGCACAAACATTTTCTCATCACATTTTATCATGGTATGTAACCATGGAGGAAGGAATTTGTGTTCCTGCCACCATGAGTAAACATTTCCATAAGAGCAGTACAGTTAAACTTATTGTAATACAGAGGTATATATCCAAAGTTTAAGTTACTGGCAGTAAAATTGCGTTTTGGAGTGTTTTGATATGACCATGACAAAGTCTCATCAGGATTTGATAATAGAAAACTCTAACATGATAAAAGAACTGTGACACGATTCGGTACTTACAGTATCTTTGGGTGGTGCCTCTGTCTCCTTTTTGTTTTTCTTCCCCATTTTGAAGCAGTTTCTGTATTTGCAAAAAAGATGTAACCTGCTCACTTAATACCAAGTAAAGGAGGAAATAGAATAAATGTTGTAGCTAAAACTACAGACGGTGTACAGGGAGCTCAAGTTTAGCTCACTGGAACTTAACACAACTTACACAATTTTTACAAAATTCTAACATTGACTTATGTTACGGTAATTGACCATAGGGTTCCCTGACTTGACTATCAACCAAATGGTTCTTGGCCTTTATTTACCTTTAGAAAATTCTCCAAAGCCGCAGATTTCGAGGAAGAAAATGAAATCTACTTCAATAAGAAAGTATGATTAGATTAAAAACCCTAAAATTAAATGAATCTATAGTCAAAGAAAATTAAGAAAAACAGTTTGGCACAGTGTGGATTTGATCCTTCGAGCTACCAAAGCACTCTGGTTGGATGGGCTGTTATAAATTAGAAGGCACCTTTCCATTATGAAAGGTGCCTTCTAATTCTAGAAGTAGGTATAAATGTGATATAAACTCGCAACGTTTTTGCATGGCAATGCCCTAATGATAGCAGTTGAAAATCGTGTTGAGGCTGCCGTAATGATAGCCACTAACGTTAATTTTTTTTTAAAAATTACTTTTTCCTAAGGATTCTGAGTGAGAAACATTTCCACATTTTTCTTTGAAAATACTTCAAAAACATTTTCTAATCCTGTGTTTGAGAAAATTCATGAAGCTTTCCTTCTCTTTCGTAGCCAAATATTAACCAATAAATGAAATTAATGTTATCGTTTTATGTCATTTCGTTCTGGGCAAAAACCACAACATGCTCAACCAAGGTAGTGAGTTCAGCGTAAAACGTAACCACGACGAATATATCTGAAAGGGCCTGAAAAATGGCTGAAAATTTCGCGTTATTAAAAATAGTTCCTGTTGCTCAAATTCGACTTTAAAATGATTCTGAAGATATGGAGGATGTTTTTATGAAAAAAAATAAGTTGAGATCATTATAAAAACCACTTTCCGCATACCACGATAATAGGGAGTTCACCTCCGTTCGCACACTTGGTGCATGTCTTTTTTCGCAGGCATCGTACACATAATAAGCCACACCACCGTCAGATTTATTGCAATTTGAAAAGGAAGAGTTATACAACACAAAAGACAAGACAATTCGGGAAGGTTAATGGGCAATCTCTATTCCGAATGAGAAACGTGATAAGTACCGCGATAACAGGGAGTCCCACTCCCATCTTACATTGTAGGCCCAGACATGGCTCGGACAAGTCGGACAATCGTGCGGTGTAACGGGGAAAATCATAACTTTTTTGTAATGAGAGATAAAAAGCCGATTCAAAAACCAAACTTAAACTATTGTTTTTTTTATAAGGATTCCGATGACATTTAACACTTTGTTAAGTTTGGAATTTTGTGGGAAAATTAAGAGGTGTTAAAATAGTAATATTTTAAATTTAATACTAAAAATTACAGAAATTTCATTGAATTTTGCCATTTATTAAAATAATAAATTTTAAATTGTTATATCTCCAAAACGCAAGCTCATAAGGCAAAGTAAAAAAAAAAACATGTTTAGCGTCCCCGCCCGCTTCCTTTTTAGAGGCCGCCTCCTTTTTTTTTTTTTTTTTTTTTTTTTTTTTAAAGACAAAAATTGATAAATTTTAACGATCTCTGACGAAAGAAATCGTATTTTTAGACTTTTATACCGTGTTTAAAGCTGTGGAAATAGTCAATGAGTCCAAGTGGCGGCCATTTTGAAAAAAGCTGGTAACCATCTTGAAAAATAGCCCGGCCGCGTTGTCTTGAAAAATGTGTCGGGCGGCCATTTTGAAAAGAAAAAAAAAAAAAATAAGGGCCTCCTCCTTCCTTTTTGTCAAAGAGGCAGGACGCTAAACATGTTTTTTTTTTTATTTTGCCTAATATGAAAATGATTTAAACGTCATGAACGTTACCGATTTTGTCGTGTGATTCTCTTTCCAGTGATACCAAATATTCTAGGGTTGTAAGAAAAAATCCAAAAAGTGCTGAACTCCCTAACAAGGAAGGCCCATTAAATATCACAACTGGTCAATGACAATTCTAACGTGACACACGTCAAAATCGGCTACCTACTATCCTACTTCCTAGTCCTACTTGCAGACCTGCCAAAAAAATCCAAGATTGTTTCAGCTGACGGTTTAAAAAAAAAGCTGCTTGCAAATGGAAATTCTTACCTCTTCTCACAGTGTCAAATGAAAAGAACTGAAAAAATGGTTAGGGTTTTGGGAAGATGGGAATCCGGGAGAGTGTATTCCGATTATCGTTTGGTTGTTAGTGTTGCTATCGCTATAATTATGACGTCACACAATGAATAAGTCTGGTACCAACCTCGTCCCAGTGCTTACTTTATTTCCAACCGCGTTTCCAATAGTAAAGGTAGTGGTGGGCCCGTACTGCTCGACACCCTGGGGACGAGGTTGGTCTGGTACCGATTCTTGCAATTTTGCGCGAAAATAATTTTACGAAGAGACGAATGCCAGACAAGGTCACTGGATACCAGACTTATCAAACAGTGAAATAAGGTTCCTCATTGCGCCAGACTTTTATGCAAATTCTTACACAATCCAAGATGGCAGCGTCCATGGTCAACCAGTTTTTGGCTACTTCGTGGAGAACAGCTTCCCGTTTTTTACTGTTTCAAAAGGTTTATATTGGATTATATATTTAACAATTGATCAGTAGCTGTAAGAATACCTGAAAAAATATTGCATCCTGACGCCACTTGTTTTGGGTCTGGAACTGAGAAACATTCCGAAACTAAAGCAAATCATGCAAAAAGTGGGTGATGTCCAATTTTCATAATTTTGTCAAGTTCTAATTCAGTAATTGCACTCGACTCATTCCAGTCTCAGCCTAAAGCGTCTGCTCTGTGGTACCAGCTTTGTACACGGCCAAAGAAGTGGTGTCTAGATACCAGTGTTGGAGGTCTCGAGGCCGGCCTCGGCCTCGAGGCCGGCCTCGAGGCCGATTTTCATGGCCTCGGCCTCGGCCTTGGCCTCGGAGGTGCAAGGCCTCGGCCTTGGCCTCGGCCTCGGAGCCTTCTGGCCTCGGCGAATCAGTCGAGGCCGGCTCGAGGCCGCCCATTTTGATGTGTTTTCTATTCTAATTAATTTGAATTTTTTACCGTATCAAACCCTCGAGATTCTGCCGCAGTGGGTTCCGTAAAACGAACGCATATACAATGTACGCACAAATGAACTGGAAATGGTTGCATTGAACGTACCCACGTACGTAGCATCTTCGCCTAGCCTGCGCTTCAGCTTTCCACGTGCGTGCAAGCGTTATAACTGTTACCGCGTGCCAGACTACATAAGTCTGGCACCAATCCCATTTGCGTACAATAACATTTGGTAGTAGACTAGTCTGGTTGCAGTGTTGTAAAAAATTTTCTCGTTTCGCCTCTGTACCCCGACCTTTAAAAATGAATTGCGGCAAGGTGCGGCAAGCTTGATCATTTCTTTTTATAGGCCACTGTTTCAGTAAAAGTCTGAACTTTCTGGGTACGATCGAGTGTACTAGTCCGTACCATTTGTTTTCATAAAGATATGATAAAAACAATTACGATTTATCTAGTGGATTTTATTTTTACACGGTGATTTAAATGAAAGTTCCGGCTCACACGGTAATGTTTGGCGCAAATGGTCGATATGGAAAGCGCGATTTCAGAATTCGTTTTTCCATCCAAATGAATGCAAAGTTCTGAATGAATGTTTTAATAATACGAGTCAGTATTCCTCGTGGTACCAGGATACTTTTTGTATTTTAGAGCCATGTTGATACTTATTACATGTATAAGCACGGTTTGATATTGACTAATTTTGCGTGGTTACAGATATACGGCCAAACCTGTGGACTCCCTACCTCTTGCCATGATCTTAACATTCTTCGAAGCCATTGGATTCAAATCGGATGATCCGAGAATTCATGGTCATTTTGATGAACTGAGTGATATCTTGCACGCATGGTCCATGTTGCCGTGTTGTTTGGAGCGGGATTGGCCATTGCCAGACTTTGTCTGGTACCGCGGTATTAACAGTGATAATGCGTGGACACTTATCCCGTTGTGTGGAGCGGGATTGGAACTATGCTTTGCCCGTGCGTAATGGCGGGCCGTCTGGCATTGTCTGGTCGCATCGCGGTGTTTGCTCGGCGCGCGCCAGGACAGTGCGAAGGTCGGGGGTCGTGGTCGTAACTTTTTGGTTATGAGTGGTAAAAACCTGATTCAAAAATCAAGTTGTTGTTTATTTAATGGGGATTCCTATGATATTAAGCATTTTGATAGGTTTTGAAAATAAGATTTATAAAACATGCTAAAAGTAAATGATGTAAATCTTACAGAATAGAAACTCAAAATTTGGCCATTTAAATTGTTGTATCTCCAAAGGGCAAACACCTATGAGCCTGATTCAAACGCCATTGATTTTGTTGTGTAATTTGCTTTCAGTGATACAAAACTTGAGATTTCTTTCTTTAAAAAATAAAATTCGCCGGACTCTCTACAAGAGGAAACCCATTGCAAACTGTAAATTTGTAAGCCAGGCACTCCAAAACTCAGTGAATTCAACTAAAAAGATGTTAAAACTCCAACATAATCTTAGCCTTGTTTTAGTGATTTATATTTTATTACGTGTTTTGATAGCTGGCCTCGGCCTCGGCCTTGGCCTCGGAGGTGGTGGCCTCGGCCTTGGCCTTGGCCTCGCGGTTGTGGCCTCGGCCTCGGCCTTGGCCTCGGAGGTTGTGGCCTCGGCCTTGGCCTCGGCCTCGGAGGTTGTGGCCTCGACTACAACACTGCTAGATACTGCATTCTTTCCGAACATGCCGAATACATGTATTTGTTTCAATAAAAAGTATGATGTTTATTTTATTTTTTTTTAGTGTTTTTATTTTAATTTTTTAATTTATTTATTTATTTTATTTTATTATTTTAAATAAATAATTTTAATTGTCCATTTATTTATTTTATATTTTATTTATTTATTTTTTTTTGGGGGGGGGAGGGAGATATAGTAGAGAGTGTATATCCCAACATGCCTAGTCCGAGTAACTTGGACCAAACTTATCGCCTTTTTTAACATTTGGACATCGCCAGACCATGTCCAAATGTTAAAAAAGGCGATAAGTTGGGTCCAAGTTACTCGGACTACAACATGCCCAAGTTTTTACCCAATTTTTAACATCATTTCAGCAAGTGATAAAGGGTGGTAAACACTTTGATTTGCTGTATATATTTGACAGATTCATCTCGGATCATCAAGCAGACTATTCACATCGTCAAGCAATCCCATTGACCCACCACTAAATGCAGAGATTCCTATCCCTGAATGGAAACAGCCTGAGAATGAAAGCATTGAGCTGAAACGCGCCAGGCTGCTCTACCAGAGCCGCAAGAGGGGCATGTTGGAGAATGGTCTCTTACTCAGGTTAGTCCTGTTGAGCCCATGTCTGTTGTCCAGTTTAAGAAAATGGCATGCGCAATTTTTAAACATGTGCTCTTTATATTTGTAAAAAATTGCAGAGCACTCTACAAGTCTGAAAAGCTGGTAGTATATTAAAGCAATTTACCAATTTACCATACTGACATAAATGTTGTAAAGTGAACTGTGTCAAAAATTGTTGGGGTTGAAATGCTATTTGAATGTGCGCTTGTTGAGTAGATGTAATAAGTTTAATCCCACTGTTGTAACTTCAGAGATAGTAACCAGTTTTCTATTGTTTTCCACAGCACATTTGCAGCCCGCTATCTGCCCGCACTGAACGACGCACAGCTGGAGCAGTATGACCAGCTGATCAACAAACCTAACAATGACTGGGACATCTTCCACTGGGTAACAGGTAATGCAAAAATAGTACTATTAATCATTTCTGGTAATTAAACCAAAGATTTCTTAAAAGTACTCTATATAAGCACTATAGCTTGCAAGCCTATTAAAGTAGTTTTAGAGGTGGGAGGAAAACCCCAGAATGATCTTCTAGGGAAAACTCACGGAATCTTGAGGTCGGGACTGAAAACCCTACGTATTTACATTAACTTTGCCTCTGAAGATCTTGTCAAGAACCAACATCAGGCTGCTGAATTTTTTTAATTACATTTTAATATGATGCCAGCCGAGGTGTTGTATGGCATTTAGAATGTTGCTTGAACTGTGCCACTGATCACTGTCCAAATTTGTCCCTGCATACAGAGCACAAACCTACACCAGATGAGTACCAGGGCGATGTGATGGACCTCCTGAAGGAGCATGTCTCCAATGTCAACATGGAATCAAGAATCAGACAACCAGATCTACCAGAAGAAGAAATCAGGAAGATGTGAAACCAGCCTCCCAACCCCCTCCCCCACCCTCCCCACTTGTAGTAGACATGGTGCCCACATGTATGTAATTGGGCATATGCTGGAGTGTACAATTGTGACATTATACTATCCACAAGTCATCAGCCAAAGCTGCTGTGCCGCTTGGGTGTTGACCTGAGCACATGTTCTCGATTGTAAATAGTTCCTGAAAGCAATGTGATCCTGTTTTGATAACTACATATTGTTTGCTCAAATTGAATTCCAGATAGACTTGCTACAGAATTAAACTTATCACTTGCAAAAAAAAAGGAACTGTTGTCGATTTGCACAGGGGCTGTCCAGTTAAAAGAAAAGGCCTTCATCATTGGTTCATCTCAAATTGCTTGGTATTTTGTAACTCATTTCTAATAGTATGACAGATTGGCTGAAAAGTGTCCATTGACAAATAGGGTAGCAACTTATATGTATTTCTTTGACAGTACACATTAACCATTCATGAAAGAGATCTGGAACTTCTCACATGCCATGGCTGATGGTAATACCGGAGTCTTATATAGCGCACGTATATACCAACAATTAGGAACTCAAAGCACTGGAAATATGTCTATAATTAAAGACGGGTAAATGAAGTTTATGAGAAATATTAGACCCATGGTGTAGCACCTTGTAAGGGTATACAAGGTGCTGCGGCGCATTTTGCAGCCACTGCCAGAAACACTGGGGCAAACCCCTTCTCTTAGCGATAAATATTACTGTGTTTTGAATTGTGCATTACGCAACGCATGGGACCTACGGCTTCACGTCCCATCCAAAGGATGAAGCAATCATCACAACCTTAGATGTTCTGGTAAGTAAAGGGTTATAACGTAAAAAAAATTGACAATGTAAAACCAAAGCATTTCTGGATTCAACCACAATTGTTCCATCACTGTTATTAGAATTCTGTGTAAAATACAAAAATTAAGAGCTGTAAATAACTTTGTTTTATGAACTGGAATAAGAGTGAAAGAAAGACAAACTATAAATAAACTTCAAACAAAATCTCATTTGCCTTTAATAAATTATTTGTTTGCAAACAGTGTAATTGTTACGTTTACTGCAATTCTACAAAATGGTAATTTTTAAGAGCAGTGTACCCTGTATCAAAATGTACAACAGCATACAGGAAATATAATAGAATTTAAAATTGGTTGTGGTAACTTCAGCTTAAAATCAAAAGATGGGTACATTACATACCTTTTGTTTTTAATCATAAAGTAATAATGAGAAACCTTGAACCGTTCCAAACATTTTTTTTTAACTGAATCTTTGGTCATATCTAGCATCCAGTCTGCATTTAAACTGCTTCTCTTTCACAAAGCAATAAAAAAGTTTCTACTTTGTTATGCAGTCATTGAGATTTGCCATTCTAATATTCAGTTTTGTTTCAAAAGTGTAATTCTACTGCTTCATAAACATTTCCCCTTTGGTGGAAATGTGATTTCCCTCCGTAATGAAGCCCAAAAAGTTGGTGTTACTGTTAAGACTTTTGGAAGTGCGAGCAGTCACCTTTTCAATGGACTGAATTTGAATACATGTATTTCAAAACAACGGCAAAATCAGCTGTTGCTTTTATACAACACTTATACTGCTTATTGTATTGCTGCATAATCTTTCGAAACAACATGCTCCATAATGATAGGGAGACAGCCTAATACAACACAATGGAATGAGTTTCATTCTATTATTCAGATGACTGAGCCACTTCTCTGAATGGAGCTGACAAGCTTTCCAGGATGTGCATCAGTTTCTCTTTCTCTGCTTCGTTTGATCTCGTCCAGGCTAAGGCCAGGTGCTTGGCAACTGACTTACGATCTGGAAAGGGAAGAACAATTAGCAATCATGATTTTTATTTTCTGTTCAAATTCAAGAACTTGGTAAGGAATTTCACCTGTGCATGCGTACATCCCATAAATTTTCCAGATTGCCTTTTTTTATGAGGAACACAGACTGTTGATTAACCCTATCTTCCCAACTCCATCAAAATCCATTCCCTTTGGAGTGATTTTGAAAGACGAGCCATCTGTACCAATCCATCAAAATCCAGTTATAGTATTGGTGGTCTTGTCGTGGATTTCAATAGCTTTGGTCCTGAAGCATAATGTGAAGCAGGGTCAGTGATAGATTTTAGCAGACTTGGTCCAGTGCTTAGTAAACACATTCGGGAGTTCGGGTTCAGCACAAAATTAAACAGAACTATGAAATTGGGACTCTGGTACTTACCCAAGTAAAACTGTCCACTAGGTTGATCAAGCACTGCTTTGGCTGCACACAACCAGACTATGGTATCAGCTCCCTGCTCAGGACTTCTCAGACGATTCTTGAGTTTACTGTGGAATCCAGGCATGGAGGTCTGTACAGCCGGTGTGTCGGCCCAGCCTGGATGCATGACGGAGAAATGGATCGTAGGATGCAGTTTGGCCCACATTTCTGTCATGACCATCTGCTGACGCTGTGAGGACAAACAGAACAAGAGGTTTGAGCCTTTGAGGATAAAAGCATTTGTCATATGTATTTATGATAACTTCAAATGAAAAGAAATCTACACATTTATCTTGGGAAAATATGTGGCTTAAAAAAGGTGCTTCGTTTTCAATACTTCAGGCTTAATTGTTTGGTTGGATAAGTTACGATTATGAAGGTCCAGGTTTTTTGAGAAAAAAAACTCACACTTTAAAGGACACACAAATGTCCAAAAGACCTAAGTGCTGGCAATCAAGTGACAAACATTTCATTTGAAAAATATCTCGGTAATTTTTAATAGATGAGTCATTTTCTGTCCGTAGGTACAGACATTCACCACACAGCACATCAAAGTTAAACAACGGAAAGTGCAGTCAAAAGTACCAAATTTTGACTGATTTCTTTTTTTCCCCAAGTATGTTTAGAACAATTGTGCTGAAAATGGTGCAATGTAAACCAACCTTGTTTTGTGCATAGACCATAGTTCCATCAAACGACATCCGTTCACTTTGTAGATCAGAAAGACTCAGTTTTTGTGAGTACATTCCTCCAGATGATACAGTTACCTAAGCAGAAAATGAGCAAAAGTCCATGAAAAAACATACAGACAATTTTGAATCTTGCAGTGACTGTCCTAATTCACATTAAAAATGAGTGGTTTACAAAAAAATGATCTGACTTTGATGGGTCTTTGATGAGCCTGATTGCAAGACTGAACACCATGGCATCACATTCTATGACTGACCACTATGACCAAGCTGAAATTACAAATAGAGGCTATCTACTTACAACTCTTGATCCTGCTGAGTTTGTAAGCAGAGGCAGTAATGCTGTGGTTAGGAGGTAGGTTCCCATCGTGTTTGTGGCAAAGTTCTTCTCTAGTCCATCTTCAGTGACCTCCCGAGTGTTCACCATGCATCCTGCGTTATTCACCTTCGGGGAATTAAACAAATGATGGAATATTCTAATATATGTACATGACCTTATTTGTGTTACTTAAAGTTACAGATTTCCCATTTGTGGTTGTGATATACATGTATATTGTTTGGAGTGTAAGTAACCCTGCTGAAATGATGATTTGAGATCGACCTCTGGTGTTTTATGGTGTGTTCCTTACCAAAACATTCAGAACTTTCCCACTCTCCCTGAATTGCGTTGCAAACTCATAGACTCGTCTCGGTTGGGACATGTCCAGTATGTGCAGGTGTACATTCTGAAAGGATAAATTATATGCAAGTTAGCAAGCTTTCATTCTGTGAGGGAATATTGTTATCAGTTATCATTGATAACAACTATTAGTAACCAAAATTAACTGTGGTGTTGTTTTTTGAACTATCAAAAATATCAAAACCATTACCATGCTAAATGCAACAAAAAGCAACACTGGTAAAATTTGGTAGCACATAGCAGGGTTCTTATTTCAGCAAATTGCATTTTGTTGCATTTGGCAGGGTGCCTAGAGAAAACCTGTTAGGGTTTAAAATCTCAATCCTCCTAACTTGGGTTTAATAAAACATCTTTGAAAACACTTCCAGGAGTCTTACTTGATTGCCACTACTCTCCGTGATTTCCTTCAGTGCTTCTTGCCCCCTTACTTCACTGCGACACACCATGTGTACTGTGCCACCTGCCAAAGTGCCAATCAATCATTAATAATATCATAAATAATACTTATAAATGTCTGAGGTTGGATTTAACCCAGCCTATAGAATATCCCCTTGCACAGCAAGTGTCTATGATATGGGAGCAGATTCGGCGCTGAATTATGCAAAACAAGACTGTGTCTTGACCTCGAGATTCTGACCATTCGGGTCTTCCGTAACCCGTTGTTGTTTTACAAAAACATAGCATCCAAATTGACCAATCCACAGCTTAGTACACATTTCTGATCGAAATGACGTCCCAGTCTCTAAAGACCACTCCAATTGGCTAGCCACATAAAATTTACATATTACAACATAACGTTCAAGGCTCTGCCAACGTGAATGTCTGGTCCTCAGACTAGGTAAATTCTCACTCAACATTTTTCTACAAACCTTCCAGAATCCATCAAAATCTGCACTAAATCATTAAGAAACATCCTTAATCCTCAATAATCAAGGGGAACATGGGGAAAGCCCGACACGAGTAATAGCAAATAGTCTCTACCGTCCTAAATCCTGCAAATATACCTCCTTGCAGATTTGAAAGAGATAACAAGCATTTCATGTCATGATGGAGTCTTGATAGAAAGGCACAGAACCAACTGCAAGTGGCTGCATACCTCTCTTTGCAAGCTCATATGCCGCACATTTCCCAATACCACTGTTAGCGCCGGTAATCATGAATGACTGGCTAGAAAGGTCCACTTCAAGATCCTTCGGGTCAAAATGCTTGGCAGCCGACTCATAGCCACTCCTGGAAAAAAAACCAAAGAATAAGAAACAATATCAGGTGAGGAAACTTAAGGTTAGAAGAACTAAATTTGTTTAGAAATTAAGAATTTTTGTCAACTTATTTCTCAATGACTAAACTATTTGTGATCTCAAATGGATCACTTGTACAACCCATTTATTGTCATTAAGGTCTCTGTTAAACATCTTTTTTTTCCTTCTGAACTATCGTTTTGCTCTTGGAGTTTAACAAATGTCCATATTTCAAAATAGTTGAATACAAAAGATACCAGATTTTTGTGTGCGATCTTACCTGCAGAATTCCCTCAGGCCTTTTACAATGAAGACAGAATTTCTGTACAAAGTCATGGTGACGTACTAAAAGGGGCAAGAAAAAAAATATGCTGGTTGCTATGATCTTGACCTTAAAATGTACTTTCAAAATGTAAATGAGGTCACACTTAGATTGTTAATGTTATTAAATTGATTGAACATATTGTATTCTCAACTTGATTGATGATACTGTCCAAAAATGCAAATCTTATTTAAAAATATATTACAAATTGGTATCCCCCCCCCCCCTCCCGATAGACACATGCAGCCCTCAACATTTCATAGCCTGGGCTATTACAAAAATACAATGATGGGGAAAGAATGTAGTTTTACTAGTCAGTTAGTGAGTATTCAGACGCCACTTCTTTGGTTGTGCACACTTAGTCTAAGCCCCATAAATGTGGCCAATTTACTGGACTACCATCCGCATATTCTCACCCGCAATGATGTACTCACTAGTGAGTCTACTGGTTTAATGCAGTAATTACTTGTGGCTGCATTGTTACGAGTGCCGAAACGTCATACTTACAATTCAAACGTCGTCCTTCTGTGAGAAAAAGCGTGGCTTTAAATACTAACGCTTCGACGGAATTATGAGAATACGCTGATATGACATGTATGACTATGAAGGAACGAACGTCGCAAGCTCTACACAGTCATCGAAGCTAGTCAGTTAATCAATAACACGACGGTTTTTCCACTGTATTCAATGCTCAGTAGTCAGGGTACCATCCCGAGTTACACAACCAGGCACGTGCGTATTATATAACGTACTAGTACGTACAAGGGTCACTGGCCTCTGGTTGTGGAGGGGGCGTGGCAAAATATCATACGCGCTATAGGGGAACCCCCTTCTCAGCATACAATAGCGTTGCCAGGGTGATACTATACAGAGTGGCAGAATGCAACGGGCTAGAGATTTCAAAGCAAAATCGGGACGATGATAATATTATAAGAAGCAAAATAAGGACGTAAAAAAAAAATGGATGCACTATTCACTAAACTGTGATAGATTGTCACGTGAGCATTAATACATGTAGTACTAAGCAGCTGACACATAAGTCGTATCCGTTAAGGTTTAATTTCCATCCCAAAACAATTAAATTATCAATAAAGACATGAGTTGTCGACGAAAATTTGACATTTCATTGCAAACAGCCATCGTTTGGAAGGTCAAGTTACAGCATGCTAGTGCCATGCTCTAAAACTGATCAACAGACCGCGGAATAAAAAAAGAGAATGCATGGGGCGGAACTCAAATAATAATATTTTATATAGCGCCAAAGTCCGCATAAGGCCAAACAAAAAATAGTTCTGCTTCCGATTACATGTCATTTGAAAATAGGGGTAGGTAGGTAGGTAGGGAATTTTTTTAAAAATTTTTTTGCACATTTTTTTTGTGAACGATCAAATGGAGGCGTCTGTGTATAGTCAAGGGTAAAAGGTAGAAATTGATGGCTTTGGGTGTTTTTTCCCCTCATTTTTCCAATAAAAAAATTAGGGTAGGGGCTGTCAGAAAAGGGTAGGTAGGGAAACTGGAGGCAGAACTATTATTTCTTTTTGGCCTAAGAGACGCTCAGTGCGCTTCACAAAGATAGAACTTAAAAGCTAAGGCCAATCACAATGTTTAAAAATAAAAAAAAAAGAATTAAGAAAATGAGAGACATGAAAATAAAAATACTACTAAAAGGCATATCCAAGCAAAAGTAAAAGATCACAAAGAAACGAATCAATATAATAACAAAAGCATAAACCGAGAAAATATAAACCAATACGTATTCTACAAGAAAAGTAAACGTTACTTTCAACTGGGCAAAAACAGTAAACGCCGCACCAGCAAGTATCAGTATACCAAATACAATATGAAAAAAATCAATAAGCAATATCTGAACCCACGTAGAAATAACTAAATCGTCCATAACAAAATAACAGGAGTAATTACTAAAAAAAACAAAAGGAAAAATCAATAAAACTTGGACCAACCATAGTAACCATTAAAATAGAAGAGTCATCATTTCAATCAAAATGATGAAAAAAGTTGTGTTTCTTCAGTGCTTAAAGCTGCTAACAGTTGAAGAAAAATAAATCTAGGAAAAGACAAATTACTTTGCGAACAATGCAAATAAATATATACAGCACTTTTTTCGGCTGACATTTTGTCGCTCTAAAAGTAAACGCATCACTAGAACGACGACGTATACATGTACATGTACATAGCCTTTTCAGTTATTTGAACTGCATGCTTAAGGGCCGGCCAGCCCTGAATGCATAAAAATAAGTTATTAAATGACGTTAAAAACGTTAGAACCCAATACAAAAGTAAATAAATGAAAATGCTTAAATAATAAAATATAAATAGTTTAAAGAATTAAAATTAAAATAAAACCAACATTTACGTAACATTCAACCTGTGAAAAACAAAACAAAAGAAACGGGACCAACACTTTGTTAGCAAATTGTTAGAAATAAACATTAATAAAACAGAGCAAATGCAATATAAGTTAAGATGCTAAAAAAGCAAGAAAAAATACCTATGAATATTTGAAGAAAAAAAGCAACCACAAAAGAAATATAAAATATATGAAACAACCATATTTTTTTAACTAAGGGCATATCGACTAAGAACACGTCAATAAAAAAAGATTCAAATAACACTTAATCAAGCGAGAAACAAAAACAATAGATGATGATGATGACCCCAAAAAGTCCTTTAAAAAAAACCCAAAGTAGAAAATTCATTGAACATAAGCATTTTAACGATCAAAAAAGAGAGCCATCACACTTTTTTGAAAAATGTATTCACAGGCAAGATTTAATATGGAAAATGACATGCAAAATCAAACTATGAGACCAAACACTTGTTTTAACTTACTGCGATCACATCACGAAAATTAACTTCCAAAGCAATAGCATTTATTGATATCAAATTGCAGGGCCGTAGCCAACCTGTAATAAACAATTGATTACGCATGGAATTAAAAAAAATACACATTTGAATAAAACTCAAGGTCAAAATGTCAATGGCGAAATGTCAAGACATGAAGTGTTAACTAGCCGAATCACAATAGCTCCTGCAGTATATAGGCAGTACGTTTGAATGTTCACAAAATCTGCAAGAACAGGATACTTGATGGTGATCAAATTGTGTGGTGATGATTCTTCGATTTCGAATTTTGATAACGCAGACAGCCAACTTTTTTTTTTTTAGAACATGGTTTACAGATTATCACCCAAAAGTGTCGTGATTGGCATGACGTCTGCTTTGTGAACATTGTTTCTGTGAACAGTCCGGGCCCTAATTTGTCTGAAGGCTCGACCACAGATGTCGCAAGGATACGGTCGCTCATCCGTGTGCGTCCTCCTGTGATCGGTAAGGGTGCGAACAAGAGAAAACGAACGCTCGCAAATGTCACACTTAAAAGGTCGTTCTTTCGTGTGGATCCTTCGGTGGTTCAAAAGATGGCTTTTGATCCAAAAACCATATCCACAAAACTCACAGACGTGTGGTTTGGGTTTGTCTGAGTGAGTCCGCAAGTGTTTAACTAGGGTCTTCTTCACAGCGTAACGTCTGTCGCAGATGTTACAGACATAGGCTTTCTTTTCTGGATGCGAAGCCCAATGCTGTCCAAGCTCAGTGCTCGTGGCAAACGCTCTACCACACGATTTACACACAAATGGCTTGTCACTACTGTGGGTTTTCTGGTGCAGTTTAAGGGTATTATGGCGCGTGAATGTCTTTTCGCAAATATTACAGCTGTATCGCTTTTCTTTGTTGTGTGTAAACGTGTGGCGATGCACACTGGCACTGGTAGCAAAATCTTTGGAACAAATGGGGCATTTGAAAGGTCTTTCCTTCGTATGACACCGCATGTGACGTTTCAGGTCAGTTTTGGAGACAAAATTACTGTCGCACAAGGTACATGCGAACGGTCTGTCGACCGAGTGCGTCCTTTGGTGTTCTTTCAGTCCACAGGTCCGTGCGAATGATTTTTTACAGATATCGCAGACGTGGGGTCTTTCGTTGAAGTGAATTTTCTTATGACGCTCGAGAGTAGGCTTATACTTAAAATCCATGGAGCAAATGTCACACACGAACGGTCTATCGTCACTATGCGACCTCTTATGTCCATTTAGAGTCGCAGCGTTGGCAAATGTCTTGGGGCACATGGGACACTTGTACGGTCTTTCTTTTGTGTGACATCTTCGGTGACATTTCAAAGTGCCTGAGCGGGCGAAGGCTTTATTACAAAACTCACAAACATACGGTTTCACATCAAAATGACTCCTCCTGTGCCGTCGAAGTGTCGAACTTCTCTTGTAAATATTTGGACAGAGGTCGCAAGCATACGGTTTCTCTTCAGTGTGTACATGTTTGTGTGTGGTTAGCAGGTTAAGTCGGGCAAATTGTCGCCCACATTTGTCACAAACAAACGGCTTCCCGTTATAATGAGTTTGTCTGTGTTCGGAGAGGTCGGATTCGCTCTTAAAGTTCTGCTCGCAAACGTCACATTTGAAAAGACTTACGTGACAATCTTTATGCGCGATAAAGACGTGCTTCCTCGTGAAACCTTTGCCGCAGGTGTCACACTCAAACGGTCTCTTGTCTTGGTGTTGTCGTTGATGGTTGGCCAGGCTTTGGCTGTCTACGTACGATTTGTCACAAAGATCACACTTATAGGGTTTTTCTTCAGCATGGATCAGTAGGTGGTACTTTAAGCCAGAACGTCGCGCGAAAGCCTTATCACAAATGACACAGACGTGCAGTTTATCTCCAGAATGTAGCTTCCGATGGCGTTCACAATCGCCGTAAAGCGAGAACGACTTCTGACACACATCACAAACGTACGGTTTGTCGTCAGTGTGAGTTCGCTTGTGACAAGTCAGATGACACTTGCGACGAAATCGTTTGTCACAAATGTCGCACATGTACTGACTGTCGCTAGAATGACATACGTTCTCGTGTTGTTCAAGACCGAAGCGCGTCGAGAAGACCAGCTTACAAGTGTCGCAGGTGTGTGGTCTGCTACTATGGGTGACCAGGTGACGTTTGAGATGGCTACAACTCGTGAAGTCCTTGGAACAAATGCCGCAAACAAATTTCTTGTCATCGTCGTGTACCTGCTCAAGTGACTCTCGGTTGTCTCTGTCACAGTCTTCTCTGTCGCGGTCGTCTCTCTCTCGGTCGTCTCTCTCGCGGTCGTCTAGGCTGTCGCGGTTATCTCTGTCGCGGTCGTCTCTGCCGCGGTCGTCTCTCTCGCGGTCGTCTCTCTCGCGGTCGTCTAGGCTGTCGCGGTTATCTCTGTCGCGGTCGTCTCTGCCGCGGTCGTCTCTCTCGCGGTCGTCTCTCTCGCGGTCGTCTAGGCTGTCGCGGTTATCTCTGTCGCGGTCGTCTCTGCCGCGGTCGTCTCTCTCGCGGTCATCTCTGTCGCTGTCGTCTATTTCGCGGTCATCTATGTCGCTGATGTCATCTTGATATCGCTTTTCGTCGTCCTCGTGTTTCATCTTCTTGTGGATGGTGAGGTTCTCCATACGGCTGTAAGTCTTGTCGCAATAGTCACACTCATGACGGATATCGAAGTGTGTCTTGCGATGGCGCCTAGCAGATGACATCCTTGGGAAGGCTTTGCTGCAAAGATCGCAGATGAAAAGTTTCTCCATGGTTTTGTTTCGTGAAACTGGCATCCTCAAATCACATATCGATCTGTTTCTGGTAAAATTGCTGCAGACAACGAAACACAAAGGAAACAGAGCAAGTTCAGCAAAATAGGAAACAAAATTAAATATTGGTGCACTCAAAGTTTTGAGGGAACTGTTCCTACAGACACTCACTGTACATAATAATAAGTGATTTTCGATAAGAAATAATTATCAATTAGCAGCTCGTTGTAGCCATTGGAAAGCGAACGGAAACGCGACTTTGTGAAGTCACAGAAATTTGTCCCGTTGCGAATTTGCAAAAAAATGAACATATCAACTCTGGCTAAATTCGCAACGATTGTTACGTGATGTCAGGTTCGCTTCGCATTAATTCACGTGAAGCATGAACCGGCCCGATTCAAATTCCGGTACGCCATAATCAAACACTTCCCTCATCACAGGAATAATTGCACTTTCCATGTCTATTTTGGGCCACCGTACGTACTTCCTAGACTTTAAAAGCCTAGTCATGATAAGCATGTTTCATATTAGTTTTAATGGCTTCACCGTATGCTGTATACTCGGTAGTGATACATTGCTTTGACCCTTGACCTTGAACCGACCTTGGAGTCGGTTGGTTCTTAAAGGGACAGTTTCTGTCTCCTCGTTAGAGTATAAAAGACCATATTTATACCTATCAAATAATTTGCATATTCATAAAATAATTTACATCAGTAATAAGTCATAAGAGTGGAAAAAGGAGAACTTGAAAGAAACAAAAATAACCTAAAATCTACGCAATTTCTGTTAATCAAAAAGTCCCTGTTTAGTACAACCAAACCCCGGATATATCTTGACTGAACAGGTGCAGAGAATGATAACTTTCTTTATCAAGGGTCAAAATCCAACACTCAATTATGCAGACATTATATCTAGGCCTATAAATTATAATTTCCTCTAAATGCCACGTCCAATGTACCTTCTGGCAATATTCAGGGGAAGCGAGTAATCATATTTATTCAACGTCATAAAATTGTGTATTTACCATAAACTGCATCTTTGTCTTGCATGATATACTGATCTTCATTAGATTTAAATTATTTTCTGTTTAAAAAACGCCCAAGCTAACAGGGAAATTAACGGTACTCCCACATTTTAAAACAATTTTTCGGAATTCGCCGTCCATTGTATATTTAAATATAATCTCTTTTTTTAGGTAATTTGTAGACAACTTTCTAACCCATCTGCACTTCAGATGAAATATAAATTTGGGCGAAAATCGCAAATATTCCTTCTTTATCTAAACACTAACCAAAAATGTGAATACCCCTGAATTTCCCTCCTCCAACTGAATGTCAATCATACCCAGAGAACTTTAGCGTCTATAGGGAAGAAAAACAAACAAAAAAGACCTTTGCGTGACTAGGGCCCAGTTTTACATTCGGTTGGTGGGGTGGCTAGCCTACTCGGAGGAAAAGGGTGCAGGACGGAGTAGGTAAGTCTATACTAACCTTTCTTAATTACAGACCCATACATTGATTTCTATAGTCTACCCTATAGCGCCTCAGTAGTAAGAGTTTTCAAATGCGTGCATGTCTCAATACAGTTGCATGTAGGCCTACTTAATGTGTCTTCACATAGGCCTACATAGGCCATAACCAGCTTTTAAATTTAAAGAGGACTGTCGTTAAGATAAAATGAATGTACAACTAATTGAAAAGAGAACGAAATTAATAATTATTGTCAAATCTTTAATTACTGGTCAAACGAGAAAATAGCCATCTCCAAGTAAACACGTGGTCCGCTAAATTAGGCATAATTTTATCTCTGAACAAAGACTTCGTGTGGCTACCGTTTGTATACAGTCCACCCATTACATGTACATGTATAAGGAAATAACTTCACTTACAAAGATGTTACGCCGCTCCTTCATGCAGTCGATCTTAGAGCAGTCAAATCACACAATTCTTGTCAATTCTTCTCAATTACAACGAGCTCCTTAGCTGGTCTTGGTACTCTGTCTGAATTAAGACTGTAACCAACGGGTCCCAAATAGTTCCCACAGTGCTCTTGGAACTTTCACTGTGCTCAGGCTTGTAACAAGGAAGCGAGTATTATGCAGGTACACGTGTACAAAGTGAGCGCCACCAATCGACAAACTGTAATACGTGAGATCCTTGCAGCTGACTGGCGTTACAGTTTTGTTGACAAGTCTTTGTGATAAACTAGTGTCCTCTGTGGGGCTTGCCGTGGAACCCTGCTCTATATGTTGTCTGCTCTTCAACTTCAACTAAGTAATGCATTTGCAGGGTTAGTTGGCATACATTCCCGCTCTGTTTCCATATTTGGCCAAACCCTTGCGCGCCCTCGGCATTTGACCGAGGCTTCCTGACATTCTGTCTTGGGGGTTTCTCCGCGCGTAGGGCCTATAGGGGCCGGGTCGCGCTAGTCTGGAGTAAGTTGTGTGACAAAGTTGCACGACAAGACATTTCGTCTGGGTAATTGCTCTACGTGCATTCATGTAAAGGTCGCGTACTACTTCCTTTGGATCATTTGACCCGTTTTGAACTGTTAAACTTTGTCGCATATGGCAAAAACGCACTTTTGCATGACCTTTTCAATCAACTTGAAAAGGAACCAAGCAAACAGGAATTCCCCAGAAAATCCCTCAACAATCCAGGGGGTTGAGTGAAGTTTGCCCACGGCAATTTCTTGCACTAGTTTTGAAAAGAATTGAAAATAGCTCGTCACAATTGGGACCTGCCCTCGTGACATCTCTCCCCGTCATGTCTCCCTCTTTTTCTTTTCTAAACTTAAACAGAGTATTCTCTCATAATATAAGCAGCACTTTATTTAGGCCTTCGTGTCAGGAATTGATCGAAGATTTTTTTTTCTGTCCTAACTTTGAAGTTCCCTGGTGCTATACACTGTAAAAACGTTGGGTAAAATACTGTTGGGCAATGTAATTTACCCGACATTGGTATGAAATTACCTCATATTGGGTTGAATTGGGTAAAAACTGTCAAACTATTGGGACGAATTTGCCCAAGAGTGTAGGCAGTTGATAATTCGACCAGCACTGGTCGAATTATCAACCCATTTTGCCTAACTTTTTTTTACAGTGTAAAAGACCAATAAGTTTTCAATATGGATTTAAAATGCCTATTTAAGTTTCAATGTTGTTGCTAGAGCACAATGGATTTGAGCAGCGCAATTAGATTCGTGCACGATCGAAGGTAAACACTGCACTTGACAACGGTATTTGCCCCTCTGATAATCTCTACGGTGCGTTCAATGTATCAAAGAAAATAATAAACTGGTGGATGGTTTATATAAAAGAAAATACCCATTGAAATCAGGCTGTCGTGTTGGTCGCTTAGTTGAGGAGTGTTTCTGCTTTGGTAAACACATACAAAGGTGGCCATGTTGGGTACGGAGTTATAACATAATTCACACCATGCAGCCGTTAGTTGTAACTTGATCCAGAGTCACTAAGCACAGATTTCAAATTCATGTCACTGAGTTAATGGGGACGCGAAATACTGGTCATTTGCAGCCGCACAACAGAAGGACAGAATCAACAGCTTGGAAATACGGAGGAAGTTTGTTCATTTGTCACCTGAGTTGCGTGAATATATTTCCAGGGTAAGTTTTTTTTTCACTCTCATAGTTAAAGATTATCCACAGCACAGGCCCCCACCTTGTTTTTTAACATTAAAATCAAACTGCAACTGTCCAACAAAGATAATTGCCTAGTTTAGATTTGAAGTGTTCGTTAATTAAAGTATATAAATATTTCTGTATATGAAAAAGGTGTTCATGATTACTTTAATTATCCGATGACAATGAAAAGACAAAACTCCCACAAGGTTCAAGTCGCACTGTCTCAGCACTGCAAACCTCGAATTAATCTCAAATTCTAAGAATAGCGATTGACTGTACAGGGCGAGTCAAAAAGAAAGAACCTGGATCCGAGATTTTTTTCCTTTAATATCTATCAAATTTAATACATTAATGAAGTATGTCTTAAAGAGCATGTTCTTTCACTCATCGGAAAAAAATAAACTGAAATTGATCCATGCTATCAGATCAAGTTATGTCTATTTTACTAAAGGAACCTATTAAGCTGCCCATGTATGGAATGCATTGGAAGCTATTGAGCTGAGTGAGAATTACAAATTACACACAGGCATTCAAATACAAATGGGATTTTAATCATTTGAGTCAAGATTGAAACATTGTTTTTACTGTTAGTTTTTGCGTTTTGAATATGAGTAACAAGCGCACTTTGTTTCAGGAATATTGATGGCAATTTGTGTCTGTTTTCCTTTGCACGTTTTCGTTCATTCGTGGAGGCTGGAAAACGTTTATGTTTCATTGTGTTTTATTCATCAGTTCGTAGAACGGTAAACGATCAGTGGTGGAGTGAATGTGAATTTGTGATCTATTTTTTTATTAAAACAGTCATTACTTGGGAATACAATGAGTGTGAAACCAAGTGAAATTTTGACAGTTACTTGTCAATAACATGTACTTTATCCCATGTTATTTTTATAAAAAAGAGCGAGCCACATATTTTTTTTTAAAGATTTTGATTTCTAATTCGGTCATATTCTTTTGGACTCACCATGAAGAATGGCACTCTTGCTCTAAGCTAAGGTTCTTTTATAAGCAAATGTCTATAACGTTTATCAGTGTCAGTCGAAGTTATTATTTATGATAACAAAATCTTGTTTTTTCTCTAAAGTTCATCTATCAAATAGTTGCCAGGAAATCAGCCCAGAAATCAATTGAAGGAGCATTGTAACTTTGACAGAATGGGCTGCGCGCCCTCGGAGGTTGCTGCTAACAAAAGTCCCTCCCTAGTCTACACCCACACCAATAATAACATCAACCACATCCACAGATCCAACTCAAAGAAAGGGACACACCCTAAGGTAAGTCTGATTATTTTAAAAACTCCTTTAAAAATACAATAAACAACACCTAAAATAACTTTATGACCACGCCTGTATTTTATTTCTGATTGACAGTCACTCGAAGTGCAACCATAAGCCTTGTTAATCAACATTCGTCTTAGCAACTTTAGTGTCAGATTTCATTCGGATGTATTTGTTGCTGTTATAAAATTGACGTCATTTGAGAAAGAAGGAAATAGCCTGAAATTTCAAGGATTTTTTGTTCTTTCTTTTTTAAATTGACATGTGTACAGGAAGGGTCTGCGATCAAAAGTAATACTCTGCATAGAGGTGAGCAAAATATGTCTGAAATATTATGAATTAATTTAGTCTCATTTACTTGAACAATAAATGAAAGTTTTTGTGGCATTCTTTATATATTTCGAGTGAGTTTGGGTTGGATTTCTTTTGGGAGGGACTAGGACAATTATTTTTAATAGTTTAACTTGAATACAAATTATTTTCTCGCTGGACTTTTTGGTTCAATTTTTCCTTCTCATAGGGAGTCCATTGCCGCCCCGTATATCCGTCACTGTGGCTCCAGACTTGGCCCTCCTGGACGTAGTCCCGACCACGCCCATTGAAAACCCCACCCTGTCTGGTTATATCTACGTACCCCCTCCCATATCCGTACTGGTGTACCAAGGAGAAGACATCTTTACTCGGTGCTACCTCACTGTCAAAGGAGACAGGCTGATGTTTGAGTCCACAAAGGGCGAGTTTGATCAATCAGAGTGTACGTTTTGAGATTTGATATTAAGTCGTTTTACAAAGAAAAGTTAAATCACTTCACAGAGCTCGTGACGCTTATGACACCTTGCCAGTAAAGCGGATCACAAAAATCACGCCCAAGACTTGGACTCAAAGTTTGTATAATAATATTGCACGCACGTCGATCGATGCTGTTGCCTCATTCAACTAATAAGATTTACTATTACTAAATCCCAATTGAAAATTAACATGTAATTTTTATTCGAAAACATCGATTAACATTATTTGCTACACCTTTAAGGGCAAAATGTCACGCGATAGATAACAGAATTCAATACTGATAACGGTCTTTGTATAATTGTCTAAAATGAGACTTGAATCGAGAGAAGGTAAATGGCACGTTACCTTGAAGGTCAAAAGTCATCATACATTAATGATTCCTTTCCTGCTGTTGATATCTGGGTGTACTTTGCTTTGTAGATGTGTTTGACATGTACCAGTATGCCAGCAAGTGTGCCGACTTGGGTACAACGGTTAGCCTTGTTCACAAGCAGTCAATGCGATGTATCGCCTCGTTATCAGAAGACGGTATCGCCACACTCATGGTAAGAATTTCACATTATAAATAACAATCTATCGAAAATTTTGTGTCTGCGTGTGGGATCTGCATGTTAGAAAATGACATTATGAGTTGGCAAAAATTTGACATTACGAGTTAACAAAATGAAGTACACAACAAAAATGAAATGTGTATGGGCACACAATATTGGGGTCAACATGTTCCCGAAATAACGATCCCACATAATTTTAAAAAAATACGTCACTTAAAATGGTTTCTAAATCGTTACGATATTACACAACGAAAATGACTCATTCACTACAATAAACCCAAAGAACTTGTGTGGAAGTCAATGGAAAAAAACCTCATTTGCACAAAGTTCAATGTGATTAACGTCGATGATTAGTGGTCATTACTCTTCAGATTATGAAGAGTAATATTCCCGTAGAAAACTATTAATCGATCCAAACAGAGCAGTACAATGCATGTCAAAATATTCTGCTATGATGTGTTCCTGTGTTATGAACAACTGTTTTCATTGGCTAACTGCTGCCCTATATTTTACGATGTATATATGCTCGAGTATGAAAAACCAAAGCGGATTTCCTTCAGTCTTTGATCAAAATTAATCACATTTTCTTCCCCAGGATTTTCCAGAATGGATGTCCCAAGACAACGAAGAGATTGAAATCAATTCACGATTGTTCTTACGAACTCAAGAGAGTGCGAAATCGGAATACACGTTATTCCGATGTCTCAACGGACCAGGTATATAGACCATTTGCATGGCAGTATATCTTGACAGCGATTGAGTGAACCTTTTGAAAAAATATTGCGACCTGACGCCACTTTTTTTCTTCATATTCTCAATGATTTGCAAAAAGGCTGATAAGACATCTGGGACTGAGAAACTTTTCCAATTTTGTTAGGAAATACTTAGATAATGTTCTTGACTCTCCTTAATAGACTTTGTACATGAAGTGGCGTCAGGTTGCAACATTTTTCCCCACAACCAATTCATATTTTTACGTTTTTCCTTGTCAGCAAAATACCTTGCAAGAGATGCAGATACGAACAAGGCTTACCTGTCTCCCTGGATGCGCTACCCTGCCTTCTTACAACTCAAAGTAATGACGTCAGAAGACACAGGTGATGGCGACCATTCCAGTACGACATCCGACGAGTAGTCCATCCAGCATTTCAGTCAGTCATCGTCAAGACGGCACGGGCAAGACAGCACGGTCCTCGGCGCCGAAGTCGGCGTCCCGGCGGTACGTTCTGGCTCCACATGCTGTCTCAGGCTATTCCTAACTTGGTCGTCCCAGTTCTGTCCAGTATGTTTTTGGGAAACATCGTGGTCATGACCAATCTACAAGCCCTTTGTTCATATTTTGTTGACATTTAGATTTGAATTATCGAGAACAACACTGCTATGTTCACGGCAAACTTTCAAAAAATAAGAGACTCCAGTAGCAAGACATTGTTCACTGTGAGTGATAATGGCACAACGACACCAGACTATTCTTGAGGTGCGTGGCGCTCTTTGGCGTTAATTTTGCACAGACCACGTGGTACAGCTTCAATTGTTTTGTTTAGGAATTCAAATTCAAATGAATGTTAGACAAAGCTTTTACCTTCCCTTAAATTAATATTTCTTTTATTTAACGATAAAAAAAGAATTTCTTAAATCTTTGCTGAGCTGAAGTGTGTGCTGTAACAAAAAGGGTATGATGATTTCTTTTTTTCGCCCTTTATAAAAATTATACCAATGAACGTGTTTTCGAAAACACGAACTTGTTTGTATATATTGATTTTCCACAAGAAAAATGTGTTCATATTTTATAAACTGTTTATGTTTTAGCGCCAATGAGTAGGGACCACTGGAGTTCTCCAGTGTTTTTTCCCTCGCTATTCTCTGTAAAGATGTTTTAAACATGCTGCGTTTGGTTTCAATAAAAGTACCGGTTGTTTTACAAACGTGTGGCCTACTTCTAAAACAAGGTCATGAGGGCAAATTTTAAAAAAAATGAGATGTGCTTTATCTTTTGGTCTTTACTAATCACGTTTGCTTCCAGAACAGACAAAATTAAACATTGCCATCGTATTGTTTGAAACAAAATCGTTGGAAGTTAAATGGATTGCATTTTTTTTAGATCACGTTATTGTTCCAGAAACGTGTGCGTTGTACATTTCTATACAATATTCAATATTTAGGCAGACTGTGACTTGAATTAAGCAGGTTTTTCTCCATGACAACATTCCATAACTAAAATTTAGTCACACACTTCCACAGTGTTCATATTTGCCAGCCAACCCGCCCGCCAGGTGTAACATTTCCAATTCTGTGAAAACATGAGAGACTGTCCCACGCACACGCTAATGCCGGGGATTAGCGAAGTTCTAAGCGGCCTATCTTGCATTAATCCTGACACCAACAATAGACCACCATGGCTTCATCCGTCACACTACCGAGATTTATAAATCCGATCTTTTGATGGTAAACCGCCAATAATTTGCTCAACAATGCACACTGTAGAACTCGCCGGATACCTCTCCAAAAGTGGAACGGCAGTGCACTCGAAACCAGGTGTTAGGTGCCATTGATGACATTTTGTAACGGTAAACCTCTAGGTTATTAACACTTATAACCAGGTGATTTTACTGGTCTATAAAAGCGTCCGGGGAAAACACTTCAAGTAAAGACTGAATGAAAATCCGATTATTTCATAGCGATGAGGGCAAAGCTTGTGTTCTTTTTATTTACAGTTCGGCTCAGCGCAGCTGAAGCAAATAGCACACACTCCAAAAGCAACATATAATAAAAACCTGAAAACTGTCACAATACCTGGTAATAATGCCATCGCTGGTGGTAATAAAACAATACATCTTCAGTTTTTTTCATATTCAAATAAAAAAAGGGAAAAGTGCGTAAAGAAATCTGGCTACTGTTTCACTTCCCAAACAATCTGGCTTGCATTCAAAATAATAGGTAACCGAAAAATTTTACTTCATTTGTAAAAAATAAAACAGTAGTTAAAAACAATTATGCTATAATTTAAAATATTTCCCAATTTTAAGTGTTTTACACAATCTGTTTTTGAAACAGGGAATTAAATCATCCATGCATGATATCGCTAATTTTCTATACCGAAAATTTATTTTAATAAATAGACGTTTCTTTGAAATGGATGTTTCACTAACTTTCAGTGATATATTTTCAGTACAAAGAAGTTTTCAATTTAAACGTTTGTGCCTTAGCGAATTATATACATTATTTAACTAGCGGACAATAAGGTTTTAAAAGGGAAAGCAACAAAGTGTTTAGTGTTTCACAGCAAAACAATCTGTGTAAGAAAACAAAAAGCCTTTGGAAAATGTATGCAGCTCTTCGGGAAAAATATTTACAACAAAAATTACACTACGAAAGCAGAAATATCAATGCTACACTGGCGGATCCCCCGGGGGGGGGGGGGGGGTACCAACAGAGGCCAAGCCTCCTCCCCCATACTATACAGTTATACGATATATTATATACCTAATCCCTTTCCCCTTTTTGAAGATAAAAAATACTTGAGCTCTTGCCCCCCCCCCCCTTCAAAAATGTGGTTCTGGATCCGCCCTTGTCTCTTAACTGATGACTTTTGTTAATTTGACACAGCACGATAACAAGCACACGTAAAGCTCTGCAAGAAAACCTGCAGTAAATATTAAACCCATTTACATGCCAGTCAAAGACAGGTCAAATAGGTCGCATAATTATGAGGCTGCGTTGTCATATTAAACTCTGCCTGGCAATACATTATATATTGGCAACTGGGTTGATTTTATCGACCCTGGCACTGGCAAGTGAGATTCATCTGATTTTTTCACGTTTTGGCCAAATTATGTTTTGGGACCGTTCATTATGGCCAAATGAAGAATTAAACCATTATTGATAAGTGAAAATAGTCACAGATTCATAAGAACATTGGCAACAGCATGTGCCTGTTCAAGGACTGTGCCAGTGAATCTCAGGTAGCAATTCGACAAATTATTGTTGAAATCTGCATCCACGATACAACCATACACAATTTAGAGTTTACTGAAACATTTCCAATTACTACCACTTACTGAACAGTGATTGTAATTTTTCCAACAACAGGCCACTGTTAGGCAGTCCTTATTATCAAATCAAATATAATATCTTTCTGTTGCTACTGGTCTGTCCCATTAATTGCCTCACAGTCCTTTCCAGAGTCAGTAGGATTCTGAATCTCTGTACTTTCTGCTAGTTCCTTGAGACCATCATGCACTGGTTGGTCATTGTGAATGTCTTCTCGAGCAACATCATCATTTGTTTGTTGCACATCTTGGACTTCTTTGGAAAAAACATCTGTTGAATCATCTCTTGCATCGCCTTTTAAGTCACTGCTCTCCTTTGGTGTATCGTCTTCTACGTCATCCCGACCCGTGTCTTGAGTCTCGCCACCAGGATGGTCCTTGGAGATTCCTTGCTCGGCGATGTCCTCACCATGCCTCTCATCATCTTCTTGTTCTGCATTGTTTGCTGAGACAGCTCCACTTGGTTCATCCTGACCGGTATCTTTATCAACTGAGGTATCTCCTTCATCTTGCGCATCATCAACAACTGCTTGTGCAATCTCTTCTGAGGCTTCATTGCTCCTGTGCGTGTCCATGCCTTCCTTGCTGCTTTCCACCTGTACAGTCTCCCCATTTGTGACAGCATTTCCTACTTGATTGTTGTTATCCTCCTTGGCGCAATATCCGTGTGCAACATCAGCTCTGGGAGTGTCTTCTTGAGGTGTGGATTGAGCATCCTCATCTACATCACTATGTGTGCTAATCCTGACAGAGATCTTGCTTGAGTTTGAAGATGGCCGGTCTGGGATTGCATCTCGGGGTTTGTTGGTTGGAGAATCATCGCCGCTGTTGTTCCTGTTGTTGGTTCGGACATTCCTTGCCTGTTTGATAAATGGCAGTTCTGTCGTGTTCCCAGACTTCTTGGTGGTGTACAGCAAATTACTGCGTGGAGGTGGAGGAGCTTGGGGACCAGACGTCACGCCGTACTTGATGCCTGGACAATGAAGGATAGTCAAAGATGAACAATAATAGACGTTGTCTTTTACAAAAGAGACTGTACTTTACAAGCACAGCTTTGCATGAGTGAAGGTTTTTATACAAATCCTATGTTGGAATAAACAACACTAGTCGAATATTTTTATGGGCCATTTGGTACACTGTGCTTTCAAACAAAGTTTCTCAATATTATTTCAGTGAGTTCATATGGGAATAGTGGCCTTTAAACTTTTCTAGAACTTCATACAAGATTTTGAAACATCACTCAACTGACACATGGTCCCTGGGATATTTCGGCTATATCCATCAACGATGGTAAGTGGGTTTGCCTGCTTCCTTAGATGCATATGTCATTGTCGGCCACGACCAAGAACTCAGCCTTACCCATGATTCTCAGATGATATTGTTTGACCCCATGTAGTCCTTAAGATACCTTTTCATGATTTTCAGTTGACACTGCATTCCCAGATGTCATACTTGCAATGAGTGCGACAAACTTGAGATACTTACCCATGATTCTAAGATGATACTGCTGGACGAGCATGTGATCCTTGTTTTGATGCCAATCTCCATCCTCCTCCTCCTTCCCTGCATCCTTGACTCTCATGAAGTGACTTCCTGGAGCAAAGCGCTGGTATTGCCTAGGAAACTCCTCGCTCTTGCACATGATGCAGCACTCCTGACCACCATCTTGCTTCAAAGACTTGCCATCAATTATCTTCAGCTTAGGTCTCTTCCTCCACCCTGAACCACGCTTGGAGAGGAACGTCTCCTGACTACGGTTGGCTGGGGATGGGCTGGGGGCAGGAGTGCCAGTACCATGCAGGGCCCCCTTTGAGGCAACCAAACGGTCATCCTGTCCCAAGGTTGACCAGGCTGATTTAGGACAAGGTGGGTCCCGATTCGACGCTGCTAGTTCACTCAGGTTGGACTCGCTGCCAAACGACTCACAGCTCTCGGTCAGGTTTAAAAATGATACACTGCCTCTCACTGAACCAAACCAAACAAAGCAAAAACTCATGATAACCAAAGCCCACAAGAACCTGTTTAAAAATATAGAAACAGGATTATATACCCCCTCCCCCCTCCAAAAAAAATGTTCCATTAACAGTTGTTTATCCAAGATACTTGAAGTAATAATGCACGGTGATAAGTTTCATAAAGAACACATGTCTTTGAAGTGAGCAGCAAGACAATCATTCTACTTACAGTGTGCAACGTTGCTGGGCAGGTTATCCTTGACAGGCACATTCATCTTAAAGCAGTGCAGAGGATCTTGCCTGGAGACAGAGAGACCAAATTTACTCAGGCAGTTGGAAATTGATACAAAAATTCCACTTTTCTTGAAACTGACAGCGATTTCATAGGATGCTTGAGACTGTTATTCGCTTACAGTCAAGTAAAGTATTTCATTATTTGGTAGTTGTTTCTTTTTAAGTGTGTGCAAATGTTGTATATACTATATAACCTTTTAAATAAGGATGCTTAGAAGAAACATTCTGACAGTGGTGAGTTTTTCCATCCAATTGCTGTCTGCTACACAGGAAACAAACAACCTTTGCTTTTCTCATCTGTTTGACTACTTGACTGTTTAGACGACTGAAATGCTCTCTTTCCAATTCATGATTAAAAACAAACACAGTATTAGTTGAAGAGTAAAGAGATGTCCACCATGTTATAAACCAACGTACCTGTTATACCGTGCACCAATCAAAAACTGACGAACCGTTTCATCACCTTCTGTCACAGGCAGCAAACTGTAACGATGAAGAACAAAATACATTAACCCTTGACAATGAAAATACATGCAAGAAAACTGGCTGTGAACTGGCTCAGTAGACGCCATATTTACTGTAAATGAAAATACATTATAATACAATTCATCATTTCTGTAAAGATGGAAGATACTTACTCCTGTGGAATATCAACACTTTTGTAGCGCTCTTCAGTTTCTGCAAAACAAATATCAGACAATTTTTTATTTGGATCACTACGTCCACGAAAAAATGTCAGACACGGACGAACAATATCAAAGAAAACTCTTGATTAGAGTTCCTTTGAAACTTGAAACTGGATAAATTGTGATTGCATTTTAACGTGTGAGGATTTCACTTCAAAGCTTGGTTGTCTTATAACTTCCAGTAAAAATCTTTAGGGAGAATGAAATGGCCAAACTTCCCTTCGGACTGCGATGAAAAACTTACTTGCTGCCAGTTGCTGTTGTTTGTGTAGATGAGTCTTTACCTCCACTATGGCTCGTACTCCAGGCGCCGATTTGGTTCGTTGTCTGACCCGCAACAGGCTGAAAGAATGAAAACAAAATTGAATGTTAAAACTACTCAATTCCTATTAATATACCATTCAACACAGCATATGACATAACAACCCAAGTGAACTTCATGGCTGTTCATGAGTTGATAATAGCAGAACAAAAGTGATAGTGCTCAAGTCCTAACAATCCTCTAACAAGTCATCCAGTCCCAAGTCACAAGATAATCCAATGAGCATTCCTTTCTTAATGTTCATCCACTGATACTTGTGCCCAGACTTGTGACTCGCCTTGACCATAACACTGCAGTGAAGACCACAGTCTGAGTGAGTGACCCTACGTGTTGGACTTGAAACATGAGTGATCCAAATTATGGATAAAAATAACCTTAATTCTAACAAAGATTGGACAATGGACATTACCTAGTCCTAGTGGGTCGACCCAGTGCCAGGTCCACCAGTCTCTCTGATTGGCCAGGCATCTCAGTCGCAGTCAGGTACTGATGTGTGCTGTTACCTCGGCAGAAATAATCCGGATCATCGCGATACATGCCAGCACTCTGGCTCTGTCTCTTGCTGACAGGGTTGGGAGCGGGAAGCACACCATCTACTTGCTCTTGCTGAAACGACAAGATAGAACACTAAAAGTGACTTGCCCATGGACATGGCAATTAAACGACAGATTCAAACCCCTGACCCTCAGATCATGAGTAACCATCAAACCACAAGGCCACCCCTAGTCTCAAAACTAACCTTGTTGGCTCCTGGGACGTTCTGCAATATCAGAAGCTGTTCCCTAAAACCCTAACCACAAGGCCATCCCTAAGTCTCACCTTGTTGGCTGTTAGGAAGCTCTGCAATATCAGAGGCTGTTCCCTGTGTGGATTTGAACCCCTGACCCTCAGATCACAGGACACATATCACAAAACCCTAACCACAAGGCCACCCCCAAGTCTCAAAACTCACCTTGTTGGCTGCCAGGAAGCTCTGCAATATCAGAGGCTGTTCCCTGTGTGGATTTGAACCCCTGACCCTCAGATCACAGGACACATATCACAAAACCCTAACCACAAGGCCACCCCCAAGTCTCAAAACTCACCTTGTTGGCTGCCAGGAAGCTCTGCAATATCAGGGGCTGTTCCCCTGTGTGGTTCTTCTCCTTGTTAGCAGCAGGTAGCCACTGCGGTGAGTTGGTGCGACATTTCTGTTCCTCCCTGTACTGAGCATTGACGCTATTCTTGACCTCTTCCATAAACTCTTGTTTGTCAAAGCCAGAACGGGACAGAGGATACTTCTTGGACAGACCTGGGTGTTTATAAAAATAGACACATTGAGTGGACATAATTAGTTTTAAAATATTAAATAGATAAACACACCTGGATAAACAACTTATCTTTTACTACAATGTTTTGTGACATATAGGTTTTGACCCCTCAAACAAGGTGTACAAAATTTAACCCAAAAAAATGCCATGGTCCACATCACAACAATCAGTAGGGTAAATGGACCAACATCTGACATATTTTGTTATTAAAGGCGCTCAAGTAATTAAATGTGGCCTAAATTTTATATATACTTTCTGCGGTAGTGGTAAATGTTGTCATTATTTGTCCTACATGCATGTAGTTCAAGAGGTACTTACAAATGATAAAATACCACTTAGTACAACCACAAACAAAGTATTCCCTAACTGTACTTGTGGCATCCTATTTCAGTGAGAGCCCTTCAATATGTAAGCCTCGTAGTATTAATACTTCAAAGGACACACTCACAAAAAGGCCCCCTCTATGCATGATTTAGGTCAAACAAACACACATGTGGGCCATTGTCTCTCTTTGTCATAAGCTTGTCTGTTTTGAGGGTACTTCAACTCAGGAAAGATTAAAGTACAACATCGGATGATTCGGTTATTTTATCGCTTGGTTACCCTGATTTGCATTATAAGCAAAGTACAATTTTTTTTATTTACAGCTGGAGTTATTTTTAGCAGAAAATTGTACTGTATTTCCAATCTTTGTCTTCTGAAGCAAGTCCTACATTGTCTTTGTACAAAGATATATAAAAAAAAAACCCATAACTTAATGATCAAACAGAAAAAGTATTTTTTTTTGCATAATTTACAGCTTTGGGTTATTTTCACTAATCAGGTAAATTTTGTAGCAAATTTGCTTGACTGATAAATTTGATCTCATGATTTTCAGTTGAAATCCAGTTCAACAGCCCTTTTCTAAAACAATGTAATGTACATTTCCCCCGTAAATGTCATTAGGCCAAAAAAAAAAGTCTCCGGTTTCTGATATGCGCGCGCGTCGCCGTAGCCATGCGCGTCGGCAAAATGAAAAAGTTTTTTTTTCAATGAAAGATGATGTCTCAAAACCGCCAAACTCACTGGTTTGACTGGAATCTTGCTGCTGCACAATTTTAACGTGTTTTTAGATTGGGTTATGGTCGAGAATAAGCTTTATGTGGCCTCTCTGGACTCCCATATATTTGCACTAAGTTTAGTCGGGCACCATTTGCAGTCATCAGCCGACATTTGAAGCAAAAAAATCAGGTAAAAAAAAAAAAAAAGCCGCGTCGCCGCACCACTTTTTGGGCAAGCTCCATACCAGAAACCGGAGACTTTTTTTTTTTGGCCTTATGGACAACTTTCCAGATAAATATCTTGTATCACATTTTCCACATGATCTAAGATGTCCCAGTGAAATATGGGTTCAAGTTTGCAAATGGGTAATAATTACTGGAATGATCTATGCACACTGAGCTCATTTATAAAGTCTAGAGGCTAATGTGACAATTTTATGGGCTCTTATTTCCAAAAAAAAATGTTTAGGAGAACCCTCACTTTGTTTATTTGAAGGTTGTAAAATACTGTATCAGTTGTGTGTAACTATGGACAGAAGCCAGGCAGGCCTTTGTGGGAACAGTGTCACTGTTAACAGTTACACATTGAATGACATTGTAGTCAGGTGTGTTTTACAGTGGTTGGGTAAACACTGCAGTATCAGCTTATCAGATTTACCATTGATATGTCAACAAACTTATTGTCATTTGAGATGGCTTAGCCTGCACAGAAGTCAAGTCAAACTCATTAACCAACACAACTCACTGTTGGCAAGGAATCAACGATATTTCTTTTTGGGTCATAATTTTTTCATACTAACATGTAACTAAGTGGGTAATTCCAGCGTTATGAAAGGAAGTGTAACGTCCGTGACAGGGCAAATCACCAATGATATCTAATTAAAGATTCAGAGAAATGATCCAAAACTCCTAGTCTGTAATCTCCTTGACCATTACTAGATGATGGATGTAGGCCTATAATATTTAAAATTACATTTTCAGCTTTATTCACTGAGCTCTTAAAAGCTCTGAGGTGGACATTTCACAATTTAATGTGGTCTTTTCTTATAAAGTAGAGTGTTATGTACATCAGGCGGTGCTAGTTTTTTTGTTGACTTGGGGTTTGATACGCATCCGATTAGAGACTCATTACCTTTGTATCCACCATGTGGTCTGCCTTCCCGTCGGCACTGGCTTGTCCGGCTACCAGTCACACTCCCTGGTCCCGAACACTGTAATACCAGCCGCAGCTGTCTGGCTCGACGCTCACGCTGAGTATCATGCATCTCAACTCCTGTCCCTTTCCTCATACCAGGACCCAAATGATGCGAGCTGTGTGATTTGCCTCACCTTAAGTCAAGTGGTTTCATCAGAGCTGCTGCAAGCAGAACATTTTCAACTGAAAAAAAAGAAGACAAAAGTCTCACCAAGTAAGAAGGAATGGCCTATACAAAAAAGTAAACAACTGTTAAGAACTTTGCAATTGTGATAAATTTTGGGGTCAACCAACTGACTTTTCCCAGCCAAGGCCTCTCTCACAGTCTCAGACTGATAGGCAGACGTTCCGAGTTATAATCAAGAAAAAAAAAGGAAAAATATAGGGACAAATTACAAAATATTTGAAACATGTTTAGGCCTAAATGTTTTAGAAGGTTGCAGCAACTTTAGGTTTGCAAACAAATTGGACAAGATTTCAGGTACTTATGAGTGGTTTTATACAACATTGCAGGCACTCAATTTTCAGTCCTTTTGCAGATATTTGTACATTCCTTGCACGTCTGTGTCAACTGTGTGTTGAGTTTGATCATTCTAACCATGTTCCTTGCTCCATCTATCTGTTCCAACTCACTGACCTTGTCACTAGTTTGATGAAACGATTCTAGGCCTATTGACTCAACATTTACTGGCTCAAAATTCAAAGCAAAATCGAGTTGTTAAAGTTCTTATTCACAAGTGACAAAAAGAAGGCCTAAATGTATTACGTTAGGATGCTAGTAAAGTCAGACAGTCATGACAGTAGCTGAACATGATTTGAAGCATTTTTTTAATTACCATTTATTAAACTTACCATTGAACAAGTTCCTGTCAACACGATATCTGCAGTCAATTTGTTGCAACCAATTTCAGCCGCCGAAGTAACAATTTTCTTCTGTTTTGCTTAGTTGATGTCCGCAATTATCATCGTCTCATTATCACATAACAGCGGGTAACACGGTAGCCCTGCACACCGGGTCACAAACCACACAAAAGAACCGATTTCAAGGCCTCTCTCAGGTGTATTGATCGAGCGATTATCGTATACACGGCCCAATAAACACTTGCCGTGTATTGTAATGGATGTACACCTGCTGCTGTGTAGCTGTTCGTTTGACCCGCCGAACTTACGATTTTGTGTATAGACCGACCTGTCACAACTTTGCAATGGCGAATACGTGCACCGTCCTTGCGAATATAGTTCCAAATCTTTCTATATTTGAGTTAAAGATGATAAAAGATCACTAAAAGCGTACGATATCCAAGTATAATTAATGAAGGTTTGTGTAATTCATCGAAATTTGCCTTGTTAACGGTTTAAATGTAATCATTATTTTTCGTGCCCACGGATATCGGCAAATTGCATCTCCTAGCAACCGTAAACTTTTGTTGGACTGGATTTCCTGTTACTACAGAGGGCGCCCTTTACTGGTTTGTTTGCAATGCCAAATATGAAAATTATTGCATAATGACAAAAATAAAATTTTAGAAATTCTCGTATTGGTTTATCTATTTTCTATTGCTTGAATGCGACAAATTAATCTGAAACGTGAAGATTAAGAAAACAGATCCGAAATTTTTCCTTGATTTTCTCACTGACCCACAGTAAAGTGCGCCCAATGCGTCTGTGTTAGTTGCGCTGTGCCGATCGAGGTTGTGACGAAACAAGGGGACCGACGTTTTTTCTCCCAAGCTTGTTGTAGTTACAATGTTTCTTCTTTTGTCTGCTGTACGTTCCTTTTTCAACTTTAGTAATACCACAAACAGTGTGGCTGCACAATCATTAGGTTAACGTTGTACACAACCAACCCCTGAACCTGTCCTATAGCTTAAAGTTGGGAAGCACTGGGCGTTCCGGGCATTTTGCCCGTGAAGATCGCGGCTGGCTGGCTGGCTGTCAGCGTTTGCGCGCGACTTAATAACATTCCCGTGAAGTCTTGCAAACTTGGCCATGAGTTACCGCGGTACAAAACCACTTCCAGGCGGTCAGGGCAGACGAGCCGAGGCGGATACTCCTGCATCACTCACCCCAGGCTCAATGCTAGCTCCTACGGTTGATTACGGAGAGGTTAACAGTCTCGGTTTCCCTATAGCCATCAGTCGACAAGCCGACATCCAGGAAGGACTAGGGGACATTGCATCACGTCTCAATAGGGTAAGAAGTTTGCGATTTCTACGTCACATTATTCTATCTCGTGTCCTAAAGCTTGAGGGGCAGTTGAGGCGACACGACAATAATGGCTCTCGGAAAACAATTCACCAACCCTGTCAAGCTGTCATGAGCTATTTAAGTGAAGCTGAGTGATCGGGGTCGGTAACTTCTGCCGAAGACTATATTGTTTACTTTAAATCGATGTGTGAGTACAGTGAGTGGAGTCGCTTATATTATAATTCTGTGTAATTTGTGTTTTTTTTCTGCAGGCACTGGGTCAGTACGAAAATGTTTTTGACGACGATGATGAGGTGGTAAGTGTGGTCATGAAATGTTACCCTTAATAACGTTAAACAAAGACAAAAGACCGTCAACAACCAACATACGAAATAAATTTGCCTCGGTGGCGTAAGAGCACTCACTGAATTAATGCAGAACAGACTATATATATAGATCACTCTGAAATACTATGTTCCTTTTTCCCATTTGTTTTTAATTCAAAGAGCAAGGATGCAGACTGGACTGTTGATGGGCAAGCTGACGGCCGCAGGATGGGGGTGAGTTAAAAAAAAAAGGTTAATTCCAGTTTCCCAAAGTCATTACATTTTCCAAGGGTTGATTTTCAATTGAAAACCTTTACAACATAATTTTTAATACGAGAGGCCTAACATTTATGACGTCTCGTAAAATTTCAGGCACGAGATGAGAAGAGAGAATTTCAGGCTCGATATGAGACTATCACTGCACGGGTAGACGCCATGGAACGAGAGCGAACAGAGGTGAGTCTAGTTTTCTTACTCTCCCAAGACGCCAGTAGGGGTCTTATTATTATTTATTGGGCATAAAACAAACAACAAAAATAAAAAAAAATAAAAAAATAACGACAACGACCCATTCCTTTGGCTATCAGTGATGTTTCTTGAGCCAAGGGTAAGGGTATTTTTTTACAAGTCCGCAGACTATCTAGGATTTGCCGATATGGCTAAGCCTCAAGGATCGATGGAATTTACACAAAGTTCTTTTCTTGTCGAAGAACGAGGATGTGAATTCGAACGGGCCTCAAAAAAAAAAATATATGTTTAGATCAAAATATAGCAAACTTAAATCCCATCATTTATTCTTCTCATGTTTTTACTTCATTTTCAGTTGATGAACTCAATGGCACAGGTAAGAACCAAATTTTTTACCATTTATATATTTACAAAATAAATTCACTTGTTCTAAAATCTACAACATTGAGGGAATTTCTTTTAAACAGTTTTAGCAAAAGAAACCACGTTGGCACCAGATAGGCGAAAATAAATACCTGAGCATCATACTCTGTTAAGTGCTACCCAATGTTTGTTCAATTGCTTATGCGTAAATGCCACCTTTTCCAAATCAGTATCAGTCTACTTCGGCAAAATGTAGTTATTGCATTTCTATATTTCTCAAATCCTAACGCTAATTTCTTGTTTGTCGTAATTTGCTTCGACATCACACCAGTGGCTGGAAGCAGAACCAGTGCAGTGGATACCAGTAAGTACTCTTACCCGTTCTTACCGGTGTTCTATCTCAAGCATTCTAAAACTTATTTCATTTCTGTCATCAACATATTGTTCCACATTTATCCGTCACTGTATATGAAAAGAATTACAAGCCACAAAAAGAGTAGGCCTATTTGGATTTAATTTATTAATGTTTCTAAGTGAGGATTATACAAATTTGCATGTCCGCATTGACAGTGATTTCATTAAGGAGTACCATAATTTACACGTTCATTTCGCATAATCCAAACACTTGTGGGTTATTTTAGACTGCAGATACGGGCGCAATCACAGACGATACCCCTCAAAAGGATGGCTCCATCAGGTATGATATGTATTATGATATAAACCAGCCCGCATAATTGCGTGTCAGGCCGCGTCAGAATCGGTACATTAACGGCTAATTTGTCTAACCATTTTTTTGCGCACTATACTCTGAATAACCGTAGCCATAATAGACAGCGATGCTGGTTTAAACTCCAAGATTATTGCTAAGGCACACACTGCCCCGACAATAAAGTTTGAAAGGTTCAATGCAAGGTCAACCCAGTTAGAAACATTTCCGATATCTGTACCACTCCCATAAATGCTAATTAAATTCTATCTCTATTTGCAATCATAATTTATTTATTCTCTCGACATTAACAGAGATCAATTATTGAAAACCAAGATGGGATTCGAGCAGTTGAAGCAGATGAATCACGAAAAGGAACGTCTTGATAACCAAGGACAAGACACGGGACATCTGCAGGAGTAAGTTGTGGTTCTTGACTTGGATATCAAAGAAAGAGTTATCTAAATTCTCAGAAAAAATTCCTTGGGATGTAACTTTTACTTTTGTAAATCACGGGAAACCAATTATCTTGTGCGATTGTATTCAGTCTAACAAACAGCAATTATTTTCATTTTCAGAGCGTCCTCCAATCTCCAGATGAAAGTCATCACAAAGTTCAAGAAATTGTACGAAAGTAGGTATTTGTGCCTCCGTTATTACCGCATGTTCCTTAAAAGGCAAATAACAAATTTTACCGCGTCGGGTCGAGTGTGACCATGAACCAAACTCTCAAAGAAATAGAAATCGACGAAAGAAATGTGTGAAGGATTGATAATAAAATAAACAGTGATTCCGTTTCCGCCGAGGTTTACGGAACAAAATTTAACCTAACAAGATAAACACATGCCTGCCTAGTCTTTCATTCTTTGAAATGTTCATAAAAATTATATTTCAAGGAATACTTGGTGTACGGCTTCTTTCCCCATTATTGACCGTCTTTATTTTCATGCTTGCAGCAAAGAAGTTGGCGGCAACTCGACGGAGTTTTGGAACGCATTGGAAACACGCGTCGGAGGAGATCGTGGGGCTACTACGGCGCATTCGATCGGAGGGAACGGACAGTAAAGAACACCAATATTGGTTGATCATTTCTAGGAACCGTACTGTGACACTATTCAATTCCTCGGAAGCTTGATATTTTAATGTGAATTATTTTTTATTACGATTAAGGCAATACTTTCTTTGTGACTGAAAAAATAATGCTACCCAAATAAAAAAAACAATACCACCGCGAATGAATGCAATATACAGGGCGAGTCAAAAAGAAAGTGACCTGGATTACTGATCCCCCCCCCTAAAAATTTTGTATTTTGAATATGAGAAAAAAATGATAGTGAATTTTGTGTGAATACTTTCATTCATCCATGGAGGTAGTAAAACGTCCATGTTTCATTGTATTTAATGGGTATTCATCAATGCGTAGAACGGTAAATGATCAGTGGTGGACAGCTGAATGTTGTGAGGTTTGTATTAAAAAGAACATAGCTTGGGAATAGAGTGTGCAAATAACGTGACATTTTCACAGTTAATAACATGTACTTTTATCGCAATGTTGTTTTGTATTAAATGGAGGGAGCCGAGTTTTAAATACTTTCTTTCATAAGGTCACTTTCTTTTTGACTCACCCTGTAGTTGTGAGTTACTGTATGAGTTAACTTTAAGAGTTAACGCTGAATTTTCGTTGAGTAGAGTCCAATGAATTATAATCTAATATAGGAACAACAATCAGTCGATCTCTACATATACCATTTTGTCTTATTACAGACATCGATGCTTTGGAGGAGCAACTGGAAAAGGCGATGAATGCAATACAGCGACAATCAGAAGAAATGATGAGGTATCAATTCTATAGGCTTCTATTTTACCTGAGCCCAAAAATCGGGGAGTTTCTAATGACAAAGTGCCCAAAATTTTATACTTGGCAAGTCATGTCATTGCTGGCCAAACCCAGCTGACAGGCAGTCAAAGGGAAAATGCTGCACAGAAATATACACACGGCGAAAACATGGCTGCGCATGTCTAATTTTCTCCAGTTTAGTCTGCGGTCTTCAAACTTGTAGTAGAATGAAGCCACACTGTCCAGCTCCCTATCCATGCATGGGAAATTTCTGTTGACACAATTTGTAAACAGAAGTTTCCGATATTTTTGCGAGATAGTTAAACGTAAATTGGAACTGAATACTGACATTTTGTCCACGATCGTTGAAATTCTCAGTTGCACCTCAAAAATAGTGTAGTATCAAAAATAAGTGTGGTATGTTTTTTAAATAATGTGATTTATGCGATTGCTTTTCATTTATTTTAGGCTTGAAGGGCAAATACGAGAAAAGGAAGAGGTAGGCTTCTTTCAAGCTATCTTTATCTTCTGTCCAGAGATATTGTACTGGAAGATGAAATGTTTCGATTTCAAGTTCTTCTCCGGGACCTCCAGACCTCGATCAGTTCATCATGCATATCATTAGAATGCATATCATTCTTAGCAGTTATTGGGGATTATAACTAATATACTATTATGTTGAAAACATGTTCGTAGATGATTATAGGCGTATCAAAAAAATTAACTTTTATCATGCATGGCTGCTTTTCCCGCTCAATTCTTGAGACGGTTTAAAGATCAGATCACCGCACATCATTCTTTTCCCCGGCTAAATATGGAAAAACCAATTTGTCAAGTGTTCGTTGTCATGTGATCCAAAGATGGTGGAGAAGTGGTCCAAGGACAACGTCAAGCTGACCAATGACAACCTGTTGCTGAACTCAGAAAAGGAGAAATGCCGCGATATGATCAAGAAGTTGAAAAAGGTCAGGAAATTCAATAGAAGTGAGCAAAAATATTTTTATGTGAATTTTATATAAGTAGAGTTATTGCAATGAACTCTCATAGAGTCAACACATTAATTCACTTTTAGAGCACACTGTGTTTTACTCCAAGGTTCTTGGGAGTTGAGAAACAATGGACGTTATTGTCATCTCCAGTAGACTTACTTTGTAAAGGGGGGGGGGGGAGTCCAATAAAAGGTTCCCTTTCTGTCCCATATACGTAACCCCATGACTTCTGTAATTACATAAGCATCACAAAGACTAATAACATAAAAATTATTGTGGGTATTCTCCTTGCTGATGCCCAAAAGTTTAATAAAAAAACACTGAAATCCATGAACATCTCAGAAGTTTAATCTTGCGTTATAATTATACCTATGGGACATAGCCTACGCGAATTCTTGGACTTGCCAAGGACATGGGTCAGAAAACACTCAAACCTCCTCGTCGAGTTTCTCCTGCTTGATAATAATTGTAACATTTGATTATTTTTCTTAAATATTTGATTTCTCAAGGCTTTGATCGAAGAGCGACGTAAGAAAGGCAAGCCCACGACAGAAGAAGACGTGGAGAATATAGCTGAAGGGAAAGCGATAAAAGTAGGAAAATATTTCTGTCCATTTTCTGATCAACTCTGAATAACAGTTACGTTTAGAGAAGCAAGGGAATGTTGAATGAAATTAGGCAGTTGATGTTAATTTATAATTTGAGAGTGACAGCTAACTAGTCTTGGCTTACTCCAAATATACCTTTGAACTTTTTGTTTCGTTTTGGCATATGATTGTCGAGAATTGAAAGTGAAAACACTGAAAAAAAAAAAGAGGCCTACTTCTGCAACACTGAAACGTTTTTGTTTTGATATAAGAAACAGACACCTGACATCCAGCAACAAACACAGCGGGGCTTCAGACGAGTTGCCGCGGGCCGGGACGTCAAAAGAGACAACGTGCTATGCCAGATTTGCCGCCGGCGTGTTGAGAGTGGCATGAGGCCGGAGCGTGCCGCGCAGGACCCGGTCAGGTCGGCCGAGACTAGGGAAGGACTGGGGGAGGGGAGGGGCGAGGGTGCTAATGAGGCGATCACTGAAGATCTGGTGGCATTACAGGAGGAGAATGATTGGTTGGCTGCCAGAGTCGCTCACTTGGAGCAGAAACTTATCGAAAAGGTCTGAAGGCAACACACTGTGTTTGAATTCAGTGGGACCCCACACGAAACTTATAAGTTTTAGGCCCAAAGTTTACCAAAAAACGCACTGTTGTGAGGACACTCGACAGTTTACTTTTTTTCAAATGTACCTCAAGGGGCGGTCCCACCAAGAAGCTTGGATGATTTATTGTGAATTTGTGGGAACCTCTTTGTTCCATGCCTGGAAACTCTGGAATAACAGACCAAATACTGACTGGTTTCTCTTGTTCTCCCAAGTATGATATCTAGTGGGCAATTCAACCACGAGATCTTCTTGTTCTTTTAGCCTAATTAATTTTTCACATTTGTCGTCACAATTTTATTTCTTATTTTAAAATTCAGTGAATTTCAGCCGATAGTTAAACGAAACAAAAATATTTCAGGCTCTCTGTTTAAAGTGAGTCATTTCTTTTAACAGGAGACCCAAATGATGAAACTGGAGTTCCAGTTATCCGAAATGATGGAAGCCATTCAGACCTCATCTCCACACATTATCCAGACACTGTCCTTGACAGACCCAACATCTCTGAGTTCCTTGGTTCGTGTCACTAGGGACACGTCTCAAACAGGCAGCACTAGGCAGACAGAGGGAAATCCATCAACTGAGGACTCTGACGGACAAGGTTTCAGGTACTGCGATGGAAGAGTTAAGGCCAATACGAAAAGAAATTTATAATCACAAATCAGTCAGGAGTAAAATGTATAAGTCAAGTCACAAGTCAGTCACATGTAAAGCACAAGTCCTTTACCAATTAGTCATAAATAAAGTCACAATAAATAGCTACAAAGGTATGCTTTTCTCACATTCATCTGAAAAGCTTTTGTCTCAACTTGAGACTCAGTGGCTTATGACTTACTCGTGGTTGACTTCCATTTGATGTCTTCATATATAGGGCCCATATTCTTGACTTAAACAATGGAAATTGTTGCCTTTTACTTACGTCACAAAGCCAAAAACCAACTTCTGGCAAAAAGACCTCCAATCTCGTCGTTCCTCGCGTGATCAAACCATCCTCCAAGAAGACAGTCAAGCGACGTGCTGGTGAGCAACAGCCCATCACACAGCCACCAAGCCAGTCTAATCTTGCGCAGCCCGCTGAAATCTCACTGCTAACAGAGGAACGTAACAAGCTACAAGAGGAACTGGTTCAGGTCAAAGGTCAACTAATGCGGGCACAGAGAGAGCTGATAACCCTCAAGTATGCCTCCAGTGCCCCGCCGGTGTCGATGGGGACAGGTGGACCACGACAGGGGAGAGCGGGAACCGGGGAACGATCCAGTCAAGAAGTATCTGCGGATAGTGACAACAATCTGTCGACAACTAAGGTCAGTTAGCCCCAATCGGTGAGATTCCTAATCATAATCACATTGCTTGAATAATTATCACTTGAATGATCACAAGTTTCAGACCCAATCAAGTAGCCAAACCTACTGCCAATTTTTCTCATTTACACCCTGGTCATTTAGAAGGGGAATTTAGTTTGTAATAAATTAATGGTCAAACCAACGTATTTTTGGGAAGACATTCAGTACTTAAGTAATAAGTACTTGCCACAGAACCCCAATAACATAGTGTTTTCATTCAAGACAAATACAAGGAGAGTTGAGCAGCAGATATGATAGCGCGAGCATCCTTTCATATTTTGATATTTTTTACAAAAGATGCAAGCCGAAACAACCACGGCACAAGAAAAACAAGCCCAACACAGAGCCAAGCCCGTCGTAAAATACGACGATGAATTTGAGGCTTACGCGGAACTCATCAGTAAGGATCAGGTCAGTCGACCGTCCCGTAGGATGAGTCGGCCGTACCCTAGTCAGACCGAGGGAGGCAAGCAGCAAGGCCCGGTGGCCAGGGTAGGGGAACAGAAAGGGGGTCATGAGAAACAAGTGCCACTCCAAATGGAAGACTACATCACTTTTGACCAGGTGAGGCAAACTGACATCATGTTTATCATAAATTGACGAATGACAGTTACACAAAAACAAAATGCAGCCTATGGTACTGAGATCCCAGAATTTGTAAAAAATTAGACTGCATAACTCAAAAACAACGCTTGGGTTTTGATTGCTTACGTAAAAGTTCAGTAGTTGACAAATTTCTGTAATTCTTCTTTGTCCATCAGGGAATGCAGACAGACCCACAGATGGATCCTCTTGGTCAATGGTCCAACGTACCATCAGTAAGTCACTGTGAAATTCAAGCTTTAATACAATAAATATCTCCTCCTCTCACACATAATGTACCAGTCTTGAATGTGACGAGGTCGCAGAGCAGCATTCACCTTTAATAAGGCAAAAAAATGCAAAATATAAAACACAAGAACCCTTGAAAACAACATCTAGAAATGGTCCACCTCAACTAAATTTGAAGCTTGCCCCACATGATAGGTTTCTCCAATACAAAACGCCAAAATCAAGGTAGAACACCCCTATATAATCAGAACCTCCAACATAATCCACAGATATCATCCAAATTTGACGTTGTCTTTTCTCCTTAAAGCTGAAGAAGCGGAAAACGGACCATCAACCAATCCTGGACACACCCAGCGATCAAGTGCCCATCGCCCAACCACCCACGGAATGGACCCACTTTGACCCCACTGGACCTATTACACCTGCTACTGATAACAAGAGAGCCAGTATCTCCCTACAGATGCGTGCTGGGCAGAAACCTGCAAGTCTAGACACTGGAGGCATCGTGGAATATGTGGATAGAGAAGTGAACCAGTCGCTTGCTTTCATTTCTTTATTACTAGTGCGCAATTCAGGCATCCTTTGGAGACATCTCCTCAAAGCTCAGCCTTGCAACAGCAAGTGACTGCATCCAAAAACATCAACTACCAATTATTTTTAATTATAAACCAATTTCTTTGGAACAGTCCGAACCAAAGAAACATAAATCTATATTAATAAACAAATACTTAACACCCTGGAAAAAAATATTGCGACGTTTTCCACCTCTTTCCTATTGGTGGATCAGCAGTTGATAACCTTGAGTTCATGTTTTTCATTAAAATTCATCTTTTTGCCTGTCTAATAATTAAAAAAATATGATGGGTTTCATACGCCCATCCCGTTGTAAGAATTCACTTTTCAATGTGCCAGTTATATAACGGGTTGTTTTGGTATTGTAGCTTGGCCGTATCATTCAAGGCATCAACGGCTTCACGTCCTACCTCAAGCGACTGATCCAACGTGAAGTAACCGATATGATCACTACAAACCAAGACATTCGCAGACGCCTGTCGGAAGTCACGCTTCAAAAACTGGACCAGGTGAGAATTCTTTTCCTCTGAATTTAATTTAAACTTGCAGCGATAAAGCTGCACTACAAGAATCAGGGAGGAAGATGCATAACAAGTTAACCACTACATTCCTAAAATCTATGCGCAATTGCCCTAACATACCGAATCCTTCAAAGAACCTTCCTGAATCCATGGACAGTGCCCAATTCTTTGTATTCAACCTCGATAGGACATCAATCCTAAAGTAACGTAATAGTGGCTGAGCTCCACCCTCCTTAACCCTTAAAAATCCTCCAAATAATCCAAAGTCTTAGATAGATCTTGGAAGGTAAGCTCCATGCATTATGTTTCCGTAGGGAGTGAAGGACAGCACTCATCCATCCGCTGAAACCAGCAGGAGGAGCAGGGCCCTGGCCACTCCCATCCATAGAGGGCGCTTTGAAGTCATCAAGGATCATAAACCATCCAAGTTTGCCACAAAGAACGCATTTGCGTCTCTTCAGTCAGGAGGCAGAAAGTAATTCCCATCAAAGCTCTCCTTGTAGAGCTCCTACTTTGCCAAGGGATGTATTACGTACACTTGCTACAAGTGATACCTAACTGTTTACTCACCCACATATCCACAATAGTCAAGAGCCTACGAAAAAACTAGAGAGACAAACAAAAATGTTCTTTAACATTAACACCTAAATTTCTGTTTCCTGTCTTTACAAGATTTTACCACTCGGCGTCGCCAATCCCTCCATGGAACATATATTCGAAAACGCCGACCCCTTTGCCTGGTAAGATCCATATTCTTCTTGGTGAATAGTTATCCCATTGAGGGATGACGTCGTCAAACTTGGACAGCTATGAAGGACAACCTATAAGTCCATTTTTTATCAGAGTAACAAAAATCTCTTTAGAAACACAAGAGATAAACCGCATCCTAATAAGCTATTGTCTAAGGGCTTGTGGCGTTTACAACTATGTGACATGCTGAAAAACGTAGCCGTAACTCTGAAAGCCCCTCTCAGAAACGGCCATACCTAACCTCATAGTGCTAGCTAGAAGGCAACACCGGTCTACATTTCTATTTCTTCCATTGGTCAAACCAGCTGACTACATGAACATGAGCACCTTTGCCCACGATCACATCACGATGGCCGATGAGGTGGCAATGGAGAGGTACCTAGCAAGCCCGCACGATACCATCTGCTCCCGACTGCAGCATCAGATTGACATGATTGGGCAACACGCCATAGATGTGCTGAAGGGGACCACGGTTTTCTTCAAGGAAACTGTCACACGTCAGGTAAGATCACGTGGACCAATCAACTTCAACCACCTAAGCCACCTTTGGCAAGACCTTCTGGAGTCCTCCAATATCCTCAGCTCTGCAGGAAACATCACACAATATTTGCCGTTTAAATTTCAAGGAGCACTTAACCCATGTACAGTGACAGTGCCTGCAATGTACTTTCCTCGATATTGTAATATCTTAGATTCCTAAACTTCCTTTTCTGTCATTAGACAGGGTCTTAAATACGGCTACCATTATGGCTGACACGGATCTGAATTTCCACTTTGTCAACCAGTAACTGTAACTGATTTCTTGGTTGATTCTAGATGGAGGAATACAACACACTCCACGGTGCCTTCAGTATACGACAGGAGCTGAAAACTCTCATGGCACCCTCAACGACACCCACTGAAAGTAAAGATGGCACAATGGAGTCAGGAAACGGGGTAAGAACAAACACTGAACTACAATTGCATCATCCCATTCCCCTCAATACCATCAGAGAGCGTTTATTGTCACACTTACGTTTGATGACTCATCTTTCTACCATAACCCTAGTTAAAGGAACTCTTTTTGAGTACTAGCTGCAAATCTAACCCTTCACAATCTTAACAGTTTGTTTCTTCAATTTCTCATAGGAGACTCAGGCAGATGTTACAAGTGATCATGCCCAACTCCTTTATCAAGATCCTCCGCTCAAACTGGCAAGATCCACCTCTCACAACAGCTTCCTTGAGGTAAGCTTCTACCGCACTTGCCTGCTGTTAAAGGAATCGATTCTCTCCATCTTGAATTACTTTTGAACCTTACGTTGTGTGCCTTTTTTTTTTCCTTTTCAGTCTCGCAACATCAAGTATGTCCAGGAGAAGAAACACATAGACTTTGATTTCCAGAAACATCCCAAAGTATATCCCTTGGGAACACAATCACTCAGCTCCATGCAGGTAATGAGATCTATGACTACTACCAAATAAAATCACTTCATTGATATACTCCAGTCCCTGTACAAGACACTCATGAGAACAAAGGGATGGAAAAAGGTCCGAGTCTTAAAGAACACAGTCGTTAAGCTTGTACAGGTGACAGATTAGCAAGGTCTGAACTCGGGTCAAGTCAGGGTCAAAACGGACCTCATTGTTCCCTTCTCTTCCATACCCTTCACAGAATGAGAAATATCTCAACCTCGATAAAATAAGCCATTATTAATCCTAACCTCTCAGTTGAGTGATTTAGTAGGTACCTTCCTCACTCTTGCAAAATCCAACACCATAATTGTAACTGTTTGGGACTCTAGATTATGGTGGTATGCCTAATAACCCCATGTACAGCATAATCAGTTTACTAGTGCAGGCCTCACTCCAATGGATTCCAACAAAACATGCAGTTGAATTCTGAACGGTTGGGATGGTTAGGGTTAATAACTATTTTTTTGTACATGTACACGAAATGTTGCTTTACATTCATGGTTACCATGGTTACAGAACCAAATATCCCTTCCAAATTGCAGAGTTCCCATTGCTACTTGCCAGCCCTCGCTCTCTATGACAAACAAACACCACGGAATAGATACGAGATGAAAGTACCAAAAGCCACGCTGCCACGCCGAGGCCTTGTCACTCTGCAGGTCAAGGAGGCTGCTGTGAAAATGGACGCTAAAGGTACCGGTAGTCTGCTGATATAGATTGCATCATCCCAACCACAGATGCTTGTTGATGAAAGCGCATGAAATGATTCTAAATCCTGTGAATCCTGAATCCTATGATACCAGAAGTTGCAAAACGAATGCTATATAACAAAAGGTAATGCGTTTCAACTACCAACTGGAGAGCCAATGAACCGATGACACACACACATAACGCAAGACTTGAAGACTGCTCAAATTGTGTAGGCATACACGTCTGCCAAGCATACAGCCTGCAGGTCACACTTCACCACTCTTGCATTGCACCTAAACTTTGCTAGTGTTTGTTGAACCAGTTCTGAATTATTACTATCTGTCATTTACCAGGAGTTGATACCAAACGTCGTTCCCGCCCGGTTGCCATTTCCCACCGTGGGCTTCAGTCCCATCAACGAGAGATCTTAGCCAAACAGGGGACGGCACAGGACAGAGGGGAGCAGGATGAAGAACCTCGGACTACAACCTTGGAACTAAAACGGCAAATTCTACAACTGCAGGTGCTATAACCCCTTCATTACAATTCCGCAATAAACAACTCCAAGATGGCTGCAGCTGTTCTTGGTAGTTAGTATCGTTTCCAGCCATGTGTCTCAAGAAGCATCCGGACCCAAGTAAAGCACCAATGGATATGTTTTATCTTCTCAATCCTTCAAAATCCTCCAAAAACTCACAGCAAATTGTGGAGGATTTAGGAGTAGGAGAGCTGGGATGAAAAGAATCTAAGACCTACCTACTAAAATGTTTTTGTTTTCATTTTTGAAAGATGTGGAAACCGTATCTTAAGACTTCAACAGGCTTATAGGATATTTCTTTATTTTTCTTTTAAAGGCTAATCAGCTCTACCAAGCCGCTGATCAGAGCAGCTTACCCACAGGGGACCCGGATACCGATGCCAGAAAGACCCTACCCCTGCTGGAGAACGAACGACGACGTGTCATCATCCATGCACAGGACCAACTGCGTGATACAGTGCAACGATGGGATAAATATGCAGGGCTTCTTTCTGATGGGCGTGGTCCTGAATAATGCTCATCAATTTAAATAACATAAATAAGCTAAACTAAACCTCACAGTTAGTATAATGACAAGCTTGTCAGATATGTAGCTGGCTGTTTTATTATGGTTTCAAAATTATTAATTCAAACTGCTTATTCTGGTTTTCAATAAGTCCAGCTAGATAAAACATGAATATCAAAGCAATGTAAAAACCACGTATTTCTCCCTCAAACAATATAATCACCATACCATATAATAATTTGAATCAATTTACTATATATATTATTGCACCAAATCCATAAAGCAAATCTGAATAATTAAAGAATATTCTTAGAAATTATTAGCCTCAAGAGATAGAAAAAGATCCACCACGCTGAAAATATAATAATTTTGTTTAATATCTACTCAATTATAGTCCCTTAAAGCACCAAAGATATTTCAGTAATACAATTTTCAATGAATATTACATCATATTATATTATATATCATATTACTATTGCAGCAAGTATTTTAAACTGTCAAGAGCTTTAACCTGCTAGAAGGATGATAACAATTAACCACCGTCGACCAAAAAATTTACCGTCGAAAAAAAAGAAGGCAACTGACATTTAAGGAACAGCAAATTTACAATAAAATAACATCACAGTCGTATGTGTACATGTACGGGTGTAGTTTTTTTGTTATATATATATTTTTTTTGGCAATATTCAAAGCCGCAAAAACTATTTGAATATTCGGTTGATGATGGGATATTCAAATATTGGGTGCATTCGGGACAGCCCTAATACCTTGACCATTAATACTAGGAGTGATTCCTGTGGACAGGGTACAGTGTCTACATGATGTATACTTACTCGTCTAAAATTTAAACTGCTTAGACCCAAAGTCAGCCTAGAGATATTATTCAGGTCTGTGGAAGATGCAGACATAGATCTAAACAGTTTTTATTGGGCAGTATTTACAGGCACGCAACTGGGAATTTAGACAAAAACATGTAAACTCCTAACCACACAAGACTTTAGCAGCATTTTTTATTTGTAATGGCATTCATAAGAAGTAAAAAAAAAAAGAAATCTGAGGATCCGAGGAAAAGTTGCATGCCTGTATTTAGGCTACAGCTTACCCCTGATGAGGCGTGGTACCAGACTGGTAGAACTGAATAAGACGCTGAGCTTGTTGCTGGCCTGTTATCATCGCAGCGTGTACGGTGGAATGATTGTCCTTGTGGCAGCCCTCACCAGCAAAGAGTAGCACGGGATACTAAAAAACACACAAAATACAGGGAATCAGGTTGGCATTGCGGTACTTTCTTTGCCTTCCACTGCTGTGACCCGGGTTCGAATCCCGCCTGGACCAATATGTGGATTGGGTTTTCAGTCCCTGCCTGATTCGTGGGTTTTCCTAAGAATATTCTCCTAGGGTTTTCCGCCAATCTCTAAAACTGTAACTTCTTCTCATTGTCTTCTCTTACAGGTTTCTTCAGGCTTGCAAGCTACAATGCCTAGGGTGCTTTTGAGGAATCCTTGGTTTCACTACAAGAAATAAAAATAATAATAATAAGACGAACAAAGTGTACTTTGTTAAGTTTGCTGGCAGAATTTTAGGCAACACCCGAATCTCTAGTCTTGAGCTATTGTCTAGGTCTTCATCCCAGAGTCTTTTCCCCCCAATTGTTGAAATAAGAAGTTGCCTTCTATTTCACAACCAACTATACTTCACAAATAGCAGTTTCATCTGACAAAACCTGAAGCAAGGCCCTCAACTCCTAAATCCCAACTTTTAAAAAGGCCCCTGTACAATCCCCAAAATTACATCCCCATTATTACCTGTGTCGTGTTTCCATCTGCTAACAGACTTTTTCGCCAAACTGGACAAGACATCACATCAAATTCTTCTCCCGTCCCATGTGCAGGAATAGTACTAGTGTAGGATCCTCTGATGTATGGGTTGCTATGCCAACGGGTTACAACCACTTGGGTTGGTTCTTGGATGTCCCTCTTCAGAAACTTGCGCAAGATGTCAGTGCACATCTAAGGAAAAGAGTCAGTAAATACACCTGAGAAACATGTGCCCTCGATGGAGTAATCATTTGAACAAAATCCTGGGCATTTTCTTCCAAGAAGTTTCCTAAATCTGGCAAAACAAGAACTGTTTTCTTTTCTTTTTTTAACCAATAGCACTCTTTTGAACCTTAATGAAACATACATGTAACTCATGATTTGCACACACCATAGAGGGTTTGGGGTTATAGTGTTATTTATGTTAGTCATCCCAAAGCGTTAACTCATTCTTTCTATAAGTAGGACATACAAGCCTTTAACAATCCCAAATCCTTCAAATCAATTTACTACCTTAGCAATATCTTCATCAGGAAGTTGTTCCATGAGTTCAGCTTCACTGCCAGAAATCCATGCACACAACACGTCATCGTGACCATCAACGGTATCAAAACCTACAAATGCACGGAGAATAAAACACGATGTTGAGTACATCACTATTCAGTCAGTCACCATCCCGTAACAAGTCAAGTCATAAGCTAAAGCACAGTCAAACTGACTGTGATAAGTTGCATTCCTTCGATATCGTTCATCCCCAGTTACTTTAGACCAGGGCCAAATGTCATAGCGTTGCTTAACAACCGATTTTGTGCTTACAGAGGATCTGATCTGTCTACTTTATAAGGACCGTAAGCAGCACAGCAAAAGCACGCTTAATCCCAGAGGAAAAAGTTGCCTTAATGAATGATGTAACAATAGAAATCTCCCTGCGCGCACAACCGTTAGCACGTCCATGCCATGAAATAGTGCTTAAGCAGCGGCCTGATTTTCTGCTATAGGACGCACAACTTTTCTGCTAACTCTTAAGCGTCGATATGAAATTGAGCTCAGACTTGTAAGTTGACTTGCAATTTGGACTTTGAACTATAGTGACACAATTACACTGGGGAAGAAATTTGTTGATGTAATAAATCCTTTTAAACAATTTTATGTGGATGAAATTGCAATATGATCACCAATAAGTTCTGAACAAACCTGTGAATCTTCTCATAATTCTGTTGTGCAAATCTCCAGGTCTCTCCCCGATGTCATCCGTTGCCATGGTGACCGGTGGCTCATCATGCCATGAGTCTTTCTCCCAGAGCAGCTGTATTCCTTCAAATTCTCCTTTGCTAAGACCAGTCCAAAACGGCTCCTCAAACTTGAGAAAGACTTTGTCAACGGTACCAAAGTTAAGGGTTTCAATCGCCTGTTGTTTGTCCTTAGGCAGGGCAGGCTTGAACATTCTCTGGTGATACTCCTTGAGGTAGCCATTGGACGATGTAACAATCACATGATCAGCCACTGTGTCTGGATGGCCCTTCACTTGTAAAACAACAAGTTGCTTTTCAAGGTTTGTTTCAGTAAGCGAGTCTAGTTCCCAGACTACTTGATCGACTTGCATGTTACATTTTACAACGTCTTTGGGCAGCTTTTCCAGGAACGTGTCTAAGACACCTTGGTATCCTTTCTTCCCGAGACAGCAGTAAAAGTCACCTGGGATATCGATGTAAAAATTGTAGTAAGCCAGGCCCAAGTCTTTAACACTTTGGCAAGCATTGTCTGTGCACTCGGTTCGCAAGCACCACTTGGCAACGAGATCGTAGACGTGTCTCTCTTCTGCACTCAAGCCTTCCTCTGCAATTAACTTTCCAATTCCCTTACTGAAGTACTCTCCGACACTAAGACAGTCGCCATGGGTACTGGCATCTCGACTAGCAATGGTGAGGTGGCTGTACATCATATAAACCTTTTTGACAACTGACGGAGGGACAAAAGTGCCGTCTTCAAGAACAAACAGGTCCCCGTCCAAGTGCCTAGTATTTATGCAAGTGCCGTTATTGTCACTTGACTCTGAGCTACTTGAGCTGCTGCTACTGTCCTCTCTAGACGACTCATCTCCCTGTTCAAAATGGAAAAGAAAATCAGTTTCTTCTTGTATTGGGCTCTAAACTCCCTTAGCTTGGATGGGACTCTAACCCACAACCTCCTCCTAAGAAAGCGCTGATGTCTTAGCTACTCCACCATCTAGCCTGCCAGGACTTGCTGGCTAATTCCGATTCTGAATTGCAATCCAATCGGCTCCTGTACTGGGGTGGATTTAGGTTCAGGTAGTTTCCAAGAAAACTGCCAAAAGAAGCGAAGCTTAAGAGAACTCTCCTCTGAATAAACCAAGGCCTGACAAAACGTTACTAATCCCTGACAAGAGTGAGACTTACCATAAGCAGTCCATTCTCCTTAGCAAGATCGTAAACTGGATTGCCCTCTTCACCATGGATCCAGTTGGCTCCGAGTTCAATCAATCTCGGCCCTACAAGCAAAATGAAGCACACAGACACACCACTCAGTTTATTAGAGATCACAAAGTTGTAGCCTTTTCCACAGGCTCAATATAACGTTTCAGCAACTGATGGGTTTAAATAAAGAATAATGAAATTGAATTAATTAATCATTACCCATATTGGTCTGACATAATAAAGGAATAATATAAAAAGGTATATAACTCTAACCCCCAACGAGTTCATTTGGGGCAAAGTACCGCATACATGTACTACAAAGTACTACAAAAATTATGTATGCAGGTACCAAATACTAGAAAATATTATAACACCTCACCCACAGATTCTGTGTCTTGATTGGCCGAGAGCGAGTCACATGATAATTTCTATTTTTGCCATCTTTCTGTGCACGGCCAAAAGTACTATACCCCTAGCAACCAAAGTAGGCCTACTATACCATTAGCAACCAAAGTACTATATCCATGGCCCGGTATTTGTGTGCAAATGCATGCTGGTGTGCGCATTGGGCGTTGCGCTTAGCGCGTTTTGTTCCAAAGAGAGCGCGTCGCAGAGTTGGGTTCAAACATCTCGTGAAGGGGTAATTTGGAAGAGAGAAATTATACATTTTCCACCAATTTTTTCCTGAAATTGAAGTTTATTTCAACTGTGTTCAGATTTAAATAATTTAAAATATTAAAACCAAGCAGAATCTGTGGGTGAAGTGTTATGAAACAAATACTGAATGCTTTATCTCGTGGTGTAGTCAAACTAGCCTCCCTCGGTGATCCATGGAGCATTTTATTTTTCCTCGGCTTCGCCTCGGGAAAATAGAATGTCCATGGATCACCTCGGGAGGCTAGTTTTACTCCATCACTCGAAGCATTCAGTATTTGTATACTACGAATGTTGTGCTCACTTAAATACATTTTGTATGCTGAAGTACTGCATACTACAGTTTACTGCTGGATGTAGTAGTATTTTGTAGAGGTTAGGGTTTGAAATATAGAAATACATTTTAATGCAATAAATTCAGGATATGAGTTAATGAAACTTTGGCATATTTTTCTTCTGGACGTCTGTCGTACCGTAAGGCACTCATCAGCAGAATGACATAGAACATAGAATGCAAGTAGCATCTTCCCTCATGTTGAACCAAGTGTGCGTACAGGTTATCTGTACATATACAAATATCTATTTATATCCCAGCAAAAATGCCTAGGGAGTTAGGGTTATGGAATATTAAAAATTAATTTAAGTTTTTTATTCCCCATATTGATAATCCATAAACCTGCTGATTAAATTAGTAGGCATATTAAAAAGGATTTCAATCAATTACACATGTCTGTGCGAATCTGCAGTAATTAGATATTACACCAAGCTCCAAATTGCATTGCAAATTGTATGGATTTCATAACCTTTACTTAAAATTAATTTAAGTTTTTTATTCCCCATATTGATAATACATAAACCTGCTGATTAAATTAGTAGGCATATTATAAAGGTTTTCAATCAATTACACACGTCTGTGCGCATCTGCAGTAATTAGATATTACACCAAGCTCCAAATTGCATTGCAAATTGTATGGATTTCATAACCTTTACTTTTCTCTCTATTTTTTTTTTTTTTTACGAAAGAGCGACCCATGGAGCTAATTATGCTGGCTTTATATTTAATCCATCCAAAAATTCCAAAGAGAATAAAAATATACATTTGTAAACTGTGCAAGGTGTGGTTTTACAACTAGCATGTACAAACAAAACTCCTGCATACAACAATGAATTGTACATGATTCCCAGTCCGACAATTTTGGACTCTCAATAACATATAAAATGGGAGTCCCAAAACTTGATAAATATAGTAAAAACGTGTAATACAAGACAATAGACTGACACATGAAACAACCAGTCCAACACCCTTTTAGTACTGCATCTATCAACTGTGTCAATAGAAAAGTCTGGTACCCAGTCTCTATTTCTACACATTTTCATAGTCATGATGCCAGACTACTAAAGGGTCAATCTTCTCAAAAAGTTGGATTTTGTTTCGAATTGAAATCACTTGGCTTCACTCCAAGGTGCAAAATATTAAAGAAAAGTCTCCTTTCAAAATTGTATTGAGACCTCAAACTTAGCTGGTGAAATAATGAGGACCTTTTCTTTGCCTCATTAAAATGTTCGAGAATTCCATTGGCTAAAGAGTGGGTAAAGTTTGCCTAATTTATTTTGCATGTTTTTCTGGACTCAAGGTCCCCGATCTGCATGAATCCAAGATTTGACATAGGGCTCAGGCTTACCTACGTGAAGAATGTTGCTTCCTGTTCATACATGTACATGTCACGCAGAATAAATCTGCCCAAATGCTAAACGTGCAACAGGTGCACACAGTTCTCCCAACTATTGAATTCAGATTTGTAATGATAATAATAGAAATTTAAAATTTATAATGCGCCCTTTCCATTGTATTCAATAGGCACATTACAAAGAACTAATTTTAAAACTAATTTCAAAAAGTTATACGACAGAGAAGAAAAAGAAAAGACACAAAGTTTGAGATAAAAATAGGTCATCACACCAAAGTATGGGGATTCGTCCGTCCCGTCAGCACGGTTACTTAAGCCGATACCCCCTTCTGACATCAGTATTGTCTCGACCCCACCTACGTAATTAAGCACCTCACCAACATAACGAGGTGACCCTAGAAATATAGACTATACTAGAGAGAAAGCATTAAACACCACAATCACACATTAGGCCAAGTAAAAAAAAAAAATTTATCGTCCTGCTTTTTCTTTCTTTTTTTTTCTTTCCAAAATTGCCGTCTGACCAGGCTATTTTTCAAGATGGCCGCCAGCTTTTCTTTTAAATGGCCGACACAGGAATGACATACCAGCTTTATATGGGCTAGATGCATCAGACAAAGAGGCCAGCATGATGTCACTGTTTAAAAATTTATCATGTTTTTGTGTTTAAAAAAAAAAAAAAAAAAAAAAAGCAGGCGGGGACGCTAAACGGTTTTCTTTTTCATTTGGCCTTAATTTGTGTTATTGTTAGCAAGAACTGCAATCGATAGCACAAGTCAGCATAGTCCCATAAATGTGACTGAAATACTACCTCCGTAACATACGGAGGTAGTCCAGCATTTTAGTCACATTTATGGGACTAAAGTCAGCAGAGCCGTGACATTGCGCCCTTATTCTTTACCCATTTGCCACGATGTGTGGATGCGTCCTCCGGGACGTTCCAATGCCTCATACACCACGATGTCAAACATGTTTGCCTCGGTCAGTGTGGTAGCAGCTGCTAGGCCTGCCATGCCTGCACCGATGATCACTACACGTGGTCTTCTCTTGGAACATGTTGAAGCCATCATCATGCACCTACCCACATGCAAAAACAAAACAAAAAAAGGATAGGGTAAATCTTTTCTCAAATAACATGAATAAAAAAGTGTTTCACGGTATTAATATGCGCCATCTTGCCGACAGGGCAATTGAAGTCGTGTTGCTAGCTGTGTTCACATCATCAATGAAAAACTTTGGTGCTTCCATTTCCAAGTCATCATGCTGTCATTCCAAAATGCGCCCACATCTAGTTAGCAACGCATGTTCTTTTTGCCCAGTGTCCCAGGCAGTGAACAAGATGGCGCATATTACCGTGAAACACCTTTTTCAACCTAACTCTGTGCAGATTTGATGTGTCCGTCCCACTTTGGACATTCAGCAAACATTAAGGAATGCAGAATTGTCTACAAATACAATTAATAATCCTTGAACAAAATCACTCAAGTCTGCTGCAGCTGCACAGCCATGACAGCATGCGCGCAAACATGTGGCAAAGCCAAAGGATCGGAGTAGTTTGGCCTGGAAAGTGTACCTTCAGGTGCACGAGTGTATTCAGTAAACGGTATTTTGCCTGCTAAAGTGCTAATGCTAGATTGTACAGCGCATAAATTAAAATACATAAGGTATTCAATTTTTACCTCCACCCAAGGTCCGGTGCGGTTGCAAGTGTGTCTGCGCAGTGCATGCAATGTGTACGTACGTACGTGTACAAACAATGTACACGTGCTAATTGCCCGCCGCCCGCGGCGCCCTCTAGTGGACTTAGTCTGGTCCCCCGACCTCTACACGTCTTCATCAGGAATAGTCGGAATCTTTTGGTCTGGGAACCAGACTATAGTGGACTGTGCAGCGAGTCACCGAAGCGGGCGCCCTTTACACACGCCAACCACAAAATAAAATGTGAGGCCAACAGCTAGCTGGCCGCAAAGCAGTGCGCCCCGGCCCAACAGTATAGAAATTCCCATAGACACCAGCGATAAATCCCCATACTTCAAAATTCTTTAAAAAACACTCAAAACTTTCATAGGTGTTCAGGCTGCACAGAAAAAATGATGATCAACGTACATGTCATCTTTCATTTTCTTTTCAAGTTTTGGTGTTGATTATTAACTTTTTGAAAGTAAGAAGACCACCCCTAATAAAACGAGTGATGTTTTCCAAACTGGAAAAGTAGCCATTTTGAAAAAGGATCACTCCACGACACTGCTAAATAGTTTCCAAGATGGATTCAATGCACCCCGTAATATCTCAGGATTTCCTCGTCCTACTTTATTCAGGATGTCGTCATCCCATCACAAATTATAAATCTTAAAATTAATGTGGCCTGACGTTGCGAACTTAGCAAGTTCTTCTTCAGAGGCTAAAACAGAAATGACAGAGGTACATACATTAACATGGGGGTGCACACAAACATGCAGGGCTGAAAGAAGAAACACAAAAGAAGGATTAAGTGGGAAAGGTGTAGAAAGATGCAGGGGAGGGTGGATGAGAGAACAAAGAAACAAAGGGAGATGGCAAACCACAAGGGGTCTGGTGTGAACAGGGGAGGGACCAGAAAGGGGAAGGATCAAAGGTCACAGGGAGTGGGAACGGACAAAAGAGTGTGGGAGTGAAGGGATGATGCGGGGGGGGGGACAGTATTGAGGTGGAAAGGGATGAAAGATGGGGGAAGATGGGTAAACACAAACAAGGAAGACCAGATGGATTATCTGTAACAGAAGACAATGGAGGAAAAAAAGGATTAATCATTTCCAAGTTGGATGTTGAGACCATGTGGTTGAATAGTTCGTTCCCACTCCCTGTGACCTTTGATCCTTCCCCTTTCTGGTCCCTCCCCTGTTCACACCAGACCCCTTGTGGTTTGCCATCTCCCTTTGTTTCTTTGTTCTCTCATCCACCCTCCCCTGCATCTTTCTACACCTTTCCCACTTAATCCTCCTTTTGTGTTTCTTCTTTCAGCCCTGCATGTTTGTGTGCACCCCCATGTTAATGTATGTACCTCTGTCATTTCTGTTTTAGCCTCTGAAGAAGAACTTGCTAAGTTCGCAACGTCAGGCCACATTAATTTTAAGATTTATATATTTCAGGTCCATCCAGTCAGTAAGCAGTTTGCAGCAGTTTTACTTTTTTACATCACAAATTATCTCAGAATGTCGCCGCTTTGAATGCTGCTCTACGATGACCTTGGCGAAAGGCTATGGAACGACCAGACCGTGAAGTTATTGATCTCCGCGAGGCCCCGGTGGCTTAGAGCTGCGAAAGCACGAAGCGACTGCTTTGTCTGATGCCAGCGAGTTGAGCCACGATGGCCTTGGCGATGCCGCCGCTGTACCTGTGTTCTTATTCCTCCATGTTATACCATAGAGCTGTGTTCCTTCCTCCATGGTATGCTTAACTTCGCAATGGAGTTTAGCCGTAATGGAAGTTTCATCACCCTTCTGTTTTTTACCACTGAAGTGGTTTGGGGATGTCTTGCCAAAAGTATGGGCGTTTTACTTCCAACTCTACGGGACCAATTCACGACGGAGACGTGGATCATTGGTATAGTGCTAGCGTTACAGGGAGTTACGTCAGACGTTGCAGGTAGTTCAGCGAAATTTGTATACTTTGTGTAAACTGAGACATTTGTGAGATGGAATTTGCGAGATTATGGCTATAGCTCCATGGGCTAACCGAGTAGTTTGAAGTATACGTGGGATTATGCTTCGCAGCGAACGCTTTTTTTTTATTTTAAACGAATTTAATAATTGATTATTTTTTAAATGAAGGTTTGCTTGCAATGCCCCTTGAAAAACGACTCGGTTGTCGGCGAGTATTGATCTACGGCAGCGTGGTTGCAATGATGGGTCTGGTTTCGGTGGCTTTTGCAACAAGCACCGTACACATCGCCCTTGCTTTGGCTCTTCTCACAGGTAAACAACGTTGTATTGCATTATACCTCTAGGCTCACGTTGGTCATAGGCCTTCTGCTCTGAGTAAATGTCCCAAGTTGCAAGTGAAAAAGTGCGAGTCAAACGAAAATAGAAATCCATCAATACTACACTATCACTCCTTATAAGATTGATAGTTCAGGCCTTTTTTCTTTCACAAATCACGAGAAAGAAACATGCGGCGCAAACCATCATATGGGCGCCGCGAGGGGAGGGGCGCAAGGGGGCACTTTACACTCCCCCCCCCCCCCAAAAAAAAGGAGGGGGGAAAGGGGGAAAGGAAAATGAAGACAATAAAGAAGACGTAGGCCTATCACGCTTTTTAACAAAAGGTCGAGTGATGTCTATACCTCTCGATTGGTCCACGACCGGTGATTTCTCCCTTCGCTTCTGGTGTGTGCTTTGCACCATCTAGAAAAAAAACCCCAAATACTGGCGACGCCCATGCACCACCATGATTTATTCTTTTGATACCTATTTTTTAAACCTTGCACTTCGCTCAGCCCAAACGCGTTATATCTATTTATTTTCTTTTGATAGGTCACATTTCAGTAAATCTGATTTTTCTTTCCCCCCCCCCCCCAGGACCCACTTTTGGCATCATTACAGTTCTAGATAAAGTCCTCTTAGGACGTCATTTTACAACACATTTTGCTCTGGCCTGTGGCATAGGTCACATGGGCAAAGGTTTGGCTCTTCTCGTGATCGCCCCGCTGACGCAACTTTTCCTGGACACTTATGGTTGGAGAGGAGCGGCTTTGCTTATTGGTGGAATCTGTATGCATTTGATACCTTCTGCTGCCGTAGTCCAAGACGTCAAGCCACATTATGAGAACATCAGTGATGAAAGCTCTGCAGACAGCAATGACCAGAAAGGTTTTGACACTGACGGTAACATTTCTCTGAAAGCATCATGCCTTGGTATTTGTAAAGCTATGGACCTCGGAATACTTCTAGAGTTCAATTTCTGGATCGTGTTCATGTGCAACTTTGGACTGACGTGTACCTTTGATGCCTGGCAGTTGTATTTCGTTCCTCATCTTCAAGTCAAAGGGTTCTCGGCCCAAGTAGCTGCCTCGCTTTGCACAGCGGCTGCTGTGGGGTATCTCATAGGCACAGTCATCTGGTCGCCTTTTATCGACAGAGGTCTCATCAAGTGCTCTACAGCCATAATCATCAGCAGCCTCGCTCTGACCTTCTCGTTTGTGGTTGATCCTTGGGTGAATGACGTCATCGGTTACGTCATCATCACCACTATCTGTGGCTTATTTGCCTCAGCGCTTTACACTCTCATTGACGTCATGACCAAAGACATCCTTGGCATAGACCGACTAGTCAGCGCGTTCGGATGGATGAGGGCATTGTTCTTTGGAAGACTCATCGCAGGTTTTGTACCAGGTAAATGTTCACAAATACTTTAATATTCACTTGTTATTTAACATTACAATTATTGTAAGTATTACATATTACATTTACATGTATATTATGAGTTATTTCTGGCCATGAACCAAAGATTAATTCCTCAAAAGCGCCCTCGGCAGTATAGCCTATAGCTGGCAAGCCTGAAGAAACCTGTAGAGAGAAGACAACGAGAAGAAATTATTGTTTTAGAGGTGGGAGGAAAACCCCAAAAGAATATTCTGACGAAAAAAAACACGGATTGGCCCAGGTGTACGGTGGCCCACAACTGTCACGGCAAAAGCAAAAGCGCCACGGCAAGCGCAAAAGCGCCGCGGCAAGCGCAACAGCGCCGCGGCAAGCGCAACAGCGCCACGGCAAGCGCAAAAGCGCCACGGCAAAACAAAAAGCGCCGCGGCAAAAGAAAAAGCGCCACGGCAAAACAAAAAGCGCCGCGGCAAAAGAAAAAGCGCCCCGGCAAAACAAAAAGCGCCGCGGCAAGCGCAAAAGCGCCGCGGCAAGCGCAAAAGCGCCACGGCAAGCGCAAAAGCGCCACGGCAAGCGCAAAAGCGCCACGGCAAGCGCAAAAGCGCCACGGCGAAAGCAAAAGCGCCACGGCGAAAGCAAAAGCGCCACGGGTTTATTGGGAAGGGGCGTAATCATACATGCCGCTACTACATCAAAAATAAAATGGGAAGGAGAATGGCCGCCACCAGGAATTCTTATTAAGCACAGAATTTAATTCTTTGAGAAGTGATTTTATGGCTGAGAAAATAGCAAGGCCAAGGAAAACCGGTCAGGAAATAAATCGTCGATATTAATTTGTTGTAGGATAATTATTATTCCAAGAGAGTTGCCGCCGTGAATCAGAGTTTATAAAGGAGTGGGACTCACTATCAGCACCATCAGGGCCGTTCCTCATTTCTTTACATTTCGTGGGATGCAAACAATTACGAGGACGGGAGGCTCTGTGAGCTGATGCATTTTTTTGAAGAGTTTTTTTCCTTCCGACTAGCATGCAGAGAAGAGTTCCGTTAATTTGAGACTTAGTTCACCCATGGGCGTCGCGAGGGGGGCAAGGGGGCGCTTCCCCCCCCCCCCCCTGGAATAGCACACAAAAAAGGAAGGGGAAAAAAGAGAAAAAAAGAAAAGAAAAAGAGGATCGAAGTCATAGTGGTGTAAATTGAATGAGTTGGGGGGGGGGGGCAAAATGTCCCTGCCCCCGTCTAAAACTGAGAAATCGAGAATTTGTTCAGAAATACAAGAATTTTTTGGGAAAAATATGTTTTGCCCCCTCTAGAAAAAATCCTGGCGACGCCCATGAGTTCACCGGTGTGTATACCAGTGTAGGCACACAATTGAGCTGCCCAGAGTTTGGATATAGAATAAGAAAGAAAGAAATTAACTCAGAACCTAGAACTCATTGGCCCACCCACCCCCGGTTCAAGAAACCAACAAGCCGAACAAGACCTCATGATGCTTAGCGATAGCGATGATGAGTTGCCCTGTGGACAGTCTTCCACATCATCGCAGAATCAGCCTGCAGGGCAGAAAGAGGGCTTGTTTCCGGCATCAAAGAGTTCCGTATTCACTCGAAACAAAGCAAACGGCTCTTTTCAGAGCCACCAAATTTTCATAGAAGAGCTTAGAACTGTGCATCTCACCGATAACACTTCTCCTTTGTTTAGTGTCTCTCCCTTACCCCCCCTTTTTTTAAGTTAATTTCTTTCTTTCTTATTCTATATCCAAAGTCTTCGCCTGTGTTACGTTCCTTACATGAAATCCACGACCTAACCTCCTCTGTCGAAAGCGTTGCAACTGTCTAATAGAACGATCCATTTCTCGATTTGTGAGTTATCTTCAACTCAGTCGTGTTTATTGGGAAGGGGCGTAATCATACATGCCGCCACTACATCTAAAATTAAATGGAAAGGAGTATGGCCGCCACCATGAATTGAGAAGTGATTTTATGGCTGAGAAAATAGCAAGGAAAACCAGTCAGTGCAAGCAACGTTCAGCGAAGAGTTTTGAAATTCCCGCTCTCTGGGAATTTCTAACCTAATGGGCCCGCGGGCGAGTTACGTGTTGACAAGCCTTACCCACCCACTGCCGCAGCCCTGCAGGAGAGCCTTAATCGACTTCCTAGATGTGTATGATATACTGAAAAAGAAAAAAAAAATTAACTCATACACTCTGGGCAGCTCACTTGCGTGCCTACACTGGTATACACACCTGTGAAAAAAAGGCTCAAATTAACGGAACTCTTCTCTGCATGCTAGTCGGAAGGGGAAAAAATGTCTTCAAAAATGCATCAGCTCACAGAGCCTCCCGTCCTCGTAATTGTTTGCATCCCACGAAATGTAAAGAAATGAGGAACGGCCCTGATGGTGCTGATAGTGAGTCCCACTCCTTTATAAACTCTGATTCACGGCGGCAACTCTCTTGGAATAATAATTATCCTACAACAAATTAATATCGACGATTTATTTCCTGACCGGTTTTCCTTGGCCTTGCTATTTTCTCAGCCATAAAATCACTTCTCCGAAGAATTAAATTCTGTGCTTAATAAGAATTCCTGGTGGCGGCCCTGGTGGCGGCCATTCTCCTTCCCATTTTATTTTTGATGTAGTAGCGGCATGTATGATTACGCCCCTTCCCAATAAACCCGTGGCGCTTTTGCTTTCGCCGTGGCGCTTTTGCTTTCGCCGTGGCGCTTTTGCGCTTGCCGTGGCGCTTTTGCGCTTGCCGTGGCGCTTTTGCGCTTGCCGCGGCGCTTTTGCGCTTGCCGCGGCGCTTTTTGTTTTGCCGTGGCGCTTTTTCTTTCGCCGCGGCGCTTTTTGTTTTGCCGTGGCGCTTTTTCTTTTGCCGCGGCGCTTTTTCTTTTGCCGTGGCGCTTTTTCTTTTGCCGTGGCGCTTTTGCGCTTGCCGTGGCGCTGTTGCGCTTGCCGCGGCGCTGTTGCGCTTGCCGCGGCGCTTTTGCGCTTGCCGTGGCGCCTTTGCTTTTGCCGTGACAGTTGTGGGCCACCGTACAGGTGGGATTCGAACCCGGACCACACGGTGAAAGGCGAGGAAAGTATACCGCTACGCCAACATGACTTCCACGAGTCAGGTTATTCAGTTGTATATATTTTCGACCTCTTAATTGTTTGTCCGTTTGTGTTTTCTGTTTGACTTGACAGGCTGGATGTACGACGCAAGAGGGAGCTATGACTTGGCGTTCGTCGTTATTGGCATCATGCCAAGCGTCTGTTTACTCCCGTTGGTGATTGGTCTAATGTGGAAAACATTCTAGAACGTCGAGGTCATTCTCAGGTCTTCAGTGAAACTGCAAAGAACAGAAATATTATGTAATTGCAGGAAATGTCAATTCGCTTTCATATTCGTTAAAAATGCATAGATCATGCTAAGTTTCAATTTGTATGTTTTGTTTTCACGGGAAAAGTACTTAACTCCGATTTTGAGCGTCTGCAACCCTCTAAAAAGGGCTTTGATTTTGTGCGCAAGTAACCCGCCCTGCGAGAGCCGAATTATTGTCTGGCAGCGAATAATTCGAATTTTGTGAAGAAATAATTCACTAACTAAACGTCTTTGGATTTTTTGTTTGTTCTGTGTCTCTTTCAAGAGTGAATTATATTGCTGGGAAAAAGCATTACAAAAACAAAAACAAAATTTCCAACTTGAAAATAGCGGGTCATGCATCTTTAGTCTAACAAAACGCTAATCGGTCAATTCAATTTAATTCAATCCAATTCAATTCAGTTTAATTCAGTTCAATTCAATATGTAAGTCGTATCTGCTCTTATACCAAAACATTTGTGTTTTAAGTGGCATACGTTTGTTTTAATTAAATATGACAGAACTATATACCTGAAATGGTCTGACAATTTCCTGAAGTATTCTCTGAACGAACTAAAGCTTGAGAATGTTGAAACATGCAGTGGAAATTCAGCTCATCTTGTTTTCATGCATATATTATGTGTTGCAACAATACATAACAAGATCTTAACACTTGTTTTCATTGGAAGTGACAAAAAAGTGGTAGTTTTCAATTATTAGCAATCCTTTCATCAATACATGTAAGAGGGCGCTATTTTGCTTTTGTCACACAAGGTACTCCTTGTCAAAAGTGCATATGAACAGTACAAAAAATAGTCCCTCAAACTTACCCACAAAAAAACAAGTTTTGAAGAAATATTGGCCACTACCATTGTCCAAACAAGCTTTTTAACATGATAAACAGTAAAAAGTGGAACTTACTCCAAGAAAATGATGAAATGTTTGGTTATATTTGTTCACAACGCTATGGAGACGCTTCTGTTCTGCCTTGAATGACATCACGCTTTGGCTCATGAATATGGAAATTTTCATTGGCATAAAAACAGAAATGTTGAAATTTCTCCCTTTTACTGCTACAAAGGAGGTGGAAAGTCATAGTAACATGGCAAGAAAGCTGTTTTAAATGTATTTAAGTCATAAAAATCCCATTACATGTTCCTTTTAACGACCGTGTGCAACTGGATCCGAGTTTGTGGAGTGGGCGTATTGGATGACTTAAAATGTAAAACCATATGGTGTTGTACTGATGGAAATTTGTTCTCTTTTTTACCAAGCTGATTCTCTATGTCTTTATATTAGAAAAAAATAGTAGTTGCCAAATGGCAGGGGTTTCAGGCATTCGGTCTTACTAATAAAAACTAGCAAGTAGCAAATGCTAGGAAGTTTCAGCAAAAAAAGTAAAAACATTTACTCAGTGCAGTAAGGAAAAGCAAATGCTTAATTCCGTATGAATATTCCCTTTTCTGTTCAGCATTTATAGACAACATCTTGATTTGGACTTTTACCTTATTTATGTACACCCTATGTGAGGCAGTTATACGCAAAAGAGACCATATGTTGTTGACAATCATTCGTCCGTGACTCCGTGAAAACAATCCAACAGTAAGAATTACTGTTGGATTGTTTTCATGGATGAATGGTTGTCAACGAACTGCCACACATAGGGTTTACATAACTAGGGTAAATACATGTAGTATAGTATATTTTGATCCTTAAATGCTTAAGACACTTTTCGCCAGTTGCAGAATACATAAAGAATACATTATTCATTAAAATTGTAAGGTCCAAACAGTGTCCTATAGACGTCACAATTGCATACAAAAATCACAGACAAGTGTTAAAAGCGGGTAAATCATACCAATATTCAATACACAGAGGTTTTTGTTTATTGAGATATTCAATAAATATAATAGTTTGCAAAGATTGGTGACCTAAATAAATGGGCCCCACATATATTATCAATTCCCGGAACTAGTCTTGGCTGTGAGTAAACATCAACCTCCCATTTTTCACAGTCATTTACGAGCAAAAAGGGCAGTCCAGGCTTCTTCGAAAGTAACCCATTTTCCCTCCCCGCCCGGCCCGAAAAAGTTTCTATAGACTTGAGTCAAGTACGAGTCAAGTCTAGTGTGATTTGAGCGCAGTGATCCGTCGCAAGACCGCTGTCATTCGCTCGAGGGTTCGAGGCTTGTTGTTATAGACCTTTCTTTTGTTTGTAAATATTGACACCATTTTATACGGACTGCCGCAAGGCACATAAACTGAAGCCGGGGTTGGCCTTATTTTTCCAGAAAACGTCATCATTACGCTCCCAATCACAGTCAAAAGGTATGTGTAGAATTTATGTCGTAAGTTTATTGACAATGTTGTATTTCCAACAATCAAATAATGTTTTCGTTTTCTTTAATACATTTTGTAACTCTTCATTTTTGCATCGTTGGACCTTCCATAGCTTTGCAACCCGTTATTGGCAAAAATGCAGGTTGCCAACCAAGCGTAGAAAAGTCTATTGAAGCATTGTGCAAAACATTTCCCAACCAAGTTCGGAAAGAACATGGACCGCCATTGTTGATACCGTATTAAAATTATTTCATGTTTATGAACGGGTTGAAAATTGTTGCTTTTATTGTAGTAGCTACAAATCTGTGTTTTATGTATTCGGTATTCTGTTGGTCCTGTCATCGCTGCACGGGTTCAATGACTTCAGTTTGAGCTTACGCCCTGACGAATTGTATAGCAGATAAAACGAACTTAACTTGAGAATACAGGGAATACCGCCATGGAGTTTAATCGTTATGGTTGTTTCATCACACTGTTCGCATTTATCAACAATCTGATATGGGGATGTGTTGTCAAAAGTATGGGCGTTTTACTGCCGACTCTACGGGAACAATTTACAACAGAAACGTGGATCATTGGAACAGTGGCAGCACTGATGGGGGCCACATCTGATGTTGCAGGTAAAATAAGTTCTTGGGTATTATGGCATATCCCCATGTATAGGCCTATTGTGGGATATTTTTTTATTTGCATGGTATATATTGTATGTATGTACTGTGCGTAGGCCTGTGGGATACACACACTGCATTAATGTTTAAGGCATCTTTGGAGGAAACATTTACTGTTCGGCGATTTCATCTTTAGCTAACAAAAGGTGCCCCTTAATTAACACGTCATATCTTCATCAAAAATGACAAAGTGATAGTAATACGTACATAACCGTGCAGCATTTCTTATAGAGTATCGCGTGAATATTGGGCAATTTTGTGTGAAACACAATACATTTCCAGCCGAACAAAAAGGCCTTGTTGGAAACAGTCATACTATTTAATCCGATTTTCCATTACTGGCTAATTAGTGTATTCTGGTGTTTTTTATATATATATATGAAGGTCTCTTAACACTGCCTTTGGAAAACGTATTTGGTTGTCGGCGAGTGCTGATTTTCAATAGTGTGGTTGGAAGCATCGGTTTGGTATTGGTGGCCTTTGCAACAAGCACTGTACACTTCGCCCTAGCTTTCTGTACACTTCGCCCTAGCTTTGGCCGTTTTAGTGGGCGAGTATAACGCTGTGGCACCAAAGGCAGTTGTAACGCGCGCAATAACTGCGGCGAAACTAAAGTTTTGCGCTGTTTGTCACCCTAACAAGCAAAAACACTCTAAAGAAAACACAGGAAAACTAAGAAATAGAATGCGAAAGAAAATTTTATTAAACAATTACCAAGACATTAAGAAAATTTATCAATCAAAATGTTAAATGATTAATGGTAAACTATTAATAAACACAGAACTGGGTATGAATTAAACGAAATATCAAGGGATAAATATTAAACTAAAACAAAAGCACCCAGCAATGCCAAACAAATAATACAATTTCATCTTAATAAACACGTGGTATTTTATTAGTCTAATCCAATCCTCAAATCAACTTCTCAACTCAATTCTTCAAATCAAATCTCCAAATCAATACTTGAAATCAAATCTCCAAATCAATTCTTCAAATCACGTGGATTTATTCTAGTCTATAATCCAATCCTCAAATCAACTTGTTCAATTTGATTTGAAGTATTGATTTGTGGATTGAATGAACGCCCACCAAGATCATTCGCGAATCATGCGACCGCCGGCCGAAACACGTCCTGGCTGTAGCTTTTTGTTTTTAACGAAAAATGAGTTAAATGACCCATTATGTCCCCACCCGGTCCCCAGGACCGCAAACCTGGAGCTCCCCAAGCTTGTTAGTTTGACGTCTCCAGACTTGCCAGACCATGATTGATGAATAGTCCTCTTGTAAATCACTTTGTAAGCATAAGCATCCAGGCCTACCTGAAAACACAACTGTGTGTGTTATTAATTAACTATTTTTGTCCCCATCTTGCAGGACCTGCTTTTGGTATTTCTGGAGTCCTTAGTAAAGCCTTATTAGCACGTCATTTCACCAAGCACTATGCCTTGGCTTGTGGGTTAGGCTACTCTGGACAAGCAGTAGCACTTCTTACTTTCGCCCCGTTGACGCAACTTTTCCTGGACACTTACGGTTGGAGGGGAGCAGTGTTACTTATTGGTGGATTCAGTATGCATCACTTACCAAGCGCTCTTGTAGTGAGAGACGCCAAACCACAGTACGAGTCACTGAAAGACAGTCCCTGTGATAATCCTGATAACACCGATCATGGTAGACGTCAGGGGGGAAATGAGAGTGATGACGGTACCATCTCTATCAAGGCGTTCTGGCTTCGTCTCTGCAAAGCGTTAGACTTGGCTATATTCTTTGAGTTCAATTTCTGGATCGTTCTCACCTGCCGTTTTGGGATCACCAGTACCTTCGTTTCTTGGCTGCTGTATTTCGTTCCTCATCTTCAAGTCAAAGGTTTCTCGCCCCAAGTAGCTGCCTCGCTCTGCACAGCGGCTGCTGTTGGATTTGCCTTCGGAACAGTCATCTGGTCGCCTTTCATTGACAGAGGTCTCATCAAGTGCTCAACAGCGATAATTATCAGCAGCCTCGCTCTGACCTTCTCGTTTGTGGTTGATCCTTGGGTGAATGAAGTCATCGGTTACGTCATCATCACCTTTATCTATGGATTATTTGCCTCTGCGCTCTACACTCTCATTGACGTCATAACCAAAGATTTGATAAACCATGATCGGCTTGTCAGCGCTTTCGGATGGATGAGGGCGTTCTTCGTAGGCCGTCTAATCGCCGGTTTTCTACCAGGTCAGTAAAATTCTCGTTCAGCCTTGCAAGGAACAACAACCATTTTTAAAGGGTATTCTTTGCGGTTTCCTCTTCCCCAGATAAACTTCTTAGGTAATATACTAAAATTTTCAAGTAATATAAGTAGTACAAGGCGACGAGCACTGATTTCAAATGCACTAATAATACCCAACGTGTTTCCGTTGATTTCATACTAGGCTGGATATACGATGCAAGCGGCACCTATGACATGGCGTTCATCCTTCTTGGCCTCATACAAACCGCTTCACTGATTCCACTGATTATCGGGATACTGCGAAAAACATTCTAGGACTAAAGGAGGACCATCGCCTACCAAGCCCGCGGGAACGGGGGTGGGGGATGCTGTGGGTGCTGCAGCACCCCTATAACTGTTTGGATTTAGGTGCTGGAATATGCTTCAGCACCCCCTACTCCCAGGCAAAAATGTGTTCCAGCCAGCAGTGTTCTACGACAATGAAATTGCGCCGCTACGCTATACATTATGCTTGCTCTACATCTCCTTCGTTTTATTCGTTTCTAGTTTTGCCGCGGCTAAGCGCGGCGCTTCGAACGTCTTGCACAAACACTGTAAAATATCAAGAGGAGGTATTTTCTAAATCTTCAGCCAGTGCAGAATCGTTCTTTCTCTCAATATATCTAAAATCATGACATGTCTATGATATTTCCGCCACGGAAGCCGTTTGACCCGAAAGCATGACAATGGTGGCAAAGTTGATTATGCTTGCCAGGATTTTGTTCATTCGATCTTTCAATAGGGGCAAAAGTTCATACCTTTCCCCTGAAGGTTTTTCTTTTCATTGAAAAGTTTCATTGACGTTGCTAACATTCTGTACTTCACAAAACGCACCATTGATTGCCAATTCGCACCGCTTCCGCATACCCGTACCGTACCCCCATCATGCACACAATGCTTCTCTCTTCCAAATAAGCCAACGGATGTAATTGCAATGTTCCTACAAAAGACTCACTCATGTAAATGAACCACTGAAATGCATAGATTTTATTTACTTAAACAGGCTAAACAGTGTTTTAAATGCCTCGAGGTTATTTGTTTGTCTGTTTCTTTGTTTGTGATTTTTTTTGTGGGGTTGGGGATTTGTGGGACATGTTTGTGGTTTTTATTACTTTTTTTTTAACTGGGTCGAATTTCCACAGATCAGTGTCAGCACTTACCTGCTTCATCAACCGTTACGATTAGTTTACTTTCTTTTATACCCAGCAAAGGTGTTCGCGTACTTAGATGTTTACACCTGCTGATGGCTTCATCTTGCCAACTTAAAATGACTTGTAAAAATATCTTAACTGCAGCTTGAAGCAACTTTGTTCTCGGATGCTTCCACTACACTGCTTGTATGAAGTGGTTCAGTAACGAAATCATCCTTCCTATACTCCTGGTTGCATCAATAATTTCTGGGCTCGCTTGCACCGCACCAACAGTCAGAAGGTCGTTTCCCATGTGGTCTTACATGTATAAATCACACCAGACTCATGTTGTGTTGCTGACTTGCCTATTTACACATTCTAGTTTTAGAGTTCAGGTTCCATTTTCTTTCTGTTCATCGGCGTTTGGTCGAGGCACAACACATGCAGGGTCTGTTCGGTGAACACTGAATAACACAGTGCAGTTCAATTCGGTCCCAAACCAACTCTATGCCGCTAAACTGGAGCCGAAGCGTGTTGTCATTCCTGTTATAGGGCGCAGCCATCTTGGCGCGCGCGAGTCGTCTACCAATACTTGAAGCTGATTGGTTGAAGTCGCTAACACGTCACAGGCCACGTGAACGATGAAGGAGCCATCGTTCATTGTTTGAAGCCGTGTTGTGTTTGGCGTGAAAATGTGGGGGGGGGGGGTTTCTCTCACAAAAAGTAAACACCACATGACAAAAGCAACACGGAAACAAATCAACTCCCGAGGAAGTTTTAAATAAATTCAACGACCCTTACAAAATACGTTCCGTACAAGTTATATATATGCGACGTTCCATTCTGATTTATTTTTTAAAATATCCTGTTAAAAACACATTAAGTTAGTCGATTTGCCTCTATATACATGCTTCTAATGTTTCTTTCAATAACATCTCGTAAACAAGACGTAAACAGCACGCCCATGATGTTGTTATTAAACACTTGATTTCTACATCAATAGTTGAACCATTGAACAATGCCCCTCCCCTGCCATGTAATCTAACCTAGCTTTGTAAAAAAAAAAATATGGACCGATCCCACCCACTGCGCACGTGGGCAGCAACGTCACGTGCACGTAACAGCCACACGCGCGTGTAATACAGATGTGATTGGTTAAAAAAAATATGGGGAGGGGCTTAACACGGTCCACTGGAACTTCTTTCTCAACTTACCGGCCGATCAACTTGTTGATTATATTCATTACCACATATAATAACCAACTTGAATTACTCAGAAAAAAAGGTATGTATTATGAGAGTAATATGCATCAATATGCTGGCATGATTCTTTTATGTTGCTAAAAACAAGTGGATTCTGTTTTACATTTTCAAGTATTCATTTCTAATGTTACCTGAATCATGTGTTCAATGAAATTAACAATTGAATCCATTTTATAATGATTAAAATTTTGGTGAAAATTATTTTCATACGTATTTCTTGGCTTTGGAAATTTCTTCAAATTATAATTAACCCATAAGTATACAAATTTCAGAATTTAAAAAAATAATTATTGCCTATAACTGCATTCTAAACTATGTTGTTTCATTATGTTGTATCAAAGTTAATAAAATGCTGTACAAGAAGTGAACCAAAACAAATCGTAAAATTGTCTCTGACGTTATTTTTTACTTTAGAGTTGCATAACCATAGAGAATCTAGTGTTTGATTGGTGGACCCAAAACTGAACTAGTTTCTGATTTGTTGACCCTAGATGAAATTGCTTTCTGATTGGTTGACCCTAGATGAAACTGGTTGCTGATTGGTTGACCTTATATGAAACTGTATCTGATTGGTTGACCCTAGATAAAACTGCTTTCTGATTGGTTGACCCTAGAAGAAACTAGTATCTGATTGGTTGACCCTAGATGAAACTAGTTTCTAATTGGTTGACCCTAAATGCTGTTTATTTGTTTACAGGTCAGTGATTTGCTACTTTTATAGATGAGACTCCGTCAGTGCTCCAATAAGAAAACACCAAAGCCTTCAACCAAAAAATGACCACTGTCGATATAGGACCTGTTACCAAATAAAGAGTTTAAGATGGATAGCAATACTGTTGGAAAGCAGTACCTCATATTTTCAAAAGAAAGTGAGAGTTGTGTTTTGACAACCTCCCAGTGCCCCCCATATCATCAGACACACACCCTGAAAACTCCACAGGGGATAAGGCTGTGTCTGACTATCCGCTCTGTTCACAAGGACCCCCCCACCGGCAAAGAAGGAACACTTGGGGGTGACCAACCGATGCCATCTTGCCTGACTGCAATTTTGCCGCTACGCGCGGCCGTACCACTGCGTGTACATAGTACAAATCCCCTTGTGTACGTGCGTCACACACAAGGAACGGTGCGCATCAACCAGCTAAATGTCCTGCCCATGGAACGTTGTTGCTAGGTAAAAGGGCGCCCTCTTTCATTGGCGCACGGAGCCCATACAACTACAGATCATCAGAGACGATACTAATGCCATGTTCCAATTACTTGGGTACCGCTTGGAATTACACACGTGTCTATGGTAGCCGCTGCAGCCACTTGCCATAGACTTGTGTGTAAATTCAAGCCGTAGCCAAGTAATTTGGACACGGCCTGATAGACACTTTGCATTCAGCTGCCATCTTTGAGGTGTTCAGTCACAATGAACACACCAGGTCTTCCTATATTTATCCCTATTGAACAAGTGCATGTACATGTACCCCTAAGATGGCTGCCATGCAAAGCATCTAAACCCTTATTCGTTTACAATAGATGGAGGCGTTATTACCTGTGGAACGTATGCCCGTCTGCTACAACTCCATGTGTATCCACATATTAATTTGTACACAAGTTGCAGGTTAACTAAAAGTGTCTGGGGTGAATCAGATGGAACCACAACAACTATTTCAGTTCCAGAATGTCATGTTTGTTCAACTCCATTGTTTTTTTTTTAAAGAACAGAAGCATAAATCAATTCAATGTTGGTATTTGCCGTTCACCGATGTATTTTTATGAACACTGTATACCCAGTGTTGTCCCGAGTAATTGTGAGAAACAAATCACTCAGGTGAGATGCTAACCCACGAGCCCTGCTTGCCAGGGTCGGCTGGCTGGTTCGAATCTCATATAGCAGTGGGTACCGCAACCAAACTATAATGTAAATGCTATAATGTGACATCACGAATGTCTGGTCAAGCTAAACATTCACTGTTCTTAAAGGTATGTTATTTTTCCATAGTCTATAACAAGCAGTGTTTTTACTTGTCGTACCTCTGTGATCTGGCTTCAAATTAAACAAAAAAGGCATCCATGCTGGACACTGAAATATGCTGTATAAAGTTCCATGCATTTGTTCAAACTGCTGTGGACCAAGTTTACGACAGGCACACTTTGCATAGGTAATATACCTCCAGTCTGCATTTAGATTAATATACACCATGCAATCTCTTATTAAGTTCAGCGTTTGGCTTTTCACATTATACCAAATTAAAATATTATACAAAATATATCAAACAGTTCAAACAACTCGAGTTGCTCATATGACGTCTCCTTAACTTACTCTCCGCTCACATAACATGTACAAAACACACTGCCCTCCATGTAGCATACACTGTCATTAGTTATCAGTTTTCTAAATTCATCAGGACCGAATATAACATGGTTCTCCTTGTCTTAGCCACAACTGGTGAACTTGAAACAAAATACTATGCAATTTTCAGTTTTACAGCACCTTAAATTAAGACATCAAATTCAACACTGGTCAATGCTAAACACGCGGTCTAAAAGTTAAAAAAACCCAATAACTAGGATCTCTTGCAAAATTAAAACTGACAAGGATTACTCGATATGAAATACCATTTTTACTTAAAATACTTACACATTACCCTATTTATACAGGACAAAGTAGGCATGCCAATGAAAGTAAAATTTTCACAATATTTATGTACCAATTTTACAATGTAATGAAATCTACTTAATAAAAAGTAAAAAAAAGACATTTTGAAAAACACTCACCCTCAGGTTTCCTTTGACTATGGAAAAGAAAATGCGTCGTTAAAAAAAAACTCTTCAAATGATATGCTTTCAACACTGTCTGAATTTCATATGATATATTTGAATGAAACCTCAGATGTCACACTGTACATGATTAGAGAAGATTTGATGAAGTCACATCAGCAACTGAATTATTCATGTATTCCAATACTGTTACACCCTTGCTACACTAATAGGGCTGTCACAACATTGATCACTGCATACAAATTTTAATCTGCGCACTTTGTGTGCAACTTTTGACGGGCGTGGCACGCAGGTGCAGCTGTCGCATGTAAACTTGATCAGCAAGTTTCGAATATTCAAATTTTCGGTCAAACACAGTTTTTAATAATCGAATACTTAATTATTCGAAAAATGGACAGCCCTACACGATAAAGGCACATCATTTGAGTTAAAACTGAAAACAAATAAAAAATAGAGTCAAAAAGTGTATAACAAAAGAAATCATGTACAAATGAACCCAGAAATCATATTACGCAATTAGTACAAATAAAACATCTGAAAATGGTAAATTGCCTGGACGTGACTCCAACAGCTGCAAATGTGATGTCATCAGCTTAATGCTGGAGAAAAGTCCAATCTACTTATAATAAAACCTCAAACAAGAATGGAACATACATGTACAACAGGCGCCAAGACGAAAAGACTTGTGAAGGAGACTAGTGACCAATGGAGATGCTGATAGTCAGGCTTGTGACGGAGACTAGTGGCGTTGGCTTGCTTCCTTGGCTGCCATGATCAGTGGCACCAATGTCTTAAGAGGTTTGGCCATCTTCAAGAAGGGATGCTGGAATCACGAGCAATGACAAAAAGAAAACACCCAAGAAGCCCAAGTTAACATTCAACCAAAACAATTACACAACGTGCCACATTCAAGTTACAGGTGCTTGAACATGTTTTCCATTTTTCCCCCTTTAAGAAAAGGGTCGAAAACTAGTGTAGAATTGAATCTGTCTTTACACAGCTCACAGCAAACAAAAGTTGAAATGGTAAAGAGTAAAAAATCATCTAAAAAACAAATGCACAGTCTTGAGTTTTTTTAAGTTCCCAAAACAATTAACACCAAATTCCAAAAAAAATTGGGCCTGAAAAAAAAAATGTGCTACAAAGCACAATGGATAATGACTGGCTGCAATGCGTGCAGTTTGATCAATTATTGATTATCCCACCAAAGTGAAAAAGAGTAAAAGAAAGAAAATATTGGCTTTACCACTAAGAGTTCACTGCTGCCAACACGCTTATCCACGTCGGTCTCTAGACACTGGGCCAAGAAATCCTTGAAGACCGGCGACAACTTCTCCGGGTTTTGGATTTCTGGTGTTCCATTGGTTGCAATAAGGTACAAGGCCTGCAAGGATGTTTGAAGGTAGAGGAGATCATTTGCAGCTATCCAAAACATAACTGACCAAATTATTGTTAAAAAAGCCTACTTGGTCTAAAAATTATTCTGTGAAATTATTCTTTCTGGCATGCTGTCATTTTGAAGAAAACAATAAAAGAAGATCATTTCCAAAGATGAGTCAAGTGACACATTTGACGAAAAAACAGGAAATTTCCCATCCGGCTCATTATTATTATGACAGCCAAGTTTGTTAACTCCGTAAGTCAGCACATATTTATGCGGCCTACACAATGGGCCGGATGGCATCATTACCAGGTAAATCTTATATAAAATTGTTGGGCCAAGGTGAAACTAAAGCAATTCTCACTCCCAAGCCACTATTTTTGTTCTCAGAATAACAAACTCGCTAACTCACCCTGAGAGGATTCTCATTCAGATACGGCGGCTCTCCTTCTATCATCTCAATAGCCATGATACCCAGGGACCAGATATCGACCTTTGGCCCATACTGCTTACGGGTCACGACCTCTGGGGCCATCCAATATGGCGTGCCCACCATCGTTGTGCGCTTGCTCTGCTCGGGAGTTATTTGGGCACAGAAGCCGAAATCAGCTGTACATTTTCAACAAGACATCAGCATCATTCGTTAGTAACAACCAAGCATGTGGTTTAATTGTCACAAGAGATTATTCTTAAAAGTCAATTACAACAGTGTTTTGATTTTTGGTGGCGTTTAAGATGGAAAAATTTTTTTTTCTACTAGCAATTTTTTCCTCAAAAGGTGCTGAAAACTGTGAGTTCAAAGTGAACTCTGACTGCGTTCCACAGCCAGTTTAGGAGAGACGCTGACTTACTGAGTTTGACACCACCGTCCATTCCCAGAAGAATATTGTCACTCTTGATATCTCTGTGGATGACGTGATTGCGATGAAGGAACTCCAGGGCTTGCAAACACTGGACAAAAGACAAGAAGTAATACCATTAAATTCATTGACACAAAATCTTGGGAATGCATTTCAAAAAGGTCATTGTCTTACTGTCGTGTTTTTCAATACTCTGTGCAAGCAAAAGATTACAACACAAGGCCATTTCTTTTGCAATGCATTCTAGAAACGTTAACATCCGTGCCCCAAACTGCAGTTCTTTTGCAACAGGCCTTGGCAAACCTATCCTTTTTGGGGGGTTGCGTGCTTACATCAAATTCCACTGACAACATTATTTTGTAAGTGGGACAACCATGAAGATGGTCTGGCTTACCTCTCTACACACACTGGCAATCTGACCCTCATCCATACATGTCTCAGTCACAACATCCGTCAAGGAACCGCCGGCCAAAAACTCCATCACGACCTGAAGGAAGATACCACATAAAAAGTAAGATTATCACAAGAATGCATTTGTGACACGACATTTTTTATAGGCAGAACTGAGAATGCTTCAAAAGGAGTTCAAGCCAAACAAAAAATGTGGGTGGACTTTTCACAATCTTTTTGGATTGAGTAAAATTCAAGACGTCTTTATTCTAAAAAATATTGTGCAGAAGTCTGAAACTGAACTTAGATTTCTCTCTCACGTTTCAAGAGAAGCAAATCATTTCAGAAAAGTTGTCAAGAAACTTACAATGTCAAAAAAACAGATGACAAAATATTTAAATCATACAGAAAACATGGAGGTGTCGTTGCTGGCACCCTATGTATTAATTACATGCGTAAAAAACAGTTTAGTTTTTGGTCCAATGCTGAATTTCTTACCCAGAGTTCACCCCCCACCAGATAGCTGTCCAGATAATTGACAATGTTTGGGTTCTTATTCTCTCGCATGACGAGGATCTCATTGATGATCAACTCTTTCTTGGGTTGCTGTTGGAGATTCATCTGCTTGATAGCAACCTGAAACCAAATACACAAAATAAATAAGAACGTCCCTTTCACAGGAATCACTATATTAACTTAACCCTTAGGCTCCGATGAACATGTATTTCAATATGGAAATCTTTTAAATGTAAAAGCATACTTCAGAATTTACAGTTTATTTCACTGTTATTGAACAAACAATGTGATGTTGACTAAAGTAGCCTTGCACAAGAGGGTAACAAAACCAAATATTTACAATACAATTTTTGTCACGATACTGGTTTATTATGCACATCTTGAAATTAAGCTGCAAGAGATTTATTCCCAACTGTGTTGGGTCTGTGAGAATATGTACCTCTTGCCCAGTGCCAACTTCTATCGCTGTGTAGACGACTCCAGACGCTCCCTGACCAATCTTCTCACACTTGGTGTATTTCTTCTTGGGATCACCAACGCTGACAATTTGCCCTGGAAACAGAATCAAATCAGCATTCCTTCATTTTCAGAGAAAGAAAGACGAGATCTGAATGAAGAAGAATGAAGCAGTCCACAGGACCATGCCTTGGACCTGTTTCTAATGACCAACTTTTCAGATGGGCGATCCAGAGCCATTCCAAAGCCGGTTCCTACTTGGCACGAAAGGGAATGCAAATGCGAATTTGTGACGTCACAGCAAATTTTCGCACTGAGATTTCGCAAAAGTTGAGCTCAGTTCAACTCGGGCGAATTTCGCAGTGAATGTTTCATGACGTCAAATTTGTTTCGCATTCGCAATCAAGTGAAGTTTGAACCGGTTTCAACCGATCAGACTCGGTCCTAACTTACTCAGTTTGTCCAAGATCTCGTCATCACTCATCTTCTTCTTCTTCTGTCTTTCTCTCGTTCTCTGGACACTGCCTTCAGCATTGTTGATAGCGGCAGGCGGCGGTGGGGAGACTGGGGTTGGGGCGGGCTCAGCTGGGGGCTCAATCCTGGAGTAATACTGAGGGTGCAAACAGAAATGAAACCAAATGAAATTATCCAATTCTTACAAAAAGTAAACAGGACAGCAAAGCAAGCACAAGCTGTCATCGGATTTCAACAAAGCTTTAACTTCACAAAGGGCACTCTTTTAAGAGCATAGGGGGCGCTCTTCTGATTAAGTCAAAATCATTTTCATGCCGAGTATGCATTTGTAGAAGGCTAGTTGTGATGTTTGTGTTACTGTTGGAGGTATCTATTATATTGGGTTGGGGTTTTTTTGCAATTAGAATCCATAACGTCACATTAGTGTTGTTGTTGATTTTGGTGGTTTTTTTAAAATGAAATTGGAATCTTCTTGGTCGTGGTATTCTTAACTTTTCATCAAGGCCGTGATTTTCTCTGTTTAATCAAATTCCTTAGAAATGTTTACTTCAACAAACAGGCACAGCCACCTTAAAAGGCAGAAACCAAGACTGAAAATACAGGCTGAGTGTACCTTAGACTTGGTGTGTTCAGGCCGAGGTGCGATGGCTGGTGCTGGCCCATTATCATCATCCTCATCTTCCTCAACGTCGACAGACTTTTGGCCGTGCTTCTGTTAAAAAAAATGAGGTCCAAAACATCACAAACTACACATGCCTAACCCTAACTTCCGATGAAATTTTGGTCAGACTCCTTTCTGAATACTCCAAAATTCACAAGTGTGCAGGAAGCCAAAGGCAACATGTACTTAAACTTTCAAGAGACACAATGTCCTATGTAAAGTAATAGCGGCTGGGCTGTGCATTCCTCCAATCTGCAAAATTCTTCCGATATCCAGGGGATACTTGAGGTATCTGGAAGGGCCAGGGTTATAAAGCCAAACTCAAAAACTATTCCATTTCAATTGTTTAAATTGACAGTTACTTCACATCAGCCGATCTGCTGCTGTAAGATAATGAGAGAGGGCGGTATACTTACTGCGTTGAGTGACGTTTGTTCAAATGTGTCCTCCAGAGATCCTTTGTTATTGCCTAAGCCAAACATCAAAAACAAATTAGTAAACAAACAAATCGTTCAGAAAATGCTTCTGTGAATCCATTTCATAATTCATGTTCTCTACCAAAAATACAATTTCAAAATCAAAAGTAAATCTCAAAGATTAGTTTCTTTAATGAAATGATTTCAGAAAATCGTGTGTGAAATTCCAAAGTTTCCATGTACGAACTTACTGCTCAGGATGACTTTCTGTTGAGTCATAAACTTCTCGTTTCGGTTGGCGTTGCTGTCGTCGTAGAATTTGAGAGCATCCAAGACGGCCTGTGGGTTCTTCTTCTGCTCTGTCTTAGTGATCTGAGATGACATCAACAGCTTGGCCCAATGCTCTGGCATACCCTGTTTGAGATCAAGATACAAACACACCATCTTAAAATCTATTTGGATTCTTACATCAATACAAGCCAACATTATGTTGTCAAGGATACCAGAGCAACGCTGGGTGTATAGTGTAGATGTGGTCCAATGGTTACGGTGTTCGACTCATGTACCATTGTTCATGGGTTCGAACCCCGACGGGGAACGTTGTGCTTGTAGTCTTGGGCAAGACACTTTACTACAATTGCCTCTCTCCAACCAGGAGTATAAACGGCTGTAGACCTGTGAAGGTAGAAACCATAACGCGCTGATCTCGAGCTGCTGCAAAAACTGGTCTAATGGCCTGATGATCATTATTATTATTTTGTATTTGCCTAAAAGGCAGTCCTTAAAATTACAATTTCTTTGATTCTATATGAACTTGTACAGGTAAAATAAACACCTTTATGGTAAAACCTAAGGAATTCCAGATTTCAAAAGGGATTCTTGAAAACTCCTAAAATAGGGGGAAAATCTTAACAAAAAAAAATCTTGAAATCAGGAAAAATCTTAACAAGTCTCACCCCTGTTAGAGATTAAATGAAGGCATACATTTCTACGTGTGCAACATGTGTACAAGTTAAAATTTGAACAAATTGGCTCCTTTTTTTAAAAAATCTCACCGTGAATTCTCCAGTGATGCTATCGAAGCCAACGTGCACAGTGTGCTCAAAGCTGGTAGGGTAGCTGATCTCCGGCCGCTGCTTGGAACCTGACAGAAAAAGAAGCAGATAATTCAAGCTTTGTTTAGCCATTTTTTAAGTTCAGAAACAAAGCTAAATAGATAACAAGTTGCCCTTGTTGGAAATCAGCTTCAAAATTGATATTCCTAAATCCAAACACTGATCATCATGGAGTCCAACCCTTGAGGTAGGGCACAGACGGACTATAAACAGATGGATTCATGGATTCATGCATGCATAAGGCCCAATTAAAAAAAAAACCCTAGGAGGAAAATAGGAGGAAGAGGTTTTTTTTTTTTTTTAAGATGGGCACCATTTTTAAATTTCCTGAAACCGTTGGTGTTTCCACTGTTCAAAGACACTTTTAAAATGAAAGACAAGTTGAACAAGAGAACGGAACATATTTACAGTGTCATTTAGAGTTGTATTGGTCTACAATGAACAGTTTTAGATGCATTTGCTTTAACTGTGGACTTTTTCAGTGTTTTTTTACTGCATTTTTCAAAAATAAAAATAATAAAAAAATCCAGGTGGCCTCCAAAAAGGAGGACGAAAAACATGTTTTTTTTTACTTCGCCGAAGCAACAGTTAATTTTCTATAGTGAATCAATTAACAGAATCGCCAAAACCATTTCATCTAAGACATTTGCATATGCCTGATGTTCAATGCTGTCAGATTTAGCAGGTTATGGAGATTTTTTTAATGAAATAACCATTTTACACCTTTCAAAAGACCTATCAAATGCCCTTTATCATGAAATTATTATTAGACTTTAGTAATAATTAGCGCTTCATGCTATATAATGTGTGTGCTTAAACCTAACTACGCTAACAAAAAGAACAGGAAGAAAATTTTTCTTTTTTTTAAGTATGGTGCGTTTACAGGTAGTTATGAACGTAAGTTGTGTGTACATGAATTAGAAAATGTAATAATACATTCGTAATTCATCGTGCGTGAGCTGTTCATGTACAAACAGTTTCCCTTACACACACCACTAACATATTATTTGACACCACATGTGAACTGTTGAACCCCCACGCGGCATTTACAGGAAATTCAAAGCAGATACAAAGGGGGAATTCACGAGTGCAACAAATACAAACAACAACTTTACAGAGTTTTTCCATTTTCAAAAACCCATGCAACAGGAAAAGCTTTGCTTTGGAGTTCCCCTTCACTCACTAGAAACTCCGCTGCATACGACCTTGTTAAATAACCCTTTCCAAATCAGCGCAGTGACTGTCATCAGTAATAAAGCCTGTTTCTTGTTGATCCCCAGTCCCTCCCCCCTCCCCCCAGTAGACGTAGAGGACACTGGAGAACACACCGAAACTTCCTTGTCATTTCCTGTTCCGTCTACTCCAGTCGTTGCAGAGGCCGGTTTAACCGTTCTAGACAGCTGACTAAACGCAAACGTAATCGTTGATAAATTGCTATGCGTACATTCTGGGGAAGATGCCTGCACACAAGCAATTACTTTTCACTCAAGATTCTTAAAGCATACGAGCATGGGTTTTTTAGAAATCAAATTTTTGGGGGAAACAATCTCCTGAAATATATGTAACTGTTCGTGTTTGAAGCTTGAAAAAATGCATAAATAATGGTTCTGTTTTCATTCTTAAGTTCACCTGGACTGAATGTACATTTTTCAGTCCACATAAAATAGGAACTCTTTGCAAAATAGTTTTGTTATTGATGCCTTTTATATCATTACTGATGACATGAAATGAATGTGAAAAAAAATATTCCAACCAATTCAGTCATTTTTGACTGCAGCAAGCAAATACTATAAATAATCTCACCCAAAAACACAACTTATTGAAAAGTTGAACAAAGAAATTAACTGGAGCGGAGCTTGAACCAAAAAACACAATTCCTTTAAAAAAAATTACACAATTCATTTCTTCCTACCAATACATTATAGTCAGAATACACTCAGAAAAGCATCCACAAAATAACTGGAATTTCCCTATTTCAATGGACAATTTTGAAAACTACTTCCTGGATTGAAAATTCTTTGAAGTTGACCATTGACGTCAGGGTGATATAAATCAAATCAAATTTGATTTATCTTAAAATTGTTTGTTTACATGCACTTTCAACAGAAACAAAGGTAGTTCATATGTACGGGATATGTGTGTTGGCACAAGGAAATTCCTGTTGCGACTAGAAACTTTCATTTTTGACAGGAACATGTGTTTTACATGAATATTCATGTAAAACACATGTGCATGTCACTGGATGGTAACGACACCCTAACAAATATGGAACTCAACTTTGTTGGCATTCAGAGAATATTACAAAGTATCTTACAAAAGCCAGTCTCTCTGACAAAGTTCAAGAAGGAAAGTGATATAATTACTGATGCTGCTTAAATGTGATTGGTTTGTGATATAGGCCTACTTGTGACTGGCTTGTGATTGGCTTGTGATTGGCTTGTGATTGACTTGTAATTTGATTTGTCATTGACTTGTGCTCGACTAGTGATTGACTTGAGACATACTTGTGATTGGCTTGTGATTGACTTGTGAACAACTAGTGATTGAATTGTAAATAGCTTGTGATTGGCTTGTGATTGGCTTGTGATTGACTTGTAATCCACTTGTGTTCCACTTATGATCAACTTGTGACTTAAATTGTCATAAACTTGTGATCAACTTATTATTGAAGTTACTACTCTGTTCTTATACTGACATCACACACAATCATGTTTGCATTGTACAGGCATCACAGAACACATGCATCTTACTTTTATCTTCATTTTTGCCTTGCCATGGCATCTTGATTTTCCTCTTCTTCTTCTCATCATCTGTGGGTGTGCTGGGGAGGGGCTTGGATCCTGGGCTAGACGCGTCAGATTTCAACGTGCCTCCAGTGCTGGTGTAGCGCACCGGTGGTGCGGGAGGGCTTTCCTCCATGTTGTCACTCATTAATGATCAGATTTACCTGCAGACACAGAACAAAAATGTCAAAAATGGCATAAAGTGGCGTATTTAGCTTTTACCATGGAAGATACAAGTGTATGTATAAGTTGGTAATAAAAAAACTGCACACGTCTACAGACAACGTATTTATTAGTTTACATGTATGCCATAATGTAAACTGTATCACCACTGATGAAAGTGAATCGAAAGATAAACAAAGCTTGCAGCTCTTTACAACTCAAACAATTTACAATAGTGAGGCGAATTTGGAAAGCTGTTGAAATTCCCACACATTTAGAAAATACATCTTGTCTGCATCTTAAATATATTTTAAACTTCGTGAGATGGAAAACAAGATCTGGAAACTATGACCTTGACCTTTGGCCAAATGCAATATACAATTTAGGCAAACGTTTCAAGAGAAGACCGTTTGTAGATTTTCATTTGCGCCTGCCATGCTGGCTGTAGTATGGATACAGTATTTCAGAACATAAACAATTATTTAACACCCAACAGTTTCATAATGCATGCAATGCATGCGTATTGGAAACTGCGTAGTGTGTTCACAGGATGAGCATATTAACATGTGTGGGTGATTCATGACTAGGTCTTGTTGCGATGATGTCACAGTGGAGCTGAGATACATGTACATGGCCTTGGTTGACAGAACCACTCCACATGCTGATATGCTTTGAGTCAATCGGCACTGCAAATGTACAATTTTGAACACACATGCCAGTGTGTATCCTTACATGTACAATAAGACAGTTCATCAATGAGTCAAATAGAATGCCTTAAAATTGCAATTTGTATGTTTGTTGAAATAAAAATACTACTTTCTTCCGATTGTGGTTATCTGCAACCCTCTAAAAAAAAGGCTTTCATTTTGCACATAAATAACCCGCTCTATGAGTACGGAATTCTTGTCTGGCAGCCAATAATTCCAATTTTGTGAAGAAATAATTCAATAACTAAACATTGGTGGATTTTTTCGTTTGATGTCTCACTCAAAAGTGATAACTTTTATGGGCTTATAGTTAGGAAAATAGCAATTGAAAAAAAAATCTACTTTTTGATGTGAGACTCAAAAATAGCATGCATTTATAACACATTTTAAAACATTTTTTTAGGACTTTCTGCGGTAAATATTCAATTATAAATTTACCACCTTGTTATTTGGTTTCATTAACAGTACAAATCTTTTCATAAGATGGAATGGTTTTGCCCTTCACCGATTCATCATAAACACTGTAAAGTCAGTGTTGTCCCGAGTGATTGTGAGAAAAAAATCACTCAGGTGGGACTCGAACCATGACCTCCTGCTTACTAGTGCAGACATCTTACCACTCAACCACCAAGCTTGCTGGAGTCTGGCTGGCTGGTTCGAATCAGATATAGCAGCGGGTTCCGCAACAAAACTATTCTTGTTTAATTTTTAGAAATGTGCATTGAAAAGGAAATCCTGACTAGGAAATGAAATGTGTCTTGTCATCTACATGTGTAACTCTAGCAAAGGTTGTGGGCTGTATCTAGCGGAAAACTGGCACCAATGCTGATCACGAATTCGACATGTAGCACTGGGGTCACAACTATGGCCTCTATTTTAAATGGTCCTTTTCCCCCATTATCCAAACCCAGTTGAGATAAACTCACCTAATAACATGCAGCAGTCATTCACGAAGCAAATGATCGACTTGAAACAGAACAACACTGGCTAAAATATGACAGATATTCATGATTTCGGTGGCTTTTCAGATAGAACCATCACAGCTGGAAAAAATATGGTTGTGACCCCAGTGCTATGCTATGTCAAATTCCTGATGAGCGTTTGCGCTGGGGTTTCCCAAGCTACGTTTTATCATGGCATGGCTTAAGGAAGTCCAATGCGTAAGGCCAAAAAAAAAGTCTCCGGTTTATGGTATGGAGCTTTGCCCCAAAAGTGGTGCGGCGACGTGGCTTTTTAATTTTTAAAAAAATTTTTTTTTCAAATGCGGCTGATGACTGCAAATGGTGCTCGAATAAATTTAGTGCAAAATGGGAGTCCAGAGAGGCCACATAAAGCTTATACTCGATCGTAACCCCATCTAAAAACACGTTAAAATTGTGCAGCAGCAGTATTCCAGTCAAGCCAGTAAGTTTAGCAGTTTTTACATGTACTACCGGTATGAGGTGGGATACATCATGGATACATCATGTAGCTATTTAGCAGTCCTTCTGATTTGAAAATCACAGGTGTGTGGAAAACGCACACCTGGATTTTTCTAGGCGTGCGATTGTGTGGTCCAAGCTGGGACTGAACAATCTGGTATTGTTTTTCAAAATATTCATCTTGGTTTACAATAAAGCCATATTCTCTTCACCGACGTACTTTATTTTTCAAAAATAATGAAGTATAATTATGCCGTAAATGTATGCCGAGGTGTGCGGTACTGAGGGATTCAGGCGTGAGATTATTTGGACTTCTCAGGAAGCATTTAGGCGTGTGATGGCGTGGGGGTGCGATCGCACGCGCACGCCTCAAAACAGAAGGACTGATTTAGCCCATTTTTCACATGATTAACACAGCTATCAAGGGCAAAAATGTTGCAACCTGATGCCACTTTTTTCTTCATATTCTCAATGAAGGTACTGGCATGACTCGGTAACTACTCAACCATGTCAACTGCTCAAAGTCAAACATGTCAAATTAACTTAATGAATTTGAAGCAAGTATATAACTAGCGTTTGGAAACACCACTTGATTGCACTACTTGCAGAGTAGGGCAAAAAGTGCACAAATTACTAGACTCCATCTTGAACAAAATGCACTTGCAATTGCATTCCAAAAGGCAATATAGCGCATGCCGGTAAAGGCCTAGTAGGTGCGGAAAACTTCCGACTTCCAACTAACAGTGCACTGATTTTTGCAAACATATCACTGAATTAGGATTTTTAACTTTATGGAAATCAATTTCACATTTCACCAACTCCAAGAAAAACCATTTCCATTTTGTGTTGAAACAGAAAATATCACAAATGAAACTTACCTTCACTGAACAGAGTCCGTAAATCCAGTAATTGTATGCAATGAATGCATGCAAAATATCCGGAAGTACACGAAATAAAATCAGCATTCGGCACAATCAAAATGCATGCACGCATACTTGCACACATGTAGGCATTGGCTTTGACTGGTACGCAGCTAAAATAGCGTCTTCCTACCGTTAGCGGTGCGGATACCAGTAAAGGAAACAATTCCAAACCCCGCCCCCTCCCCCCTTTAAACCCCAAGTCTGTTTTTCTCCCCCATGGTTTGAAAATATATTATTTGGAGATATTTCTTGGAATCAACGTATTTTGCACCTCCAAATATAAAATTCAGGCAATACGAAAATTGTCCGGTATTTTTCCATTTATTTTGTGCGGATCGAGAGAACCATAAAATATCTGATAATGTGATAGAGGGCGCCCTTTGACTTTACCGGTTACTTGTACTATACATACCTTATATGGAATTCCAATTTGACGCTCAATCATCAAAATCGATCATCAAATTAAGGTAGCATTCAGACGATCAGCCCCCCCCCCCCCCAAACAGGAAAATAAACAAACAAGAAAAAAATGAAAATAAAAAAAGAAGCAGAATGGATATTTTCAGCCTTCAATATTTATTTTATTGAATCGGCATTTGCAACATATTTCAACTTTTTGCATTTTCCTTTTTTTGGCAGGGGGGGGGGGGGAATTGACAACTTTGTCCCCCTCCCCCAACACAAGTACATCATATTCACCTGCATTTAATAAACAGCTGGAATGTCGTGAAAAAAATTAATTGTTGGAATGTCGTGCAAAGAACAACAACCAGAATACTAACTGATGAAAACTGTTAAATGCAAAAGACTTTCAGGAATACTAACGTGAATGTACAATAAATAGGCCTAAAGCTTTTCCGCTCATACCCACCACCCAAACAGGGTGCTGGGAAGGGCTAATCTCTTTCACAAAATGTTGTGAAGGAAGCATGGGCATTGCAAAGCACTGTGGGTAGCTTGCTACCTTAATGCCTTCAGCGCAATACAATCAATACATTCAGCGCATACGTGTCATCCGCACATGGAAGCGTCGACCCTTGTTATTGTTCAAACAAATTCTATCTAATGAGGGCTCGAAGAAATTACGTCATGCATCCTGAAGAAATTAGCCCTTCTCTGTTTGGGTGGTAGGTACGAGCAAATAAAGCTTTCAGAACAGCTGCAAAGTTTAACAAACACTTGAAATATACACAAACAATTTAAACTCTTTAAAAGTAAAACCTTTGAAAAAGAAAGTGATAAATAAAAGTTATATTTATTGACATTTCGATTATTGCACATTAATATAATTTTCCTTTCAAATGAATAAAATCTCATTTTAAGACTCTAAAAAACTAATGTAATGAGTTATTATCTAAGTTGGCACAGCAAAGAAGGAAATAGAAATGTATCTTTTTCTTTTCAGTTGTCCTTTCAGAATTCCTTTGGCAAATATATCACAACAATTAAAAACATATGTACATGTAAAAATTCAACAAACTAGTGTAGCTGCCTCTCTATATGCGTGTTTTTGGTTCATTTTGTATCAGTTGTATAGTTAGCCCTGGTCAAGGCGATAATGATAGAGCTTGAAGATTATGGTCAATCGCCAACAAAGTGGTAGCCACGCTCTATGCAATCACTATCACACATAATGTACGAAGCGCGAACAGCGACCTCATGCAGCTATGCTACGACATGCAAATCAGGTGGTGCTGAACGAACGGCTTGGAACACCCGTGAGCCATGGCCTATCTTTTTTGGGTCTTTTTTGTTATTTTGTCGCTGGATTTATATCGAGTTTTATTTGGTCTGTGAACTCCAAACTTGTTTGAGAATGTAGCCACACTATCCAGCTCTCTGTCCTTGTAAAATAGGAGCCTGCACGACCAAGAACTCAATAATTATCTCATCTTTAGCTGCATACGGGGTCATCACTGGAAAAATCCAGCGACAAAATAAAGAAAAACATCACTCAAGGCTCATGGATGTTCCAAGGCGTTTGCTCAGCACCACCTGATTTGCATATCATAGCTTAGCCACATGAGGTCACTCTTGGTCCTTTGTGCAGTACATGTGATTGCATAACGCATGGCTACAGACCATCGATCATTGGTCTCTATCATTGAATGCCTTGATCAAGGTTATTGCAATAGTTTGGCCTCTGGTTTAAATAGGCCTGAATACGCATTAATAGGCACAGAATCTGCTAAACTTGTGCAGCATATGGAAAAGCAATATTAAAAGTCTTATTATTAGACTATTAATATTGCTTTTCCATATGCTGCACAATTATATGCTGCCATATTAGTAATAGACAATTACAGCTTTTGGTCTGCGATATTTGTTTGTAATGCACGACACGCAGTGTGACGTCATTACTGGCACCTTGGCTGGTACCCATTAAGCATTGGTGTCCAGGTTGTCTGCAATCTCAGCCATACCACTTCCACGTAGCGCTTCCTTCAAGACTGACAAGGTAGCCTGGTCATCCCCCCTCTGTTTCCATAACGATAGTATCTGCTGCACCTGTCAAATAATAGTCAATCAATTAAATTTAGTCGGAATTCTCAACAGGTGTAATGCACCTGTTGTAGGGCTGTGACTACATGTAACATTGAAAACGTTCAGACATAACTTGTTGCTTTTGAGTAAAAAGGTAAATACTCATATATGTAGAAGATCCTGGGAATGCTTCCACACGTTTCAATTGATCACTTGATGATACCCAATGAAACTGGCAGTATAATGGGATCAAAAATAGCAGTCAGTCAATGACTCGGGGAGTCAGTCCGTCAGTCCGTCAGTGACTCGGGGAGTCAGTCAGGCAGTCAGTCAGAGGACAGTCGGCTTGCCCTCAGGCCCAGCAAAAAAATGTTAAAAAATTTTAAAAAAATAAGTATGCCTCACAGAATATGTTACCAACCTGTTCCTTCTCATCCCCAGGTAACTCTTCTTTTACCAGACTGATATCATCCTGTGTGAAGCCTAGCTTGTTAGCTAGCAGCACCCAGTCTTTACGACTGGCCATCCTTGACACCTTCAGCATGTGCTTAGTGCTTGGAGCTTCCTTGGAGTCTTTCTTGACAGGATTACTACTAGAAGCCTGTCAAACAATCAGTTGACAAAATCATGCAATATGACCTGAGTGTGCATACGTTTCCTGATTTCGTTTATAAGTGTTGTAGTTGAGTTCATCACAAGTTCATTGCAAGCTCAAAATAAATCTTACATAAGTCTAGTTAAAATTAACAGACCATGGAAAACAACAAAGGAATCCTTTTGTTACAGTACATGTGAATAGCGTACAACTTGACTGAAACTGTAGGACTTGTGAGGACTTGCGATGAACTCCAGTACACAACTGTCATTCACTTGACAAATGTCACTGGGATCAAGTTCAAAGGTTTTCAGAATATGCTGGTTTTAAAACCTGTTGCCTGGCAAGATATTGCTCAAAGGTCTTTTGCACCATATGAAGCAAATAGAATCTACAGCTTTGCCGGTACCAATGCCCCCCCCCCCCCCCCCAGTTTACAAAAATGCCATGGACCACATCACAGCAGACTACCGTATAGTTATGTCACTAGTTGACAAGTTGTCCCATGACCTTTGACCTAACTGACCTGTTCTTGAGACTCATTAGGGGAACACTTGAAATCCATGATGGTCTGTAGTGTATCGTTAGGTAGCTGCCGGGCCCACTTGACAAACTGCTGCTCGTTGATGGAATGCGTCGCCATATCTCCGACTTGATGCATGAACACCTTGGCTGACCTTTCAATCACTTCCTGAAGACAAAAAATGACAATTTCATTCAGTGAGTCCGTTCAAAACTTTGCATGCGGCTGGACCTGAAAAAGTAGGAATACTTGAAAGCCTGTTCAAATTAAACTTCAAATCACTTGAATCAATGAGTTCACTTACCTGACTTTCATCGCAGTAAATCTCACTCAGGATTTCCATCACTACAATGATGTCAAGAGGATGTCCTTTGTTCAAACACTGAAACGCAGCTGTAAATATCAAGAATGAAAACAAGACATTCATTTACAAAATTCCTAAACAGGCAGCCATGTGAATATCTTAGTACAAAAATGGTTTGTTTATTGGTTGCGTTACAGTTTTGTGGATCTTGGATGTGGAAGATAGGGTTTATATCCAGTAATGGCAATTTTCTTTCCTAAATGCACATAATATATAGCGCACATCAAGATCGTAAAATCAGGTGTAATTTTTTCTTTTCTTTTTCTTGGTTATAGCCTATGCTGTGCTCTATCTGATTTAGCAAGAACATGTTTTCAACGTGTACATGTACTTTCATTTTTGTCAGTGTGCATTGCTGAAATATTCTGGCAACTTTTCTTAATTGATGACATCTCATTGTGCATTCCACTCACGGTGCCTGTCACTCCACTCCTGTACCATCAGCATTTTGTTAGAGCCTCTGTTATTTTCAAATTTAGCAACTGGGCAAATTTAGCTTCTTTTCGCTCACCTCTAACTTTGGTCTCGATTGAGGCATCCGCCAGCCAGCGTGACATGTTGCAAAACGTCTGGAATGTTAAGACGCTGTCTTTGGATCTTGGCATCATTTCCACAATCTTCGGATTTCAATCAAGAAAAGGACATTTCAAGGAAAGGATATTTCAAGAAAAGGCTTTTTCAATTCAACTGAACTTGAGGCCTAACTAAAGTCCTTAAAAGACCATATTTTTTGTAAATACATGAGGGAGCTGTAACAATTTCATTTGGGTTTACAGACAGACATGAATTTAAGGCGACAATGACGAAAGTGAACGCAAGGAGTATGTATGTACCTTTGTTGCCGTGGTATTGGCTTTGCAAGCTTTCATCAATGCATCGCCGCTAAGTTCTCCGTCTTCATTGCATCCTAGCTGTTTATACTGCTCCCACATAAGCGCTATCTCATGTTTGGAGACTGTCAATATAAAGATAAGCATAAAGCAGTTATGCATGCGTGGTCCTTTCCTCAGCTTTCATCTTTTGTTGTCAAGGCATAATTGGGTTTTCAGTCACAGGTTTGGCTGGTGAACTACAGTGCCATACATCATCATCTTTGCATTACCCGAAATACATAATATTACAAAAATCTGGGTAATGTTTACAAATCTGAACTATTTGAAGGAGGGGGGGGGGGGGGGGGGGGGAAAGCTTACCATTGCAAGCCACTGCATGTTGACTAAGCCAGTCACCTTTCAGTGGATGTGTTAAATCGGCTACAATTCCACCGTCATCACTTCCGTTGGTTGATGACACTACTGCCCCCATATTGGCTGCTGTGGAAAACAGTTTGTGCAAAACAGCAATAAATTTACATACCTGTAGGCTGTACAATGGCAACAAAGTGTCTCACGGCAATGTGCACCATCTTGTTCACAGGGCAAAAAGAACACACGTTGCTAGACGCGGCGGGCGCATTTTGGAATGACCGCAAGTTGGAAGCCGAAGGCGAAGCGCCAAAGTTTTCCATTGACAATGCGTAAACGTACGTACACACAGCAACGCTCTAAAATGGCCCCGTCAGCAAGATTGCGCATATCCGTGGGGGAAGGAGAGCTAGGCCTAGCTCCAATGTGTGGAAATGATCAGTGATGTTGTGGTCGGATGACGTCACTCTCCCGATTAGCTCCATAAATGTGGCCTATTTACTGGACTGCCTCCGTAAACATAGGCCACACATCCACATGTACAAAAACGTGTCGACTTTGCCAAATTTTGATTTTCACATTTAGGCTTACTTTGTAGGTTTTTTTTGCTTTAGAAGCATTCTCACCCTCTATATAGGCTAATCAGAAAGTGCTGCCTTTTTCAGATGTCAAATTTTTGTGAAATTTCATGTTGAAATTTTGATACGCAAACGTGTGCAAATGTATCTGGAAATTTCACGAAAAATGGACATCTGAAAAAGGCAGCACTTTCTGATTAGCCTATATAGAGGGTGAGAATGCTTCTAAAGCAAAAAAAAACCTACAAAGTAAGCCTAAATGTGAAAATCAAAATTTGGCAAAGTCGACACGTTTTTGTACATGTGGATGTGTGGCCTATGTTTACGGAGGCAGTCCAGTAAATAGGCCACATTTATGATGATCTGATGTTTTGCAATTTCGGCATGCAATTGAATTTTTGCAACACTTTGGAATGGACATGCCATGGTGTTATTAAAGTTAGCCAAATTGAGGTTAAAGTGCAGTCATTAAAATTTCAGAGTGAACTACATGGGAGGGGCTCCATTATAATATTAGTAAATTAAATCTAGTACAAAGTAGAAAGGTTCATATTTGCCTAAATAATCTTACGGCACTCAGCATAGCAGACTCCGATCAGCGCTCATATGAATCTGCACACCATCTGACAAATGGTGGCGCTGTTCAATGCTAACAGTCAGAGCCGGCCACGCCACCCGTGCTATCGCTCGATCGTACCCCCCCCCCTTCCCCTCCCCGGGTGGGCGGATGCCGAGGAGAGGGGGGGGGGAGAGGGAGAGAATCTGCTATAAAACTTTGCGAAGGCAACGCCGGCGTCGAAAAGTAATTAGGGTAGTTCATTTACCATAAACAATCATTTACGAAAAAACAAACATTGCCACAAAACGGTGCAAAAACCGAAGGCCAAACAAATTAAAGCAGAAATTGCATTATGATTTTGATTGAATTCATTTTATTTAAATTCCAAATCTACCATGATACCTGAGACATTTTACCCGCTTTGCATACTATGATACTCATGTAGAACTCTATTCAATTCAAACCATTTTAATAAAATCATGTCAAATAAATATGGATACAATGTGCCAACAATAAATTGGGGATTGTGTTCCTGTCATCAAAATCAAGTGATCAAAATGGGCGCAGTGTCAACAAAAGTTCGTTTTGTTTTAAGAATTGGAGCGATGATGCGATCCCACTCTTAATAAATGCAAACTCTAACCGCTGCATGCACTCTAACCACTGCATGCACTCTGACCAATGACACAAAGCCAGCGGAGAAACAAAAACAAGCTCAACTTCCCTTTTATGAAAAAAAAAATAAAACAACTTGTACTCCCCGCTAGCACTGAGCGAGGCCAGGGATACGCATTATTGTGTCAGATGTATGATCTTGATAAGTTGTCATAAAATTCAAAGATCACCCGTTCAACGCTGGGCACGCTGCCAACATGTGGCTGATCAGATAACGTGGACCGTCACCAATCATCAAAACAACCTGCAGTTAAAGAAAGAATAGAAAGAATCATGACAAGGAAAATAAGTACATTTCCTGAGAGAAATATTTTCATTATAAACAAAAACACCATCGTTATCGCACCATCGCAATGACGTGAGCTCCAGCTGTTTACCTTCCTCCATGGTCTAATACAAAGACGTTCTCATATTGGACATTATGTGTTTATCAGCCATCTTCAGAGTATTTCTTATTTAATTCAGTAACAATGAACGCACAAAACATTCACTCCTGCATATCCCAGCAAAACAAAGATGTTACCCACTAAGATGGCTGCTACGCATCAGGTCTACTTTTATGTTCGCATGCAGTTTTAAATGATAATCTAGTCGATAAAATACAAGATTCACCTTACCGCGTGATAAAAAAATGTAATTTTACGCAAACTCGAGCAACTTCTATCGGTAAACAGTATAAAAGCTCTGAAATTCGGTAGCATACACAACCCAGATCAGTAAGTGTTGAATGTACATGCAGCTGTTTCCAGGAGCTTTATTTGATACGAAAAATCAAACCGCTCATCGTCTTGATATGTAAGTTTCTCTTTCTTGACACAGATGGTGCACATTTTGTGCCCCATACTGCCTTTCCCCCACCCAGGGGCAGTTGTCATGAAAATGTGATTGCCAAATTAAAACAGACAAGTCGGATTGCAAATATGAATTGAAAAACAGATATACCCACAAAAGAGCGTCCCGGAAATACTCCAATCTGTTTTTTCAGAGAAACTTCCGCATTTTATTGGGAAAGTGAAAGGCTGTGGACGCGCGAGATATGCCTGCAGTTGGCTCGAGATGACAAAGCCATATGTACGGCAATCTACGCTAGGGTAGCACCATGAATTGTGGCAGCATCCGTACCGTATTGCGTCTCATCCTTTTGTTTCTCGTCATCCGCGTGGATGGCCAAGACACATCAAAAGGTAACACGAAGTTCTTTTTTTTTAGGCCATAGTGTAAATTTCTGAGCGTACCATAATAAGAAATAAGTACTTAGTTCTGTTGTGTCGCGAAAGCGAAAATAACAACCTTTTATTCACTTAATTTGACAGCACGAAGCGTTGTGGCACGTGCAGGTCGGAGTTCAGTGCTGAGCTTGAACCCATGTCTCCCCGCACATTGAGAAATCGTACCTCGAATGGAGTCTTAAAGACATGTCACAATTGTGTTGGTCTTTATGCAGTAGAAATAACATACTTTGAATGCTTGTCATGTTGAAATGCCAGCTTACAATATCTGGCATATTATTTGAGAGACTTGTCGATCGCTTCCACTGCACAAGACTTGTCTTTCTGCCAAACTCAAGCTCTGCAACATGTGACTCATTCGTTGACATGGTCACAGCAAATGGGATTTTTTTTTCAAGAATTCTTAGTCTTATATTTGGAAATTGTATGACTGTCAAAACACAAGTACATGTATAGCTATGTTTCGTTTCTCCGCGTGCGGGAATCAGGTGGATTTTTGGTGGAACAATATATCCTGGCGTCATTTTGGATTCGATGAAATTTGTGTATCTATAAGGCCCGCGCATTCACGCGCAGAGGCAAGCTTGCATTTGATGCGGTTTGGCATATAGTCACGCGGCAGATATTTTCTCTTGTACTGTCTCATCGGTTTCCATTAAGGAAGAATTTCAAAAGGGAATGTCGGTTTCTGAAATAACTACCAGAATTGTATTTCATGAAAATGTGTTGCTCTTCATAACTGTCAAAATCGTTAAAATCACATCCGGTGGTTTTTCTACTGAATTTTGTTGGCAATAATTCTTTGTATCTACTGACGGAGCCGAGTTTGGGAAAACACAAAAGCTCCGCAAAAACAAATAGTTTAACTTCCTCGTCTAACCTAAGGCACAGTACACTGTAATGAGACATTACACAGTTTGTAACATTAACTGAACAAGTAAAATCCTCTTTGGTAAAATGGGTCTCTCCCCGTAGCCGCGGCGTAAATCCCAAAGGGAGGGGGCGGAGACTCCTCCCACTGGAAAGGAATGGGTCATAGCATCAAACTTCCCTTAGGTTTTGTTCTGCTGAAAAAAAGAGGGTGATCATGATATTCTCATGCCAAATGTGACCACACAAAGAAAATAAAATCAGCTTGGGAAACATGTATAATAAAGAAGAGCATCCAAGCGAAATGCTTACATAGCGCCATCCGCTTTCTTTTCGAATTGCTATAAGTTCGGAAAGGCAAGTTCCAGTGGGTCCTTACCGTGGTTGTTTTTATTTGTCTAATCCACTTTTCGACGCTCATATTATGTCCTTGACTGTTAGAGTATATATTAAATTTGAAGCATTCATTTATTGTTGTTCACACCCTGTATTCACTTGTGGTAGACAGACCCAGTTCATCCAACATGCACAGTGGACACTGTAGGGCCTACCACTGTAGGGCCTACCACTTTGGGGCCTACGGAAAATACCACTTTTAGAGCTATCAGTTTGGCCTGTCTTGCTCAGCACATCAACATGGAATTGGTGCTGGTGCATAGTGCGGAGTAGGGCCTACGAAACACTGGTGCCTAGGGCCTACGGGACACTTGATCCGGCCCTGGTGGTAGATTGGGCTCCGCTCATAAGTCCGACGCCTCATAGGTCCGACGCCTCATTAATCCGACAAAATCGCATCCCCCAACCAAATAAAAGCACATAGTTCGACGCCTCATAGGTCCGAAGCCTCATAATTCCGACGCCTCGTAAGTCCGACGCCTCATCTCCGACGCCTCGTACACTTCGTTTTTCCGACGTCGGACTTATCAGGCATCGGACTTATGAGGCATCGGACCTATGAGGCGGAATAAATAAATGTTATGCTTCATAAGTCGACGCCTCATAAGTCCGAAATTTCGGACTTTCGAGGCGTCGGACCTCTGAGGCGTCGGACTTATGATACGGCCCCCGGTAGATTGCGATTTGAAAAGTTGACTCTTTCGCTTTTTATTATTTTTTTTGCAGATTTTCTGCTGGTGGCCGACAAGAATAAATCGGCCATCTTTATGGGCAGCATGGAGGACTTGGACCTGAAACCTCTTCCACTGGGCAATATAACAGCTCCAGTCGCTGTGGACTACGACCCGGTCAATAGCATGATATATTGGACCGACTACATGCAAACGATGATCATCCGTGCGCATCTTAACGGCAGTCGAAGACAGATACTGGTACACACACACCTTGTGGGTAAGTTCTTTAGCATCGTCCACCTAAGAAAAAGTAAAGATTGTCTCAAGTCAAAATGACTCAATGTTTTTGCTGTAAGGGCTAGCCTATTGTCCTATGGCTGAGTCACTGACCGGCTGTCTCCCGACTACTAGCCAAGACCGAGTTGACTGACTGACTGAGTCACGGAGTATATTCCTAAACTTCGATTTTCGGGTCCGACTCAACTTCCATTTCCCTGTAGATCCTGGAGGTCTGTCCCTGGACCACAGATCCAGACTGATGTTCTGGACAGATGGTCTTCCGCGAAGAAAAATAGAGCGAGCTACGATGGACGGGGGTGATCGGCGAGCTATCGCCAGCCAAAGCGTCGGGAGTCCGAGGGCAATAGTCACCGACTGCAAAGCAAGGCTAGTTTTTCATGACGTCATTATTCAATTGTTCTTGATGCGTTTCTATACTGCGTGCGGAACGGTTATAATGGGTACGTGCACGCAAACCGAGTACATGCATGAAAATTCAATGGAAGTGTTCAAAACACTTGTGTAAGTTTTTTTAATTTGGTTTTATGACATCTTTAATTTAACAGACATGTCTACTGGTCGAGTTTTGGGGACGAGGGCAACATTGAGAGAGTAGACTACGATGGTAGTCACCGTGTTGTCATAGTGGGTGTGTCCATCACGTGGCCTAACGGTATAGCTCTCGACCTCAAAGGTATTACAAACGGAGCAAAATTTTAAAATGGCAGGCTTACAAAAAAATAAAATCATCAAGCGAATAAAACAACATGGCTCTACAGCTTCTACTTAAATTACCCTGTCAAGTCCATCCCAAGTCCTGTCAGAAGTATTCACAAGTCTTCCACAATTTTGGCCACAAGCGATGGATGGACAATTGTCAAAACTTTTATTTAATTAGCTTGAATATTACTGTTCTGTACATTTGAAAATTCAACTCTCTCACTTTTGACCCAGGTGGTTGGTTGTACTGGTGTGATGCCAAGAACAAGACCATCGAGCGGTGCGATCTTCAAGGCAGCAATCGTGAACTCATCATGAGCGATCACCGCATACATCCCTTCGGCCTGGCCATCTACGAAGACTCCCTGTTGTGGACGGACTGGAATGCTTATTTCTTGTTCCAGTGGAACATGACTCTGATGGACTGGACACAAATAGGACCAAGCATCTTCCAAATGGCAACTGGTATACGCGTTCACGTTGCCTCAGGTCAAACATTCAAGTATTCTTAATGGAATTTTTTTTGGTGGTGGTGGTGGGGGGGGGGGGGTGATGGGCAAGACAAATTGTAATTCTAAAGAAATGTCCAGACCTAAAATACCCCAACAATAATTAATGTGGACGGTACACAGCGCAATACGGCATCCGAGCTCTCTGTCTCAAGCGGGCGCCATTTTCAGCCGATGTCATCACATGCGCAAAATATAACGAAAAGCCATTCCTATTTTGTTTTTGCTACAATTTCTTTTCCATCACAGAGATTTATTGCAAAGATCTGCGTTTGCTCAACTTCGTTTCATTACTAATTACTTCAATACTTGTGTCTCCTCCCTTTATAGACATTGGCCATGACACCGAAGTCCCTGATGGTACCATCCAATCAAGTAAGTTTTGGGACACATCCATCATTTGGGGTTTTTTTTGCACATAACTCCATATCCATGACCACTATAACAAAACCAACGCTCAATTCTATACTCACTGTGCGTATCCGCTTTGTCCATTCCGTACCTACAGACTTTGGGAACATAACCGACATTCAACCACTTGTTGGTACTGCTGTATCAGGTAAGATGTAACAGAATTCAACGACTTGTGATACTCCTCCATAGAAATATAGTAGAAAGGCTTGGAATCCGCGGGGTTCATACTCAATACACCCCTTCTCTCGCTAGACGCGAGTTTTAAGTTTTCTGGATCAATCTTGCATCTAGCCACTCGATATTAAATGCTTTTCAGAACGCGCTTGATCGGATTCTGAATGCTCGAGTTACTTCTGCCTGTTTTCTAGGCCTCAATCTCGACGTGGAAGATCAGGAAAGCATGGAGGCAAGTGACTACGTGCCGCATAGATCTGTTGCTGCGGTACATACAGCGAGCGTCTTCGCATTGTTCATTCTGCAGCTTCTTCTGATAAACTTCAAATGAGGTATATACCATAACATCCGTGGGGAGGCGGTTGATTCTTCGTTAAAAAAACCCTCAAATTTTGAATTTATTTACACATGTGAAGAATAAACAATAAAATCGTAAAATGTACACACTACTTCAAGAACAATCCTCAGAAGAAGAAAAAATCAAGACTGCAAATTTTAGAATGACAGCTTTAATAGCTAATGTTTCCCACTTTATGATGCTTGCTTTGGTATCTCACACAGGGATGGCGGAAAATCTTCTTGGTTCTTCGATGCCACAAGACTGTGGGAGATTGGTGCTCGCACTTGAAGACGCACACGGACGATTATCTTGTCGCCTTATCAGTTCATTCTTGATTGGAGGTTGCGTTCGCGGCTTTTATGCTGTAAAAAAAAAGAATCGGAAAAGCGAACTTTGAATAGGTACACAAACAGAACGATATGTAATTGTATTTTTTTTTAATGTGAAACACCATTTTATTTGGCGGTTTCCATGCCGTTCAAAATAAGCTTGAGTGTAATTGTTTAGTAAGATTTTTTTTTTTGCGTTTGTGGACGGTCAGGCCGCTGATTTTGAAGTTGTGAGAAACGAACGTATACAGATCTCTTTTGAGTGGGAAGCGGGGCTTATCAAGAATTTAACGAAGAATAATTTAAAAATAAAAATATTATTTAACAACTTAATCAAACTGAAATCCGTCCAACTTCGAATTGTTGTAGATTTTGTTTAATTTTTTTTTTTTTTAAGTAAATTCATTTACACAACAGCCCTATATTTCGTGTACATTTGCAGGAATAATAAAAAAGAAGAAAATATAGGCCTGTAGGTGCACCTTCAGAACTTGATATTAGTGCTAATACCAAAAAGGAAGGTATTTTACATTCCCATTTGTTTAAAAAAGTAACCTGGAAAATTTGACAAACATGCCTATTTGTGAATATCAAAAATATAATATTTGTCAAAAAAATGCAATGTGCAACTCCCGCAGCCCAAGGGTTTTATGCAGCAGCGTACCAAGGGTTTTATGCAGCAGCGTATCCAGCTTTTGATGTCGGGGGGGGGGGGGGGGGGGGGGGGCAACCGCACATCCGCGCAGAAATGTAGACATGTTTTTTTTCTCCGGACACTTGGCCTCCGTAAAATCAAAAGGCGTGGGGGGGGGGGGGGCTGGTACCCATCTTCCATCTGGGGGCGCTCTTCAAAACTAACAATTATTATGCATACTACATTATATGGAAATTTTCACGGTGCATTGTAATGATTGTTGAGCGGGTTTTCTTTGGTGGGATTGATGTCAGAAGAACTCTATACAAATTTATTTCAATCATTGCTGACAACAAAAATGGGGTAAAAAAAAATCAGCTGGGGGGGGGGGGGGGGGGGGGGGCAAATCCCGCCCCACCGCTGGATACGCCACTGATTTTATGTCTGACATAATTTTGACTAGTGATTTATTTTAATATTACGTTTGGAAAAATAGCTGGGGCACATTGAGAGAACAGAAAATACTTAATTTATGGTGAATTCTTTCCGAATTTACTGATATATTATACATGATTGTCGTGCTATAAGCAAAAAACGTGAAGTCACCCATGGTCTGCAACATTCTTTGTACGGTCTGCTGTTTTACTGAACATAAATAATATCCTAGAGTTTTCAGCATTAAAATTGTGTTGATTCAAAAGCAATAAAACAGGTAATCCCTTAAATCTGTGGCTTGTTTAGAATTTGTAGGCTATATACTTACCCGCATCTCATATACCGTGTGTTTATTCGTGAACGTACATTTTGATCCTAAAATAGCTGCGCTATTCACTAACCTTTCTTCAGTATTTTGATATTCACCATATAATATTTTTCGTACCGGCGACGGTGTGACTGTTTTCTTTTTGGTCATAGGCCATTCGGATTCGACGCACGTGATGAACGTGCACGCGCGTGCTGTCGAAATTAAATAATGAAAACGACACGCCAGATGATTATTATGATTGACCTTATACTGTTTGTTATGGTGACATTATGTTGAAGTACTTCCTCCAATTTGGTTTTAATGAGGTTGCAGAAAAACAATCTAACTTCCGAACAGAGATCTTCAGGTAGTGTTGGACTGGAATCAAGTCTAGGCTCCCTATGTCTTTCCACGCCTCAATGGGCTTGTTTACAATTTGACAGCGAACCATGCAACCTTCGGTATAAACCGTTGACGTGTTTTTAACACCTGCTGTATATATGCAATACATGTTCAGCACAACTGCTCAACAAAATCGATCATACGTCTCAGTACAGCGTCTACATGTACACCTGTATCAGGGTGTAACGTACTGCACTGCCAACTTTTAAACTCCGAGCTGATCAGGGACCATGGACGGTAAGAAACAGTCCACGAAGTTATAACATGATGTCAAGTTACAATTCTGTAAACAATATTACGGTTATCTGAATAGAAATCATTCACGTCGATCGCCAGTGTTGCCTTGCATGTACAAGTGTACCCTATACTTTGTACTTTTGCATTGTACTAATATAACGTGACTATGCTTTTCGCAACTCAGAAAGTCCCGCGTTGTCCATAGAGCAAGGAACAGTGCGTCCTACACATTTATAGCTCCATGCACAAACCATACAACGCTCCTGCAGGGTGTCGGGGGTTGGGGGGGGGTGGAAGGACTTATTTGAAAACATTTTGGTCACTACCATAATTAATATCCTGGAGATACTTTTCCACTTTGTAATTTAGTGGTATCAGTTGATTTAAATGATTAAATGACCCTCAATCGATTTATTTTGCCAAAAATAAGATTTTTACAAAAAAGTTATTTAAATCAGTGATTAAAAAAAAAAAATCAAATTTCATTTTCAGCCAACGTTACCGATCCCTCGAACTCTACGTTGCCTCCTTTCGTACCACCCCCCTGGCGTTGGAATGTCTCCGTGGCACTGTGTATGGCCATTATTGGCATATTGGCTAATGGTGCACTCCTGCTGGTAAGATAATGGCGAAAGCGAACTAGCGAAGTTCAATATATGCTTTTTTTGCCCGTGAAACATTACATTTAATTGCTGAATTGTAAACAAACAACACGAACTCTGTTTTTGCCTTCATTCTTACCTTCAATCTGTGAATGACTTGGCACGTACGCGTTATTAGTTATGTGAATATAGGCCTACAATGTACTACGTACGATTTTTACAACAGTGGAGAAAAACAAATTTCAAATTTTGGTAGGCCCTAAACCTATCTGATAGGCCTCCATACTTTGCATTGTGCGGTAAATTCCGTGTGTTTTTTTAAATTAAACATTGCAACAGTGTAAAACTTGTGACATCGTGTTTTAAAAGGCTCAATAATTATTTTTGTTGAAATGTGTATCATAATTTGAACCACCCTCGTGCAAACGGAGAAACCTCAAAGTTATTTGTCATAGGTTCCTGTTACCTGTTCTCTACAATGGGTATAATGGTGACATCCTTTCGTTCTGTCCCCCCCCCCCCCCCTCCCCCTACACAGGTGATTTTACTGAACCGGCACTTGCGCACGACTTCCAACATCTTGGTATGCAACCTAGCCATCGCAGATCTGATGATGTTCGTCTTTACTGTGCCTATGTCGACGGTGAGCTGGCTGTTCGTAAGCTGGCCTAAAGGTGCCTTTGGTAGTTTCCTGTGTAAGATGGGAGGTGGAGCTTGGGTTCTAGCTCAGTCGTTGTGCGCCACTTCACTCACCGCTGTCAGTATTGAGCGATATTGCTCACTGCAACGTAGGATCCAAATGAAACGCACAGTAGCATTTCTTGTGGTTGTTTGGTGCATTGGTGTTCTCTTTACCATTCCCCTACTGGTCCTGGGCCACACTCAGTACGCTGCATCCATTGATATGAACTTTTGTAACCTTCTCCCGGCTGGTATCGTTGGAATCCGCGCTTACCTCACCACGTATGCTATCCTGACTTATTTCTTACCCGTTTTGATCATAACTTGTTGTTACGTGGGGATGGCTAGGGTGTTGTTCAGTCATGGTAGTGGTGAATCCATTGAGAGCGTTCGTGCGCGCCGTCGTCTGGCGATTGTCGTTCTTTTTCTAGCAATCGCCTTCACCGTCTTTTGGTTCCCGTATCACTTCATCAATTTCTTTTTCCTCTACTCAGACCTGGAAACCATTTTATCTAGTAATTATGATGTTTACCTTCGACTGGTTGAGATTGCCCACGTCCTCATTTATGTCAATTCCTGTCTCAATCCGTTCGTAGTCTTCATCGTCAGTCGTGTTCATCGCAAACCACTTCTTGACTTTCTTTGTTGTCGTAAGAAGCAAGACGATCGAAGCTTGAGCGCCGTTATGCTCCCGTCCCTGATGGCGCCTATGCAGAAACAACAATTAGCGCTAACTAGTGTGGGAGAGAAGCAGCTTCTGTACATACCATGTTGAATTAATCTGTTGATAGGTTCTCTCTTGAAAATGAGATTTTTAAAGCTTTTTGTTGGATATCTAGGAAGAGAAACAGCGGACGATGACTTGCTTTTGTTCTAGGGGCGGAGCATGAGTGTGTGTGTATGAGAGGGCTAGGTATATGTATTCTTCATTTTATTCATTCTTAATGCTCATCTATCTGATGTGATTTTACCGGTGCAAGTTGGATAAGGAGACGGGGGTTATACACATCAGGTTGGGTGAAGAGACTCCCAAGTATGTGTATTTTTTTCCAAAACTCATCTCTTAATGTTGTTTGTGTATAGTTGGTGATTGGGCTTCCAACAATATAAGTCGCATATTTTTGTAATTGCAAATTGTATAAATAACCATTTTAGCAGCTTTCAGTTGGATACTGGTTTAACCGTATATTATGCTGTTTAAATGATGTAAATATGTTGTGTCCATTCAATTCCAGTTTTTAGAAATTGCTATAGCGTATGCTCAAATTGCTTGAATTGTATAAAAGAAAAGGACTGAAGGCCTTAATATTTTTTTGAATATTCTTTTGCATACGCATCATTGCACAAAAAAAAAAAAAAAACCCAGCTGTAAATTATCTGTAGAATATTTTTATAATTTTTTAATTTTCAAAAAGGTTTCTGGTTGTCTGAGTTTTGTTTATTTAAACATCATCAATTTCAAAAGATTGTTATCGAAATAACTTGAAGAAAATAATTTGCAAAAATGTTTACCTTTTACACAGATACTGCATGCGCTTAAACTTTTTTTCGGTCATAATTATAGCTACCTTTTGCCTTTTCAGATTTGAACAAGAACTTAAATCACAAATTAAGGCTTTCATTTAATTTTATTTTAGGACCATGTAACCGTTTTATTCTCATAACCATGTGTTATTTGTTT